AATGGGGAAGACCAAGAGAGACCCTCTGTAGAACCATCATCAGGGAATGGGTCTAATAAACATCCAAGACCTAAAACAGGTGGCAGTGAACTGCCAGACATGGGGAGCTATGCCCTCTGCCCTAGGATCAAGAGGAAAGATTAGAAACAGACCATTCACATGGTATTCAGACACTGGTATGGGAGTTGCACTGTGAACAGGATAAGGGCCTCACTGAGCAACATTGCCAGTCGGAATTCGACACATTGCAGTAAACCTCTACTGTGGTTTTGTTCAACTATTCACTCACAGATCACGTGGGCGTCAGGCTTAGGAGTTGCGAGCCTGCTTCATAATTCAGAGAAGCCTGATTCAATTAAAGTTGCAGACGATCTGGCAGGAAAATGGCAAAAGGATGAACGTAAAGTTACCTGGTAAAACCACAAAAGACCAAATAATTCCAGGCTTCGTTTTGCCCCATCCTGTAAAAAATATGCAACTACATTTTTTTTTTACTTTATAGATTCTACCAAAAAGTCACCACAGAGTCACTTCTTGACCTCCTTAGCAAAGCGGTTCTCAAACTGGGTGCCGCGAGCCTATTCCAGGAGTGCTGTGGCAATGATCAGGAATTTTTCAAAAAAGATCAGCGAATACAGCAGTTTTAAAACAGAAACAACGTGAAGGAAGCCAAAAAGAGGTCTGGATGCAAAAGTATTGAGAAGACAATGCTATCTGCCAGGCTGCAGTGCATTCTCAACGTACGCTTATATAAAAAACAGATACAGGATCAAACTTTCTGGGTCCAGTGATTTTAGGGTAAAATTAACTGCAACTCCCCATATACAAAAAGGAAATAATTAAAAATTCATGTGTCGGAAGAAACTATTCACATTTGGATTTAATCAGTTTTGTGATTCATTTTATGTTGATGTAACTCTGTAGTTAGGCACCTGATGAGATACAGCGAAATATGCCTGGCAATAAATTGTGCAATGTATTGTTTGTGTCCTCATTATTAAAATTCATCACCGGAAAACAAAAATTCATCAATACAGTTTCATTCATTGCATTAAAGACAACTGCACTGTTTGTCTTCTTTTCCTAAGTATTTAAACCACTGTAAGAGTAGGTGTGCCACGAAAACTAGTTTGCCTGACAAGGGTGAGATTCTGGGAAAATGCTCAGATGTACAGGAGACAAGATTAGGACGCCTTCAATCAGGCTGTCATTAGCACAGCCAGCAAGGGAACTCTTCAATAGCTGCTGACAAAGGGGACAGATCACATATGGGAATGTTCTGAGTGTAGTGACATTAATTCTTAGCCATTCATAAAATGGCAAGGAATCCATGTGTGGGTTCTGGGACCCTATTATAGGTAAAACAAGAATAGATCCACTGTCTACCCAAAAGCATGTCGTAAGAGTCTATTTACTGGGAGCTTCTTTCAAAGTCGGAGTGTATCTGTATCTGCCTGAGGGGCAAGGAACCAGCAGTCTGCATACAAATAAGTCAGATTTGTAAAACGGATGCACAACCAGAACTTTGGGCCAAAGTTTACAGCTGGTGAACCTGAGGAAGAAGAATGGCAAGGAAAAACAAACCACTATGGTTTGTGTGGTCTGGGCAGCAAGCTCAAACTTTTTGGAGCAATTATTCTTTATTGGTTTCTTTCAATAGAAACATTTTTACAGAGATAATCTCGGAAAGGAATAACTAATGTAGAACTTTGGGAGAGAACTAAACAGTCTCCAGTGGACCAAGAGGTAAGGAAAGACGCTGGCGTTGGATAGGACACACACTGAGAAAACAGGAGAACAGCATAACTAGAATGTCTTTGCATTGAAACCCACAGGGGCATAGGCATAAAGGAAGGCCAAAAAACACATGGAGAAGAGAGCTGGAGAATGAAGTTAGAAAGATGTGAAGGACATGGGGAGAGCTTCATGTAATGGCGAATGATTGAACGACTTGGCGTGAGTAGGTTGAGGGCCTATGCTCCACTGGTAATAGAAAGGCAGAAGAAGAATCTCGGAAAGGCTATGGCGTTCGTGCTTTGTGCCACGCTCTCGCAAGGTCGCTAGCTGATCTGTATAAAGAGATTGTATGGGATAAAACCTAGTGCAATGAAACTGAATCTCTCGACTTGTTACGTTTTTTAAAATTCTATAAATATAATAAAACAGCAGAAATTACAAGACGGCATACTTTGGAACCCAATCAGAGGCAAACTGAAGTAAGTTTATTTAGAGCTGAGGTCAACATCACTCCAGACAACATCACAGGTGCTCAGTCTCCACAAAAGACAATAAAAGAGTATATTATGGTATTTGTCCATCATAGGAAACTAATGGACAAACATGAACTGGACAAGTTTCAAGTATTATGTTCTTAATAGGAAACAAAATAAATGATATGTAAACAAAAAAGATAAATCTGACCAAAAAATATAAAATCTAACACAGAAAATTAACTGAATACCTGTGTAGTATTTAAATTCAACATTTGTTGATAAAAACTGAAAAGCTCAGTACAATAACAGTCATACTGAGCAATTACTGATCATTAGAAAATGTGAAAAGTATGAAAAAAGTAACAGAAATTCAGTACAACAACAAGTTATACTGAAGAATTACTGATCATAAGAAAATGTGTATACAAGTGATTCAAGAACAAAAAACATCATCATAAACTAACAATTTGTTCAACGCGTATTTCACAAAAAATGGGCAAAAACCCAATCTGGCAATAAGGACAATGTAGGAGTACACCAGAGTGAGCTGTGTAAACTGTTTCTTCAGGTTTTATTAAAGCCTGCTTTTCTTTTTGCCAGTTAAAGCGCTGTTTCCTTTTGTCAAGATCTGCTTTGTGTTGCAGTTTCACAGATGACAAGTAGCCAAGCCAGGGTGTGATGTCTTAGGTTGTCAGCGACTTCTTCCATTCCTCTTCTTCTGGGTCTCTTCTGCCTCTTGGTGTTTCCATTTTTACGTTGCAGGTTCTTGCTGCAGGCATCTTAGATTCATTGGCATGAGTTTTGCTGACCCATGAACAAGGTGTGCGACTGAATAAGGAAATCAGCTGTGCTTTCAAATAACAGATGCACTGAGTCATAAACTGTGCTCTGAAATAACAGGTGCACTGAAGCATAAACTGTGCTCTGAAATAACAGATGCACTGAACCATACATAAATTGTGCTCTGAAATAAAAGATGCACTGAATCATAAACTGTGCTCTGAAATAAAAGATGCACTGAAACATACATTGTGCTCTGAAATAACAGATGCACTGAATCAAACAGTGAGCTTTACTTTAAAAGAAAACAGCCTCCATTAATCATAAACTGTGCTTTGAAAGAACAGCCTCAATTAATCATAAACTGTGCTTTGAAAAAACAGCTTCAATTAATCATAAACTGTGCTTTGAAAGAACAGCCTCAATTAATCATAAACTGTGCTTTGAAAGAACAGCCTCAATAATTCATTAACTGTGCTTTGAAAGAACAGCCTCAATTAATCATAAACTGTGCTTTGAAAGAACAGCTTCAATTATTCAAAAAAAAAAATGTGTTGTGAAAAAAAAAAAAACAAGCACACTCAAAAATAAACTGTGCTTGGAAAAGGAAGCCAGGTTAATCATAAACTGTTTTGCTATAGTCCACGGCACTAGATGCAGGTAGTCATGTCTGGCCCCAGCCTTCTGTCACATGGACGGTCAGTCATTTTTTAATACCGATGTTCCTCCTCCATGCCAGGATGTTGCCCCTTTCTCCCGGAAAGCCACAAACCTGGCAATTCTAGCTGGGTCTAATTCCCGTAAATGCTGCTCAACTAACTTTTCTATAGTGACACGTTTTTTGAGATGCCTAGTTAAAACACGTTTTTTGAGATGCCTAGTTAAAACAGAGTCTTACGACGAATCTTTGGACCCATCAAAGATGCAAACAGCAGGGAATGGAGAGTGAGAAGCAAAATCGAAATTCATAATCTGTTTTAATCACCACTGATCACTGGCATCATGAGAGCTAATAGACTGAAGTGGTTGGGGCATACTGAGAGAATGTCAGATGACAGAGAAGTAAAAACTGTATACACAATGGAGAAAAATGGTCTTAGACCACGAGGCAGACCAAAAAGAAGATGGAGAGATAATGCCCAGACAGACCTGCAAACACTTGGTGTCACCAACTGGAAAGAGAAGGCCAACCAAACAGATGAACGGAGGCGGGTGATATCTGCAGCAATGAACCTCAAGGGCTCGGAAAGCTGAAGAAGAAGAAGAAGTTAAAACCACTGGTTCTGTTTGTCCCTGCATAGCATTTAGGAGGGCAGGATATGAATATTTACTATAAATTCTTTTGTGTGAATCATATGAATTTGTCAAAAGCATGTTTTCCCCATAGCCTCAGTGATTGAGGTCATGCTAGGAGTCACCTGAAACATACTGTCAGGCCCTTCACTCTGTTTGTATTGATTATTGCCTTTACATACTTCAAAATAAATATTCAATATGGTAAATAAACATGTTAAATCTATTAATAATCAGTCATAACCTTTTTTTCCTTAGCACGTTCACAGGATGCAAATGTAACTTTCCAACATCTCTTGGTCTTCCTCTGGCTTTCTTTTTTTTTTTTAAACTTTTCCCTTGCCATAAAACTAGGTACTACTAGTTTTTTTTCTCAAAATATGCCACTCATGGATTGAACTTATGATGCTGCCAGCTTGGAGGGAAACAATCGATCCTAAATCCATTCTTTAAGCCTTGTAACAATAAACAACTCAAACTGACAGTTTTACAACAATAAACACAGCAACATATAGTACCTCTTCACTGCTCATATCTACATATACATACATAATACAGGCACAGGCCTTATGCAACTAGATTTGATTATATCTCCAAAATAAAGCTTCGTAATCATCACAGAATTTGTAAACAGCAGGAATGACACAGTCCAGATCCACCGAAGGTATTCTTTACTGCTGGAAGGTCTCATATGTACACATATACAGGGTGAGGTCAAACGATGGATTTATATTTGCAGGCAAACATAAGCCACGTAGCACAAGCTGATTCAGGGTACGGGTAGACACGTACACGGACTGCCAGCTTGACCTGATCACCTCGACAGTTTATGATCTCATCACAGACTGGGGATCTGAAACAGGATAAAGAGATTCAGTTAGTAAAGGTCCCTAATGGAGCTATAGGCATAATACTCTCTCTCTCTCACAGTGTTTACCAGCTATAAACTCTGGCCGAAAGTTCTGGTTGTTTGCCCACTTCAGGACTGATTCTGTTCCAGAACTTGAGTTTACATCCACATCCATTTTATAGATCATGCTTTTTTTTTTTGGTATGCAGGTTATTGGTTCCCATCTCAGGCAGATGCACTCCATCTTCAAACAAAACACCACTTATTACTCATATTTTATTATATGGGAAGCCACCGTGGTGTAGTGGCTAGACCCTTTCCTGCAGATCGGATGGTCGTGGGCTTGGATACTGAAGTAGCCATACCTTTATTTTTTAAAAATGACATTGGTTCCCATGTTGACCCAGTCTTAAATGGGTATCAGGTCGAGTCATGGGAGGTAAAGATGGCCGGCACGATGCTGACTACATCACATCACCCACCAAGTGCCGATTGGTCTACAAAATACAGGTCTAGCCTAATATGCCCAATATATCTGAGGACGAGAAAAAAGGTCTTTTACGACATGCTTGTTTTTTTTTTTTGGGGGGGGGGGGGGGGGTTGTCTATTCTTTCTCCTTCCAAAATGGGGCCCTGGACCCCCACACAGGGAAGGCCCAATACAAGGCTATCTGACAGCCTCTCTTGCTCAAGTCTACTACCTCACCTTCACACGGTGGACCCTGCTCAAACCAGGAACCCAGTGCAATGATGGGGCTTCAATCTCTAGCAGGAAACTGCACGGAATAATAAACTGTTGCCCCCGCCAGCTTCTGAGTGCAGGGTGCGATACTACTGTGAGCTGTGAATGTCATGGGAGGGGGGGGGCGGCTTTTTTTTTGTTTGCGCTGCCAGTAATCTGAGTTGTGAACTGCATATCCAGAAAATGGTAACTGGCTAGCTGCCATAGAACTGAGGGTATGCCTTATGCAGCAATGCATGTACATCTTCTGGTTTGTCATGACTGCCATCAGTAATGACCTGCAATTCTAGTAAGTTATATCAGTGACTCTGGCAGCAGCCTTATGCATTTAAAACATGTGCAGGCAGTGATCAGCATTTTGTGCAGACCCAAACATGTATTAAAGTAACTTTCTTTTAAAACATAACGATTAAAATTTGCCAGGAAAAAAAAGGTAATACCTAAGGCACGTTGTAAAAGCCTTCCTGGCATTGCGATGGGTGAACTGGATCGGATAACCTTTAAATGTTTGCCCTTCTGGTATGGCCAGACGTACTGCATCTTGGAATTCCTCATTTCCTGCAGTGATACCTGCATACAGGAATATTATAACACATTACAGTGCAGATCAACAATTATTGTGCACACATGAAGCATCATACTGGACATATGCAGCGACATCGACTGTGATAAAACAACATAACATACTCAGCTAGACCTGGGAAATCAGGATTTATCACCGATGCCTAATAACTGAACCCTTTATGAACCATTCGCCACTGTAGTGGCTCTTCGCCGAGACTAATATTGTTTTGTTTGCTGGGAAAATGAATGTGTATGAATATGTTTTGAAAAACTAAAATTAGAAAAACAAAGTCCTTTCTCTACAAAATTCAGTATGGTGTTTGGGTCTCTTTATGATTTATTTTAATTAATTAGATGTGATACGATTTTTATGTGATTTTTCCAGACCAAATAATCAGGAAAAAGGTCTAGAACTGTTCATACTACTCTGTCGTTGATAAATCTCTGATAGTGACAACAGTCTTGATATTAAGATTGGTAATGCATGTACCAAACGTACTGCCGATAATTCAGGTTAGGAAAAAGTTGAACAAAATATTTCAATCAGATCATATCTGTTTCGATCAGCTGTTTTCCCGATTTCGGTTGTTGTAAAATCTGACATGCCATACAAAAATAGTCTCAACACCCAAAGTATTTAAAATTATTGTTTCAAATAAAGACTAGCTGATACATAACTGAACACAGGAGGCATGTGAACTCTTAGAAATGGATAGCAGTGTTGATGAACAAATAAAAAGTAAGTTAGGCACCACATTTTTGTGTGTAAATAATCTTCGTGTGTCTAACATTCTTGAATGTTGTGTGATTTTAATAACATTTTGTTGTAATACTGTCATTTAAATAGTTTAGATTTATTCTGCACTAATTTCTCTTTAATTTGATTTATTATATGTCTCCGTACAGCCAATACTTTTTCTTCAGGAAGGTTTTAGCTTTGTCATGTTGCAGTAAAAAAATTCAGCTCAGAATTAATGCTGTCCAAACCCCAGAAAAAAACAGATAAGAAAAAGCTGCAATGGGCTGATAAAGACAGACAACTAAGCTGCAATCAACAACAGCAATGTCAAGTACATAAGTCTGAAAAGTCTTCTATTACTTCTAATATTTAAATTTAAATTATTCACCAATACAGTAACTCAAATATTTGACCATTTTTTAAAAGGAAATATTTGCTCCTCCATTGTGGCCGGTGAGTCATCAGACAAGGGAAAAAAGAAGAAGACGGGCTGGTTCCAGGTGCTCCAATAAAGGAATGATTGCCCACTTGGGAAGCATTGAAGCAATTTCTCTACTTACCCAAAAATGGCAAATGGAAGTAACTTTTCTACACTATCATCATCATTATCAAGTGCCTTGCCAGCTGGCATAAGTGCTCATCCATCTCCACAGATCTCGGTCTTTGGTGTTCTGGATCAATTCCACTGATGATATTCCTCCATGCCACTTGTCTTAAGCCATCCACCATCATTTCTCTTGGTCTGCCTCTACATCTTCCACTAGTAATATTTCCAGTCATCACTATATTTTTAAGTGCTCCTTTTCTCATCACATGACCAAAGAACTTTGTCTCCTTCTCACTGTTGTATATATTCTTCTACTTTCATTAGCTATTTCCAGGCAATCATTGTTAGTTTTTCTGGCAGTCCAAGGTATTTGCAACATTCTTATCAATAACCACATTTCAGCTGCCTCAAAACTCTTCCTAATTTGTCTGCTCACATTCCAAGATTCACTGCCAGACAACAGTACAGGCTCAATATAACATATCAGTACTCATTTTCTGATGAGAGTGATTTATTACGTAGGAAACATTTCATCTTTTGAAATGCTGTCCTTGCCTGGCCATTTCTGCTCTTAATTTCTGTCACACATCATCAAACCTGTTGTTATGAATGTTCCCAAATACTTGAATTTATTGACTTAGTTAAGCTCTTTCCCTTCTATTGCTATATCACATTTTGGAGCTTTCTTCTTCATTGATATAACCATTGTTTCTCTTTTTTTTTGACATTCAAGGAAATTCTCTTTGTTTGCACTTTCTAGTTTGTACAGTATATGTTTGCACTTTCTAGTTTGTACAGTATATGTTTGCACTTTCTAGTTTGTACAGTATATGTTTGCACTTTCTAGTTTGTACAGTATGTTTGCACTTTCTAGTTTGTACAGCATATGTCTGCACTTTCTAGTTTGTACACCATATGTCTGCACTTTCTAGTTTGTACAGTATATGTTTGCACTTTCTAGTTTGTACAGTATATGTTTGCACTTTCTAGTTTGTACAGTATATGTTTCAATATTGCAAAAGTAAATTTCAAACTTGGAAAAGATCAGATTACCTGTTATCCTCTCAGTTTCATATGCTGCCAATGCTGGAGTCAGGACATAACTCAAATGATCATCCCAGCTCGTGGTCAGACCTTGATCCTGACAGTTGAAAACAAAATTATAACACCAAATAAGAACGATGACAACAACATAAAAACAATGAACATACATATCTTCTTTTTCTTCTATAAACTCTGGCGGAAAGTTCTGGTTGTTCATCCACTTCTGGACTGTAGTCCTGTTCTAGAACGTGAGTGTTGCGTGTGCATCTATTTTACAGATCTGACTCATTTGTATGCAAACTGCTGGTTCTTTGCCTCTCAGGCAGATGCACTCCGACTTTGAAAGAAGCTCCCAATTAGTTGACTCTTAAGACATTCTTTTGGGTAGGCAGTGGGTCTATTCTTGTTTTCCCTATAATAGGGCCCCGGAACCCACACGGGGAGCACATACACATATAGTCTCTACAAAACAGCCCAGGCTTTGTGCTATGGCCATAAGGAAAGCGAAGGCAAACTACTAAATATAAACACTGCCTAGTGTAATCACAAACAGCTGGGGTTGGTTCTGCAACACCCTGTAAAGAATAAGCAACTAGAGTTGGTTCTGCAACACCCTGTAAAAAGTAAGCAACTAGAGTTGGTTCTGCAACACCCTGTAAAGAGTAAGCAACTAAAGTTGGTTCTGCAACACCCTTGTAAAGAATAAGCAACTAGAGTTGGTTCTGCAACACCCTGTAAAGAGTAAGCAACTAGAGTTGGTTCTGCAACACCCTGTAAAGAGTAAGCAACTAGAGTTGGTTCTTCAAGGTCTGATAAAGGATATGCAACTAGAGTTGGTTCTGCAACACCCTGTAAAGAGTAAGCAACTAGAGTTGGTTCTTCAAGGTCTGATAAAGGATATGTAACTAGAGTTGGTTCTGCAACACCCTGTAAAGAGTAAGCAACTAGAGTTGGTTCTGCAAGATCTGATAAAGGATATGCAACTAGAGTTGGTTCTGCAACACCCTGTAAAGAGTAAGAAACTAGAGTTTGTTCTGCAACTCCCTGTAAAGAATAAGCAACTAGAGTTGGTTCTGCAACACCCTGTAAAGAATAAGCAACTAGAGTTGGTTCTGCAACTCCCTGTAAAGAATAAGCAACTAGAGTTGGTTCTGCAACACCCTGTAAAGAGTAAGCAACTAGAGTTGGTTCTGCAACACCCTGTAAACAATAAGCAACTAGAGTTGGTTCTGCAACACCCTGTAAAGAGTAAGGAACTAGAGTTGGTTCTGCAAGATCTGATAAAGGATATGCAACTAGAGTTGGTTCTCCAACTGTAAAGAATAAGCAACTAGAGTTGGTTCTGCAACACCCTGTAATGAGTAAGCAACTAGAGTTGTTTCTGCAACACCCTGTAATGAGTAAGCAACTAGAGTTGGTTCTGCAACACCCTGTAAAGAATAAGCAACTAGAGTTGGTTCTGCAACACCCTGTAAAGAATAAGCAACTAGAGTTCGTTCTGCAACACCCTGTAAAGAGTAAGCAACTAGAGTTGGTTCTTCAAGGTCTGATAAAGGATATGCAATTAGAGTTGGTTCTTAAAGGTCTGATAAAGGATATGTAACTAGAGTTGGTTCTGCAACACCCTGTAAAGAGTAAGCAACTAGAGTTGGTTCTTCAAGGTCTGATAAAAGATTTGCAACTAGAGTTGGTTCTCCAAATGTAAAGAATAAGCAACTAGAGTTGGTTCTGCAACACCCTGTAAAGAGTAAGCAACTAGAGTTGGTTCTGCAAGATCTGATAAAGGATATGCAACTAGAGTTGGTTCTGCAACACCCTGTAAAGAATAAGCAACTAGAGTTGGTTCTGCAACACCCTGTAAAGAATAAGCAACAAGAGTTGTTTCTGCAACACGCTGTGAAGAATAAGCAACTAGAGTTGTTTCTGCAACACCCTGTAAAGAATAAGCAACTAGAGTTGGTTCTGCAACAGCCTGTAAAGAGTAAGCAACTACAGTTGGTTCTGCAACACCCTTTAAAGAGTAAGCAACTAGAGTTGGTTCTGCAACACCCTGTAAAGAATAAGCAACAAGAGTTGGTTCTGCAACACCCTGTGAAGAATAAGCAACTAGAGTTGGTTCTGCAACACCCTGTAAAGAATAAGCAACTAGAGTTGGTTCTGCAACACCCTGTAAAGAGTAAGCAACTAGAGTTGGTTCTGCAACACCCTGTAAAGAGTAAGCAACTAGAGTTGGTTCTCCAACTGTAAAGAATAAGCAACTAGAGTTGGTTCTGCAACTGTAAAGAATAAGCAACTAGAGTTGGTTCTGCAACTGTAAAGAATAAGCAACTAGAGTTGGTTCTGCAACTGTAAAGAATAAGCAACTAGAGTTGGTTCTGCAACTGTAAAGAATAAGCAACTAGAGTTGGTTCTGCAACTGTAAAGAATAAGCAACTAGAGTTGGTTCTGCAACACCCTATATCACAGAAAAGATGTAAAACACAAATGTGTCAAATAACCTTTAAGGTCAAACGCAGAAGAAGAAGAAAGAGAAGAAACAATAACACTCACATACACAAGACAAGCATGGCACATACACACAATCAAAACATTCTGAGCACACGCATTATTGTGGCTTACAACAACAGATTATTCTCACTGCACATCAAACCATTCAGTCCTTAAGTGCTTGGATCTCCATCTCAGTAAATCCAGCAGAGTGTAACGGCTGGCAATACCCGTTCTGTGCTGGTTTCTTATTCTTCTTTGGCTGCATGCATAATGCTCTTGTTTGGCCACACCTCTTTTAACATGTTGTTCTTGCAGTCTGATCATGGTACCAGATTTAGTAATCACTTGGTTGTCCCAAAAGTCTTACTTCTCAGATATCATTCATAATATCAACCTGGTCCATGACTGATCCAACCTCTGCAGTAGATTTACCTGCAAGCCTTGTGCATGCCCACACTTGTGGCATACAACATGATCACTAAAACACACACACAATCATGGCATACAACAGCAGCTATGCCTTCACAACAATACACCAAACTTGCTGGGACTATTCAGAGATGGGAACTAAAACCCCTTACCCTCCGGTGCTCCATCACTAGCACCTTCAGATGCTGTTCCAAGTCACTGCTGACCAGGGCTGCATCAAGGGTGGACGGACACAGCGGAGGTGGTACAGGCCACAGCGGACACACCCCTGAACCACACACTGAGAGGACAGCATCCCTGGACATCGATTTCCAATGAGCTTCATTCTGGAGATCAAAGTGGCAGACTTCCACACTGTCAGTGGCCTGAGGACATACATTTTCCATATTACTAGAAAGATGAAGTAAAGGTTCCTTGACATGCCAGTGATAAAGTTAAGGTCCCTTTACACGCCAGTGATAAAGTAAAGGTCCCTTTACACGCCAGTGATAAAGTAAAGGTCTCTTTATATGCCAGTGATAAAGTGAAGGTCCCTTTACCTGCCAGTGATAAAGTGAAGGTCCCTTTACATGCCAGTGATAAAGTAAAGGTCCCTTTACACGCCAGTGATAAAGTAAAGGTCCTTTTACATGTCAATGATAAAGTAAAGGTCCCTTTACATGCCAGTGATAAAGTAAAGGTCCCTTTACATGCCAGTGATAAAGTAAAGGTCCCTTTACATGCCAGTGATAAAGTAAAGGTCCCTTTACATGCCAGTGATAAAGTAAAGGTCTCTTTACACACCAGTGATAAAGTAAAGGTCCCTTTACACGCCAGGGATAAAGTAAAGGTCCCTTTACACGCCAGTGATAAAGTAAAGGTCCCTTTATACGTCAGTGATAAAGTAAAGGTCCCTTTACACGCCAGGGATAAAGTAAAGGTCCCTTTACACGCCAGTGATAAAGTAAAGGTCCCTTTATACGTCAGTGATAAAGCAAAGCTCCCTCTACACGCCAGGGATAAAGTAAAGGTCCCTTTACACGCCAGGGATAAAGTACAGGTCCCTTTACACGCCAGTGATAAAGTAAAGGTCCCTTTACATGTCAGTGATAAAGTAAAGGTCCCTTTACATGCCAGTGATAAAGTAAAGGTCCCTTTACACGCCAGTGATAAAGTAAAGGTCCCTTTACATGCCAGTGATAAAGTAAAGGTCCCTTTACATGTCAGTGATAAAGTAAAGGTTCCTTTACATGCCAGTGATAAAGTGAAGGTCCCTTTACATGCCAGTGATAAAGTGAAGGTCCCTTTACACGCCAGGGATAAAGTGAAGGTCCCTTTACATGTCAGTGATAAAGTAAAGGTCCCTTTACATGCCAGTGATAAAGTAAAGGTCCCTTTACACGCCAGTGATAAAGTGAAGGTCCCTTTACACGCCAGGGATAAAGTAAAGGTCCCTTTACATGTCAGTGATAAAGTAAAGGTCCCTTTACATGCCAGTGATAAAGTAAAGGTCCCTTTACACGCCAGTGATAAAGTAAAGGTCCCTTTACATGCCAGTGATAAAGTAAAGGTCCCTTTACACGCCAGTGATAAAGTAAAGGTCCCTTTACATGCCAGGAATAAAGTAAAGGTCCCTTTACAAGTCAGTGATAAAGTAAAGGTCCCTTTACACGTCAAAGGGAAGACTTATCTTTTTTATGGACCAATCGGGCCTCAATGGATGATGTGGTCAACATCACGCAGGCTGCCTTTACATTCCAGGACTTTACCTAGTACCCATTCAAGGTTGGGTCTACCTGAATGCCAAGGTTATGTATTAAAAAAAAAATCATGACCCTTTGATCTGCAGGTCAGCATACTAGTTCCTATACTGATGGTACCAGTAACAGTCTGATTATATACATCCGCCGCACCTTTTTCTTTAGTGTGTTAAGTGTCAGCCAGATCCCCTGGTCACTCTTCGCCGCAACATTCTTTTAAGATGGTGATAATCTTTTTTTCTGCACTGTTTATTTACTACTATAGGGTCCTTACAACATCTAGCTTGTCATCATCAATTCACCACCAAGTGGTTTAAGAACCAGCTAGTCTATCAGCCTGTTCATTTTCCAACACACCGGCATGCACTGGAGAAAATATCCAAATGATGCTAACTACAAAGAAGGCTGAAGAAATACAACAGAGCAGTTAACTCACCTGGCTGTTGGCAAAGAAAGACTGGTGGTTAAACACACAGCCCACAGTCTTGTAGGGGTACCTGGGTCGCTCCAGCTTGGACATGGGCGGTGCATCAGGGTTTATTGGCTCATGCACATACCTGGTCAAGTAAGATTAATTCATAGCAGAGGGCACACCAATAAATGCAACATGGAATTTAACAACCCAGATTAGCAGAGGACATGCCAATAAATGCAACATGGAAACTAACAACCCAAGTGCTGCTGCAGGTGGCATGTACATTATATGTAGAAGAATGCTTAGAATACCTTGGACAGCCAAAAAGAGCAACCAAGAGGTTTTAAAAGAGGAGGGAGCCCGAAGACAACTTATCACAGACATCAGAAGGAGACAGTCATCAGTTTTCGGCCATGTTATGAGAAGAGGGAAAATAGAACATGTTGTGACCACTGGAAAGATCTATGGAAGGAGGGATAGAGGAAGACAACGAGAGAAGATTCTTGACAGACTTGTTGCATGGCATGGAGGTGTGTCGGCACATGAACTTATACATGCTGCAGGAGATCGTGGATTATGGAGAGGCATGATCGCCCACGCCAGTCGGCCAGGCACCTGATGATGATGATGTGATCTGACAAAAACACTAAAAGATCAAGTACAGAATTTTGAAGATATTTCTTGCTCCCCTTTCTGATCCTAGTAGAGTTTGTCCTGAGAATGGCTAAACATGAAAACATTTTTATGTATGACATATATGAAGCCACAAGAGCATGTGTACATGCAGCAACGAGATATGCCAGATTTGTATTAGCAGACGGCAAGAGAACCAAAGCATAAAATACTTTGGTTGAAAATACCAGTCTGCATTAGAAGAAAACGTCATTTATGAACAAACAAACAAACACACAGAAAACAACAGTTTGGAACATAAAAAAAAAAAAAAAGTAAAGGTACCTTTTCCACGCCTTTAGGCATATAGGGCTAAACCTATATATTTATAGGCCAATCGGCACAAGACGGGTGATGTGGTCAGCATCATGCCGGCCGCCTTTACCTCCCTCGACTGCACAAGGTGCCCACAAAAGGTTGGGTCAACCTGGGAGTCAAGGTCAATTTAAAAAAAAAAGTCCGGCTCCACCAGGGAGTGAACCCCTGACCTTCCAATCTGCAGGCGAGCAACTCCAAGTTTGAAACATGGTACAGAATATAAATCATAATATGTAAAGTAGTTTCATTGACAGGTAAATACAATGAATAAAAACTTCAACTAGAATAAATGTAGACAAACTATCAACAAATGCAATGAATAAAAACTACAACTAGAATAAATGTAGACAAACTATCAACAAATGCAATAAATAAAAACTTCAACTAGAATAAATGTAGACAAACTATCAACAAATGCAATAAAAAAAAACTTCAACTAGAATAAATGTAGACAAACTATCAACAAATGCAATAAATAAAAACTACAACTAGAATAAATGTAGACAAACTATCAACAAATGCAATAAATAAAAACTTCAACTAGAATAAATGTAGACAAACTATCAACAAATGCAATAAAAAAAAACTTCAACTAGAATAAATGTAGACAAACTATCAACAAATGCAATAAATAAAAACTTCAACTAGAATAAATGTAGACAAACTATCAACTGAAGCTGTAGCATAGCATGTTTGTCTGACAATTCTGAGGTACTGTGTCTGAACCCCTCTCAAGACATCAAATTTGTTCTAGTAACTGACTCCTAGCATGAAACAGGTACCGGAAAATATTATGGAAAGTAAAGGCAGCCCGCACATCAGACCACACCAAACAGAAACAAGTAAAGCACTATATACTCACAAAAGTGGTTTTTAGTTAGTTTCATTTCCACAGACAATAATAGGCCATAAGCACCCACCGAAGACATGACAAAACCAAACTAGGAAGACAATGTATAACTACTGAAGGAGGACATAAACAAACAACTAAAGGAAAATATTAATGTAAAACTACTGAAGGAGGATATTAATGTAAAACTACAGAAGAAAGACAACGTAAGACATTAAGGTAAAACTACAGAAGAAAGACAATGTAAGACTACTGAAGGAATACATTAAGGTAAAACTACAGAAGAAAGACAACGTAAGACTACTGAAGGAATACATTAAGGTAAAACTACAGAAGAAAGACAACGTAAGACTACTGAAGGAATACATTAAGGTAAAACTACAGAAGAAAGACAATGTAAGACTACTGAAGGAATACATTAAGGTAAAACTACAGAAGAAAGACAATGTAAGACTACTGAAGGAATACATTAAGGTAAAACTACAGAAGAAAGACAACGTAAGACTACTGAAGGAATACATTAAGGTAAAACTACAGAAGAAAGACAATGTAAGACTACTGAAGGAATACATTAAGGTAAAACTACAGAAGAAAGACAACGTAAGACTACTGAAGGAATACATTAAGGTAAAACTACAGAAGAAAGACAACGTAAGACTACTGAAGGAATACATTAAGGTAAAACTACAGAAGAAAGACAATGTAAGACTACTGAAGGAATACATTAAGGTAAAACTACAGAAGAAAGACAATGTAAGACTACTGAAGGAATACATTAAGGTAAAACTACAGAAGAAAGACAACGTAAGACTACTGAAGGAATACATTAAGGTAAAACTACAGAAGAAAGACAGCGTAAGACTACTGAAGGAATACATTAAGGTAAAACTACAGAAGAAAGACAGCGTAAGACTACTGAAGGAATACATTAAGGTAAAACTACAGAAGAAAGACAACGTAAGACTACTGAAGGAATACATTAAGGTAAAACTACAGAAGAAAGACAACGTAAGACTACTGAAGGAATACATTAAGGTAAAACTACAGAAGAAAGACAGCGTAAGACTACTGAAGGAATACATTAAGGTAAAACTACAGAAGAAAGACAACGTAAGACTACTGAAGGAATACATTAAGGTAAAACTACAGAAGAAAGACAATGTAAGACTACTGAAGGAAGACATTAAGGTAAAACTACAGAAGAAAGACAACGTAAGACTACTGAAGGAAGACATTAAGGTTAAACTAATGAAGGAAGACACTAATGTAAAACTAATCAAGGAAGACCTTAAGGTAAAATAATGAAGGAAGACATAAATATAAAACTACTGAAGGAAGATAGACATTAAAACAATAATCCACAGACAATATTACAACTACCCGCCATAAGATACATATTTTTAAAAAAAACTATATATAGAAAACATTTATTTCGACAAAACTGGCAGGATAAAACTACCAAAATAATAAATGAAATTATCACCATAAAAATTGGTATAACACTATCAACAGAAGAAATTAGGATAAAGACACCACAGAAAAAAAATCAACAAACAAAAATATTAAACTATCAACAAACAAAAATATTAAACTATCAACAAATAAAAAGATAAAACTATCAATAATTAAAAAAAAAGGATTAAAAAAAAAAAAAGAGCATAAAATTACCTTAAAAAACAACATCATCATCAAATGCAATACATCCAAATAACAAATGAGAAATGTACCAATGTTAGAATTAGGATAAAACTACCACAATAAGAAATTTAAAAAAAAACTGATAGCAGTACAAATCAGGTAAGGATCAATTCTTCTTCTTCTTTATGTTCACTGGATGTAAACTCCAACGAAAAGTTCGGCTTGTTTGTCTACTTCTGAACTTTAGTTTTAAACTTGAATTTTTATGTGCACATCCATTTTACAGATCTTGCTATCTGTAAGCAAGTTAGTTGTTTCCTAGCCTCTCAGGCAGATGCACTCCGACGACTTCTTTTTGTCATCTCACTGATACCAGATTGTTGCCCAGTGTTTTGGTTTTCTGTTTTGTCTTTACTTCTTGGGTGATGGATTTGTTCATCTTTTTGCAGGTTTCTGCCACACCATTTACCCATGTCTTTCCTGGTCTTCCTCTTGCCTTCCTCCCAGATGTTCTGCTATAAAAAGACTCATGTGCAGTTTGGTCTGGCTGCATTCTCACTAGATGGCTAAACCATTTCATTCCTTGTCTGGTAATATAACCCAGACATGGTCTTATTCCGACTTTCTCTCTAATGCTAGTATTCATAACCCTGTCTCTTCTTGTGTTGTTAGTGACCTTGCGGAGACAGCCCATTTCATATATAGTTATCTTCAGTTATAGTGCCCTATTCATTGTTCATGTTTGGCACTGATCACATAAACTAGGGGTAAAGAAGCTATCGATCATTTGTTGTTTTGCACTCCGACTTCGAAGGAAAAACCCCTAATTAGTTGACTTTTACAGTGGGCTTGTTGGGGAGGCAATGGCTCTATTCTTTTTCCCTGCAAAATGGGGCCTTAGAACCCAAACAGGGAGATCAAGACTTACCTGTGACCATTGAGACTTTCCCAGAAGGTAATCAGCCCATCTGCGCTGACAGTCATCACCCACGTATGGACAGAGCCCTTGACTTTGGTCCCCACACAAACGTAAGCATCCAGCCCAAAGCCCAACAGGAGGCTGCACAACAGCACAGCATGATCCTCGCAATCCTGTCCAACAGAGGTACAATATCACAAGTTGGGTTAACTCTTGAGAAACAAATCTGAGTATCATGTTCTTGTTTTATACTATCCAAAACTACAAATTCACCTTTTTCTGGACTTACGACCACAAAGGTTGAACGTTGTTGAATGCTGAATTAAGAATTGACATCATAGCACTCGGGACACACCCAAAGGCGCCCCATCACCATCTTCAGCAGCAAACAAAGAGTTCAAATTCAGATGGCACCAGTACGACCACAAACAAAAAATTTATAAATAAAAGTTGTTCTGTCTGCAAAGAATAAAGAGTTCTTCCTCTCCTTGTTCTATCCACAGAGAATAAATAGATCTGCTCACTGATTGTTCTATCCGCAAAGAATAAACAGATCTGCTGGCTGATTGTTCTATCCACAGAGAATAAATAGATCTGCTGACTGATTGTTCTATCCGCAGAGAATAAACAGGTCTGCTGACTTACTGTTATATCCGCAGAAAATAAACAGATCTGCTGACTGATTGTTCTATCCACAGAGAATAAACAGATCTGCTGAATACATCTTATTCAAATTCAGCATTTTTACCTCAGCTTTTGAGTCACTGGAATTTATTTAGTTCTCTAACAGGCAGACATACAAGACATGCGGGTTAAAAAGGAAACACAGACTTAGATGTAGACAAGCATGGTGGACGGCAGTGTAGAAACTTCTTCTTTCTATGTCTTCACACATCAACATTTTATATATTTTTACAAAATCAGTGTGATCTTGTTGACACCTCCTTAAGAGTTTACCCCTAACAATACTGGTGATTCGCTCCCTTTGTGAGCGAATGAACAATGCGGAGGCACAGAAAGATCATTACGGTCTGAGGAGAATGGCGCTGGGAATTTGGCGAATGCTCAACGCTCAAGGGAAAGGTGAGACGGATGTACAATCAGTTACTGGTGCCTTCGTAATGGAGGACAGAGCGCTTATGGCAGTGTCCCGAGTGCTATGATGTTGATTCTTAATTAAACATTCAGAATGGTTTTCTCTATTCTACATACATTGCTCACTTGTAGCAAATGTTTTGCCATGATTTAACCAGTTCAACACATGTATTGATCAATTTCCCCAATGTTCAGTTTATTGGAGAAGGATATTTCAGTCTGTTATATCATGTACAAAGTCTGAAGTCCTACTTGTTCCCCAAATGAAAGCGTCTAAGTGTGTCCATGTTTTTTTAATCATGTTCAACCTGCTGTTAGCTAGCCGAAGCTGCCAACTGTCTCCGGTTATATTTGTGGTCTGGTTTACTTGCATCACCATCGTGGCTAAGGTTCTGGTATGTGCACCAGCTGGCTTGATGTCCTTGTTCTCAAAGTCAGACCGCTCCTTCCTGACCTGTATGCCGGTGTGTGTACAAACTGCAGAACATGTCCTGCTAGACTTTCCTTCTACGGCCCGTTACCAAGGGAATACTGGTCTAATGAGCTGACGCCATATTCAGAGTTGTAGGGAACTAAAAGGGAACTCCTTAAAACAGTCAATTTTATCATAAGAACATCTAACAAGAAGGGATCAGGCCACATCTTCAGACTCAGAACAAAACATATACAACTCAATGGACATCTAAACAGAATAAAGGCGCAACACTCCCCAGAGTGCCAGCTATGTAACTACCCCTACGAAACTGCTGACCATCATCTCTTTGAGTGTTCAAAACTCAGCGATACTAGAAGAATGCTACTCCCTCAGAGACCAGACAAGTGGAACATTTTGTATGGAGGAAAAGAACAGGCTTGTGAAAATATGTAAATTCCACGACATGGCATTAGGCCAAAGGGCAAAAGCTCATGCGCCGCTGGACTGACAATAACAACACCACAAGAACTCATGTAATTGTAAATCAGACAATGATCACAAGAAAAAGACAAGAAGGACCAAATGAAAACAAGAGGTTTCTCACTCACCCCTCGGTTGCGACAAAGAAATGCATGAGTACTTGTCCACTGCTCCACCTTGTCCCCACCTCCCAAAGCCTGGAGTTTCTCATGATGCATCAGGGCCACAAACCGTGCTGCCTGCCGGGGGGTGTCTAACAACCGCCCAGCCCTGAGAGGCTTCACAAATGACGACACGGGCCGCTTGAAGCCATTTTCATCCTACATTTTTCATAACAGAGGAAACATAAATTTTTGAATGAAACAAAAACTATGCTACATCTAAAGGGAATTGAGACGATTTAAGTAATTACAATTCACCATGGGACAGAACATAATTTCAGATTGGTGACTCAGTTGCATAACATAGAAGACTAGCAAACTTATGTAACAAAAAAAAAAAACCACACATTGGAGATCTCTGGAATGGGCCTTTCTTTTCGCTTTGTCTTTATCGCGTTCACCAGCTGTACACTCTGGAGGAAAGTTCTGGTTGCTCGTCCACTACTGAACTGCAGTCCTGCTGCTCCAGAACCTGAGTGTTGCGTGTGCATCAGTTTTACAGATCTCATTCTCTTGAATACAAACTGTTGGTTCCTTGCCTCTCCGGCAGATGCACTCCGACTTCAAAGGAAGTTCCCCAATTAGTCGACTCTTACGACATGGTTTTGGGGAGGCAGTGGGTCTATTCTTGTTTTCCCCATAATGGGGCCGGAACCCACACGGGGATTCCCCATCTTAATCCACTGGAATTTGTTTAGATTTCTCCCACAACTTCACATTAGTGTTTACTGCATACCATTTATAGATTTATGAAGATTAAGGAGTGTATCTTGCAAGGAAGGACTTATGAGTATAATCAACACATCTCACATTCTGGCACAAAGGGTGTTTTTTTTTTTTTTTTAAATAAGCTTTTATTAAGTTTGCTTTTGTTTGTTTGTTAGTTTGTCTAGTAAATTTGTTATATTATTTGTCTTTTTCAAAATGCCATATTGCTGCCAGCATTTGTTTCCTGCACTCAGCTAGAATGATATATGTGTCCTGTTGGCTTATGCAAAATTACAGTACTGCTACAACTTGATTTTCATATAAATTATAGACAGGTGACTGAAAGCACAAAACAATTCACATTAAACACAACTATGAACTAGACTGCTGTCCCCGTTCTGTACTTTTAGCCACAATCTTCTGTGGATCTGTAACTGCCTTTGGGTTGTACTGGTAAGTTTTTACCACAGGGCCAATAACAGCTTTGCGAAAGTTCTTCTCATCTAATCTTTGCCTCTCCATGACCTGCTGAGATGCTTTCATTTTGCTGTAGAAATCTTTGAAGCCCTCAAAAAAGTCTTTCTTTTCTGTTGGCTGGATCTGATGAATGACCTTCTATGGGATCTTAAAGAACGGACGCACACTTGGGATCTTCAAGAATGACACTTGCAGCAGTGAAAAAGTGTTGGATTTGAACCAGTATACCAACACTGCTGCCGGAAAATTAGAAATGAATGGCCACATAATAAGAGGCATCGTTCTGAGGACCCATTTCATTATATGTGCCTGTGTCTGAGCACTGATTCCATCTACACCAATCTCAACTATCAACCAAAATGTGAATGCTGTCAACATTGGTAGCCCATAAAATGGCTCGGCGATGGTGAGATCCGGGAACCACAGCGTCCCACCTGTCTTCATACTTTCCACTGGAAGATTGGCCATCCCTCTCAGGCCAACAAATACAGACAAGGATATTGGTATCTGGCATTTCAGCATTAATAACTGATTGAAAGGCTTGACATTATTCCATTTCATGTAATCAGCTAACTCACTACTGTACCGGACAACCTCCATCATGTTGCCTCTCTGTCTTGCATCACTGAACTTCTGTTGCAACCTCTGTACAGTTGGCATATGGTTCATTAAATTGATGGACATTTTTTGCGATTTGACTACAAGAGGAACAATGGTGCCCCACCAAGGCAAACCTAGACCTGCATGCAGCAACTCAAGACCTTTCTGAACCAAGCTAGCAGGCCAGAGGGTGCCTAGACCCACTGACTGAAGTGTTGGTTCCCCTAGGGCGTTCAGTGCTCCTGCCATCTCAGACAGTGAGTTTGACAAATCTGGCAGGGGTGGAACCGGTGGTATGTAGCCAGAGGATTCCATAACAGCAGCAACACCACCATCGCTTGCAGCCACCGAACTATTTAATCTGACTAGAGTTGCAGATGATGTGATTCGAATATGTCTGTAAAGTGTGTTGTTTGTGTTCCCTCATATGTCTGGCATGATATCCACTTTGCTGTGAGCAGAATGATCGTGAACTTGGAATCTTCTTGGTGCAGCATTTCGATATCTGTACTGATCCATTCAATGCGTGCCATATTTTCTGTGTCGCTTTGTATAAAATACTATTCAGTGGCTCTGATATTTCTGCAGTCCATATTTTGTGCGGTTGACCCCTGTATCTGTATAACACTGCTGTTGCCAATCTTGAAACATGGCCAAACCATTTGATCTGCTGTCGACCAATAACGTTCAGTACTGGTTCTGTGCTGACTCTCCTCCTGATATAATCATTCACCCTAGTTGGTTCGTGAGATGTCCACTCTAGGATGTTTGAAACAGACTCCTAAACTATTTAAAACCTACAAGCCATCCACCCGGAACTAGACTTCCTACTGCAGAATCTAATCCTATTTAACATCTCTATCAACCCATTATTCACCCTGAAGCAGATGGTCTGCTAACCCCAGCTGCCAAAAAAAAAAAACACCAACAATACCTGAGCAAACATCTTCACCAGCCTCTCACTGTGGGATTCCCGAACCTGCAGGTATTCCTTCCACCATTGTTTGGCATAGACCAGGAACATTCTTTCTCTCTCGGCCTGGCGGCTCTTCTCTAGCTCTATTTGTGCCCGGACCACATTCTCCTCCAGGCTTTGTGGTGGTTTAGGGAACAGTTCCAGCTGCAATTCCAGCAGTCCAACCGGGACGTGAGCTTCACTTCCTGTTGATGACATTGTCAGGCATCTATAATATGTGAGAACATAATTCTCGCTTTTAAATTAAGCAAATGAATTTTAGTCTTGAATACATGAATAAAATATCAATGGATTCTGAACAGACTTTAAATGTAAAGATAGCTGCTGAAAAAAAAAAAAAAAGAATTGAAATATTCCAGCTATGCTAAACGACATAACATTTTAAAAATCGTACTTGTACGATAAGTCGATAGCCGACAGCAAGAGACACACAATGATACAAGGGGGAGGACAACATCAAGAGACAGATATACAGCAGTCTGAGTATGACAAGAGACACACTGTGTTGCAGATACATTACAGCCAATCCTGATTGTGGAGATAACACCTGATTGTGGAGATGGCACCTGATTGTGGAGACGGCACCTGATTGTGGAGATGACACCTGACTGATTGGGACACTGCATTAAAGGAAAAGATCATCACACAATGCAACAAGTAAAGGACCCTTTTGCACGCATTTAGCCTCACAGGGCATATAGAGCTAGAACTATAGTTTATAGACCAATCTATACGCGGTGGGTGATGAAGTCAACATCACGCTGGCTGCCTTTACTACCCAGATCTATACCCTGTGCCCACTCAAGGCTGGATCCACCTGGGAGCCAAGGTCATTTTGTTTGAAAACCAGTTCCGTTTGGATTCAAACCCACGACCTTCAGATCTGCAGGTGAACCTCTACACCAGGGTGGTCCCCACATAAACAGAATACAAGCTGAGATATGACCAGATATATATAATGGCATCATGAAGTGTGAATTAAAGATACACGCAGCAAATAAAATACCAAAGTTATAGGCTCTACAAGCAGATTATAGAAAGCTATCTAGGTGTACTAGATAGATATACAATGAAACTAGAAATATATACATAAGTCACCTACAGAGAGATATACAACTATAGACAAGAAGACTATAGAAATATAGTAGGCTAGAAAGAGATACACTTAATTATTTACAAGTAGACTAAACAAATACATGCAAGTAGACTACACAAATATATGCAAGTAGACTAAACAAAGATATGCAAGTAGACTACAGAAAGATATACAAGCAGACTACATAAAGATATATAAGTAGACTACACAAAGATATGCAAGTAGACTACATAAACATAAACAACAGACTACACAAAGATATACAAGCAGACTACACAAAGATATGCAAGTAGACTACACAAAGATATGCAAGTAGACTACATAAACATAAACATCAACAGACTACATAAAGATAAACAAGCAGACTACATAAAGATATGCAAGTAGACTACACAAAGATATGCAAGTAGACTACACAAAGATATACAAGTAGACTACACAAAGATATACAAGTAGACTACACAAAGATATACAAGTAGACTACACAAAGATATACAAGTAGACTACAGAAAGATATACAAGTAGACTACACAAAGATATACAAGTAGACTACACAAAGATATACAAGTAGACTACACAAAGATATACAAGTAGACTACACAAAGATATACAAGTAGACTACACAAAGATATACAAGTAGACTACACAAAGATTTACAAGTAGACTACACAAAGATATACAAGTAGACTACACAAAGATATACAAGTAGACTACACAAAGATATACAAGTAGACTACAGAAAGATATAAAAGTAGACTACATAAAGATAAACAAGCAGACTACATAAAGATATACAAGCAGACTACATAAAGATATATAAGCAGACTACACAAAGATATGCAAGTAGACTACACAAAGATATGCAAGTAGACTAGACAAAGATATGCAAGTAGACTACACAAAGATATACAAGTAGACTACACAAAGATATACAAGTAGACTACACAAAGATATACAAGTAGACTACACAAAGATATACAAGTAGACTACACAAAGATATACAAGTAGACTACACAAAGATATACAAGTAGACTACACAAAGATATACAAGTAGACTACACAAAGATATACAAGTAGACTACACAAAGATATACAAGTAGACTACAGAAAGATACAAAAGTAGACTACAAAAAGATATACAAGTAGACTACATAAAGATAAACAACAGACTACATAAAGATAAACAAGCAGACTACATAAGATAAACAAGCAGACTGCATAAAGAAGTAGACTACACAAAGATAAACAAGTAGACTACATAAAGCTTAATACTATTCAAATGTATTAAATGAGACTTTAAAAAAAACAAAACACTTTGGGGTGAACAGAAGTGGAAAAGACGCGCACAAATACAACCAAACATTTCGACTGCAGCTTTTTTCTGTTTACTTAGCAGAACATTTCACTTTGGTCGAAACTTTGGTTTGTATTTGTGCACAACTTTTCCTTCTCACACTCAGCTTTCTAGCAACATTTTATGTCGTACTTAGCCATTATCATCATCCGCTTGACTGCAGTATGTTTGCTATTTACATAAAGACACACAAGTGTATCATATAACGAAAACATGTGGACAAGAAAGATATACAAAGACTTATACAATATACCCTAACACGCAGCCACTATGAAAACAAGTCAAGCCAACCCACCTGTGCCCATCATCTCCACTGAAGTCTTCATGACCCCTTGCTTGGAGGTCAGCAGGGGACGCCATTCAAAATACTGCGAGGACAGAAGGGATGTGTCGCCCACGGCATCTGTCTTGATCAGTACCAAGTGGATTGGGTCACACATCGACAGCATGGACACAATGTCGGCCATTTTACCAGCTTCACCTGCCAGGAAAGAGCATCATTAACTGGATAATTCCAACTTTCCATGTGGGTTCCGGCACCCCACAAGAATAGGCCAACTGCCCCCCCCCCCCCCCCAACAAGCATGTTGTAGGAGTCGACTATCTGGGTGCTTCCTTTGGAGTCAATGTGCATCTGCCTGAGAGGCAAGGAACCAAGGAACTTACAAATTCCCTGTTTGAATTCTGAGGGCCTATATTTTTGGGAACTTCTTTCTTCTTTTGTCAATACCTGCTTATGTCGCTAGGTGTCGCAGTTCATCAGAAGATCAGCAGCCGAGCCAGAGCGTGCTCGGTTGCTCGATATGCCGTGATGTTATGTGGACTCAAAGTGTCAGTGACTCATCCAACCCATTTTCTTCGTGATCTTCCCCATGCCTCTTGGTGTTTTGATTTTCAGGTTGTATGCTCTTTCTGCTGGCATCGGTGGTTTCATTCTCATTAGATGGCCAAACCATTTCACTCTTTGTTTCTCAATACATTTGATGATGGGTGCTGTTTCAACAGTTCTTGTGATCATTTTTAGGAACATAGCAGCTCAAGAAAACAACACAATAACTAAAGTAACTCAAAACCAATTTACATTCCCGTGTTTTTCAACATTGAACCCACATTTACATGTTAGAAATATAAATAAGTACATCAAACACAACATACCACTGCTTTCTTTATGCAGCTCCAAGAGAAAACCTTCATCAAACTGAGGCTCTACGGCACATGGAACCGGTCGCGACTTGTACCGCTGGTTCCGGAAGTACACATGTAAGGTGAAATAGGCAGCCACTTTCTGCCCCGGCATGGAGTCTGGGTCTTCCAGATGCTCCAAGAATGCTTTACCTCCCTGCACCAGCAAGTACAGGTGACGACGTGATGGGTCAATGTTGGCTGTAAATAGAAACAAGCAAATGATTGACAAGTCCATTTACATGCCAGGCATACATTCTTTATATAGGCCAGGAGTGGAGAACCTTCTTTTCTACGGAGGGCCACATGAATATTTATAACATCCTTTGAATATTTATAACATATGGATATTTATAAAGATTATTCAGGGGCCTTACAAAAAATATAAACTCACAAATTCCCTGTTTTCATTCTGAGGGCCCACTTTTTGGGGAAAAATAACAAACCCATTGATCCTTAACAAGAATGCTATTAAAGGCAGCTAGGGATTTGCTAAAATGTGTTCAAAAAGCATCTTTTAAATTTACTTTCTGTAGCCTTTTACTTCCCATCTACAAGGAACATATTTCTCTCTCTTTGTCTAGCCCTAATTCCTTGCTGACCTATCTGACACAGAAAACCAGCAGCTTTGCTACTGTCAGGCTAGCTCTTGGGGCTAGTGGTTCACTCCTTCTTCTTCTTCTTTGTTCACTGGCTTTAAGCTTCGAGAGAAAGTTTGGTTGTTCATCCACTTGGGCTTTTGCTTTGTGCCAGGGTTTGAGATTTGCGTTTACATCCGCTTTACTGGCTTATTTGTGTGCAGCTGGTTGCTCCTTGCTGCTCAGGCAGACGCACTCCGACTTCAAAGGAAGTCTCCAATTAGTCGACTCCTACGACATGCTTGTTGGGGAGGTAATGGGTCTCTTCTTGATTTCACCACAATGGAGCCCCAGAACCCACACGGGGGATACTGATACACAAAGATTCCTCTACAAATAATGAAGCAGCAGCAGCATAAGAATGCTTTTTAAAATCAGATGTAGCCACAGGTATGAAGAAACAGTGCAATCAATGTAGCTTATTTCAGGGTGGTCAACAGCAACAACAAAAAATACTGGAAGATTTAGAGAAGCAGCAGAAGTGGAAAAAAAAAGGATGAGGTGGTGGATGAGAATATATTTTTATTTTCTGCAAAGTGCACATAGGAACTTATTGTTCACTCTAGTTCAAGAAAATTGGACACCTAATTCACTACAGTGGATTAGAGGCATACCATAAATTCCCGTTACTTTATTTGGATTAAAAAAAACCCAGTCTGAACTCAAGACTTCCACTAACTCTTAAAGCACAATGTGTGACTGAATATTACAGTCAATCTGAAAACATCTTGTGTATGTTTCTGTATCTCAAGTTTAGTTGAGGAAACACATCTGTTTCCTACACTGTGCTGTACATTTTGCCCCTGTGGGTGTAGTACACTGATAATTTTGTTGTCGTTACTGTCATGACCAGTCATCGGCTATGATCTTCAGGGACAGAAAGAGACCAAGAGAAAACCTCAAAGTAACTACACCCCTCCCTCACAACATGACGGTCCCAGGTCAACATACCTTTCTTTGACAGAGGATGACTAACGTGACTTGTTGTATCAGCAAAATGTGTTGCAGGTTTCCCATTGTGTACTCCGTCCACCTGTATATGCCTCATGACTTCATCCACAACACCTCTCTGCCGAAGCTGATTCATAATATCAGCCTCGTTTAGTGTGCCTGCGTGTCCATTGCTGCTGCTCACTATGTTGGATACAACATTGCGTATCTGATGATGTATATCCATCTGAGACAAACAAAATGAAATTAAAATGCGTTTTTATTGTTCTTTTGTCAATATCTGTTCTGTACCACTAAGCTTAATTAATAGTGTAACCCTGTTGCTCTGAGAAGACCAAATCTAGCCACTTCCAGTTGCAACATTTAAATGCCAATAAATGGCCATGTCTACAGTGACCTTTTCTCAAAAAGCATACTTAAATTCCAGTGGTCTTATGCACCCCTGTGCAGTGTTTAATAGGCCAGATTAGAAATATAGTAACTATCAACAGCATTTGGAGATGACAGCCATGTGAACTTTTCCCGTAAACCTCAGTGATAGATGTCGTAGCATGAGATGCAATACATTTTGTTTTTTTCCCCAGGTAATGTATTCCATTGCTTTACTCTGTTCGTTTTTAATGATTATCCCATCACACACACACACATTTAAAAAAAAAAAATTTTAAGTAGATAAATGTTTTAAAATTTTTTGGCAACATGTGTACCATTTTTTTTCTTTTTTGGTTAGGATTTTTCTAGAAATTCCTGGGTGTTTACAAACTTGTGAGGTGAAAGAGTTAACAAATGATAGGCAGCCGAGCCATGGCGTGTTCATTGTTTGGTATGTTGTGATGCAAAGTCTCAGGCTGTCAGTGACTCCCTGGATCCAACTTTTAGCTCTCCCTATGACTCTAGGTTTTTCCATTTTTATGCTTTACACTCTCGCTGTTGGCACTGTTGGATTCATTCTAAGCAGGCCCCCCCTGTGGGTTCCAGGGCCCCATTGTGGGGAAAACAAGAATAGACCCACTGCCTCCCAAAAAGCATGTCGTAAGAGTCGACTAATTGGGGAGCTTCCTTTGAAGTCGGAGTGCATCTGCCGGAGAGGCAAGGAACCAACAGTCTGTATTCAAGAGGATGAGATTTATAAAACTGATGCACGCAACACTCAGGTTCTGGAGCAGGACTGCAGTTCAGTAGTGGACGAGCAACCAGAACCTTTCGCCAGAGTTTACAGCTGGTGAACGCGAAGAAGAAGAAGAAGATTCTAAGCAGGCAAATTCTAAAACATTTATTATAAGCTGGAAATTTGAGGAGTGGAGTAATACAGATCTACATGGTCCAGAGATAATGGTGCAGTGAGAAGTGACCAGAGATCTCACTGATATTTAATACTTGCTAGTAAATGTCTTTACTACTTTATCACTTTTAGTTTTAGTGCAGTGTGGGATGGGAGGAAGGGGGTCTTGGGTTAAAGTATTTCAGAAAGAATGGCTAGTGCAGTCGCCATGAAATGAGCAGGTTACGATTTTTTTTTTTGTCACTGGGAAAAATTCTCCATTCTTTACTTACTGAAGATCAAACATGGATCTTCCATTTAACAGCTGATAGTCACTCAGACCAATGCTGTAACCACCTGGCCACCTATCATCAATGGACTTTAGTGAAGTGAATTTTGCAATATCATTTTAGTCATACAGGGATAAAACCATCACTGCTGGGTACATACTACAGGTCTCTTTCCAACAGTAGCTCATATCTATGCCTGTATGTAGTATTAGTATGTCAATTTGGCTCTCCTTTCAATACAGGACGAGGTCTGGACGCGGGCTGGATGGCTTAGTTCAGTTTAGTGGGAGTTCTCTCTCTTGGCCGCACTGGAAACAGTGAGCGGAAAAGTGACGAATCAAAGAAGACAGTGAGGTCGACATCAGGGCTGCCAATGCTTGGTTGTGTCCCCCAGATCTGGGGTTTGTTTTTTGATGCTGCGGGGAAATCTGGTTTTTTTTTTTTTTAATTTTGCCAATGTGTATGCTTTAATGACCGATAAATTTGCATGGTTAGGGGTAGGATTAGGGTAAACGTTAGGGTTACGGTTAGGGGTAGGGTTAGGGGTAGGGTTAGGTTTAGCGTTAGATGTGACAATTGTGACACAGGAGTTCCCTATAATCGCGCACAGTCACATACACACCCAAACAGTCGACGGACTGTGGGTGCTACGGACAATCCGATTAGGCACCAGCCGCACGCTATTGCCGTCATATTTGGCAGAATTTCATTGGCGCCACTCCCACAAGCATCAGATTGTCGGCCAGTATTTGGAACTCCTACGTCAAAATTTTCGGCTCTACTGGCAAATTTGGCCGGTAAGCTAGACTGCTTCGGCCGGCTTAGTGGGGCTTCGTGGGAGTTATGTCCCTTCGCGTCCCTTCGCCAAACTAAAAACAAGTCTCGGAAAAAGTCGTCACGAATCAAATCACAACAGCAAAATGGCAGTTAGACAGAGAGCTACTTCTTCCGACGAAAGTATCAGCGGAAAAAGTCGTCACGAATCAAATCACAACAGCAAAATGACAGTTAGACAGAGAGCTACTTCTTCCGACGAAAGTATCAGCGCGGTCGCATCCGTTACGGTCGTTGGATCGTCGGGCTAGTAGAGCGTGAGACTGGCCGTTGCTACTTGGAGCTTGTGCGAAAACGAGATGTGGCGACATTGGAGAGGATTATAAAAGATCACGTACTGCCGGGAACGACCATCGTCACTGACGCTTGGCGAGGCTACAGCAACGTCGCAAACTTAAGGCATGGCATCTATCTGCACGAGGTAGTAGTCCACCAGACCAACTTCGTCGACGTCGCGCACAGTCACATACACACACAAACAATCGAGGGTCTGTGGATGTTGTTGAAACGGTCAATTCGCCAGCGACTGGGCACCAGCCGCCCGCTATTGGCGTCGTCATATTTGACAGAGTTTCAGTGGCGCCACTCCCACAAACGTCAGATTGTCGGCCACTATTTCGACCTGTTACGTGAAAATTTCCACATCGAACCAGACCCTTAAACCCTAACCCTAAACCTAAACCCCTAAACGCTAACCCTAACCCCCTACACGCAATAAGCAGCCCTACACGCAACCGTAGGACGATGATAGACACCCTAGGCAACCCTACACGCACCCGGATGATGATAGGTAAGTATGTCATTTGTTTCGTGACTTTTACCGCCACTTGTTTTGAGTTGTTTCGAGTTTGGCCAAGGGACGTAACTCCCACGAAGCACCACTAAGCCGGCCGAAGCAGTCCAGCTTACCGGCCAAATTTGCCAGTAGAGCCAAATTTTCACATCTAACCCTACCCCTAACCCTACCGCTAACCCTAACCCTACGCAACCCTACACGCAACCGTATGATGATAGGTAAGTATGTCATTTGTTTCGTGACTTTTCCGCTCACTGTTTCCAGTGCGGCCAAGGGAGAGAACTCCCACTAAACTGAACTAAGCCATCCAGCCCTCGTCCGGTATTGAAAGGAGAGCCGTCAATTTTAAGTCAAGATATACAAGTTTTTGCAGAATTAAAGTATCTTCTTCACTTTTGCGGTTTCATCAATAGATACCAGGATGTAGCCAATTGTCTTTGTATTTCTGTACTGTATTATTTGCTTGCGCTTCTTAAGTGGCTTGGGTGATGGATTTGTTCATATCATCGTTTTTTTTTTTTATTTTGTAGGTTTCGGTTTCAGCAACACCATTTATTTATTTATAATTCTATTTATAAATTCTTATCCATCTCTTTTATTACTTGGTATTCCCTAGCCTTCATACCATGTTCTTGTTGTATTTTATTTTATCAATTGTACATGCAAAGTCTGTTTCCGACGTAATTATATGGAAAAGAAGAAAACTGTAACGAAAATACCACTAGTCTAATGAATGGTGGCACCAAAAAATCTAACGAGTTCAATCTTGTCTTCAAATCGTTAAAAATAAATACAATAAAAAACACCACTCCACAACAAACCTGTGAGACTTGGGAATGAATTATCTGCTTCAACTCGGCGATCTTCTCTGGAGGAAGCGCCATTATTACACAGAAATGTGTCTAGAAATGACTGCGAGTTGTTCATCGGCGGTTACAAAACATCAGACAATCTCAGAGACGGCGAATCCCGGCAGCCACATGTTTCTTGTTGTCTTTGGAAATCTCTTCTCCCGGGACGGGAGCAGACTGGGCGGTATCGAATGACGAATACTGGGTATTCCAAACTTCTCACTGAGAGAGAGGGAGAGAGACCAGCTGTTTATTTTTACTTTATATATATATATATATATATTTTTTTTTTGGGGGGGGGGGGGGGGGGGTTTAATTGCTCCCATGTCCCTTTCTTTTCTACATTCTTCTTCTTCTGCGTTCGACAACAGTCATGCTAAACATTGAGTCCCGTCTGGGTCACAAATAGGATTGTGCGTTTAAGGTCGCCACCGGTCCCCTATTGTTTCTCTTTCAATGTGGCTCCCTTGGGCCAGATCCACAGTCTTTGCTGGGAGAGGTAAGGACAGTACTGTTACTCTGTTTTTCCCTGGTCACTCCAGAAGATTCAGAGGTTGTGGCTCTAGTAGCTTGGGGTGAGCCCCTTCGAGGCAGGGGGCCCGGCGCCATCCCCACCCGTCCACGCCCCATAGGAATGATACCATAACGTAATAATGTTGTTTGCATGACCATATCGCTAGTGCCTAGATGTCCAATTTTTAGTCCCGTGCCAAGTAGACTGACATCCTCCGACTTCGACGGTTGAGGTTTATTTTCAGGATTCCTCCTCCCATAGGCTGATTGCCGTCCAGGGCTTATGAGCTCTGCCTATCCACATTTTCTGTCGGGCTTTGTTGCCCTAGCCTTTGTTCTTACGGGAACTCCCCACAAGGCAGTGGTGGTTAACAATCATCTAATTACACACAGTACCTTCTGTTGATGACGCAGTCAAATGTGTGCTGTATTATTCGACCAGTATGTCGTTCACACACTCCTACACTGTCCAACAGCAGCACAAACGATATTGACACATCGATATTTGTACAGATACCAAATTCCCAAAAAAGGAATGATGTTTTGTTATTTCATTTCACACTGAAGTGAAGGTCAAGAAAAGATTCGTCACCATCTTGGTGCGGTCGGTGAGTACCTTTTCTACAGTTTTTTTCCCTTCTTCTTTTTCTTCTTCTGCCACCACTTACTTCATTAAAGTAAAAAAGTAAAGTAAAGATCCCTTTACACGCCCTTAGGCGCATCGGGCATATGGGAAGAGCACCCATATTTTTACAGACCAATCGGCACTCGGTGGACTTCATTAAAGGTATAGGGTAAAGTTTAAAAAATAAAAAATAAAAATATCCTTTTTTACGCCTTAGGCGTGTCTGGCATATGGGAAGAGCACCCCATATATTTACAGATGAGTCGGCACTAGGTGGGTAATGTAGTAAGCATTACGCCGGTCGTCTTTACTTTCCCAGGACATACATGCTGGTGCCCCATACCATAATAAAAATTAACACAGCCAGCATTGGGTTTCGATCGCGGTACGTTGGAATTACGAGTCGGACTCGCAACGACTAAGCCACGAACGCCGCGGTAAAGGTTGTAGGGTGGGGGGGGGGGGAATAAAGATCTCGTGTGTGTTCTTTCCAATACGTTGTATAAATTAGTCCTCATTTAACTAAAATAAGGCTATTCTTGCCACTATCGTTCATGTTCTACCTTGCTCTTTGTCGATTGTATTTCTCCAGCGGGACTCTCCGTGGAAGCCGGTACCAGGGCATTCTCGAAAGATGGCCAGATTATCTCATCTATTGCCCTTTAACAAAATTCTAGAATTATTTGGTTTATAGTATTTTAAATTACAAGTAAAGGAAAACACACGCGCGGGCGCTCACCGATCACAGTCAGCATGGGGATACACGTGACAGACAGACACACAGGCAGATAGATAGATAGATAGATAGATAGATAGATAGATAGATAGATGGATGGATGGATGGATGGATGGATGGATGGATGGATGGATGGTGGATGGGATGGGTGGGTGGGTGGTGGGTGGGTGGGTGGGTGGGTGGGTGGGTGGGTGGATGGATGGATGGATGGATGGATGGATGGATGGATGGATGGATGGATGGATGGATGGATGGATGGATGGATGGATGGATGGATGGATGGATGGATGGATGGATAGATAGATAGATAGATAGATAGATAGATAGATAGATAGATAGATAGATAGATAGATAGATAGATAGATAGATAGATAGATAGATAGATAGATAGATAGATAGATAGATAGATAGATAGATAGATAGATAGATAGATAGATAGATAGATAGATAGATAGATAGATAGATAGATAGATAGATAGATAGATAGATAGATAGATAGACCTAATGGTCGGTGGTTGGGTGGACGGACAGATAGACCGCAGAAATCTTAAATAAACCGTACAGTGAAAAGTTAAAGAATCAAATGTTACATCAGAGAAGAATTGTCCATTTCTCTCCATAGAACGATCCTTTATCCGGCGAGAGTGTAGCTTCCTCACAAAGCACGAAGCCAGTAGCTCTAGCGGCAGTCCCTCTAATCTTCATAAAGATTGCCCCTCGAGAACTAAACGACGTACAGTAAAACGAAACCGCGACATTCAGAACGCCAAGCAAACGGTTACCCCCCCCCCCCCAAGGCTTAATCACCCCGGCATTGGAATCGAACTTCTTAGTATCGCTCGCCTCAATAAGCACACCTGACCATATTTTTTCACACACTCTAAGTCAAAATGTAATAAAAGAAACACAAACTACACTTTCTGTGTCTTTTCGTTTCCAGTTTAAAGATACGTTAGTTTAATATAAGTTTAATTTGTGTGCTTTTTTATAACTTTGTTAATCATAAGTTAACATTTTTTAAAAGTTGAATGGAAGGTAATGTTAATGCTAAACGAAGTATGTCTTATCTGGCAAACTGACATTCGAAGCAAGTGGCGAGAGCAGACTCCAGAGGTGAATTTGTTTTCAAGAAGTTATTGTCCGGTTTATTTGTTTGTCTCTTAAGATTAATAGTTTTTTTTTTCCCCTTTCACACAAGAAATACAGACTAGAAGAACAAATTGTAATTTAATTTAATTACGTCTGTGAATAATTTATTAAATGTAGTAGTGTACGTTACGTAATTCGTATCATAATTTGCGATTTTGCAGTCTGCTAATTTTTTACTAGTAGTAGTAGTACTAGTAGTAATACTAATAGTAATAGTGGCGCTAGTTTGCAGGCAACAGGTTATTGAACTGCTTGTGATAATATAAATGTTAAAAGTCTATAATTCTAGTTTCAAAGTATTCGGATCATATAGATTCATAGCTGACATATTTTTGTTGTTGTTTCTGTCACATACAGAATTGATAGAAAAGCGACTTGAACCAGGACTGATTGTAAAATGTCGTCTTTCTATAAACGTATCATTGCCAAAAAGGTAAGTTCAGATTGATGTTTCCTGTAGTGAATTTGTGGATAAAACACTACATTGCACACAAAAGGGTTAATGTTTTATGCTTTGTTAATTGTTGATTTCTTTCTCCTTCTTCTTCTTAGTGTACGTTCAGCAGTGTAAACTCCAGCAGAAAGTGTGTTTTTATACTTTTTGACTTTGGTCTTGTTCCAGAACTAAGTTTCACATGCACATCCAGTTGACATATGTAGCTTTTTTGTATGCAGACTGTTGGTTCCGCACTTCTTAGGCTGGTGCACTCCAACTTTGAAGGAAACACCTTTAGCCTTTAGTTAGTCGTCTGCTATGGCATGCTTTTTAGGGGACAGTGTGTCTGTTATTTTTCTTGTAATATCATCATCAGTTCTCATTATGCCTAGTGGCACATTAGGCTTTAGAGAGGACTTTCCATGCTTTCCTGTCCTGTGCAATCTTCAGTGCAGTTTTCCATGTCAAAGGCCGCACTCAGGTCACTTTCCATAGTTCGTCTCCATGTTGTTTTTGTAAAATGGGGCCACAGAACTCACACAGGGATTAAATTTTTTTTAAATCAATGCTCAACGGTTTGTACCACAGTCTTCTTCTTCTTCTTCTTCTTCTGATTTTTTATCCCCCAGTGGATTATAGGCCCTTCACCCAGTCATCCTATATTTTGCTCATTGAGTGTTCACTTTATCTTTTTAAATTCACTCTCTAGATCCCATCTCTACTTGTTATTTAGTGTGCCTTTATTTATTTCACCATGTGGGTTCCAGTGTAAAGACATTCTAGTTATATTATAATTTCTTTCATGTATTTTACTTGATATTCATATTCATATTATGTATATTGTTGTGTGAAAGATGTTTGGAAAGGCTGAATGAAAGGCGGGCCTGCTTATCTAATTTGTGACCCTGTGAAAATAAAGTTAATTTGTTCATTGTGTGTTCTGTCCAGGCCAACATCTGTTCTTGTGTCACAATGGCCAGGTTTTCCACCAGAAAACATTTCCAGGTTTCATCGTAGGCTGTGTTGATCTGAAAGCCCAAACAAGCTGAAAAATCGCCTTCTTGAAAAGATTTGAAACTGGCTTTTAAAGGCATAGTCTGGGCTGAATGAGAGGCCCAATATGCAAAAGAGAGGATTCCTTAGGTGAGCACAGTACCAGTGCTCCATTTTTGGCTCTGCATTTATGGAAGCCTCCTTGGATGACAGAGAATCTTGTGTTCTGACTCTGCCTTCACATGAGGGCTGACCAGGGTTACGTGGCTGCCCTGGAAGGCCTGGTGGAGGAGGGAGGGGGGAAGGGCACCACCTGTGAACTAGGGAACAAAGGTGACCTGACAGTGATGAGACTGCAGTGATCCATTAAATTACCAGGAAGGCTAACCCAGTCAGCAAATGCTTCCAGAAGTTGGATATGTTGGCCAAAAGGTGCAGATATTGCAGCCATATTGCAAACGGGCATAACACATTTACATCTTCGGATTCTTCGGATGTACGCAGAAGAAGAAGAAGAACACATGACACTGAGCCAGTAGGCAGTGGTGCTAATCCAGTGCTACACTCGCACTGAAATTGAGAGTTTGTGACTTCATAATTTATAAAAATAGTATTAATTGACATTTACAGATTTTATCAGGAAGCGCAAGCAAATAATACAGTACAGAAAGACATGACAATTGGCTACATCCTAGTATTGATGAAACCGCAAAAGTGAAGAAGATACTTTAATTCCGCAAAAACTTGTATATCTTGACTTAAAATTGTGACTTCATAATTTATAAAAATAGTATTAATGGACATTTACAGATTTTATCAGGTCTTGTCAACAGTCAGCGGGCAGCAGACACACAACAGCTTGAGAGGCGGCTCAGACGTATCATTCGAGTACCCCCAGTGCGTAAAGATCCGAATGAAAGGTACTGTTAAGATGTTATTTATATTTATTTATCTTCTGCTTCTCATCTTTTACTTCATGCTTTGAATATTATGAAAATCTGGTACATAAAGAGAGCCACAATGAAAGTGACCTTCCTTCCCATTCATGCCACGATCTGGTGTAGCGCCTGTACTATGTCACAGGGGTTTCAGGAATAGTGAGTCGTATTTTACTCCTTGTTGTCAGCGGCCGGCGATATCGCGTCTTTTATACTGTGACTGCTTTTAATGTAAACATGTACAACTGGGTAAAAACACCCCCCCCCCCCCATTCAACAGCCTAGCCTATGTCCCATGACTATATGCAGCCTCTATTATACGCTGCATACAGTCGTGCAACCTAGGATGCACCCCTTTAACATAGAACAGGCCCTACACCAGATCGAGGCATCAATGGGAAGGAGCGAAGAAGAAGAAGAATTTTAAGATAGTCTGAGTGCTGACTAGTGATTAAATGTTCTTCTTTGCCCTGACGCCCTGGAACCCACAAAAGGAATACAGTCCTTGAAATGATGGCTATAGTCCAGTGTTTACCTTATGCGGGCAGCTATCTTGGAGATCCTGGAGCACATTGCTGGAGTTACAGAGGTTGTGCTTTGTGTGACACTCTTGGTGAGTGATAAGCTGCTTTGCTGAGACAGGTCGCGTTATATATGATAAAATCAAGTTGAAGCAGCTGACCAAACGGTTAGAATACTGGTCTTTCATGTGAGATACTCAGATTCAAATCCTCGGTAAAGTGATGGAGGTTTTGTTTTGCCAAGAAAAAAAAAAAACATCCTAACCTGCACAACTCAAGGCAAATGCATTAGGCATGTGGCCTTAAACCCTCAGGCCTTAAACCAGCCCTGTCCTATACCAGTCAAGAAAGTGGTACATTCAGACAATAACGACATGACTGTTTTCAGTAAAGTTGACCTCTTATATATGAACGCACGTTGTATGTATGTACGAGTGTGTGTGTTTATGTGTGTGTGTTAGTAAATGATGACCACAACTCCTGTATTCTACTACACAGAAATTCCCAGCTGGTTATAGAGTTATCAGCCCTAAAGGAATACTTAAACGGCAAATCATTTGATATTAACCAGGTAATAGTGGATTTTGTGTTTTCTTAGAATCTTAGAATATGTTCATTTATGCAGAACAGATCTTATGTGATAACAAGAGCAGTAGGCAAAGTATAGGACCCTTTTCCATGCCTTTAGGCGTTTAGGGCATCTAGGGCTAGACCTATATTTTTATAGACCAATTGGCATAAGATGAGTGATGTGGTCAGCATAATGCTGGCCACCTTTACTTCCCGGGACTGCGTTTGGTACCCACTCAAGGCTGGGTCGACCTGGGAGCCAAGGTCATTTTTGAAAAAAGTCAGGCTCCGCCAGGGAGCGAACCCTCGACCCTCCGATCCACGGCGAGCGTTTAGCCGCTCGGCCACGGCGACTACCAAGGAGAGCAGTAGCATTCACATTAAGGGAGTTAGCAACCATTAAGGCTAATCCAGTTAACAAATACCTGCAGAAGTCGGATGTGTTGGTCAGAAGGTGCAGATATCGCAGCCACCCTGTAAACAGGCACAATGCATTTACATCTTCGGATGAACGCAGAAGAAAAAAACAATAAGCTAGAGAATTTTTATGAACAAATGGAAAAGGTGATTAACTAGGGTCACAGTTGAACCTTTTCGCCCCGAGAACTCTAAAAAAGAAAAAGAAATCACCCCTTTAGGATTTTTGAAAAAATCTAACAAGTTTTTTTTTACCCAGGTCAATAATAAATTCCTAAAAATTTTTATTTTATTTATTATTTTAAATTTGTTTTGAAATACATAAAGAAATATGAAGGAAGTTATCAATAAACATGAGAAATAAAAGGGGGAGGGGGGGGGGGGGTTTAAGTTAAATTCCCCACCCCAGCCTAAAAAACATGTGCATCATCATGTGACTCATATTGTAATTTTTACCGCTAAAGTTTATGAAAAGATCTGATGTCATCTTGACTTGAAAAAAAAAAGTAATTTAGCACAGCAGAAAACCCCTCTAAATGTTATTGTTTGGTAATTTATTCCTTCTAAATGTTTGCGCAGGCATGAACGTAGCCAGTTGCATTCATTATACATCTTACTTATGAACAGGTCACATTAGGGAAGTCGAAAAAAAAATTACACTTTCTGGACCAGCCAGAAGTGTAGGTTCATTTTGTTATTGTTGTTGCTTCTTTTGGTGAAGGGGTTAACTAACTAAAGATGAAGATGAGAGATGAATACATTTAGGCACTGATACTTGACTGTCTGCATCAGTTTCTCAGGGAAGGAATAAATACCTGGAACCTGTTCTACCTCTGGTTGGTGATCTTGGATATAAAAGTTAAGACCCTTTTCATGCTAAAGGCACATTGGGCAAATAACGCAAGAGGTATTCTGATTTTTGTGGGGCATTTTCTGACTGGTTGCCTCAGACTTCAGCACCTAATTTTAATTATTTTGGTATGCTAGATTGATGTACTGACATATGGGACCGAACTGTCCATCCCAATAAGTGTGTAGTCCTTTTAATCTAATGCTTGTATGTGCTTTCTGTTATGTGATGTACTGTACATGTTGGTGCTTATGTTATTTCTTTGTCGCCAGCTCCAAACTAAGGGTGACATGACAGTGCAGTTAGAACAAGATGCTGTCCACATTAAGACAGATCCTGGACAATTCATCAAAGTAAGATCATGTAGCTGTAGTCTGAAAGGCTGGTGTGGTATTTTTGATCCCAGACAAAGGAAGAGATGGGGGGGGGGGAGGGGCTAAGGCCAAGTCTAAAGAGGTGCCGCTAGCTTAGTGGCAGCTGCTAGAGGTGCTAAAGGCAACAGTCGCCACCAGAAATGCAGTTTGTCATTGATGGAAGTAGTTGGGTACGATGAGTTGGCTACACACACATAGAATTATTACATAAGGTATTTCACCAGCCCACACGTAAACCGGCTACTGGCCATATTGAATATCATGACTCAGCTGCTGCACAAATGAAAGGCATTCCACATGAAAAACACAGCCTATAGAATTGCACCAAGCACTAAAATCAGTAGCTGATTCAGGGAACCGTAGACTATGATCCAAATGGGGAAACTGCATTAGCAAAGAGCTGTTGGAAGCAAAAATAACTTTAAAGCTTAATATTCTGACATGCTTGTCCTCCATTTTAGACTGGAAATCTGACATTAACTCAACTGCCAGAAGGCTATATGTTGGTTTGACAGAACCTCATTGAAACTTTTTGGTACACTGCCAGTCTGTTCTCTTTTGTTAACAAAGCCTTGTAGCCAGGGAGTTCCTGTATATATCTCTTTGTTTCCTACTGCTTGTTGTTCACTTGTCACAAAGTTGTCAGGTTTACTTCGCCTAGCATGCCCCCAAAATATTGACCCTCTACATCCAGTTATCAGCTCTCAAGGGGCACTTGTACGCCTGGCTGAACAGAGAGCAGCTTGCGCATTGGTAGTGACAGACTCAGTGGGCATGCTTCAGAAGATCCAGACTGGCAAACTCCAACAAGAATGGGCTCACAGCATCCTAAAGTCCTGCCTCAAGAAACTTTCTTGGCAGGATATGCCAGGGTGAAAGGAAAGGAAAGAGTCGACAGACTGGCCATGTCTGCAGTGGTTAGTGGAGGAAGACGTAAGGACAGGGCAGATATACTGTATATGGTGTGTTTTAAAATGGATATTAAATTAGGCCAAACATGCAGAAACTGGTTGTGTGGCAAAAGAAAGAAGATTTGCCAGTCAACTCCTACTGGGTAGTAGTTCGTCCATCACGAATGATGAAGATCACTTTCATTCAAAGTAGTAATGATCAATGATAATTAGTACAAAGGTGGCTGAGCTGGTTGGAAGTGACTTTCGCAAGGACGGATTTAAGTGTGGAAGAGTTGCGCAATTCGTCGCCTCACTCTCTCGCATGTGTCCATCTTGATCCAATGGCATGAAAATGTTGAGACGATTGGAAATGGACCTAGGTGCAGTGGATGACCAAGGCGTCTTAAGTGCCCTGCCTTGCTCGAAGTTCTCCACAGAGCCTGTTGGTAAATGCTTTTTTGTCTGTTGAAACAATAAGGGGTTTCACCCGCACAATCTGCCGAATCCAGTCTTTGCATGCAGGTTAGACATATCCCCATCACCGAGTGGTTTAGAACCAGGTCAGCTACCCTCTCCTGGTTTAGCCAACCCATCAAAGCTGTTACATGGGGGGTGGCCTCTATTGCATGCTGGGAGCCACAGGAGAGAGCTGAGTGCCAGACCTAGCCCAAAGGAGATGAACTACCCTAAGAAGGACATGACCCTACTGAGTTTGGTGAGCATGGAGACACTGAGATGGCTGCTGCATCAGAGGATGGAGCACGAATGAGTGAGACCACAGTGTACTAAGATGTCGATCCGTGGCACAAGTAAATTCCAGTTACTCTAATTAATTAATTAATTTGCATCTATCTCTTTAACGACTGTCTCATGCATTGTGCCCTCACCCACCCACTTTTCCTTCCGGAAGAAGAAGAAGAAACTAATGATTAATGGATCGATAGATAAATAGTAATTTGATTCGACCGATAGGTTGACGGATGTATGAGTTAGAAGGAGAATAGATTAGTATATAGTTTGATGAATGGATGAAAAGAGGGCAAGTAAGCAGGCAGGCAGGGTGGCTGGCGGGTATGTGTTTGTTTGGGTAGATATATACCTGTTTCTATACAGAGATTTCTGGTGCAGCTGTCCAGTGGCTTGAGAGCAGCACAACCCAACGTGTTGTTGTCCGGGATATTCAGATGCGGGGGGGGGTGGGGGGGGGGGGGGGGGGTAATGGGTGAGCGGACTGATAGATTAGCCACTGTTATTCCTCTGGTGGTGAACTACTTCATGGTGAAAGCTGTCTAGATTCAGGCTGATGTTATCCATATGTTGAGAGACTTAATTCAGCAGTGTAGTAAGCTATGATTCTGGATATTATTCAGTGCTGAGGGGAAAACATTGGTGGACATTTAATCATGCTGCAACTGGCCATGTTATCATGGGAACTCTTCGTTGGCTACTGAGAAAGGAGACACAGCATGTGTGGGAATTTCCTGAGTGCAGTGGTATCATTATTTCATATATTAAGCAGATGAGTAGATAGATAGATGGATAGAATGAAAGAAAGAAAGTTTCTACACAGAGATTAAGACAGATAAACAAATAGTCAGATAGATCTGTTTAGTAGGATAGGCTTCTACACATTTTAACTGTACATGTTGATGCGACTAGATATGATATATCCAGGAGAGTTTGTCGAAGCAAAATCAGATAACTAAAAACTGTAGGAAGGTACAGGACAGACAGTGAACAGTTATAATGAGGAATGCTGTAATCATTTTTGCAGAAAGTTCTAGAAGATATCCGGTCGGAGAAGTCAAGCTATGGACACATAGAGCCAGATGATGTGAAAACACGTGTCTGTGTCGATTATAGGTAAGTGTATACATTTATTATGTATGTCAACTTGTTGGCATCTGTGGCTTAGGCATTGCGAATGCGCTTTGTAACACTGGGAATTCGTGTTCAGTCCCAGCTGAGGATGATCTGTCTTGCATTGGTTTGGACAGTGGTATTCAGTAGAAAAATTAGTAAAAATAAGTAAAGGACCCTGCCATTCAATTGGGCAACTGAGCCCTAACGATCCGCCACACCAGAACTGCAGCTCATTGTTTGAACAAACAATTAGTAATGAAAGCTGGCATTCTGCCCACAAAGGGCAGTTATCTGAAACCAAAAGCAGTTTTGAGATCATGCATTTTTCCCTTGGCTACTTAATGGATATGAGCCATGGACTCTTAATTGCTGCAGACAAATCAGATCTTTTGAACTGAAATGCTACAGACAAATTCTTAGAATACCATGGACAAGAAGAAGAAAAACATTGACATCCTACATAAACTGAGCATTGAGGAGAATTGGCTTATAAACAGAATCCTGTCCTGACAGCTGAAGTAATTTGGCCATATTAAACATCATGGTGGCCTGGTGGGAACGATGATGGAGGGTACAGTTTCTAGAAAATGAGGCAAAGGCAGACCTCCACGAATGTGGATACAAGACACTGAAGATTCATTGGCTTTGAAAGCACATAAGGCTGGAGAATAAGCTAGAGACAGACTTTCAGGTGTGTCAGGACAAAGACGACGTTCTGTAAAGATTGATAATGCTGGCGACCCAAAACTAACCCTCTAACCCTCTAAAAGCTGAAAGTTGTTATTTTGATCTTTTCTAGTTCACCAAACATTGCCAAACCTTTTCATGTTGGTCACATGAGATCTACCATCATCGGTAACATCATCTGCAACATGTATGAGGCAGCCGGGCATGATGTGAAGAGAATTAACTTCATTGGAGACTGGGGAACTCAGTTTGGTAAGATCTCTGGTGGGATACCTTATCAATAGTGATTCTTTTATTGAGAAGTTACAGGGAGATCTTTTGTGGAAGTTTTAAATAGACACATTTATTTTACTGATAAATTTGGGGGAGATCTTTGGTTGAAGTTCCCAATAAACATGTTTCTGTGATAATCTGGGGGATGATTGTTGTTAGAAAGTCGAAATATATATGTTTCTTTTCCTGATAAAATTAGATCATTAGCAAAAGATGTAAACATGCATGTTTCTCTGATAAACCTGGGGGAGATCATTCTTTGAATATCTGAATAGACACATTTCTCTGATAAACTTGGGGGAGATCATTGGTAGAAGATCTAAATAGACATGTTTCTCTGATAAATTTTGGGGAGATTGTTTGACAAAGATCTAAATAGACATGTTTGTCTGATAAACTTGGGGAAGATTGTTGGTAGAAGATCTAAATAGACATGTTTCTCTGGTAAACCTTTTGGGAGATTGTTGGTAGAAGATCTAAATAGATTTCTCTGATAAACTTGGTGGTGATCTTTGTTAAAGTTTTAAATAGATCTTTTTCTTTGATAAACACGTAGATCTTTGGTAGAAGATCTAAGCAGACCTTTTTCTCTGATACTCTGATAAAATTCGGGATGTCTTTGGTGGTAAATCTAAATGAATATGTTTCTCTTTGTGATAAATTGCCTCTCAGGGAGCATGACAGCGCTTTAACTTTAGTGTCTTATCCTCTTTTAAATTATTTTGATGATTTATTTTGACTGTTTATTGTATTTTCATCATTCTTTTTTATTCTTTCCCAGGTCTTTTATCACTGGGACTTGCCAAGTACTCAGATACTGAGCAGCTAAAGTTAGATCCGTTATATGAATTCTTCAGAGTGAGTGTGTCTTTGTTTTGACATTTGCAGGTTATGTTCCTTCCTATAACTTCTCACCTGCCTGCCAATGCCATCTCTGTGGGTTCTTCTTCTTCAGCGATCTCTGGTCATGCGCATAATCCACTGTGGGTTGTCTTTTCTGGGATGTCTTTTCAAGGTCTCTTAGGTTTCCCCAAAGCTTAGTTGTCAGTTCTACTGGGTGTTGCCATATGTCGCTCCGCAGCTCCGCCAGGAGAGGACAGTCTTGCAGGACATGTTCTGGAGTCTGTTCAGCACGAAGGCACTGGCAGAGAGCTGTTTGGCTCATACCTAATTTATGTGAGTGTTTATTGAGTCTGCAGTGTCCAGTGCGTAAGCGAAAAACTGTGACTTGGTCTGTTCTGTTCAAGTGCTCTGTGGGTTAATTCCTGTCCAGCATCTTTATCTGGCAGATGATGTTCTTGTATATAGGAAGGGTAGAGATCGAAATCAAATAGCTGAAGAGTTACAGGTAACAGTAAGGTGATTGACTGGTATACAGAGATGAGTGCTGTAATCAACCCAGAAAAGGCAACCGTCCTTTGGACAACAGGATTTTTAGAGCTGATGTTCCCAGACTCAAAATAAATGGCAGGGACATCAAAAGAGACAGCAGACTGCGGTACCTGGGAATCACCTTTGACAGAAGTTTGTCTTTCAAGGATCACATTGAGGGGGGTTGTGACAAGGGCTCAAAAAGTTCTAAACGCACTAAAGATTATGGCAGTGATGGACATGGAGCAGAGAATGCTGTTCACACTTAACCAGCACTTAATCAACTCAGTTATTGATTATGGATTGGGGTTATCACTGTCTTGAAGAGTCAGCTAGAGAAACTGGAGCTCATACAGAATGAAGCTATGCGGCTGATCCTGGGTTGTACAAGAGACACCCCGATTGTGTGCATGTGATATATCCTTGCATTGCCGACTATTGCAGATAGGTTAAAGGTGCTGCAAGCTAAGTCATACCTCAGAGTAGCTGCAGACGGTATGAAGCTTTGGCTGCAAGCAAGGTTCAGAGGCTGAAAAGGGGAAAATTGTGGATGTCTCAAGCAGAAGACACAAAAGACAAGTATGCATGCTGGAGAACATTGGGCGAGGAGAGGAGTGGGTCAGAGTACCAGCGGGAAAGTCTGACCTGTGTAGGGTTATGATCACATTGGGCTGAGTGTGCAGAGTGGCCAGCAGGGGCTACGGAGGTTGAAGTCCAACATTTGATTCACGACAATTCTCGTCCAGGTTATCTAATTATCTATATAGATGGTTCAGTGTTGAGAGGAAAGAGAAGTGCCTGGGGTTCATAGCGAAAGCCAGTGGAAGATCTTTAGTGCAAGACAGCCTAGCATATGACACCACAACATCTATCATGAGAATGGAGGTGGAGGCGGTACCTGCAGCTCTCCGGTGGCTAGAGAACAAGATGCATACACATGTCGTAATTGTAACAGACTCTGAAAGCATGCTGAAAAAAGGTGAAGACAGGGATGCTTCGAGCAGAGTGGCTAGCTTCACTGGAAAGGTTACGGGTGGTGAGCATACTTTGGATCTTTTCTCCAGGCTATGCCGGCGTGGTGGGTAATGAACAGGCAGACAGATTGTCTAGATCCGCACCACTGGGTGGTGAATTGATACATGACAGGGCAGATGTGGTCAAGGCCCTTTGGGAACAAGCAACGGAATCAGTAGAGAAAGAAGATTATATGGCCTGGAGAGAATGAGGCACCTGGGTGTAACCAGATGGTCTGGCCGGCTCACTACACTCAGAGGAAAAGCAAGACGGACTTTTAACCAGATTGTGACCGGTACCATCAGTATTAGAACTCTACGCTGGCTGCTGAAGATGAGGACGGAGCATGCATGGGAATGCCTCGAGTGCTGTAATGTCAATTCTCGACTGAATTTAACTATCTGGCAGTTACACACATGTGATGATACTGTTTCAGCATAGTATGGAGATGTGCGGTGACCAGAGCGACGACATTCTATACAGGACCTACTGATTAATGATGATGAGGATGTTTATGCTGATGAAGGCTTTCTAGCCTAAAAGTTCATTTGACTGTTCCTGATTGCGTTACTGTGAAGCTGACAAGTTCTGCTTCTTGTCTGGACTGATATTTGTTCATTATTTTGTGTATGTATGTGTCTATGTGTATGTATGTGTGTGTATGTATGTATATGTGTTTTGCTTCATTTAGGCTTACTCTCAGTTGCACATAAATATTTCCACAAGTAAAGATCCTTGTTTTGACACCATTGGCTCATTGGGTATATGGTTCTTGTGTTGTCTGGGTATTGGGTATATGGTCCTTGTGTTATCTGGGTATTGGGTATATGGTTCTTGTGTTATCTGGGTATTGGGTATATGGTCCTTGTGTTATCTGGGTATTGGGTATATGGTCCTTGTGTTGTCTGGGTATTGGGTATATGGTCCTTGTGTTATCTGGGTATTGGGTATATGGTTCTTGTGTTGTCTGGGTATTGAGTATATGGTTCTTGTGTTGTCTGGGTATTGAGTATATGGTTCTTGTGTTATCTGGGTATTGGGTATATGGTCCTTGTGTTATCTGGGTACTGGGTATATGGTTCTTGTGTTGTCTGGGTATTGGGTATATGGTTCTTGTGTTATCTGGGTATTGGGTATATGGCTCTTGTGTTGTCTGGGTATTGGGTATATGGTTCTTGTGTTATCTGGGTATTGGGTATATGGTTCTTGTGTTGTCTGGGTATTGGGTATATGGTTCTTGTGTTGTCTGGGTATTGTGTACATGGTTCTTGTGTTATCTGGGTATTGGGTATATGGTTCTTGTGTTATCTGGATAAAGAATCAGCATCACAGCATTCTTCTTCCTCATGTTGTAAACTCATGTGGAAAGTTCTGGGTGTTTGTCCACCTCTGAACTTTAGTTTTGTTCCAGAAATTGAATGTTGCAAGCACATCTATTTCTAATAAGCTGGAATTAAAAAGCATGTTTGCAATTTCTAAGCCATTGAGCCTACCCAAAAAAAAAAAAAATTAGTGGAAATTTAGATCATTCCAATTTACACATGTTTGTCCAGCATATTTATGGAAGCTAAACAAAAGTTAAACATTTGTTAAATGTTGCAGTGTTAATTGATAACTATCTAGTTATGGATCCTTTTATTCAGCTTTGTATATTTTTATTTTAGATTACTTTATGTCTCTCGATATACTGATGTAGCCCCTATTACATTTCCAGGTGTATGTGAAAATCAACCAAGATGTCAAATCTGAGTGTGGCAAGGAATCAGAGTCAACCTCACCAACATACCAGGAGGGTCTGGCTTTGTTTGCTAAACTGGAGCAAGGTAGTGCTCTATCACTCAACATCATAGTGCATCACACAACATTATAGCATATCGCAGAATAATAGCATATATAACACATTATAGTGCACCACAGAACATCATAGTCCATCACTGTCTAATCGTATATCACAGAACATTATAGCACATCACAGAACATTATAGCACATCACAGAACATTATAGCACATCACAGAACAGTATGGTATATCACAGAATATTATCGTATTTAACGTATTATATTGCACCACAGAACATCATAGTCCATTACAGTATATAATCGTACCTCACAGAACATTATAGTACATCAAAGCACATCATAGAACATTATGGTATATCACAGAACATTATAGTGTATGACATATAGTGCATCAGAGAACATAGTATATCACAGAACATCATGACTTTTATGATTCATCGCCTAAGATCAGATTACATTATAGAACAACAAATAAGATCACAGAACATCATAGTATGCCATAAAACATAGTACATCACAGAACATGATACATCACAATAACATCATAGTACATCTAAAAACATCATAGTAGTCAACAAACGTTATTAAGCATCACAGTATATGGTATGTCACATAAGATCACCATACTTGTATGATGTCGGGGTCTGTGGCTTAGGCGTTGCGAGCGCACTTCGTAATGACGGGGTGCCGGGTTCGATCCCTGCTGTGGACGGTTTGTCATGCTATGGTTTCGACAGTGGTACCGAGAGACGACCGTCCAGAAAGCAATGGCAAACTACTGGACATAAATTTGCCTAGAAAAACCACAACAGCCAAAAAGTGCGGGGGTTGGTTCTGCAACAACTTTTATGATATATCACCTAAGATCAGATAATGGAACATCTCACACAATCACATTACATCATGGTACATCACAGAACTGTATGATACATCACAAATGATCACAGTACATCATGGTACATCACAAAACTATAGGATACATATGATCACAGTACATCATGGTAAATCGTATAAGATCACAGTACTTTATGATACATCACATAAGGTCACAGAGCATTCTTCTTCTTCTTCTTCTTCTTCTGCCTTTCTATCCCCCAATGGAGCATAGGCCCTCAACCAACTCACGCCAAGTCGTTCTGTCCTTCGCCATTGCATGGAGCTCTCCCCATGTCCTCCCAATCTTTCTAACCTCATTCTCCAGCTCTCTTCTCCATGTGTTTTTTGGCCTTCCTTTATTCCTATGCCCCTGTGGGTTCCAATGCAAAGACATTCTAGTTATGCTGTTCTCCTGTTTTCTCAGTGTGTGCCCTTTTCCTCACCTCCTGATCCACTGGAGCCTGTTTAGTTCTCTCCCAAAGTTCTACATTAGCTATTCTATCATACCATTTTATTCCCTCTATTCTGCGCAGGCACAGAGCATTACAATACATTATATCACATAATGCTAGGACACAAAATATGGCTCATGCTGAGTAACTCACTTGTTTTTGTTTCTTTACCTTCTTGTTTCTTTTCTTAATGAAAATTGTATCTATTTTTACATTATTGAGTAACACACTCACCATCTGAATTAATTGTTCCTGTGTGGGTTGTAGACCCCACTATAGGGGAATAGACCCACTGCTTCCCCAACAAGCATGCCCTAAGAGTTGACTGAGAGCTTCCTTAAAAGTCAAAGTGCGTCTGCCTGAGAGGCAAGGAACCAGCAGTCTGCATACTAATAGGATTTGAAATACGGAAGTGCACTCAAAATTGAAAAAGACTCAAGTCCAGAAGTGGACAAACAACCAGAACTTTCCGCCTGAGTTCACAACTAAGAAGAGGAATTAATCAAACTGAAGGAGTATTAAACCGAAGACTTCCATAGAAGTCACTAGATATGCTAACACTGTGTGATGGAAACATTTTGATCCCAAGACTTTTGTGTGTTTGTTCACAGGAGACGAGTCTATGCTGCAGATATGGAAGATGGTTAAAGAACTGAGTGTTGTTCACTTAGACAAGATGTATGAAGTGAGTGAGTTGTTAGATAATATAGAAATTGATTTCAAGCATTGGTTAAGGTGCAGATACTATCATCCTGGTGTAAAATGTTCTTCTTTGTCCATGTGGCATTGGTAGTCATGTCTATCCACAGCCTTCTGTCTTGTCTTCTTTCGGTCAACTCTGACACAGATGATCCTCCATGCTTTGATGTTAAATTGTCCAGCATCTTTTCTCTCGGTCTGCCTCTCCTTTCCTCCAACCTTCCTAAAGTCACAATGTACTCTGGTTTTCTCATTCTCACACATGACCAAAGAATGTAGATTGTCTCTTTTTGATGTGGGCAATCAGATCTCTTTGCGAGTCAGTTTTTATTTCAAGACATCTCTATTACTCTTTTTAATCTATAAAGTATTAGATGTTTGAAATTATTAGTAATATAATCATTCTAATGAGGAAGTGTCAACAGTTCTCATCCTCGCCAAGCACTCATCATTCATTTGTTATTTTGGCATTAAGCGAATAGGTAGAAACAGTTTGGGATCCATTACTCGATGAGTAGCAATAGCTTTTGTCATTCTTTGTCGATGTAGAAGATCTTTAATGTTATCAGTCCATGTAGAAGATCTTTAATGCCATCAGTCCATATTTTTCTATGGTGACCTGTTTTTTTCACATTACATCTTTTCATGTATAGCGCCTGTTTTGAGAATTGTTCTGGCTGCATTCTAATAGGATGACAAAAACATTTGAGCTTCTGTTTCTCAGTGAATTTAGCACATGGTGTTGTTCCCCCAGTCCCCCGGTGTGGGTTCTGGGGCCCTATCATAAGGAAAACTAGAATAAACCCCCTGCCTACCCAAAAGCATGTCGTAAGAGTCGACTAATTGGGAGCTTCCTTCGAAGTCGGAGTGCATCTGCCTGAGAGGCAAGGAACCAACAGTCTGCACACAAATGAGTCAGATCTGTCAAACGGATGCACACACAACACTCAGGTTCTGGAACAGGACTGCAGTCCAGAAGTAGACGAACAACTAGAACTTTCCACCAGAATTTACAGCTGGTGAATGCAAAGAAAAAGAGAAAAAGCTCCCACAGTCTGTCGGATAGTATCATTTCTCACAGAGAATCACTAGACAGGCACTGAAATGGGAAAAAAATGGAATGAGGACGCCCAAGAGAAACCATGAGGTGAAAGTTCATGAGAGAGACCAAAGATGCTGGACTGGATTCTATCCATGATATTAAAGTGTGCATAGGACGGATTGGAATAGAGAAATAAGTCTGTGAGACATGCAACGGCACAAGAGAATAATGAATGAATAATGGCCAAACCAATCCGGTGCAGCCTGCAGTTCTGTGGGGTGAGCATCTTTTATCTTCTGAATCGCTAAAAAGTATTTACAGCATGGGTGATTCTGGTATACCCGTGTGGATCTTTGACTGTGCTATTGTGTTCATGCACTGAGATTTTGTGTGGTCTAAAATCTATAAAAGAGCTACAGTGAATGGCCTGGCTTTAGGCATTAGTAATTAGTCACATTTATTATGCCTGTTAAGGAGAGAAACGGCAAGTCGAACGGTTAGAATGCTGGGCTCTCATGCGGGAGACCCGGGTTCGGATCCTCGGTAAGGCTGGGGCCAAATAAATCCCACCTGCCTACACCGCAGAAGTGGTATAACAAAGGCAGTCATTGGCAGTTAAGGAGGGGAAGGTCTGATCTTTTGATCTTTCAAAAATAGAGAGCCAAAACCCTACATCATAGGGGGTGGGGCGGTGTTCAGGGATCAGTCTTGATATTGTTGTGCTGGTAGGCCATAGTGCCAAGTGCGTACGACTCCAAATAAACAAAAATTCAGAGAATGTGCAGTGATACTGGAGAGTATATTTCAGCGTTTAGGTGTCCACTTTACCCATGTCATGCCGGAGTCCAATTATAAAGACAGGACTGAGGAGGTTCTGCAACGATTGTCTCAGGCCAATCTTCTTCAGTATAGGTAAGTGCTGGTTATACTTTCTGCTTTTTCTTCTTCTTTGTCTTCATTTTCACCTTATTTTCTCCTTTCTCCTAAACTGCCGCAGCCACTTGACAGCATCTGTTGCTGCCATATGCTTCTTCTTCTTCTTTCTTCTCCCTTTTCTTTCTCTTTCTTTTCCCCCATCTTCTTTTCTTTCTTCTTATCCTTTTCTTTTAATTTGTTTATTACATTTATATAAATATATGATGTTTATTCATCATAAGCATGTGAATATGAAATATAAGAGCACTGATCAACACAGTATTCATACTTGTGCTGTGCTGTTAGTGCCAAACATGGACACTGTGTTCAGAAGACTGTAGAAAAATAGTCATGATAAAAATAAAATGTTTACATATTATGCTAGGTGTAACAAGGAACGATTGGCTGGGTCACACCTGGAGAATTGAGGATGACCGACCTCTACTACGGTATAAAGATGTGTGCAAGCGAGACATGAATGATACAGGTATTGAAGTATTATCACATACGCTGAGCAGGTTTGTAAATCAACTAACATGAGCGAAGGGACAACATCTGAGAATTGCGAAATCAATTGCTTTTCGCTGATGACCAGGCAATCATAGCACCAACAGCAGTACAACTACAAGAAGATATTAATAGACTCCACTCAGAATGCGACAGCTGCGATCTGAAGATCAACGTTGACAAAACAGAAGTGATGACATTCTCCAGAAAATAAGAACCACCAGTATCAAAATGATAAACACCAGTTAAACGAATGAAGGATTTTTCATATCCGTGGAGCATTTTTTCAGAAGATGGAAGAATTAATAAAGAAATCTAGCAAAGATGCAATAAAGCCAATCAAGTTTTAGGCTAAATGGCACAATTTTAAAATACAGGTATGTGAATATAAATACTAAAAGAACACTGTTCAACACAGTTTTCTTACTAACACTATGAGAACACTGTTCAACATAGTTTTCTTACTAACACTATGAGAACACTGTTCAACATAGTTTTCTTACTAACACTATGAGAACACTGTTCAACACAGTTTTCTTACTAACACTATGAGAACACTGTTCAACACAGTTTTCTTACTAACACTATGAGAACACTGTTCAACACAGTTTTCTTACTAACACTATGAGAACACTGTTCAACATAGTTTTCTTACTAACACTATGAGAACACTGTTCAATAGTTTTCTTACTAACACTATGAGAACACTGTTCAACATAGTTTTCTTACTAACACTATGAGAACACTGTTCAACATAGTTTTCTTACTAACACTATGAGAACACTGTTCAACATAGTTTTCTTACTAACACTATGAGAACACTGTTCAACATAGTTTTCTTACTAACACTATGAGAACACTGTTCAACACAGTTTTCTTACTAACACTATGAGAACACTGTTCAACATAGTTTTCTTACTAACACTATGAGAACACTGTTCAACACAGTTTTCTTACTAACACTATGAGAACACTGTTCAACATAGTTTTCTTACTAACACTATGAGAACACTGTTCAACATAGTTTTCTTACTAACACTATGAGAACACTGTTCAACATAGTTTTCTTACTAACACTATGAGAACACTGTTCAACATAGTTTTCTTACTAACACTATGAGAACACTGTTCAACATAGTTTTCTTACTAACACTATGAGAACACTGTTCAACACAGTTTTCTTACTAACACTATGAGAACACTGTTCACACAGTTTTCTTACTAACACTATGAGAACACTGTTCAACACAGTTTTCTTACTAACACTATGAGAACACTGTTCAACACAGTTTTCTTACTAACACTATGAGAACACTGTTCAACACAGTTTTCTTACTAACACTATGAGAACACTGTTCACACAGTTTTCTTACTAACACTATGAGAACACTGTTCAACACAGTTTTCTTACTAACACTATGAGAACACTGTTCAACATAGTTTTCTTACTAACACTATGAGAACACTGTTCAACATAGTTTTCTTACTAACACTATGAGAACACTGTTCAACATAGTTTTCTTACTAACACTATGAGAACACTGTTCAACATAGTTTTCTTACTAACACTATGAGAACACTGTTCAACACAGTTTTCTTACTAACACTATGAGAACACTGTTCAACATAGTTTTCTTACTAACACTATGAGAACACTGTTCAACATAGTTTTCTTACTAACACTATGAGAACACTGTTCAACATAGTTTTCTTACTAACACTATGAGAACACTGTTCGACACAGTTTTCTTACTAACACTATGAGAACACTGTTCGACACAGTTTTCTTACTAACACTATGAGAACACTGTTCAACATAGTTTTCTTACTAACACTATGAGAACACTGTTCAACACAGTTTTCTTACTAACACTATGAGAACACTGTTCAACATAGTTTTCTTACTAACACTATGAGAACACTGTTCAACACAGTTTTCTTACTAACACTATGAGAACACTGTTCGACACAGTTTTCTTACTAACACTATGAGAACACTGTTCAACATAGTTTTCTTACTAACACTATGAGAACACTGTTCAACACAGTTTTCTTACTAACACTATGAGAACACTGTTCAACACAGTTTTCTTACTAACACTACGCCATCAATGTCAAACATGGACACTGTCTTCATAAGACATAAGAAAAATAGTCACGACAGCAATAAAAATGTTTTTGTTCTATGCTAGGTGTAATGAGGAAAGATCGACTTAGGAACGATGATATCAGGAGGAGAGTGGGCATAGAATCAATAATGAACTTTATAGAAAGACAACAAATCAAATAGTTTGGCTGTGTAACAAGATTGGAACCAGACAGGACACCACAGACAGCAGTGTTATACAAATACAGCTGTAACAGAGCCAGAGGTCGACCGTGCATAAGATGGACTGCAGAAATATCAGAGACACTGAGAAGTACTTTATATGAAACAGACAGAAGGGCCCGTTCTAGAGATCTCTTCCTGCCCTGACACAGCTAAGCATTCCAGGAGTAGAGAAAGGAAGGACCTGTTCTAGAGATCTCTTCCTGACCTGACGCTGCAAGGCATTCCAGGAGTAGAGAAAGGAAGAACCTGTTCTATAGATCTCTTCCTGACCTAACGCCGCGAGGCATTCCAGGAGTAGAGAAAGGAAAGACCTGTTCTAGAGATCTCTTCCTGACCTAATGCTGCGAGGCATTCCAGGAGTAGAGAAAGGAAGAACCTGTTCTAGAGATCTCTTCCTGACCTGACGCCGCGAGGCATTCCCGGAGTAGAGAAAGGAAGAACCTGTTCTAGAGATCTCTTCCTGACCTGACACCGCGAGGCATTCCAGGAGTAGAGAAAGGAAAGACCTGTTCTAGAGATCTCTTCCTGACCTAATGCCGCGAGGCATTCCAGGAGTAGAGAAAGGAAGAACCTGTTCTAGAGATCTCTGCCTGACCTGACGCCGCGAGGCATTCCAGGAGTAGAGAAAGGAAGAACCTGTTCTAGAGATCTCTTCCTGACCTGACACCGCGAGGCATTCCAGGAGTAGAGAAAGGAAGGACCTGTTCTAGAGATCTCTTCCTGACCTAATGCCGCGAGGCATTCCAGGAGTAGAGAAAGGAAGAACCTGTTCTAGAGATCTCTTCCTGACCTGTCGCTGCGATGCATTCCAGGAGTAGAGAAAAGAAGGACCTGTTCTAGAGATCTCTTCCTGACCTAATGCCGCGAGGCATTCCAGGAGTAGAGAAAGGAAGAACCTGTTCTAGAGATCTCTTCCTGACCTGTCACTGCGAGGCATTCCAGGAGTAAAGAAAGGAAGAACCTGTTCTAGAGATCTCTTCCTGACCTGACACCGCGAGGCATTCCAGGAGTAGAGAAAGGAAGGACCTGTTCTAGAGATCTCTTCCTGACCTAATGCCGCGAGGCATTCCAGGAGTAGAGAAAGGAAGAACCTGTTCTAGAGATCTCTTCCTGACCTGTCGCTGCGATGCATTCCAGGAGTAGAGAAAAGAAGGACCTGTTCTAGAGATCTCTTCCTGACCTAATGCCGCGAGGCATTCCAGGAGTAGAGAAAGGAAGAACCTGTTCTAGAGATCTCTTCCTGACCTGTCACTGCGAGGCATTCCAGGAGTAAAGAAAGGAAGAACCTGTTCTAGAGATCTCTTCCTGACCTGTCACTGCGTGGCATTCCAGGAGTAGAGAAAAGAAAGAAGTAGAAGATGTTATTTTATAAAAACATCTGATAGGTAATGTCTTTATATTTCCTGGATAATTACTCATAAATTTGACAGATCAGACAAGAGATTTGTATATATTTAATATGTTAGCTTGTATATATTTCATATGTTAGCTTGTATATATTTAATATATTACCTTTTATTTATTTAATATGTTAACTTATGTATAATTAATATGCTATCTTGTATATATTTAATATATACATATATACATATATTTAATAAGTTAACTTGTATATATTTAATATGTTAGCTTGTATATATTTAATGTTAACTTGTATACATTTAATGTTAGCTTGTATATTTTTAATATGTAAACTTGTATATATTTAATACGTTAGCTTGTATATATTGAATATGTTAGCTTCTATATTTTTAATATGTTAACTTGTATATATTTGATAGTTAGCTTGTATATATTCAATACGTGAACTTGTATATATATAATATGTTAAAGTATATATTTAAACTGTTAACTTATGTATATTTAATATGTCAACTTGTGTTTTTAACAGTTCTGATGGTGTAGGCTACGTGCCCTTGGATTTCCCTGACAGTGTGGGCCAGGCTACTGTTGTTAAAAGTGATGGCTCCTCTTTATACCTCACAAGGTCAGTTTGATAGAGTTGGTTGTATTATTGTTTTCATTGGCCCACAGTATTTCTGTTTGACTTCATTTTCATCTTCATCACTAATTTAACAAATTGTTTTTATCAATCTGAAACAGTTTTTTTTTCAACACGCGGCCTGTGGGCCAAATCTGGCCCGCGAAGGCCTTGCAAGTGGCCTGCAGATCATTGCTAGTTGTAGTGTATTAATGATATTTCTACGCTGGGGCTTGGGCCTCTGGTCCGTGATAATTCCCCCTTTTTCAGCATTTTGGTCCCTGTGTGAACGTAGTTTAATGGCCTTTATATTATATAGAGTATCTTCTTGTTCTGGGTTCCCCCTTAAAAGGGCAGTTAGCACAACGTTTTGTGGTTTACAGCTAGGTTGCATTATTTGCACCTTTCGGCCCATTACATCCAAGTTCAGTAGAAGCCTAGTTAGTTGCCTTTTACGACTTGCTTGTTAAGGCGGCAATGGGTTGTGTGTGTGCGTGCGTGCGGGTGGGTGGGGGTTATGGGTGGGTGTGTGTGTGTGGGTGGGCGCGCATAGAGAATCTGAGAGATAACCATCTGCAGCCATGACACTGTGTTCCCTTCTTTTTTGAGTTTAGAGCTAATGATCATTATTTACACACCCTATCATCCCTTTTTGGGATGCAATTTTTTTGTCATTTGAAGCCCTAATCTGGCTCTTGCCTGGGGCTGCAATATAGCCAGGCCATAAATTTGGTCTAATGGCTGAACGCGGTTTCTGGGACCTCTCCATGGGTAATCCTCATCCACATGGTGGCACTTTGTGTCATCGGGTGTTTATCGCTTGTGTGATGTCCTGGTGGAGTGAAAGAACATAGATAGATGATCATCATGTAGCAGGTCCTTTGCAAAATGTCGCTCTCATCCCAGTCTGTCAGCTCTTTTGCCTTCTGTACTTTCCTATTAAAAGAATCGCTTATATCCTGTGCCGGTCTACAAGTTGGTCAGCCCCTGCCCCTCCTTTCTGGTACCATGCCTTCTGCTATTATATTTTCCAATCCGTCGTGGCGCTTGATGTGACCGAAATATTTCAGCTTCGAGACAAGATGCTGTTTACTAACCAATCTTCCTTGATGTTCAGATCTTTTAAATTGTCACTATGTCTTCTCTTCTTGTCCATGGTATTCTGAAAATCTTTCTGTAGATTTCAGCTCAAAGCCCCTATTTTCTTTCTTAAGGACTGGGAGATAGTCCACGACTCACATCCATTGGTTGCTACAGAGAATATGCATGCTCTCAAAATGTTAACTTTGATTTCCTTACTGATGCGTAACCAAAGACTTTTATTGCTCTTTTTAATCTTTGAATTGACCTATGGCCATCCTCCTTTTGACTTCTATCAAACTGTCTCTATTGCTAAAGTGATGACGTAAAAAAGAGGGTGACTGCAGTTGAGCTGATTGCAAGAAATGATAAATATAACGCAAATAGGAAGCTAGCAGATCGATTCTGTCTTGCTGACATTCGCAGTAAGGCTCTCAAACCTGTCTCCCTCCATTTCAACAGTTCTGACCACCAAAGCGAAAACAATAGCTCAGTCACTGCTATTAAATCCTGCTCTGGTGATTAAACCAACCGCTACTCATTAGAAAATAATTTCATCCATAGTTTTGGCGTTCTTAGTCATGGAGGGATCAATATTCAACACAACTTTATTTAATTTAATTTGTTTACTTGTTCATTTATTTACTTGTTCATATTTCTTCCTCTCAATTCACAAAACCTTCTTATTTATTTCATTTGTATTATATTATATAACCTTCATACTTTTCAATTCAGTACATATCTCTTGGTTTCCGGTTGACCTTGATTTTTTTTATTGGCTCTGTTGTCTTGCCCACTGAGTTTTCTAGCCACAGTTTGTGCTGTATTTACTACTCCGTTGATAAAGACTGGTAGAAATTTTCGTTGTATTTGTGTGCGTCTTTTACATTCCCTCTACTGAGCTTTCTAGTCACATGTTGTTATATGTGGACATATTTTTTTTTTCTTTAACAATGAGCCAGTGATAAGGATCATTACATTTCTGTAACTACTTTTTCAGGGATATAGCTTCGGCACTGGACAGGCAAGAGAAGTTTGCTTTTGACAGGGTTCATTATGTGGTGAGTGGCACTAATAACTTATTAGTAGGTTAGCTTGGTTTGTGTAGTCATATTCAATGCCTATTAAGCATTCTCCCTGTCTGCTGTCACAAGGAGAATCCCAGCACAGGGCACTGCCTCCTTGGATGATGGGGAATGTTTATATTATGTCCCTGCCTTCTCTAGAGGGCACCACCTGTGGACTAGGAAGCTTCGATGGCAGTACAGTGGTGAAGCAGTGTGGTGTCCTATGAATCTAATGAGGAAGGCTAACCCAGGCAACAAATACCTAAAGAAGTCAGAGATGTTGGCTGAAAGACGCAAAGGACACAGCCATGCTGTAAATGGGCATAATGCAGCTATGTCCTCGGGTGAAAGAAGAAGACAATGCCCTAACTAAATAAGATAAAGTTAACAGCTCATATTGGCAAAGTTGAATTTCGTTTTAAGTACGTTAGCTTATGAACTTGAAAGCCCGGGTAGGAATTTTGTATATATTATACATGCGTTAACCTTTATATATAACAGCTCATATTCTTCATACATTTCAATGTTTTCTCAGTTTGAACTTCTTAATAAGTCCCAATACTTGTGCCGTAAAGTGTCCGAGAGGGGAGTTGCCATGTTCATCTCATATTGCGTTTCTGTCGTGTCTCTTTTACTCCTTCCACTTAATCTCTTTCTTATTCTTCCTCTTGTAGTCTACTGTTCTCACATAGTATGCCTTAGCTGCTAGGTGATTTTGTTCCATTTCGACCAGATGACCAAACCATTTGATTCTTCCATGATCTGTGATAATCATTTATCGGTATTGTGTATATCATTGTTCTTTGTTGATGGCTGTGTCTCTTCTTGTTTCCCCCCCCCCCCCCCCCCACAATATTTTTTATACATCTCATGTCACATTTTGCTTCAGTTTGAACACTGGGGGTTTAACCCTTTAGTCCTCAGCATTAGACTGGAGTCTTCTTGCAGTTAAATACTTCAACTTGTGAAGGAAACATGACCAGCCTAGGCTTAATTTCAGCCAATTTGCATAGGTATGACTCAGCCAGTCTGCATAGTTATGACTCAGCCAGTCTGCATAGTTATGACTCAGCCAGTCTGCATAGTTATGACTCAGCCAGTCTGCATAGTTATGACTCAGCCAGTCTGCATAGTTATGACTCAGCCAGTCTGCATAGTTATGACTCAGCCAGTCTGCATAGTTATGACTCAGCCAGTCTGCATAGTTATGACTCAGCCAGTCTGCATAGTTATGACTCAGCCAGTCTGCATAGTTATGACTCAGCCAGTCTGCATAGTTATGACTCAGCCAGTCTGCATAGTTATGACTCAGCCAGTCTGCATAGTTATGACTCAGCCAGTCTGCATAGTTATGACTCAGCCAGTCTGCATAGGTATGACTCAGTCAGTCTGCATAGTTATGACTCAGCCAGTCTGCATATGGCCTGATTGGTCTGTTGACTCACCCAGTCTGCATGGTTAAGACCCAACCAGTCTACATAGTTATGACTCAACCAGTCTGTATAGTTATGACTCAACCAATCTGCATAGTTATGACTCACCCAATCTGCTTAGATTTGACTCACCCAATCTGCATAATTTTGACTCACCCAATCTACATAGTTATGACTCAACCAGTCTACATAGTTATGACTCAACCAATCTGCATAGTTATGACTCAGCTAATTCAACCAAACCATTTTATCCTTTGCCATTTCGTGGAACTCCGGATACATCCACAGAATGCAGAAGTAGAAAGATCTAACAGCCCCTTTGACCCTTTACCCCTTTTGTGCTAGACTCATATAGGCCAGTTGGCCCTAGGTGGGTGATGTGGACAACATTTAGCCAGCCACCTTTACTTTCTTAGCACATTTCTGGTACCCATTTTAAGCCTGCTGGTTACTGAGCAGCAAACCCATGGTATCTGATGATCATGTGACCTGGCTGGTCACACCACACAGCTCTTTTATGTGGTCAGTGTCCTCAGAGTGGAGTCATGGTCAGTGTCCTTTTAGAGTGGAATCATGGTCAGTGTCCTCGTAGAGTGGAGTCATGGTCAGTGTCCTCGTAGAGTGGAGTCATGGTCAGTGCCCTTATAGAGTGGAGTCATGGTCAGTGTCCTCATAGAGTGAAGTCATGGTAAGTGTCCTCGTAAAGTGGAGTCATGGTCAGTGTCCTCGTAGAGTGGAGTCATGGTCAGTGTCCTCGTAGAGTGGAGTCATGGTCAGTGCCCTCATAGAGTGGAGTCATGGTCAGTGTTCTCGTAGAGTGGAGTCATGGTCAGTGTCCTCATAGTGGAGTCATGGTCAGTGTCCTCGTAGAGTGGAGTCATGGTCAGTGTCCTCATAGAGTGAAGTCATGGTCAGTGTCCTCATAGTGGAGTCATGGTCAGTGTCCTCATAGAGTGGAGTCATGGTCAGTGTCCTCGTAGAGTGGAGTCATGGTCAGTGTCCTCGTAGAGTGAAGTCATGGTCAGTGTCCTCGTAGAGTGGAGTCATGGTCAGTTTTTGGCCGAATCTGCCTGATGCAACAAGTGATCATCTAGCCACTGAGCTGCCTCCACTGCCTATAGCAGTGGATCTCAAACTTCTGAAAGCCGCAACCCTTTAAAACAGTTCCTCATGGTGTGCTGACCTCCTAAACCGTAGAATTATTTTTGTTGCTACTATATAACTTCAGGGAAGAAACACTTTGCAATCCATTGCGTGATGGACAGCATTGGCTATTGTCATTCCATGTCAGTGTAAAAGCTCTTTAATGTCATCAGTCCATTTCACCTAGAGCGACCTCTTGCCTTCACTTCAGATCTTTTCATGTGTAGTGCTTATGTTGGTAGTTGTTCTTGCTGCATTCTTACTACATAACCAGACTATTTAATCTTCTGTTTCTCAATGCATTTGCTGTATGGTGTTGTTCCTACCATGAATGTTAAAAAGAAAAATCTCAGAAATCTGAGAAGAGAACTCAAAAAGAAGAATTTATTTTCTTAGTGAACATATTGTTTGCAGGTTGAGCAAGGTCAAAGGAGCCATTTCGTCAAGCTGGTTAGTATTCTGCATAGACTTGGTGTCCCCTGGGCCAACAGGTTAGTCATTTGAGTTTGTTTGTTTTGTTTACATGAGACCAGGTATGCTCTGAGTCAGTGGGTTAAGAATTTAAATTTTTATTTTGATTTACATTAGACAAGGTGTATCCTAGGACAGTAAGGTCAAGTTTTTGAATTTTAAAATTTGATTTACAGTAGACATTTAATATCCTTGGCCAGTAAGTTATTTTTGATTTGCTTTACTGAGACCAGAGCTATTTGTGGTCCATTTGGCCCGAGGAGGCCTAGCAAGTGGCCTGTGGATCATTACTAGTTATTTTGTATGAATACACACACAAACACAGCAAAGGCTTACACACAAACACACACGTAAGCACACAGACAGACACACATAAACACACATAGACACACACCTACAGACACACACGCAGACACATACACACAGACACACAAAAGAAGTTATCAGTGGCCTTTTACGACATGCATGCGAATGGGGCATGAGATCTGTTCCTTTTTTCCTAAAAGGGGGCATCACTGTCATATTTTTTATCCACAACATGCCAAATATCTTATCAGATGGTCTGAATTTGTTGTTTTCTGCTCTTTGCTAAGTCAGTAAATTATTACAGGTCAGGGAAGGAAAGCGAAAGAAGATTTTAGGAAGAGACAGATGAAAAAAGGAAGGAGAAAGAAATGATGTGAGATAAAGAGAAAGAAATAGGCAAGTCATCTGCTCAAAAAAGGAAGAGGTCAAAGACTGGAAGAATTTTAGAGATTAAGGACACACACACATGCACGCTTGCGCACACACACACACAGTTTTCTAGGGTACAATATCATACTTGTCTCTGTTCTTTAGACCTATTGATGACATCCATATTCGGTTTGGCCGTGTGAAGGGAATGAGCACTCGACAAGGGAATGCTGTTTTCCTAAGGGATGTATTAGACGAGGCCAAGTCACGAGTCATCAAGTCGATCACATCCAGATCTAGTGGGTTTGTGATTCCGCTCACTTTTTTGTTTTTATCAGCCTCAAATTGTTCAGCTTCTTATTGTTTCTGTTCTGCTTCTGATTGTTTCTGTTCAGCCTTCAACTGTTTATGTTTAGCTTTTGGTTGTTTCTGTTTAGCTTCTAATTATTTCTATACAGTCTCTAATTATTTCTGTTCAGCCTCTGATTGTTTCTCTTCAGCTTCTGATTGTTTCTGTACAGCCTCTAGTTGTTTTTTTTTTTTAGCTTCTAGTTGCTTTTTTTATGATTATCTTCTAGTTGCGTTTTTGATTTATAAAATGAAAAACATCTTGTGCAATATATCTTTGTCATTGAGAGTAAGAAAAAGAATTCTTGCTTGCTACATACATCCAGTTTTAACATATGGCTGTGAATCCTAGACAATCGGTAGGCAGGCCAAACAATTTCTTAAGGTCGCAGAGATATGGTTTTACAGAAGAATGCTTAGAATACCTTGGACAGCTAAAAAAGAGCAACCAAGAGGTTTTGAAAGAGGCGGGAGCCCGAAAACAACTAATCACAGATATCAGAAGGAGAATTTTTCAGCCATGTTATGAGATGAGGGAAAATAGAACATGTTGTGACCACTGGAAAGATCTGTGGAAGGAGGGATAGAGGAAGACAACGAGAGAAGATTCTTGAGTCTTGTTGCATGGCATGGAGGTGTGTCAGCACACGAACTGATACATGCTGCAGGAGATCGCGGATTGTGGAGAGGCATGATCGCCAATGCCAGTCGGCAAGGCACCTGATGATGACGTGTTTTTGATTGACTGTCTAATTGTGTCTTAGTCCATCTTCTTCTTCTTTTCTTCTTCTACTTCCCTTCCACTTCCTTCTTCTTCATTTTACTTCTTCTTCACCCCTCCCCCAACCCTTGTTCTTTTTATTGTTTTTATCCTTATTTTTGTGGGGGGGGGGGGTTCTGTTGCACTTTCTTTCTTCTTTTTCTGTTTCCCTCCCTTCACCATCTTCCTTATTTTCATTTTCTTCTATCTTTTGTCTTCAAACCTCCTCTTCCTTCTTTTCTTTTTCCCCACCCCGAACCTTTTTCCCCCTCCTGTTACTTCTGGTTCTTCTTCTTATCCTCCTCCTCCAGATCTCCAGATTGTACTCTGATAGAATAATTTGGATCAGAATTTACAAAATCTCACCAAAAAAGTCATCAGATACAAGTTACATCATTGTCTAAATAATGGAAACAGTTGGAAACAAAAACATAAATAATAATACAATTTGAGAAAAGAAAGAGTTAAGGGAAACTTCTGTTTATTTTTGTCTTCATGAGTTTATTTCTACATATCAAAATGCAGCCAGCAGAGTTTCACAAGAGTCTCTAGAAGATGTTGCTGACATCCTTGGGGTCACCGCCATCATTCTCCAGGTTAGTTTCTGTGTTTGTATTGTTCAGTTATACAACAGTCTTCTTCTGTTGTACTTCCTTGTGTTTGCCGACTGTAAATTACAGCACGTCAGCTAATTGGGAGCTTCCTTCAAAGTCAGAGTGCATCTGCCTGAGAGGCAAGGAACCAGCAGTGTGCATACATACATGTCAAAACTGTTAAACGGATGCGCAAGCAACACTCAGGTTCTGGAAAAAGACAAGTCCAGAGGTGAGCAAATAGCTAGAACTTTCCGCCAGAGTTAACTACTGGTGAACGCGAAGCAGAACAAAAAGAAGACCCAGTTTTAAGGAGGACTACAGAGAATTGGTCTTAAACTGAAGAACAACCTGAGGTACCAGTCTGTTATCAAAAGAAGAGAAGAATCAGACCAATCAGAAGCCATCAAAACTGGCACAAGATGATTACCATATTATGGACAGACCAGAGCAAGTCATTATTCTGTCCCTTTGAACAGGGCACAGTCGACTTCGCAGCCACATGTACACACAATTTAAGGTTAGTGAAACAACAGATCACGTCCTCCAAGACTGACCCCAGTACTGAAAATTTGGCTGGAGCACATGTGGGAATCTCTTTTATGCAGTAAAGTCAGTTGACTTTTTCGTTTATTCTCTACCGTGGCTTAAACCCAAATCTCCCAGTCAGTAAGTCAGTGGTTTAACTAAATCAGCTCCTAGATTCTGATCACAAAACTTGCTGAGAAATATGGAGACAAGCATGCTCCATTCAGAGTGGCAAGCATCGCTCCAGAGGTCCTGGGTAATTAACTGGTTCTGCACCACTTGGTGATCAATGGATGCATGAACAAGAAGCTAGATGTGGTCGCGATCGAGTGAGCAGTGCGGAAACAAATATAGATCATCACAGTGTATGAAGAATGGTCGAAAAGGGAGTGGCCAGGGAGTTGGCCAATACTCAACCTCTGAGGAAAGGCAAGACAGACATACAATGGGACTTAACATCTGAGTTTGAAGTATGCTTGCTGCTGAAGATGGGAATGGAGCACATGAGAATGTTTTGAGCGCTCAGTGATGTTGGTTCTTGATTCAACTTCAAGATTATTCTTCTTCTTAATTTTCACCAGCTGTAAACTCCGGCAGAAATTCCTGGTTGTTCATCCACTTCTGGACTTTGGTCTTGTTCCAGAACTTGAGTTCTGTGTGCACATCTGTTTTACGGTTCTGACTGACTTGTATGCATACTGTTGGTTCCTTACCTCGTAGGCAGATGCACTCCAGCTTCAAAGGAAACGCCCCTAATTAGTCACCTTGTACATCGTGATTGTTAGGAGACAGTAGATCTATCCCTCCTCTCCCCCAATGGAACCACAGAACCGTCATGGAGGAAGCCAAGGTTCTGTGCACTTATGAAACATTCCAAATTGTCTTTCACTGAAATGAATTACTTTCCTTTCAGGATGTCAAAGCCAACCGTGTCAGCGATTACACTTTCTCATGGGAGCAGATGCTGAATTTCAAATCTGATTCAGGTGTATTTGTACAGTACTGCCACTCTCGTTTGTGCAGGTTGGTTGTTTTTATATGTCATTATTTGCAAATATATATAAAGGTCCAAGTATGGAGGGCTGGGGTAGTTAGTGCTCTCGTATGCCAACCCAGTGGTCTCCAACACTTTCCCAGTATGAGTTCCAGGGCCCCATTGTGGGGAAAAGCAGGAATGGTCCCACTATCCTCTAACAAGCATGTCGTAAGAGTCTACTGATTAACGACCCTTCAGAGTTCATCTACCTGAGAGGTAAGGAACCAGCAGTCTGTATACAGATAAGCCAGATTTGTAAAATGTCTGTGCATGCAAAACTCGTGCTGGAACAAAGTCTAGAGGTGGACAAACAACCAGAACTTTCTGCCAGAGTCTACAGCCGGTGAACGTGAAGAAGAAACCTCAGCTATGACATTGTTATTTTTATGACCAGTATCTCTTGTCAAATTTATTCTCCTTCTTCTTCGTCGTCATTTTCTTCGTCGACTTCTTTGTCATCGACTTCTTGGTCGTCTACTTTTTCATCATCTTCTTCGTCGATGTCTTTATCGTCTTCTTCATCATCATTATCTTTATCGTCTTCTTCAACGTCCTATTCTTCATCATCATCGTCTTTTTCAACAACCTCTTCTTTGTTGTAGCCTTCTTCTTCGTCATCTTCTTTTTAATTGTATTCTACTTCATCGTCTTTTTCTTTGTCTTCTTCTTCTCCTTTTCTACGTCGTCTTCCGATCTTTTGAGGTTTATTGCTGCAGACAACACCCACCTCCATTCATCGCTGTGATTGGCCCTTTTTTTTCCAGCCGGTGACTACAAGTGTTTGTAGGTTTATATTAAGGTATATTATCTCTCCACCGTCTCCACCTCGTCTAGTCGACCACCTCATAAAATAGACACAGGACAATTTACACAATTAAAAAAAAAAATGAAGATGGTGAGAAAGAAAGAAGTGGCTGTCTGAATGGAGGAGAGGCTCAGACCCTCTGTCAGGTTATGGACTTTTTCTGATGGAGGCAAAAGATTTGCTTCTCACGGGACAGTCTTGTTTTGATAACCTGGGACAGGGGTCTACTCCTCTCCCCCCCCCCACCTCCCCAAATGTGGCCCCGGAACCCTCAAAGGGAGTTTCTTATGACAAATAAATTAGTTTCATATTGACATTTATAAATATTCATTACAGTTACTATCATCATCTGGATTTAGTGATCGGCCAGTCTTTAAGTAGATATTTCTCACATGATGTTTTTCAGCATGTTATCAGGATGTGGTGTGGAGGTCACAGATGACATAGATGTCAGCTGTGTGGCACATGATGATGATCTGTATGGAGTTGTCTTACATTTGGCCAGGTACATAGTTACTGACATTTAAAACATTGCCATATTGTACATTAAGTCAGGTATACAGTTACTCTAATATTACTTTTAGGTAGATATACTAAAAATGAAAAATTTGCCAGCTGTGTAAGTCCTTATATCTCTCATTAGGCCAGGTATATAGTCACGTAAACTTAAATTTAGTCAAGTACATAACTACTTTTAACATTCATTTACTTTTGATTGGCACCTTTCCCTCTTTCCAGACGATGGTGTTGTATTGCGCTATGAGGAGGCATGGGACTCACAGCCCATGGAGATGGCGAGTATGACTAGCTAGCAAGATCTGCCCACGTTAAAAAAAATTAGTGTTGCTTGCTGAGTGTTGCTTGCGCATCCGTTTAATTGCTTTCCCCTTGTGAGTCCTGGAGGCCCCTATTTTGGAAGGAAATAGAATAGACCTATGGCCTCTCCTAACATGCAAGTCAGAAAAGTCAACTAATAAGGGGTGTTCCCGTCAAAGTTGGTGTGCATCTGCCTAAAAGGCAAGGAACAAATAGTTTTCATACAAATAAGCCAGATCTGTAAATCGTATATGCACGGAAGACTCAGGTTCTGGAAAGAGACCAAAGTCCAGAAGTGGACAAATAACTAGAACTTTCCACCTGATGAATTTCCACCCTAATGAATCACTTTTTAAGACAAGCTTGTTGAGGGGTTGGGGGAGGGGCAGTGGAGTTACTTCGCCTCCCCCAATGGGGTGCTGAAGGCACACAAGAAGTGCAGAAATTGAACGTGGCATTGTATTGTGTGTTAATCAGAAGCCGCACTTCAAATACACTGTTACCTCATTGTTTACAGAATGTTTTTGCTTGACGTAGGTACCCAGACATCTTCCAGGATTCTCTAACTACTCTGGAGCCCCATATCATTGTGCAGTATCTCTTCAGACTTTGGTAAGTAGAAGATATGCTGGATTTTTATCCCTCTTCTCTGTCAGTTTCTGTTTGTTTAAGCTTTCCACATTCATTGTGTGTATGTGTGCGCATCTCTCTCTCGCTCACTCACTCACTCACTCTTCTCTGTCTGTTTCAGCTTTCCACATTAATTGTATGTATGTGTGCGCATCTCTCTCTCGCTCACTCACTCACTCACTCACTCACTCACTCACTCACTCACTCTTCTCTGTCTATGCTTTTCACATTCATTGTGTGTATGTGCGCACATATCTCTCTCTCTCACTCACTCACTCACTCACTCACTCACTCACTCACTCACTCACTCACTCACTCACTCCACTCACTCTCACTCACTCACTCACTCACTCACTCACTCACTCACTCACTCACTCTTCTCTGTCTATGCTTTTCACATTCATTGTGTGTATGTGCGCACCTATCTCTCTCTCTCACCCACTCACTCACTCACTCCACTCACTCACTCACTCACTCACTCACTCACTCACCTTCTCTTTCTGCCTGCCCCAAGTGGCTGGTCTAGAGTAGAAATGGGCATTGATGACTCTTCAGTCCAAGACCCGAGACAGGCGGCAATGAACCGCCAGATATGGAGAGCTATGACCTCTGCCCTTTGTGCCGCCCTAGGCTCAAAAGGAAAGACTAACTAACTGACTAATCTGACTTTGTCACCTGAGTTTCCATTAGTGATGCTCAATAAATCAACCTTAGTTCCTTCTTTATGCACCTTTTACAAAAAAATTTTTTTTTCATAATTACAGATCTGCTATCTCAGTTGCTTGACCATTCTGATTCTTCTTGGTTTTTGCGTTCACCAGCAATAAACCCCGGTGGAAAGTTTTGGTTGTTCGTTCACTTCTGGACTGTGGTTCTGTTCTAGAAGCTGAGTTTTGCATACGCATATGTTTTACAGATCTGACTCATTTGTATGCAAACTGCTGGTTCCTTGCCTCTCAGGCAGATGGACTCCGACTTCGAAGGAAGCTCCCAATTAGTCGACTCTTACAACACGCTTTAGGGTAGGCTCTTATTTTCTCCACAACAGGGCCCTGTAATCCGCACAGGGACCATTCTTATTCTAATTTTCTGGCATTCCCATACAAACTTAAGAACACACAACTTTTTAATAAGAAATTGTTTTTTGTTCAGTCTTTTAAAAGAATCTCTGGATGTGTCAGTTCTTTTCTTCTTCCTCGTATGGCATGTTCCATCAGATCCAGATGTCCCTTGCAGTTTAGCCTGCCTATGGGAAGTGCTGGTCCTGTTTGTTTGTTATGCCTATACCAATAAAGCAAATGAGAATTTTGAGTTTTTTTTAAATGTTTTTTTTTTTGCGGAGGCAGGAGGAGAGACCACCACGCATTTAGTTTTGCTAACCATGATGATCATCAATTTTTCTTGTTCCTCTTTGCTACCTTGTCTAGCATGTGCATGTATGCTTGCACACGTAATCAGACACATATGTATATGTATACAACATACTATATCTGTAGGTGTTTTATCCTTGCACATTTGCATGAAAAAGGTCTCGCATGTGTCCAGGACATCCATGACAATTTAAAGAATAAAAAATAATGTGAGAAAACTTTGAAAAATCCTTGACAAATGTTGGTGAATTTGGCATACGAACCATGTGGGTAGTGTTAACAAAATAATTGTCACTGTAATATAATTGCTATCTTATCTGTTATCTGTCTACAGCCATCTTGTCAATGTTGCCTATGCATTTTGTCCAGTGAAAGGACAGCCTATAGACATAGCTCAGGTTAGTCTGTAGTTTGTGTATGGGTTGTGTAAAAGGAAAGCCTTAGTTCATGACTGAGTTGTATGTCTACTTAATAAGTTGTGTGTCTGGTGCATAATCAGCTTTGTTTTCATGATTTCTGACTGCTGAGGAATTGTTAACATCCACATGGATTCTCCTAGTATTTTATATTTATCTGACAAGGATAGGTGTCTAATTCACTATCCTGGGGTAAGGGACTAGTATACAATACCTTATACATATATCGCCATCAGGATGGATTTTTTAGGTTGGCCTACCCATAAATAAGTAGATTGAGTTATTAAGTGAAGTGAAGTCAGCAAGCATGATGATGATGACTACACCAACCATCAAATGACAGATGGTATCTAAAAAAATGCAGACACAAAATTATTGCCACCACAACTGTGGAGTGAGAAGGTCTTTAGCACTATGAAATGGCACATGTTTGCCCCAGATGTCATAAATGTAAGCCACTGCACTCTCTCAGCCGCTACAGACTAAAGGGGTATTTAGTGCTGTATATCTGGTCCTGTAGTTAGAAGAAAAAGTATTGGAGAGTAGTCAAACGACAGAAAGAAATGACCAGTAGAGGCAGTTTGAGAAAACATGGTCCCCTTTGCGTTCCAGGGCCCCAGTTGGTGTGGAGGGAGAATAGACCCACTGTCTTCTTAACAAGCATGTTGTAGGAGGTGACTTAGGGAGGTTTCCTTGAACTTGGAACATATAAACCAGTTGGTGTGGAGGGAGAATAGACCCACTGTCTTCTTAACAAGCATGTTGTAGGAGGTGACTTAGGGAGGTTTCCTTGAACTTGGAACAAATAAGCCAGATCTGTAAAATGGTTGTTAATGCAAAACACAGATTCTAGAACAAGACGAAGTCTAGAAGAGGATGAATAAATAGAACTTTCTGCCAGAGTTTGCAGTCGGTAAAGGCTAGAAACAAGAAAAAACTAAGTTATTCCATTCTCTCAACCACTACAAGCTTGGGACAAAGACAAGGGTTATTTGTTGCAGTCTATCTGGTCATGTAGATAGAGGAAAGATACTGGAGGTCATCATAACGACTGAAAATATGACTTGTAGAAAAGAGAGTTTGAGAAAATGTGATGAGCTGCCCAAGACAGGACGTAGAAAAGTATCAATTGAATTAATCCAGAACAAACAAAATAGATCTCTGGAGAGACAAGAATACCTACATCATAAGCAAGTCATATGTTAATGTTAATAATTGTATGTATGTGTGTGTGTGTGTGTATATATATATATATATATATATATATATATATATATATATATATATATATATATATATATATATATATGTGTGTGTGTGTGTGTGTGTGTGCGTGTGCGTGCGTGTGTGTGTGTTACCCTAACCCAAAAGTTTTACAAGGCAAACACAGATTCAGAACCATGTCTTTTTATCTGCACAAATCTGGCCAAAAGCGATTTTTGGTTTTCGCTTTAGCAGAGTGTAGCATTCTGCAAATAGTTGACATTTACAGAAGTTAGAATGCACTGTCCTTGTTTACAATGTGGCCAGAGTTTAATATATTGCTTGAGTCTTCTGTGTTCAGACTTATGACCGGGAAACATTGCTTTGAGTATATTTACTTTGTATCCTTTTTCCACAGGCCCGGCTGATGGTATTTGTTTGTGCAAGACAGGTTCTGGGAAACTGTCTAAGGGTTCTTGGTCAAACACCTGTGGAGAAAATGTAGTGCATGTTGCATTATGGTGGTCAGTTTTGTCAAGCGCTGTGAGATTGTATGTTGCCTTCACAAAATAGAATGACTAAAACAGTGTGTTAGAACCACCAGTGATGAGCTTAAGGAGAGAATTAGACACATTCCTGTAAATCAAGAGGTGAGGAAAAGACGTTGGCATTGGATAGGACCTTTGAGTTTAAGAGCACTTGATAATATTTTAACAAGAAACAATTGTTTTCCTACAACCAACAGAAATAGAGAAGACTTAAACATGTTTGGGGAGGATATGGTGATAGGGGAGCCATTGGAAGTGTGGCAGCTAGATGCTTGCCTCAGCCTGAAGGTCTTGGGTTCAGCTCTACATGAGTCAGATCCTTTCCACTATTGATCTTACTTTCCAGGTCGACCCAGCTTAAAATGGGTACTAGATAAATTTCATGGGAAGTAAAGGTGACAGGCGTGATGTTGGCGACATCACCCACTGACTGCCGATTGGTCTATAAAATATGTGAGTTTAGCACAGGCAAAACTCAGACCCTGCCTTCTGCTGACTGGAGAATCAGCTGTACACACATGTCTTATTTGTAACTGACTCAGAGCATGTTAAGAAAGGTGGAGATGGGCATGCTCAGTGCAGAGTGGCAAGCATTGCTTCAGAGGTCCCAGGTAGTTAGCATCCTTTGGATATTTTCTCCAGGATATGCTGATGTGTTAGGAAGTGAGCAGGTAGTCAGAGTGGCCGGTTCTGCGCCACTTGGTGGTGAATTTATGTATGGCAAGCTAGATGTTGTGAGTGTCTTTTGGGAGCGAGTAAGTAGACAGAGTGGCCGGTTCTGCGCCACTTGGTGGTGAATTTATGTATGGCAAGCTAGATGTTTCGAGTGCCTTTTGGGAGCGAGTAAGTAGACAGAGTGGCCGGTTCTGCGCCACTTGGTGGTGAATTTATGTATGGCAAGCTAGATGTTGTGAGTGCCTTTTGGGAGCGAGTGTACAGTGCAGAGCACAAATAGATCATTGTGGTCTGAGGAGAGAGGCGCTGGGAGGAGTTACCAGGGATCTCAAGATAAAGGCAAGATGGGTGCACAATTTGACATTTACTGGTGCCGTTGGAATTAGAACTCTTCTCTTAATTCTGCTGAAGATGGGGATGGAACGCTTGTGGGAGTGTTCCAAATGCTGTGTTGTCGATTCTTAATTCAACATTCGACGCTTGATAGTATTTGTCCATTCTGGATAATAAAGTGATTTTGTCTATGTTTATTTTTTTTTTACTGTGTGGTAAAATGGTTGTTTTTTCCTAAGGATGTTTTCCCGGGAGTGTCTGAAACATGGAAAATATGGATATCTTTTTTCTAGATCACAGGGTGAAAGGGTTAAGTTGTGGTTGATATGCTTGACAGATGAAAGACACAAACAGATATATTGTGTCCTTCATAGATTGAGTCGTGTGTCTTTAACTCTTGCTGTGAAAATATTTTATGGGTGAGAGAAAGAGGGCGGTGCAAGCCCTTAAGTGTGGTAACGTCCCTCACCTGAGAGCTGAACATAGCAAGGTGGCTGCCAGAAATTGTTCTGTACACCTGGGAATACCGTCCCACTGTGGTAAACCAGCAAATGAATCCTTAGATCAGCTTGTGCTAAGAAAGGGGGAGAATATGAACAGGAAGACAATAAAACTACTTACTTTGTGAAATAAAGGGTCGTATCGTCTGTTACAGTTGAACAGAAAGAGACCGACAATGACTACTACTTACATGACTTGACCAGAGTAGGCCACTGCCTCCCTAAAAAGTATATCAAAGGAGTCGACTAATTGGGGGCTTCATGCGAAATCAGAGTGAAAGAAAAGAAAAGAAACCAACAGTCTGAATACAAATAAGTCAGATCTGTAATACGGATGTGCACGCAGCACTCAAGTTCTGGAACAAAACTGAAGTCTAGAGATGGAGGAACAACCAGAACTTTCTGCCAGTAAATGTGAAGGAAGAAGAGTGCAAGCTATGTCTGAGTATTTCATCACTGTATCCGTGTGGTCTGTGTGTCCTGCAAGATTGTCTCTTGTACTGCCCATTCAGAATGGAATACTGACTCAATGAGGCAACACTGTACTCAGAGCTGTATGGAACCAAAGAGGAATAAAGAGAAAAGAAAAAAGTAAAAATCCCTTTTCATACCTTTAGGTGCATTGGGCATATGAGAAGATCAGTCCATATTTTTACAGACCAATCGGCACTGGGTGGGCAATGTGGTCAGCATTACGCCGACCGTCTTTACTTCCCCAGGACATCCATAAAGAGGAACAAAAAATTGTCCGTTGGTATAAATCGGAAGCAATCACAGGACGAAGAGGATGGGAGCATCAGAAGTGCAGTGGCTTGCCTGCTGGCTTGAAGATCTTGGGACTGATTCGGCATTGATTTTTAAAAAAATTTTTATAATTGACCTTGGCACTCAGGCCAGCCCAGGGTAAAATTGGTCTCAGGAAAATGACCTGGGAGGTAAAGGTAATAGTCATGATAATTACTATGTCATCCTTTGAGTGTCATTTAGTCTGTACAAATATGGGTACTAATACTTTAATACCTGATGCCCCACTCCCATGGAAAGGGGCTTTGAAGTTAGGAGAGAGAAAGCCAGATTTTATATAGAGCTTGATACACTTGTAAGCCTGTCGTGATGTTGTCCGTGTCACCAACTGAGTGCCGATTGGTCTATGAAATATAGGTCTAGCCCTATATGCCCAGTACGCCCGACGGGCGTGGAAAAGGGTCCTTTACGTTACTAAGGTGGCAAAAAATGGTGGCCAAATGTGGCTACATATCTAAGTGTGTGGTCAAAATAGGTGTCCAAAATGGCCAAATATGGTCAGCGTTACCAATAGAGGGCTATATTGGTCAATATCTTACCACAACTGGTGGCCAAAATAGTCAAATTAAGACCAAATTGTCAATGGGAAGCCTTAAAAAAGCCAAATTATTGGCCACATAGGTGGATTAAAAATGGCTAAAGAGTGGCCAGAAAGGATAAATGGGTGGCTAAAAGTTTCCAAATGAGTGGCCAAAGATTCTGAAAAAGAGAACTGTTTATAGATTGTTCTCTACACATGTGTTCTTATGGCAGGGAAGGGAATCAGCCCAGGCTGGAGAAGGATTCCATTCACTTTGCACAGACAGGCACAGACCCACAACCGTCTGTAACTATAGTTGCACAATTTTGTCTTGAGAATTTAACTATTTTGACCCTTTCAAGTGCCGTGGCGGTTCTGGGGGAAAAGAGGGGGGGGGGGGGGGTGCTTTGAGGGCAAACCTTGATGAAAACGACGTTTGCCCAAAGATTTGTTACATGATACGATTGACGCACCCACATCAGACTACAGAAAAGTTAAAAGTCGAGAGGGGACTTCATTGCATATTTATCCCATATGGCTCGGTCTCTATTCGCAGAAAGGCTAGCCTCCTGCCGAGAGCGCCGTGCAGAGCACTAACTCCGTAGCTCCGGCGACGATCCCCAGGGACCCCCGTAAAAATTGCACTCGTGAACTGAAGGGGCTTAGCGAACCCACTACCTTCAGACTGATTGCCACGGAGACCCACCAGACTACAGGTTACTGGTAACTATAGTTACAGACGGCTGTTGGTGACCATCAGGAAAGTCGCCCCCCCCCCCCCCCCAATCCCCTTAGTGTGTTCCAGCTCCACACAGTTGTTCTGTTTTATATATATCTAGGAATAAGTTTGGGAAAAGAACATACTGAGTGGCCCGGGGGGGGGGGCGGGGATACCAATAACTGCCTTTATTGTATCAGTTTTGTGTTGTAGACATGAGGTCTTTTAAGCCTGCGGAATTAGGGTCGCATTGGTAATGGTGTCGCCACAGACTTGCACGAAACCCGACAGAAAAAAAAATCCCTAGCTTTACTTAGGATTCAAACCCGGGTCTCCCACATGAGAGCCCAGTATTATAGAACATGCACTTATATTTGTGGCCGAGCGGCTAGACGCTCGCCGCGGATCGGAAGGTCGTGTGTTCGCTCCCTGACGGAGCCGGACTATTTTCAAAAATGACCTTGGCTCCCAGGTCAACCCAGCCTTGAATGGGTACCGGGAGCAGTCCCGTGAAGTAGAGGCGGCCGGCGTGATACTGACCACATCACCCATCTTGTGCCGATTGGTCTATAAAAATATAGGTCTAGCCCTATATGCCTAAAGTTGTGGAAAAGGGTCCTTTCCTTTTTTTTAAACCTATTTTTGTAAATCTTGATTTTACTAACGTTTGATAACGGGAAGTGAAACTAGATGAACCGTAGTGTCAAAATACATTGAATAGACGAGTAACGTTTGTATTTTTTCTGCATGCTTTTAAAGACTGCATAGCCACAATGTTGATTTTGTTACTGCTGTTTGCGTCCTTGGGAATCTGACCGACCTTTCCGTTTTGTTAAATTTTTTAAATGTGCCAACTTTTGACGACTCTTCCTTGTTTATTTCTCCTCCATTTTATTTAAAATTAATTACCAGACTTCTTTGAGACCCTTTGTTAAAATCGGATCCTAAGCGTGTTGGTTTCTGTGGCCAAGACGTTGTGAACGCGCTTCGTAATACCAGTTTGCCGGGTTCGATACCAGCTGCGGGCCCTGCGCCTTGCGTTAGTTTCGACAGTGGTATCGACCGTCCAGGAAGCAATGGCAAACTAAGTTAGTTGCAGAACTGACGCAACCCCTGGCTTTTATGTTTTTTTAAGGCAAATTTACTTCCAGTAGTTTGCCATTGCTCCCTGGACGGTCGGCTTTCTTGATACCACAGTCGAAACCAACGCAAGGCGCGTAGCCCGCAGCTGGGATCGAACCCGGCATTACGAAGCGTTCGCATCGACTTAGCCACAGAGCCGTCTCAATGGCAAACTATTGGACGTAAATTTGCCCAAAAACCATATCTGAGATGTAACAAAGATTGGACTGTTGTATTCTGGTCAACCATCAGAACCATTATCTGGCTGTGTGTGGAACGTCGATCCCATCACGGATCAAGGTGTGTCTTTCTTTTCTAAACGTTTATCGGTTATAAACTCTGGCTGAAAGCTCTGGGTGTTCGTCCACTTCTGGACTTTACACTTTCTCCAGAAACTGAGTTTAACGTGATTATCCGTGTTACAAATCTGGCTTATTTGTTTGCAGACAGTTGGTTCCCCGCCTCCCGGGTAGTTAATTTTAGTTGTGTGACCTTCACAGAACGTAGCAGAACAAATCTCAGCATTTTTTTGGGGGGGGCGGTTGTTCAAAGAAAATTTACGTTTAGTAGTTTGCCATTGTCGGTGTTTGTGGCTTAAGCGTTTGCGAACAAGCTTTGTAATGCCGGGGTGCTGGGTTTGACCCCAGCTGCGGTCCTTGCGCCTTGCTTTGGTTTCGACAGTGGTATCGAGAAACCGACCGTCCAGTAAGCAGTGGCAAACTAATGGACGTAAATTTTCCTAGAAAAAACCACAACTGCAAAAAAAAAAAAAAAAAAAATGCCGGTGTTGGTTTTGCAACGTCCTGTAAAGGATACGCAACTAACTTAGTTTGCCGTTTGGGCCGCGTTAGCGCAGTCGATAAGAGGCTCGCTTTTAAACCAGCTGCAACTCGCTGCAGCCCACGGTCGGTGTTCGAAACCGGGCGGTTCCCGGGGTTCACCCAGCCTCTAGGAAATGGGTACCAGAGTTGAAACTCTGGGGTAAATGGAAGAACGTCGCTGTAGCTACAGAGTTACGTGCGAACGGCGACACAGGCGGACAATTCTTATCAGCTGTCCGTACTGGTGGCAGAGCACATATGGTTTATAACCGTGTGCAATGACGCTGGTTCACATCTCCCAACTTTACCTTTATCCATAGTTTGCCATTACCAGGAATGAGTTGCAGGGGCCGACCAACACTAAGATGGACGAAGGATATAAGTGACTTCTTGAGTATGAAAGTACATGAGGCGGGAGAACTGGCTAGAGACCGAGTTTCTTTCAGGCAGACCGTGATGAGAACGACGTTTTGCAAAAGACCTGCTTCATGATGATGATGATGAGTTTGCCATTGCCCCTTAACGGTCGGTTGTCGATACAACTGTACCCAACCAACGTAGATGCACTTATACTTAAAAGAAAACATCCCTAATTAGTCGACCTTTACGACATGCTTGTAAGGGGGTGGTGGGCCCCGGAACCCACACTTAGATGTTTTTAAAGAATCCAACTTGGCGCGCTGTACGGCTTGTGAAAGTTTGGAACACGGCCTTCTCTATATTTATTAGAGAAGGAGTGGTTTGGAATATCAACCACCAGGTCTCGAACAATCCCGTGGATTCTCTCTCTAGTCCAGCGATAGTTGCCGCTAGGCGGAGGGGGTGAATCGCCATTTTGAATGTCCCACAGTTATAGTTTTGATTAGGGAATAAACCCGGATAATCTCACCAGTCTGTCTGTTTTAAAGATCTGATCCATCTGATTATTTACGAATTTCATAATTTTGTCACTGTAGACGTTGTTTGTGGAGATATAAGCCGTCTTTCAACATTCTCCTAGACGGTCTTCGTGTGTGTGGGTTGAGTGATGATTCATGGAACGGCTGGCAGCTCCAGGTTCGGGCCAAGATGTCGCCGCCGCCTGCATCGCTTACTGTTACCAGCTCAACCAGCCCGTCAACGGTAGGCTCTTTCATGTCTTCTTTGTGGGCTTTTTTCGTGCACACTAAACACTTTTAGAGCTATCTTGTAGTGCGGTTGTAATTAAGTTGTCATTTAATTTGTAGGAATTTATTTATACGACGCGCTCCCTCTTTCCTTTTTCATTTTCATGTCGTCTGCATGTCAGGAGTTCATTGTTTTTGTTTACGTTTAAAATGTGGTGATATTTTGGTTTGGACGAGTTGTACTCCAACGAAGGACATTTTTGTGTTTGATTTCCACTGGCTTAAGAACGGAGCAGTTGTGGAGAGACCCGTCTTCAGTGCTGTTGACTGTTGGAACCTGGACTGATTGAAAGTCACTAAACACTCCCGGATTGTCTTGTGCGTTATATATTTGTTGTCTGCTGTCCTGTTTTGTTTTTGTTAATATTAGAAACAGTAGCTCTTCTTTAAACTACGGCCGGTTAGTCGGAGTTCAGTCCCTTGGCTGCAGTGCAATTTCGGAGTGGAAAAGAGAGAACAAAACAAATGACATAATTACTGTGTGTTGGCGATAGACAGCGTGCAGTGCCCTTCTGTCATCATAGGCTAGGGTTAGGGTTACAGTTAGGGATAGGGGGCACTCTTCCGAATACCGGTCCAAAATAATTCGCAGCGAAAAACATCCCTTTGGAAGCCTCAAGAGGTTATGTAGTAACAACATTTAGGCCCTCATCATCAGTTTCCACTTCTGTGGTAATAGCACGAAGGATATCAATGTTTAGACGTTAAGCTAAGCGCAGTAGGGAGGAATAGTTCTCGATCCATTGAAGTAATTTAAGGAAGACTAAATTTTGATCCAATGTTGAAGCGTTGTGGGGATGAGTAGTTTTTAATGCATTATAGCGATGTGGGTTGGGGGGGGGTTAGTTTTCGATCCATTGTTCACAGTAACTGTGACTCGCCTTGTGGGTTCCAGGGCCACATGTTTGAGAAAAAAATAATATGTTTTTCGCAGTTAATAATTTGGGACCGGTATTCGGAAGAGTGCCGGGTTAGGGTGTGGTTTAGGGTTAGGGGCATGGTTTGGGCTAGGGTTTTGGTTAGGGTATGGTTAGAGTAACACATGTAACGTCCATAATGACGGACACTATATCTGATAATTTTGACACAGCTAGCCACCGCAACCACGCAAGCTTATAGCTCATTAAGGCATACAGATCCGCAGGTGTCGCATCTAAGGCCACTAAGTCTTGCGTCGTAAGAATGCTGTCGCTAATGTGAGTCGCAGCGCGTGGTCTAGCTCTAGCAGGCACTTTGTTTTGTGATTTGTGCCTTCTCCACTCTGTAATTGCACTGTAGCCAGGGGACTGAACTCTGACTAACCAGCCGTCTAACCGGCCGTAGTTTAAAGGAGAACCGAAACAGTTGATACTCACCGTTGTTGAATATCTCTGTCTCTTCATGTTTCTTCGAGGCGAACTTTTGTATTTTGCTACCATATACTTTTGCTGTCTTTAAACTTCTGAAGGCTGTGTGTAATGTATTTTTTTTAATAACTTGTTGTTTATAGTAGTTTGCATCACATAACTTTCTTTAAAAATTTTTTTATTGAGCAGTATTGTAGTATTTAATATTAATTAATTATAATATTATATGCATAGTATTATTACAGTATACCAGACATTTCAAATTTTGTTTTGTAAACTCCAGTGAAAAGTCTGGATAATCGCCCACTTCCGGACTTTAGTCTTATTCCAGTGTTATGTGCACATCCATATAACAGATCAGACTTATATTAATGCAGACATGAGATAAACCAAAAATGAGATAAAAAGGTGACATCAGAGAAACTCTTCAACAGCAAGATGTGTCTATGGTCGAAGCGACCAGAAGAGCAAGAAGTGTCTCTCTCGACACCTGAAGCAGGAAGTCGAGAAGAAGGCCTAGAAAACATGATTAGTTGTACAAATTCTGCCTCGGTAAAGATTTCAACCATCAAGACCATCAGCCCTGCAATCAAGCATCTAGCCACTGACTGCACCTCCTTGACTGCCCATTTTGTTTGAGTAGTCTCAAAGTATGGCACAGAGACATGAAAAATGAACAAACAACTGGAAAATCGTATCAGTTCTTTTAGATGTGGATATACAGAAGATGAGGTCGTATTTCATGGAAACAAAATGTATCAAATACAGAGGTACTGAGGAAATTAGGAATGAAAAGAGAGTTGCTAGATTAAATAAAAAAGAGACAAGTGAAATATTTTGGCCACATTAAAAGACATAACAGTATTGTAAAGATCATCCTAGAGGGAAAAGTTCAAGGTAGGCGAACAAGAGGCAGACAGTGTTACAAGTGGGAGGATAAGATTAAGAGATGGACGAACAGCAGTATGAGTGAGTGTACATCAAGGGCAAGAGACAGGGCTTGTTGGAGATCCATTGCAGCCAACTTTCATTGTGGAGACCTCACCTGATTGATTGATTGAGTCTCAAAGTAATTAATCCATTTGTTTCAGTACAAGCTGTTGACAGTCAGACTGCAGCAGCTGTGCAGTCACTGCTGGACTCACAGGTGGTCACAGAAACACAAGGTAACCACCATCTCTCCCAGTTTGCTTTACTGATTCTCTTTACTGACATCTTTCATACTCATGTCTTTGATACTGACCTCTTTCATACCAACATTGTTCATACTGTCTTTCCTACCATCTTTCATACCAACGCCTTTTATACCAACGCCTTTTATACTGTCGACATCTTTCATATTGATGTCTTTGATACTGACATCTTTCATACCAACGCCTTTTATACCGTCGTCTTTCATACCATCTTTCTTTTATGTTGTCTAGTGTGTTCTTCTATCTTTTTACTTCTTTCTATGAGTGCCGTTCACAATACTTTCTGTTACTTGATTAATTCATAATATTCAACGGCCTCAAATGGCTTCCCCCCTCTGTTTATTTATAGGAATGACGTATGCACACCGGAACCTACCAATCAAATACCTTTCTTAAATGTTTGTGTATTCTAGACAAAGCAATAAGGTCTTACTGTGTTCGTAAATTGTTGCTGTGATTGTTATTCGACATTTGCTTTATTAATATAAATTTCTGTAACCTGTGGTGCCATTTCAATGGGTTGAAATGAATTCTGTCCGTATTCCATAGTCGTGGATTTCAAGCTGTACGATAGACATGGCCAATAAGACACCTTTTTTTTTTTGGGGTGCCTGGTTGACCATGTATCTTAGTGCACTTGTATTCATGGCGAGGCGCAGACGCCGTCTGTAGGTGACAGGTTCAATTCCTGGCACGGTAACTATAGCTTTCTATTTTTATGTTGTCTAGTGTGTTCTTCTATCTTTCTACTTCTTTCTATGAGTGCCGTTCACAATACTTTCTGTTACTTAATTCATCTTTCATGACATTTTTCCCACTGAAATCTTTCACACTGTCTTTCATGCTAACATTTATCTCCTTCGTTGTGAAACTTTCAAATAAATATCTATGGAGAATCCTGCGAATATTGTGGCCAGACAAGATCACAATTGAAGAATTGAGAAGGAAAAACAAAATGTTCATCCCTGCCAGCAATTATCAGAGGAAGAAGATGGAGATGGCTTGGACATGTTTGCAGAATGTGATGCTTTAGCAAGGACAGCTCTGGTGGATGGCAGATGGAAAAAGAAGACGTGGACAACCTAAGGAAATCTGGAAGACAGCAAACAAAGATAGGAAGGAATGCAAAATGACATGAGGGTCCTATGGGCAGACTGGCAGCATTAGAGATGACTTGTGAATGCCTCATGTGTCAACAACAACATGGAAAGGATGAAGTTAGTGTGGTTGAAATATTTCACTTGTCTGATTTTTATTTCTTTCAACTCTTGACAGTCCCACTCTTCTCAGAACCTCTGATTTTGTTTTCTCTCCTCCATATCTAGGATCTGTTGTGCGTATTCATAGCGCTAGAGCCTATTTGAGTATTAATTGTGCATGAATATTTGAATTTACATGTGTAGAGAGCAAGATCCCTTCTGCTGTCTCTCCTCTCTCCTCTCTCTCTTTCTCTCTCTCTCTCTCTCTCTCTCTCTCTCTCTCTCTCTCTCTCTCTCTCTCTCTCTCTCTCTCTCTCTCTCTCTCTCTCTCTCTCTCTCTCTCTCCCCACTCCCCTTACTCCCTCCCTTCCTCTTGATCCTCTTCTTGATACTTGCTGACTGGCATAAATAGTCATGTCTGTTGTCTAAGACTCGAAGGCTGCTTTTTCATTCACACAGACCTGCTGCAGTTAGTCTTGTAACTTTGGTTGGCAGTCTCCTCTCATTCTACAATCATTACTTTAGCAGATTATTTCATCTGAACCTGCTGCACTTAGTCTTGTAACTTGGTTGGCAGTCTCCTCTCATTCTAGGATCATTACTTTAGCAGATTATCTCATCTGGACCTGCTGCACTTAGTCTTGTAACTCTGGTTGGCAGTCTCCTCTCATTCTACAATCATTACTTTAGCAGATTATCTCATCTGGACCTGCTGCACTTAGTCTTGTAACTCTGGTTGGCAGTCTCCTCTCATTCTACAATCATTACTTTAGCAGATTATCTCATCTGGACCTGCTGCACTTAGTCTTGTAACTTTGGTTGGCAGTCTCCTCTCATTCTAAAATCATTACTTTAGCAGGTTTACCGACCTCGTTTTGGAAGAAAAAGTTGTATCCACTGCCCCTTAATTAGCATGTTGTAAAAGGTGACTAATGAATGATTTGCTGACGTCAGATGTGTTAGGTTGAAAGGTGTAGATATTACAGCATACCTGAACACATCAAAGCATGCCAACTATCTTTTTAAAAGCAGATACAGAAGAAAAAGGAAGAACTGCTCCATTGCAGTCAGGAGTTATTTTACCCCTTGTATGTATTATTCTGTATGAACTTTGCCCCTTTCATTTCTTTTATAACTTTTAGGTGGGTATAACATTTCTAAAGTCTGTGAAAGTAATTTTTATCACTCAAGTTTTATTGTTTGTTACTTTCAGAAGAAGAAGAGGAGGATATATTCCAATGTGGGAAGTGCAAGAAACAGTTCAGGTCATTGTCTAGTTTTGTAGCCCACAAGCAAACGCAATGTGTCATTCAGCAGCAGCAGCTACAACAGCAGCATCAGCAACAACATCAGCTGCAACAGCAGCAGCAGTCATTAACACTACAGCAGTCTCATCCTTCACGACTAACCCTCAGCAATGGACAAAATGCATTTGCTTCAACCATCAGTCACATAACTGGGGCATCCACTATCAGCTCTCTGACTGGGACATCAGCGATAAATCCTTTGGGTGGAGTTTCAAATATCAGTCACCTCACTGGAACCATGTCCCAGAATGCAGTAACCACTGTAAGTTGATGCTTGTCTTATTCTTCTTCTTCTTTGCGTTCACCAGCTGTAAACTCCAGCAGAAAGTTCTGGTTGTTTGTCCACCCCTGGACTTATAGTCTTGTTCCAGAACCTGAGTGTTGCGTGCACATCTGTTTTAACAGATCTGATTTAATTGTATGCAGATTGTTTGTTGCATGCCTCTCAAGCAGATGCACTTAGCTTTGAAGGAAGCTCCCAGTAAGTCGATTCTCACATGTTTTTGGGTAGGCAATGTGTCTGTTCTTGTTTTTCCCCACAATGGGTCCCCAGAACCCACATGGGGAAGTTGATGCTTGTGTTTTATTTGTTAATTAAAAGGACCCTTCTTCTGCTTCAGTCGGGCATGTAGCGCCTGACCTATATGTTTTATAGGGGAGCTGCTCTGGTGTAGTGGCTGGACGCTCGCCTCAGGCCTAAAGGTTACGTGGTCAAATCCACACTAAGCTGGACCCCAAAAAAAATTCAACTTAGCCTTAAATGAGTACCAGGTAAAGTCCTAGGAAGTAAAGGCGACTGGCATGATGTTAACCAGATCACCCAGCGAGTGCCGTTCGATCTGTAATCTGTGCTGACTTTTTCTTTTATGACCTCATTCCTGTTCTGTCTTCTGGTCAACTCCTGCGGCCCTTCTCAGACATCTCATTTTCTTCTTCTTCTTCAGCATTCTGAGCCCTTGAGGTTCATTGCTGCAGATATCACCCGCCTCCATTCATCTCTCTGGTTGGCCTTTTCTTTCCAGTTGGTGACACCAAGTGTTTGCAGGTCTGTCTGGATATTAAATCTCCATCGTCTTCTTGGTCTGCCTCATGGTCTATAATCATTCATCTCCCTCGTGTGTACAGTTTTTACTTCTCTGTCATCCGACATTCTTTCCACGGCTACTAATGTTCTTTTCCAGTTTGTTGTGGGTGTCCATGTCTGGCACTGCTAGCATAGGGTGGGAATGAATATGCTTTGTATGAGACGTTTCATTATGCTCATTGGGATTAACTTATGCTGTAAGAAGGGAGCTAGTGTCCTTGGTTTACTCTGTAGCATCAGCTGTTAGTTTCATCAAATTTCCCACCTTCTATGAATGTTGTTCCAACATATTGAAACTCAGATGCCTGTTTGCCTTTGCACACTACTGTTATATTTAGGTTCTGCTTCTTTCTTCCTGTTGGCATTGCTTTTGTGTTTTCAGTGTTGATTCTTGTATTATTTTGTTTTACATTCTTCATTCATAGATGTTAGATGTTTCATGGCTGCATCTGCTGTTAAGGCCTTGTCATCAGCAAAGAGTAATTCATCGATGTTATTAATGTTGAAGTGTATAGACCCATAGGTCTCTGGACCTCATTGGGCAATGCGCTTATTGGGTGATGTGGTCAGCTTTCCAACAGCTACCAGATCACCCATTTTATGCCATATATAACACAAAATTGACTAGAAAGTTCAGCAGAGGCAATAGAAAAGACATAACGCCTTCTTACTTATTTCATTTCCTATTATAACCTTCATATTCGTACTTTTCCCCTCATCACGTACTTCTTGGTTCCATGTTGACCTTGGTTTTTTTATTAGCTCTGTTGTCTTGCCTGTTGAGTTTTCTGGTCACAGTTTTTGCTGTTATTTAGTACTCTGTTGATAAAGACTTTGGTCGAAACGTTTGGTTGTGTGTGAGTCTTTTCCATTCCCTCCGTAGTGATTTATAGCCAGTTTTATGCTATGTTTGGCATTTCTTGCAGTCAGCTCGACTGCGGTCACCTCCTATTTATGTCACCAATTTTGTGGCAGATCTGTAAAAATTACACCTATACTGGAGATTCATCTATATCCCACTGTATTTTTGTAACTGACAATGTGTTTGTGTTTCAGATGAATCCAACAGCACCAATTTTACAAGCTCATCCTTGCCTAACTAGAACTTTGAATCAGCCTAGTCGCGTGGTAAGGCTTAGTAATGTATAGTGTTGTTTTTTGTGTTTTCATTTCTCTTCTGTGTCTCTAACGCTACACAGTCGGGTAGTTTGTGCATGCCTGTGACCTCAGGTTATGCCAAGTCTGGGCAGACACTTGTCTGTGGGATATCCTGGGCAGACATTAGTCTGTGGGATATCCTGGTCAGACATTAGTCTGTGGGACATCCTGGTCAGACATTAGTCTGTGAGACATTCTAATCAGACATTAGTCTGTAGAACATCCTGGTTAGACATTAGTCTGTTGGATATCCTGGTCAGACACCGAGTCTGTGGGACATCCAAGTCAAACATTTGTCTGTATGACATCCTGGAGTTTACAGCCCATGAATGATAAGAAGAAATTATATATAAAATTGTCTTTCTCTTCTTCGCTTTCTCAGAACACCACCATCCATGTTTTCTGCTTCAGACAACCTTGTCTTGTTTAATTTATTTTGTAACTTGTTTTTATCTCAGTGAGCAAAGAATTCCTGTTGTCCCAGCCAGCTGTTACTAAACCCTCTTCTGTTCTCGACTTTAGTAACCTAACCGTCTTAGTCTCTGTCAGTTATTCATGAACTTGTGTGATACAAATACCAAGCAGCTGACAGTGCATTCGTTCTCAATCAGAGTGAAGGATCCTGTTTATGCATGCAGCAAATCGGGTAAATGATTCTATAATCATTTAAAAAAAATAATAGTTTCCATGTGGGTTCCGGGATTCCATTATGGAGGAACAGAAAAATAGACTCATTACACCCTAACAAGCACGTCATAAAAATTGACTATTATTGATGTTATTTCAAAGTCAGAGTGCACCTCTCGGAAATAAGGAACAAACAGTCTGCATACAGATTAGTTAGATCTGTAAAATGGATGTGCATACAGAATTCGAGTTCTGGAACAAGACTTAAGTCCAGAAGTGGATGAACAATCACAGCCTTTCTGCCGGAGTTTACAACCGGTGAACATATTTGTATAGACCAGTTGGCACTCAGTGGGTGATGTGTTCAGCATCAAACTGACAGCCTTTACTTCCTAGAACTTTACCTAGTACATTTTCCCCCCAAAATGGGTTCTGGATCCCACTTAGGGAAGAAGAAATGGTGAACCTAATTTGTTTCCACTCTCAGGGAACGTTAACCCTAGGTCTCATGCCATCTTATCCTATATCTCAGCAGTCATGGAACATGGTGTTTACGGTAGAGCTTTATCATAAAGTAGTTCATGGCCCAGAGGAGTGGCAGCAGCCAATATATCAGCTTGCTCATTACCCTGCTCTTTTTAGTCCATTACTGGTTGGAAGAATGGGGGAAAAAGAAACTGAACTTGAATAAAAATATTTCCACTTTCAGCCAACGTTAACCCTAGGACCAGTGCCATCCTCTCCCATATCTCAGCTGTCACAGAACATGGTGTTTACAGATGAACTGATGACTCTCTCAGGCCTAGACACTGCCACACTAGGGGCTCCCACTATTCAAATGGTATGTGTGAAACATAGGCTTGTTTCTTTCTTTGTGCTAGTGTTTCAGTGATCTTGCATATGTCTGGTGAAAATTCTAATATTTATGTAGTCGACTAATTGAGGGCTTTCTACAAAGTCAGAGTGCATCTGTCCGAGCTTCAGGGAACAACCAACTACTCAGAAATAAGCCAGTAAAATGGATGTACACGCAAAACTCAGGCACTGGCACAAGCCAAAATCTAGATGGATGAAAATCCAGGACTTTCCACCGCAACTTACAGCCGGTGAACGAAGAAGTAGTTAAATTAGGCATGCTTTAAAAAGAATGTGAATTTTTTTGTTTAAAATTACTAATCAGTTATGGCTTATGGCAACATGTCAGATTTTCTAGTTTAAGTATAAAAAATTCATGTTTTTTTTTTTCAATATTACTGAACTTGAAATTGCCTAGTAGAATTACAAACTGCCAAATAATGCTGGTGTTGGTTGTTGAATGTCCTGTAAAAAGTTTACACAGCTTACTATAGCACTATTTGGAAATATCCAGTTTAAAAATATAATATTCCTGGCTTATAGCACCACGCGAAAGTATTCAGTTTACCAATATATTAGTCCTGGCTGTACATTTAGACAAGTTTGGGAGCAGGCCATTAAAAATGACGATGAACTGAATAAAGTTTGTAGATCAAGAAAAAGCTGTTATAGAGTAAATATTATTATTATTATTATTATTATTATTAGAAACAAACTGGGCTATTCTTAAGAATAATCGGATACAAGGACAGTTGCTAGATAACATCGTGGCCATGTACCAGACTTCCCAAAGCGTAATGAGAACACGAGAAGGCATACCTTATATGTTTACAGTCAATACATGGCAGGCGCTACACATGAAGAGATCTTAAGTGAAAACAAGAGGCCGTCATAGGAGAACATGGATTGATGACATTAAAGAGCTTCTTCATCGACACTGAATGACAGTATTCATTTCTGCCCATCAAGCAATGGATCACAGACAGTTCTTCCCCACAACACTTAACGGCAGAAGTGGACATTGATGATGATGATGATAGTCCTGGCTTATGGCACTATGTGAAATATCCAGTTTAATAATATATTGGTCCTGGCTTGTGGCACTATGTGAAATATCCAGTTTAAAAGATATTGGTCCTGGCTTATGGCACTATGTGAAATATCCAGTTTATTAATATATTAGTCCTGGCTTATGGCACTATGTGAAATATCCAGTTTATCAATATATCGGTCCTGGCTTATGGCACTATGTGAAATATCCAGTTTAATAATATATTGGTCCTGGCTTAAAGCACTGTGTGAAAATTTCCAGTTTAATGAGATAATAGTCCTAGCTTTTGGCACTGTGTAGCAGTAGGTGAAATATCCAGTGTAATAATATTGTGATGGCTTGAAGTTTCTAGACAGTCTTTTCCCATGGCATTTAGGGGTGTCAGCACACGAACGATACATGCTGTTAAAGATCACAGATTGCGGCAAGGCATGATTGTCCACACCAGTTAGCAAAGCACATGATAATGATGAAAATAACCAGTTTATAATGATACAGTCGGAGCTTATAGCAGTGTGTAAAAATATCTAGTTCAATAATGTTGTCATGGCTTGTAGTAGTGATTTTGTTCAGTGTTATTATTCAAGTGCTGGCTTATAGCAACAAGTCTTCTTCTTCTGTTTTGCCCTTAAAAGGGGGGTTGGCATGTTGTGTTGTGGTTTTAAGCTAGAGTGCAGTATCTGCTTTTCAGCCCAATACATCTAATTTAGGCAAGCTCCTAATAAGTTGCCTTTTCAGCATGCTTGTCAGGGGCAGTAGTTGGGTCTGTGATGGCAACTTGAGAAATACAATCATCAGCTGTAGTTTAATCATATGAGAACAGTTAAGTTTACTCCACGGTGGATTTGTGTTGCAGATGACCGGCTCTATACACGGGCAGACAGGAAACAACACCAGTAACCTGACCATATTCAGCCCCATGGCTGGCCTGAACACCACCAACAACAACAACGGACTGACATCAACCACCACCTCCGGCACCGGTCAGCTCCTGGTACAGCCTGGCCAGCACATTACCTTGACCTCCATTACAGACAAATCCATTCAGCAGCATTTGTCCCAGTCTCTGCCTCCTCCACCACCGGTTACAGTTACGGTATCACAACCGGCGCAGCAGGCTGTCCAGTCTCAGATGTTCAAGCCAAGTCCTACAAAGGCTGGTAAATAAAACTTTTCTGTATTATATTTTGCACAAGGATCATTCAGTCGGTCAGGAAACCACCAGTCCCAGCACAAGATGACTATTTTATTATAAACAGATCAGAACAAGTCATTATCCTTGGCCTCAGAACAGGGCACAACCGATTACATAACCACATGTACACAAAATTCAAGAGAGCGTACCAGCCATTTGCACCTGTGGTGAGGTGCCACAGACAGCTGAGCATGCACTACTCCAGGACTGCACTGAATTTGACACATTAAGGCAAACCTTGTGACTAGAAAGAACAACAGTGGAACATAAACTCTATAGACCACTGACATTTAACATTTAAATTTATAGGAGAGACATTGGGTGCTTTATTTATATCCTACCCCAAATGGGGGAAATCCACAGGTCACAGTATTTCACGGGGTGGTAGATAGGCTACATGCAGTTGTGGGACCTAGGCTGCACTCTCTCGTGGAACATAGGTGGGTTGGGGTTAGGGCCAGTTCTAGATATTTTGGGTTCGTTAAATGCGCCAGAAAGCCGGGTAACAACGTTGGACTGTCCTGTGACTTAATCTGGGGTAGGATATTAATAAAGCACCAAAATTTGCTTATATAAACAACTAATTTCAGGTGAACGAAAGAAGAGAAAGAAATTTTGCATGCTTATCTGTGCTCAGTTATCCCTTACCTTTTTTTTTAAAAATAAAAAACTAGTTCTTCTTGGCATTCATCATCATCATCCTGTAACACTACGTGTCGTTGGGTCATCAGTTTGTGTTGACTGACTGATCAGCTCTCTCCACCTTTGGTGGTCAATTGTGATGAACTTCATGGTTGCATGCCTGAGGCTTGTCCAGTCAGTCAGGTTCTGTAACCAGGTCTTTCTTGGGCTGTCTCTTCTCCTCTTTCCCTCAACTGAGCCCTGCAGTATTGTTTTTTGAGAGGCCGTTAGATCTTATTACATGTACATACCATTGCATTTTTTTCACCCTTTCACTGTAGTTAAAAGAGGTTCATAGTTGTCTGTGCTGTATAATTTTTTTAGCAATCAGCAACTGTAAATTCCAGAGGAAAGGTCTAGTTGTTCATCCTCTTTGAGAACATCAGAACATCAAATTTTTGTGTGCATATCTATTTTACGGACCTGGCTCATTTGTATGCAAGCTGTTGGTTCATCGCCTTTCAGGCATCATTGCTAGATCTGTGGGGTGCAGAGGTGCTGAATCACACGTGGTTGTGCATCAAGACCAGGGTTCACTGGTGAACACCTGCCTACACCTCCATGCTCCTCCTAGCAACATGTTTCCGATCAGCCTGGCCAACAGAGATAGGATCAAGATGTCCTTTGCAGCTGGAGTGTACCTGCCTGAGAGGTCAGGAACAAACAGTCTGCACATAGCTAAGCCAGGTCTCTAAAATAGATATTGCACTCAAAACAAGTTCTGGAAGAGTCATGGTCCAGAAATGGACAGCCAGGCAAAACTTTCTACCCGAGTCCACAGCCAGGGAACAGCCAGGGAACACGGAGACAATAAAAAGAAGATGGGCCTGTGAGCCCTAATTATTTCTGTTAGTTTTCTGTAGAGCGGCATGGAGTAAATCTACTTCTGATTTCAGGTCGCAGGTCAGCTCAGAATAAATTGATTACAGTTGTCAACGCAGACAACAGTGTCAGTTTGTTGAGTGCCAGGTCAGGAAAAACAGCAAAACATGCCAAGAACAACACAGAGGTGTCACAAGAAGAATTGAATGCCAAAATAAAGTTACAGGTTTGTGTTTAAACAAAAAAAAAAAAACTTATTCATCATCATTATCATCACCATTACGTGCCGTGTCGGGAAGCGTGGGCTGTCATGTTTCACCATCGCACACAATCACCAGAACCACAGATCAAGTCTTTGTTCTTGTCTCACGACGACTATCGCCAAGCTGTCCAGATAGTCTCTTTGTCTTTTTCATGCGCTCTTTCCATGAATCTTGCCAGTCGTTACCAAGTTCTGGAGTCCATTCCTTCCCATAAGATGTCACGTGAATCCCGACTGTCTGTGTCTAATTTTTCTCATCAGTTTGCGACTTTCATCTCTTTCGATGGCTGGAGCTTTGTTTTTCTGCCACTCCATGGTGATATTAATACTTCTTCTTCTTCTTCACTTCCTCTTTTACCGCTGTGGGTGTCGAGGGAGATATAAGGTTCTGTTTCTAGCTCTTCTGGCTGCCTCGACCATAGGCACATCGTACTGTTGTAGAGTTTCTCTGATGTTATCCTTCCATCTTGTTCTTGGTCTACCCCGTGCTCTACGTCCTTCTTCTCTTCCCATGTATGCTTTGTATGGTATGGTGTCACAAGGCATTCTCTCTAAGTGGGCAAACCATTTCACTTGTTGTCTTTGTATGTAATCCAGAATTGGTTCTGTGCCGACTTGTTCTCTTATGATCTCATTTCTGATCTTATCTCTTATGGTCACTCCTACAGCCCTTCTCAGACATCTCATTTCCGTGGTTACTAATTTTCTTTTATGGTTTGTTGTGAGTGACCATGTCTGGCACTGGTAGCACAGAGTTGGAATAAATATGCTTTGAATAAGATGTCTCTTTGTGCTGATTGGGATTGTCTTATGCTGTAAGAGGGGGGCTAGCTGTCCCAATACTTGGTTTGCTTTACTGCATCTAAAGTCAATTTCTTTATCCAATTTCCCATCTTCGGTAAATGTAGTTCCCAGATATTTAAACTCAGCTGCCTGTTTAATGCCTTTGAATTCTATTGTTATGTTTAGATCTGTCTTATATTTTCCTATTGACATTACTTCTGTCTTTTCAGTGTTGATTCTCATATTATTTGTTTTACATTCTTCATTCATGGATGTTAGATGTTGTTGCAATTTCATAGCTGTATCTGCTATCAAGGCCTGGTCATCTGCAAAGAGTAATTCGTTGATCTTACTAAGATCTTCATTCATGGGCTTGGCATTCTTGCATATACTGTCGATGTAGGTGATAAACAGCAGTGGTGATAAGACACACCCCTGTCTTACTCCAGATGTCACTGTGAAAGGATGAGATGTTCCCTGATTTATTCTAACTACACTTGATATTAATACTGCTCGTGCTTATTTAAGAGCCGCCTTACCCCTGCAGGTAGATTTTCTGCCTTCTGGTCCAAATGTTGGGTTTGAACCAGCACCTGGACTGGTTACCAAATAGCAAGTTTTTTTTTTTAGAGAATGTCACAGTCAGGCCACACATAAAAGTATCTCTTTCTCTAGCCAGTTCTCCAGTTCTGTGTGCTTTTAAAGAAAACACATCTTCATTGTCTTTTATCCACTTTTGCCGTCTGGTCCTACCTCGTTTTCCTGAAACTGCACTCTTCACCGTTCTCTCCAGGCCAACATAACATTTTAACAAGTTCAAAATACCTCAGCTGTCGGGACAGGATGCTGTGCAATTCTCCTCGATGCTCAGTTCATGAATTATATCGATGTTTTTCCTCTTCTTGGTCCATGATATTGTAAGAATTTTTCTATAGCATTTTAGCTCAAAAGCTCCAGTTTTGTCTTCATTGATTGAATAAGAGCCCCTGACTCAAATCGATAAGTTGCCATGGGAATGATGCTTTATCTCAAAACTGTTGATTTTAAGTTGCTTGTAGGTACTGCGCCATAGATTCTTTCTGCTCTTTAGCCATTGTTGAGATTAAAAATTCAAAATATCTTTACACTTTTTTTTTCTTTTCAAAATCTTGTCTTTATCAGTCTTAATATGTGGTTGTTGGGTGTGATCTACTATAATCTCCCCAGCCAAACTAGGTCACGGTCCATTGATAGATTTTTTTAGACCGTCTGCTGTCCGGGGGGTCTGGATTGTCTTGCATTTACGTTTTTCTTCTTAAAAAGAGAATACATGTGACATAGGTTGCAGCACTCTCTAGAGTGGTTGTGGGTTAGACCCAGTTGTAAATGTTTTTGTAGCTTAAAAGCTTAAATATACAACATGCGATATAAACACATTGCCGAAAACCCCCTAACAGTGTGCGAAAATCGGGTGACCGGGAGGCCGACCAATCATTAGTAAACTTATGTGTACCGTTTGTAGGTTATAGTGGATCATACTGGTTGTTGTGCTGAATTCATAGTGGAGATTATTATTATTATTTTAAATTCAGAAAAATATTTTTTTCTTCCGCTGTTTTTTGCCTGCATCGGTAGATTTGTACAAAAAAATGATCTTGCCTTACAGGTTGACACAGCCTGAAATATGTACCAGGAAGTTTTCTAGGTAGTTAAGGTGACCATTGCAATTTTGAAAATGGGTATATTTGTACTAGTAATAGTCCGTTATACGAAAATACGAAACCTTTTTTTGTGTGTGTTAAATTATAAATAAGATATTTCTTTGATGTAATCACTACTCCTGTTTTCTTAATATTCAGTGAAAGTCCTTTCTTAGCACTCTCCATCCCCATAATATCCAGCAGTTGTTGTTAATTAGTTGCATTTTCAGTTAACACAAATTGTTTGTATTGTATCCTCCAACTGTTATTTCTGCTTTCTCTTTAATTTCCCTCTAAATTACTTCACTATATAAAGAGAAAAGGTCTTAATCCTTGCTTTAACTGTTCAAAAGTACCCAATCTGTTTCCCACTTTAATATCTGCTACTTGGTTCCAGTAAACGTTTTAAATAATTTTGAGATCTTTTCCGTCTACATTGATCTCTTCCAACATTTTTATCATCTACTTATGTTTAACTTTGTAACACATATACTTTTATTCAAAAATTCACTTATTTTATCCTGAAATCTGTCTCTCTCTCTCTCTCTCTCTCTCTCTCTCAGTGTGAGTACTGCAATAAGGAGTTCACCAAGAACTTTGACCTTCAGCAACATGTCCGAGCCCACACGGGGGAGAAGCCCTTCCAGTGTATCGTCTGTGGTCGAGCTTTTGCCCAGAAGTCTAATGTGAAGAAACACATGGCTACGCATAAGGTTTGTCCAAAAGTTGTTGTCTGAATCTTTTTCTGTGTTTACTCGTAAAAGGATGACTGGCATGTTATGTTGTGGCTTACAGCTTGGCTGTGATGTTTGCACATTTTGGCCCAACACATTCAGTTTTGGCAGTTCCTTAATCAGTCACCTTTTATGACATGCAAGTTAACTTAACTCTTTTAGTCCTACAAATCCCTCTGTGGGTTTGAGGGCCATATTGTGGGGGGGGGGGTGGGGGGGGGGGGGGGGGGGGGGGGCCAAACTTCTTCTCTCTCCCCCCCCCCCCCCCCCAGCGAAAGCATGTAGTATAAGTGGACTAATTGGTGGGAGCTTCCTTCAAAGTTAGGAATGCATCTGCCCAAGTGGCAAGGAACAACTAACTGCACACAAATAAGCTGGTAAATTGGATATACACGCAAAGCTCAGGCCCTGGCACTAAGCCAATTTCAAATTGGACGAATAACCAGGACTTTCCGTAGGAACTCATAGCCCGTGAACAAAGTAGTAGTCCTACACGGTCACAGATAAAGTCAGAGGGAGTTCAGAATGGCTTAAGCTGATGCCTGTACGACTTCCAGGGGGGCCAAAATACACCACTCTTCCAGGAAACAAATATGTTCTTCAGTCTCTCACTAAATGTGAGATGTTAAAAATAAACAAAAATTTGACCGTTGCTCGGGAAGAATACCAAGTCATACATGGTGTGTTGTTTAGGACAGAAAGAGTTAAAGAGCAGTTAGTCTATTCCTTTTTCCTCCAAAAATGGGGCCCCAGAACTGACACGGGGATGTAGCATCATATGTCCGATGTGCCACAGGCATTAATAGGGTTCATGAAATAATTATTCATGTGGACTGGTTGTGATTAGGTCTGGGTTGATTGTATTTCCTTCTGACACACATGTGTCAGAGATTCAACTGGCCAGTTAGAGCATGTGATTTCTTCAGTGAAGTGGTTTTGTGCATTCTTCATGTTTGTAGTATTGTATGTTCATGTAATGTGCTGACGAAGGCTTTCTAGTGGAAACATTAACTTGTGATATTATGAAGCTGAGTGGTTCTACTGTTTTGTTCAGCTTGATATGGGGTCATTTTTCCTTCAAGGGATTTCAGTATTTTATCATCTGAACACGATTTTGTGTCATTTCCTTCAAAGGTTTTAAATATTTTATCGTCCTGAACACGGTAGCGGGTCGTATTTCCTTCAAGAGATTTCAGTATTTCATTGTCCTGAACACAATATCATGTTATATTTCCTTTAAAGAATTTCAGTATTTCATCATCCCGAACACAATATCAGGTCATATTTCCTTCAAGGAATTTCAGTATTTCATAGTCCTGAACACAATATCCGGTCATATTTCCTTAACAGGATTTCAGTATTTCATCCTCCTGAACACAATATTGGGTCATATTTCCTTCAAGAGATTTCAGTATTTTATTGTCCTGAACACGATATCATATTTCCTGTAAGCAATTTCAGAATTTCATCGTCCTAAAAACTATATCGTGTCATATTTCCTCGTTTTATCGTTCTGAACACGATATCGGGTCATATTTTCTTCACAGGATTTCAGTATTCCATTGTCCTGAACACCATATCATATTTCTTTAATCAATTTCAGTATTTCATTGTCCTGAACACCAACAGATCGGTTTGTTTTAAACCTCCCACCTTGGAAATGAAACTCTAGTACATGAATTGTTAAATGCAGTCATCAACCTCTAAGTCGTAGAGCCGCAAGAAAGGAAAAGACAGAATAAATATTTTAGCCTAATTGAAAGAAATGACATCACAGCACTCGGGGCATTCTCATATGTGCTCCGTCCTCATCTTCAGCAGCCAACGAAGAGTTCCAGTTCCGATGGCACTGGTGACAGTCTGATTGTCTGTCCATCTTGCCTTTCCTCTTAGTGCGGAGCATTTGCCTGATCCCCTGGTCACTTCCCATTGTGATAGGTTATGGAAGTGAAATGCTTACCATAACAAAAAATCAGCTGATGAAACTTGAACACAGACAGAATGAAGCCATACAGGTGGTTCTGGGATGTACAAGAGATACCCTAGTAGTATGTATGCGATATATACATGCCCTGCTGACTTTTGCAGATAGGCTCAAAGTTCTGCAAGCGAACTATTACCTCAGAGTAGTTGCAGACAAGAAACACCCCTCGCACGAACCTCTAGATAGATCTAAGGATCACAGACTGAAAAGAGGAAGGTCTTTCATGGCACAGGCAGAAGATACAATTAGACCCATGTGCTTGTTTGAAGATATTTGGCAAGAAGATGAGTGGTTCAGAGTGGCCAGGCAGCAATCGGACTTCTGTAGGGTTTTAACAATGGACAGCAAATGCTGATCACACACATAGGAACTGTAAAACATCAAATGTATTTGTAGTATTATCTTAGATGTAATCAGATATGTAACAGACTCATAAGATGGCCTTTCTGGGTGCTCAGGTGTGGCCTTGTGGGACCTCCAACACATTACCCAGACAGCCGGATCCTGTCGTTTTGGACAAAGGGCAGTCTCAGACCGTCACTGCGGAAGTACCCTCATCTGTATCAGCAGCAGCGGTGATGACCTCAGCAGCGGTAATGACCTCCATGGCTGTAGTGACCTCAGCAGCTGTGATGACCTCCGCAGCTATGATGACATCCACAGCTGTGATGACCTCAGCGCCCGTGGTTTTGTCCAGCTCTGCTAACTGTGCTGTCAGTGCCAACGACCAGATAGCATTGAAATCTATGGCCCATAAGGTTGGTGATGGTGTGACATATTTCTTCTTCTTGTTGTTCATGCTTGGTAGCGTTAGTAATCTAGTAATCATTGTTTTCCACAGCTTCCTGTCTATCTAGTGAACTGTCAACCATTTCTGATACATATTTTCTTCCATGCCATGATGGCAAACTGTCTGACATCGCTTTAGTTGTCCCTATGCTTCTTTTCATATCCAAATTCTTCTTCTTCACTTCATGCAGTTACTTAATTGAAGTGTTGGGGAGAGATGTAAGGTTCTTTTGTGAGCTCTTTCTGATGCGTTGTTTCATCTGGTCTTCATTTCATTGAGGCTGTGCTTGATGCCGTCGGTCCATCTTCTGCATGGTCTTCTGCTGGCTATATTTTCATTATATTTCTTCAGCGTGGCTCTTTGTGGCAGCTGGTACCACACAGTTCTCGTTAAATGGCGACAACCCTCTCATCTGTTGCTCCTAAAAAAACCTTATGACTGGTTTCAATCCTGGTAGTCTTTACTCAGCGGCTAACATTTTAAAAACAGTAATCGTCACGGACCAGAGGCCCAAGCCTCAGCATATAAAGATAATTGATACAATACAAAAAGCGGTGGTTTGCTAGGCCTCCGCATGCTGAATCTGGCCTGCTCGCCGCCAGTTGAATAACCTTGTTCTAAGATATCTCGCCTCTACCTTACGATTTTGCCCTCATTAGTTTTAGAAAGAGTCCATGTTTGACACTGGTAGCGTAAAGTTGGACAAAAAAGGGTTTACCTGCACACTTTCAACTCAAAAACTAATGATTTAAAAACTATTTTTGTTCGCTATAAAAATCCCTCAGATGTTGCTTTTTAGTATATGTAATTCCCAACTTTTCTAAAAACTGCGCAGTTGCAAACAGTACCAAGGCCATTAAATAGACATAGCGTGGACTGTCCATTGTGTTAATGCCAAAATTGTAGCCGTATTGTTGGAAAGCTTAATAATATGAATATTGAAATTTTGTTGGGGTTGCTCACTTGAAATCATAATTATTATTATCTCCCACAGCTGAGTGCTCTGAAGTCGTGCAGCCAATCAGAGAGTGATGAGAAGGTGCCAAAGATGAAAGTTGTTGTTGACAACTCATACATATGCCAGTACTGCCCGACCAAGTTTAAAACTTACTACCAGTTGAAGAGCCATCTTGTCACACACAAATGTGAACAGGTCAGGTCTCCTTTGTGTTGTTATGATGTACATGTGTGGTGTTTTTGTATGGTAATATGCGATCTTGTGGTGTGGTAATGTTTTATTTTGTGGTGTGGTAATGTGTGATCTTTTGGTGGGTAATATGTGGTCTTGTGGTGTGGTACTGTTATATTCTAGCATGGTAATGGTTATTTTGTACTCCTTTTTGTGTACTCTAAACCAGCTATGTCCTTCTCCCTTGTGAAAATGAGTGTTGATTCTTGTTGTTCTTTGTTTTGTTGTGTCACACTGTTCACGAGGTTCTATTACCCAGCTACTGAGCTGAGTGCTTGGTGTGACACTGTGAGCTGTGGATTTTATATGGAGTGTTTTTCTCTTGGAATAGTGTGTACTTATGCCATGTTGCATTTACAGTGCCAGGTCTCGTAATTGACTGCTTGCATCAGCAGAGAGCTGCAATTCTGGTGTGGGACTCTTAGTTTTGGAACATCTAACAGCTGCCTTGTGCATTTACTTTGCATGCGCAGGCTTCACAGTTTTGCTGAGGCTCATGTTTTTCACTATTTTTCAAAAGGGATAATGTCGAAAAATGTGTGATTTTCAACTGGCACATGAACGGAGCAGTTATGGGATAACCCACGTGCAGTGCTGTAGGAACTTCGACCAATGACTAGAATCTGTTGGCACTGTGCAGCTGTCCGATTCAATAATTAATTGATGCTTTCCTGCTTGTTGTCCAGGTGTACAAGTGTGTGATGAAAAGCTGCGGGCAGGCGTTCCACGACCTGGATGCTTTCTTGGAACACGTGAAGACGCACGAGGAAGAGATGAACTACCGCTGCCACCAGTGCCATAAATACTTCAGGAACCTCTACGAGCTGGGAGTCCACCAGTACTCACACATCTACATGAATCAAGGCCTCAAGTCTGGGCCCAGGTCAGTTTTTGTTATCTGCCGCAGTTGATGACCCTTTTCTCAGTGTTATCTGTCGCAGTTGATGACCCTTTTCTAAATGTTATCTGCCGCAATTGATGACCCTTTTCTAAATGTTATCTGCCAAAATTGATCACCCTTTTCTAAATGTTATCTGCCGCAAATGATGACCCTTTTCTAAATGTTATCTGTCGCAGTTGATGACCCTTTTCTAAATGTTATCTGTCGCAATTGATGACACTTTTCTAAATGTTATCTGTCGCAATTGATGACCCTTTTCTAAGTGTTATCTGTCGCAATTGATGACTCTTTTCTAAATGTTATCTGTCGCAATTAATGACCCTTTTCTAAATGTTATCTGTCGCAATTGATGACCCTTTTCTAAGTGTTATCTGTCGCAATTTATAACCCTTTTCTAAATGTTGTCTGTCGCGGTTGATGACCCTTTTCTAAATTTTATCTGTCGCAATTGATGACCCTTTTCTAAATGTTATCTGTCGCATATTTCTAAATGTTATCTATCGCAATTCCCTTTTCTAAATGTTATCAGTCGCAATTAATGACCCTTTTCTAAGTGTTATCTGTCGCAATTGATGACCCTTTTCTAAATGTTATCTGTCGCAATTGATGACCTTTTTCTAAATGTTATCTGTCGCAATTGATGACCCTTTTCTAAATGTTATCTGTCGCAATTGATGACCCTTTTCTAAATGTTATCTGTCACAATTGATGACCCATTTCTAAATGTTATCTGTCACACTTTTCTAAATGTAATCTGTCGCAATTGATGACCCTTTTCTAAATGTTATCTGTCACAATTGATGACCCTTTTCTCAGTGTTATCTGTCTCAATTGACCCTTTTCTAAATGTTATCGGTCGCAGTTGATGACCCTTTTCTAAATGTTATCTGTCGCAATTGATGACCCTTTTCTAAATGTTATCTGTCGCAATTGATGACCCTTTTCTGAATGTTATCTGTTGCAATTGATGACCCTTTTCTAAATGTTATATGTCGCAATTGATGACCCTTTTCTAAATGTAATCTGTCACAGTTGATGATCCTGTTTCATAATGGTTTCTGGGGTGTGGTTTTACAGAGCAAACTTGGTCATGCCAACTCACCTGGGACCTAAGGAAATTGTTAGTTATTCTTATCAGAAATTCTTTTTATCCAGATACAAATTCAAGCAAGGAAAAAAATTGTCTGGGTTACACAAATTGTTCTTCACAACAGAAATGTGCTGGAACTTTAAATTAGTCACCTCCCGTGACGTGCTTGTTAGGGGTAGTGGGTCTATTTTGTGTTCTCAAAAATGGATCCCCAGAACCCACACACGGAGAATGTATATGTAGTAGTACCGAGAGCTGACTGTTCAGGGAGCAGTGGCAAACTACTGAACGTAAAATTTGCCTAGAGAAACCACAACAGCCAAGAAAAATGTTGGGGTTGGTTGTGCAAAATTCTGTAAAGGATACACAACTAACTTAACTGTAGTAGTTCACCGTGTGGGTTCTGGGGCCCTATTATAGGGAAAGCAAAAATAGACCCACTGCCTAACCAGAAGCATGTCGTAAGAGTCGACTAATTAGAAGCTTCCTTCAAAGTCGGAGTGTTCTGCCTGAGAGGCAAGGAACCAGCAGTCTGCATACAAATGAGTCAGATCTGTAAAATGGATTCACACGCAACACTCTGGTTATGGAACAGGACTGCAGTCCAAAAGTGGACAAACAACCAGAACTTTTTGACCGAGTTTACAGCCGGTGATTTACAGTTGGTGGGTAACCATAGTAAAACAGTGTGTGGTACTGTGCAGCTGATGCTTTTGCCCGACTTCTGCAGACACTTCCAGTGCACCAAGTGTGGCAACAAGTACACAACCCCGGAGGCCCTGGAGCACCATGTATCCACAACCAGCCATGACTACAAGTGTCCGCACTGTCAGAAACAGTTTACATGTGAAAGGTTTCTCCGCAGACACTTGCCCATCCACGGCTCTGAAGGTAGGAATGTTAACAGGGGGGGGGGGGGGGGGGCGGGGGTCCTTACAAGTCTTTTGAAATGGGTGTATCAGCCCTCTATTTTTGGATTTGATCATGGATCACTGTAACTCCACAAGGATATCTCAGTCCACATGGAGATCCATCACACATATTCATCAACATAGAGATCCATCAACGCGGTTATCTGTCAATACATACATCTCCATCCACGCAGATATCTGTCAACACATACATCTCCATTCATGTCGATATCTGTCAGCGCATACATCTCCATCCACACGGATGTCTGTCAACCCTTCTGCATTCATATGGATATTGTCATCAGCACATAACATCTCCATCCACACGGATATCATCTGCATGGATATCTCTATCCACAGGAAGTCTCCATGGTTAACCGGTTCAGTTGTTTGCCTTTCTTCCTCTTTTATATCCTGCTTGGTAGTAGGTAGGGTATTCTGTGCGACTCTAGTTTCCTTCGAAGTCAGAGTGCACCTGCCTGAGAGGTGAGGAAAAAACAGTCTGCATACAAGTAAACCAGATTTGTAAAATGGATACGCATGCACGGTTTCTGAAACAAGACCTGAGTGCAGAAGTTGACAGGCAACTGGAACTTTCTGCCGGAGTTTACAGCCAATGAATGCAAAGAAGAAAAAGACTGGTGGGTCTCTTGAACCTGCGGTGAGCCGCATTGCCACTCTGGTAGTCAGAGAAATCTAAGTAGCCTCTAGGGATTGAACCTCAGACCACTGTAATGATAGCCTGTTATACTAGCTGCTACTGATCACTTTACTTTTATTATTATTCTCCTCATCCACGTCATCATCTGGCATTGGTAGTCACCGCAACTTTCTGTCTTGTGTACTTTTAATCACTTTGATACAGATGATCTTCCATGTGATGATGTTGAACTATCCAACATCTGATCTCTGGGTTTTCCATCTGCTAATCATGTTCTCCCACACATGTTGCTAATTGTTTCACACTCCCCGAACATGCTTCAGACAATCGTGACAGGTAGTCTATGCTCTAAAACTATACACTAGGGAGATGAATGGTCATAGACCACGAGGCAGACCAAGAAGACGGTGGAGAGATAATATCCAGATAGTCTGCAAACACTTGGTGTCACCAACTGGAAAGAGAAGGCCAACCAGAGAGATGAATAGAGGCAGGTAATATCTGCAGCAATGAACCTCAAGGGCTCGGAATGCTGAAGAAGAAGAAGTCTATGCTCCAAATGGGTAGAAAGCATGCAGGAGTAAATGTTAATGAAAGAGCTGGCAAGTAATGCACCAATACAAACAGGAAGAAGCATGGACAGAGCTGATATCATCAACATGTATGGACTCGGGTGGGGGGGGGGGGAGAGATAATGGCGAATATCCTATGCTAACTTGAGTGTGACTTAGGAGTTAAACTTGGTGAAGCACATCTTCGAGGTAAAGCCAGGAGGTGCTGTAACCAACTCCTCATAGGAACAATCAGTAGAGGTACCTTGGAGTGGCTGCTGCATCAGAGGACTGAGCACACGTGGAGATGCCAAACGTGTAATAAATAAATGTATTCTGATAACATTAGTCACCTAGATTATGTACAGACCTGAACATTGACACCATCATCAGAACTTTGACCAGCCCAGCCTTCTGCTTCTCTCTGTAAGAGGTTAGTAAATGCGTTTAACACTTTCATAATCCTCAAGTAGCTAGGGTTCTGTTTCTGCGATAGACAGTTTTAAAAAAATTGTGTTTCAAAAACCGTTCTTCTAATTTTTGGACATGGTGTGAGTTGTACTGTGGAAACATTTGGAGCCTTACCATTTGATATTTCCAAAGACAGCAGAAGGTACACTGCAACCAACCCTTATTGAAGAGTTTAATCTAACTTTCTTCATATAGTCCATGCCACGTGGTGTTGGCAGTTACATCTATCCACAATGTTCTGTCTTGTGTACTCTGTCAGTTCCCTCTCATGGTCCATGCCACGTGATGTTGTAATCATGTCTGTTCACAGACTTCTGTCTCATGCACTTTCAATCATTTCTGACATAGATCTTCCGTGCCATGGCAATCTTCCCATTATCCACACTTCACTATCCTGACATAACTAGCATCATATTTGTGATTGTTTCAGGCCAGTTTGAGTGTCCCCAGTGCAAGAAACGCTTCAAGACTGAGCACTACCTCAAGTCGCATGTGCTGATACACACAGGAGAAACCCCCTTTGCTTGTGAGATCTGCCAGGCGGCCTTCAATCGCAAGGACAAGCTGAAGCGACACATGACCATTCACGACTCGGTGAAGAAATACAGATGTCCCTTCAGGACTATTGCAGGTATGGCAGATGTTTTATTCTTCTGTGTTTGCCACAGACAGGACATTCATCATGTTATGTGTACAACCAGGCCACATTTGTACAGTTTGGCTGACAGATTTGACTTCAGCCTGGTACTTTAGAGAAATTCACGGCTGGTTGTTTGGTTAGAACTTGGGCACTCATGTGGAAGACCCGGGTTCGAATTGGGCGCAAAAATAAACACCTTGTCCCGCACAGTTGGTGCCAACTGTAGCCAAATCTTCAAGCCCAAACATAGAATAGGTTCCCATGGGAGACGTACAGTGCAGACCCAACAAAGCAGTGGTTCTCAAACTTCCTTATGCAGCGACCCTTTAATGCAGTTCCTAATTTTGTGGCGACCTCCAACCATACGATTATTATTGTTGCTACTTCATAACTTCAATTAATATGTCTTTTGTGGTGGTCTTTGGCGACCCCTGTGAAAGGGCTGTTCAACCCCAAAAAGGATCGCGACCCACAGATTGAGATCCGCTGGGATAAGGAGAACTCACTGAGGACCCAAGAAGTTGTTCATCTTGTCAGAAATTCATCTTATCTAGATGAGAGTTCCAGCAAGAAAAATTTGCAGGGTTAAACAAATTGTTTTCACAACAGAAATTCGCCACACCCAAGATTGCATCAAGCAGTCTGCCCTGTATTTGAAAATATCACTGAACAACAGTTTATTGGCTCATAAACAGCATCCTGTCCTGAAAGGCAAGGTATCTTGGCCGTGTTAAACAACATGGTGGCCTGGAGACAACGATGATGGGGGGTACAGTTATCGTAAAACAAAACAGAGGCAGACCACCACAAATGTGGATACAGAACATTGAAGATGCTTTGGCTATGAAAGTACATATGGCTAGAGAAAGAAAGACTTTTGGACTTGCTTTGACATGAACGACATTCTGTATAAGGATCTACTGATTAATGAGGAACAACAGTTGACCAGTTCTCACATGTAATTTAATGTTAAAGAATATTCTGTCATCATACGTATCCTCATGTTATTGCTGAATCCTCCCTGTAGACCTGTCAGTCCAAAGATCTTGGGTTTAAATCCACATTGGGGTGGATTTGTATAATATAAATGAATATCTGGAAATGTCCGGGAAAGTAAAAGTGACCAAGTATGCACTACATGCCTCTGACTTTATTGGCCAGAAAAGGCTCTTTTAATGTTTGTTTAAGTTTTAGATTCCCTAATCTCAGATCTATATTAGGGCATCTGTATAGTCGGTTGACGTGTTTAGATAGCAGGTATGGTTGCCAAGGAGCATAATAATAAGGAAATTATGATACACATTGTCAAGGCAGAAGTCTCTCAAAATATGAAACTTTGAAATGATATAATTTTAAAACCAAATTGCTGCTATGAGCTGTCATGCCTCCCACAACCTGTAATCTGTAATATTCATTAGCATTGCCTCCTCTCACTCATTCCACAAATCTTTCAAGTAGTCACAACCTGTTCAAGTTGCCCTCCTTTCCTAAGGTGACCAGAAGTGTTTACCGTCTCCTTCTGCTGTTTGTGTTGTCTCCAGGCTCTTGCCTCTTTCAAGCATGGTTTACTCTTGTTTTTGGCGGTCCCAGGTTACTGTAAGCATCCTTCTGAAAACCACATCTCAGAGGCCTTAAAAATTATTTTGGCTTGTTTATTAATTGTGCGTATTGTATGTAGCCTGCAAAATTATTTATATCTGGCCCTACTTGGGTTACCATATATAAGTTTCACCAAATAGAGCAGGCTAATGTTTAGGGTGATAATTTGTTATGGCCTAGGAATGATGTCATAAATGTTATACTGACGCTTGGTTAAAAACAAACAAGTTTCTTATCTCTGCTGCAGTTCTTGATCAATTTCCTGGTGTCACCATAGCTAAAATATCCTTCTGTAGCATGAGCAGCACTCAAGGGTGTCTTCATATGCTTGCTATTGCTGTTCATATTAGAAAAGGATATTTTAGCTTGGAGTGACAAGATTAGCATCACTGCATACAAGACATTACTCAGTCCAGTACTGCAGCCATCCCAAGGTACCGCTCCTGTTTGCTTCCAGGAAAGGTTTTGTGTCTCATATTTTGAGCTAGATGATGTTCCCTGTGTGGGTTCTTGGACCCCGTTGAGGGGGAAAATAATAGACCCTCTGCCTCCCGGACAAGTATGTCATAAGAGTCAACTAATTATGGATTTCCTTTGAAGTCTGAGTGCATCTGCCTGAGAGGAAAGGAAGGAACAGTCTGCATACAAATATGCCAGATCTGTAAAACAGATGTGCACACAGAACAGAAGTTCTGGGACATGACTAAAGTACAGAAGTGAAGGTACAACCAGAATTTTCAGCTGGAGCTTACAGCGGGTGAGTTTAAAAAGAAGAAGAATGAAAATAGTAGTTGTTTGGAAACAAGTGATTAAATGTTGTGTGTGGTCTTTCAGGTTGTACCAAAGAGTTCAACAGACCAGACAAACTCAAGGCCCACATCATCACACACAGTGGGATCAAGCCTTACAAGTGTTCCATCTGCAACAAAGGTTTCTCCCGGAGACCTCACCTGTTGGAGCATGAGAGAGGACATAACCTCGACTACAGGTTCCGATGTGATAAGTGTGGCAAAGGTTTCTTCAGACCCAAACTCTTCCACGAACACAAGTGTCAGCTGTCCAGGTCCGGGGCCGATCAACAGTTCAGGCCACGCAATCGGCGCAAGATTGGCAGGCCTAAGAAAAGAATGATCAGCATTGTACCAGATTCTGTTTCTAAGAGTCGCGGCAAACAATATCCTTCACGAACCAGAACTACGGGCAAGATTTTACAGTTTCCTGCGCAGCTGGCGGCACATCTTTCTGTTAAACAGGAAGTACAGCAGCAGAACACAGCAGACGTCAAGAACAATGTGTCTAGTGCTGATGATGATGATGACAACCGAGACTGCACGATGTACCAGGAACCAGCTACTATCTCCGTGGAGGTCGTCAAAGCTTTACCAGTGATTTCTTCAGGCAAAACTTCAGGCATCATTGACATAGACAGCACTGGAGCCATGCATGTTCATATTTCTGGATTAGAAGAAGGGAAAGATGATAGCATTGGTAATTCCTTGGGGACCCATGTCCAACATATCAGTTTGGGTTCAGGAGGCGAGTTGGTCGATCATTATGTTGTTCATTTGACAGAGTCTGTTGATGGCAGCAGTCCTACGATTCAGACAGCCTTTATTCCTGCAGTGGCCGGGGCTCAGATTTTTGCCAGCAATCCTCAAGAAATGGGAATTCAGCCCATCGCTATAATAGAAGCTCGACCATTCAATTGTGCGGGGAAACAGATACTGGCTACCTCCGCAGCCAATGCCATCTTGACGTCTCATCAGGGCCTTGTACGAAATGAAGGCTCTGGTCAAGGGAACATTACTATATCCGGTGATTACATCACTGTAACCGAAAGTGGCAACATCCAGTTTGTGAAAGCTGAATGTAGGACTGATGTTAGGGGATGTGACAGCAGAACTCTAATGACTTCACAAGGGAGTCCAGTTATGATGAGTGGAGCTGGTGGTATGGTGGATGTTTCAGTGGCTCACAGAACCGGGCTGGCGGATGTAGAGTGTAAAGAAGAGCCTCTGATGGTCATGGGAAGCAACAGCCTGATGGTGTCGGCCAGTGAGATGGGTGCTGGCTCGGCAGACATGGGTGGGGATATGTTGGATGGAGCCATGTCTCTGTTTTCCCCACCAGTCAGGGCAGACAGTTATAATGTAGGGGGCCAGACGTACATTGCTTGTTCGACTCATCTTGTGGATTATGCTCACACGGGAGTCCTGCAGGGTCCCAGTTGAGCACAGCCAGTTGTGACAGCCTGCAGTGTGTTTGTTGTTGATCTCATCTCATATCATCATTCTGGCCAACTCATCAATATCATTCTAGGCATCCATTGGCCCCTTTCACCACCATTGTAGGCTAATTTATCAAGTACATATGTAGGCATCCTATCACCTAGTCACCTTCAACACTCTAGGCATCCATTCACCAGGTAACCTTCACCACTCTAGGCATCCATTCACCAGGTAACCTTCAACACTCTAGGCATCCATTTACCAGGTAACCTTCACCACTCTAGGCATCCATTCACCAGGTAACCTTCAACACTCTAGGCATCCATTCACCAGGTAACCTTCAAAACTCTAGGCATCCATTCACCAGGTAACCTTCAACACTCTAGGCATCCATTCACCAGGTAACCTCCAACACTCTAGGCATCCATTCACCAGGTAACCTTCAATTCCTAGAATGTTGATAGAGATCTTGTAATGAATGCCTAGAATGCTGATGCAGACCTAATAATCAATGCCTAGAATGTTGAAGGAGATCTATTAATGAATGCCTAGAATGTTAACAGAAAAATTAGTGAATTGATGCCTAGAGTGATGATGATACAAGCTGTATGTATGTGATTACACTGAGACCTGGTGAATGAATGGATGCCTAGAATGTTGATAGAGACCTAGTAATGAATGCCTAGAATGTTGATAGAGACCTTGTAATGAATGCCTAGAATGCTGATGCAGACCTAATAATCAATGCCTAGAATGTTAAAGACCTATAAATGTTTATAGAGACGTAATAATCAATGCCTAGAATGTTTATAGAGTACCTAGTGATAAATGTCTAGAGTGATGGAGACCTTTTAATGTTAATAGAAAAATTAGTGAATGGATGCTTAGAGTGATGATGGTACAAGCTGTATGTGAATGAATGGATCCTGGAATGTTGAAAGTGACACTGAAAGGAAAGGATGCCTACAGTGGTAATAAAGGCTGTGAGAGAATGCCTTGATCTAGTGAATGGATGTCTACAGTAATGATGATCTGGTAAATCTGCTGAGAATGATGATAGTGACCTGGTGTCTGCGCCCAATACGTAGGTTCACAAATTTGGGGGAAGGGGCCACAGTTTCTTTTAAATATAAAATTACATAGGGGATATTTATATTTGCCTAAACAGCTTCTACTGGGGGATATCATCTAGACCAGCGGTTCTCAACCTGTGGGTTGCAAATTTTTGTGTGTGGGTCAAATGACCCTTAAAAAAAAACAACATATTCACTGAAGTTATAAAGCAGTGATGAAAAATAACTATGGTTTAGGGTCGCCACAACATAGGAACTGTATTAAATTCTAGGCAGTCAATCATTCAATAAGTTAACATTATTATATCCTTTGATCAATCTTTATTGTGTGAAAATTATGTGAACAAACACCAGTTGCATTCAGTTCCATGAAGCTGATCAGAATTAGTAGAATGAGGACATGTAGCTGCAGAATGGATAGCAGCACATTCTGTTCGTTCGCCAGTCACTCGCCTGTAATGTTTTGTGTAGATACAATGTGTCTGTATATTTATAATTGTATGTATGTATAGATTAGCTTTATTTGGTTTAATGAAATGGTCTAGAGGGGTAGGGAGGAAATGACCTAACACTGTCTAGCTGTAGGATGAGGAGATCAGCTAGCACTGTCTGTCTAACTGTAGGATGGGGAGATCAGCTAACACTCTGTCTAGCTATATAGGACAGGGAGATCAGCTAGCACTGTCTGTCTAGCTGTAGGACAGGGAGATCAGCTAACACTCTGTCTAGCTATATAGGACAGGGAGATCAGCTAGCACTGTCTGTCTAGCTGTAGGACAGGGAGATCAGCTAACACTCTGTGTCTAGCTGTAGGATGGGGAGATCAGCTAACATTGTCTGTCTAGCTATATAGAATGGGGAGATCAGCTAACACTGTCTAGCTGTATAGGATGGGGAGATCAGCTAACACTGTCTGTCTAGGATGGGGAGATCAGCTAACACTGTCTAGCTATATAGGATGGGGAGATCAGCTAACACTGTCTGTCTAGCTATATAGGATGGGGAGATCAGCTAACACTGTCTGTCTAGCTATATAGGATGGGGAGATCAGCTAACACTGTCTGTCTAGCTATATAGGATGGGGAGATCAGCTAACACTGTCTGTCTAGCTATATAGGATGGGGAGATCAGCTAACACTGTCTGTCTAGCTATATAGGATGGGGAGATCAGCTAACACTGTCTGTCTAGCTATATAGGATGGGGAGATCAGCTAACACTGTCTGTCTAGCTATATAGGATGGGGAGATCAGCTAACACTGTCTGTCTAGCTATATAGGATGGGGAGATCAGCTAACACTGTCTGTCTAGCTATATAGGATGGGGAGATCAGCTAACACTGTCTGTCTAGCTGTATAGGATGGGGAGATCAGCTAACACTGTCTGTCTAGCTATATAGGATGGGGAGATCAGCTAACACTGTCTGTCTAGCTATATAGGATGGGGAGATCAGCCCAACACTGTCTAGCTATATAGGACGGGGAGATCAGCTAACAGTCTGAATAGCTGTAGGATGGGGAGATCAGCTAACACTGTCTGTCTAGCTATATAGGATGGGGAGATCAGCTAACACTGTCTGTCTAGCTATATAGGATGGGGAGATCAGCTAACACTGTCTGTCTAGCTGTATAGGATGGGGAGATCAGCTAACACTGTCTGTCTAGCTGTATAGGATGGGGAGATTAGCTAACACTGTCTAGCTGTATAGGATGGGGAGATCAGCTAACACTGTCTGTCTAGCTACATAGGATGGGGAGATCAGCCCAACACTGTCTAGCTGTATAGGATGAGGAGATTAGCCAACACTGTCTGTCTAACTGTATAGGGTGGGGAGATCAGCTAACACTGTCTGTCTAGCTGTATAGGGTGGGGAGATCAGCTAACACTGTCTGTCTAGCTATATAGGGTGGGGAGATCAGCTAACACTGTTTGTCTAGCTACATAGGATGGGGAGATCAGCTCAACACTGTCTGTCTAGCTGTATAGGATGGGGAGATCAGCCAACACTGTCTGTCTAGCTGTATAGGATGGGGAGATCAGCCAACACTGTCTGTCTAGCTGTATAGGATGGGGAGATCAGCTAACACTGTCTGTCTAGCTGTATAGGATGGGGAGATCAGCTAACACTGTCTGTCTAGCTATATAGGATGGGTAGATCAGCTAACACTGTCTAGCTATATAGGATGGGTAGATCAGCTAACACTGTCTAGCTATATAGGATGGGGAGATTAGCTAACACTGTCTGTCTAGCTACATAGGATGGGGAGATCAGCTAACACTGTCTGTCTAGCTGTATAGGGTGGGGAGATCAGCTAACACTGTCTGTCTAGCTATATAGGATGGGGAGATCAGCTAACACTGTCTAGCTATGGGATGATTAGCTAACACTGTCTAGCTATGGGATGATTAGCTAACACTGTCTAGCTACATAGGATGGGGAGATCAGCCCAACACTGTCTAGCTGTAGGATGGGGAGAGATCAGTTAACACTGTCTGTCTAGCTATATAGGATGGGGAGATCAGCTAACACTGTCTGTCTAGCTATATAGGATGGGGAGATCAGCTAACACTGTCTGTCTAGCTATATTGTATGGGGAGATCAGCTAACACTGTCTGTCTAGCTATATAGGATGGGGAGATTAGCTTGTCTAGCTGTAGGATGGGATGGGAAGATCAGCTAACAGTCTGTCTAGCTGTAGGATGGGGAGATCTAGGGTGGGAAGATAGCAACACTTATAAAATTTTTGAAAACTCATGCTTTGTCCAGAATACTACTGTCCTGGCTGTCGGGGAGTATAGTTATATACTGTCCTGGGAGTCTTCACTGTCTGGTCCAACTTTCTGAGAGCACACAAATGGTTAATGCTGGATGTGGTGCTCTCAAGTTGAGCATGTGTGTATCCATTGTTACAGCTTGACATACCAGGGATTCTCATTGTCTTTCTCATCATCGACCAGAAACTAGAGAGAAAGAAACATGTTTTACTTTGAAATTTGTATATTTATAGCATAAAGTGAGTGTGTCACTGAGATACATTTGAAACACTGGGTTCTCTATGTGTGGTTTATTAAGACTGGATGGTTGAAATATGAGATTCTTGAGCCTGTGGGTATAAGAGAGAGTTGTTGAGACTGGATGAATATGGTGAGAAAGATGGAGTTGTGAGAATGTTGTTGGAGTTGCCTGGATGGTGAAAGAAAGAAAGTTGGTATTGCCGTGATGTGGATGCGTACAAGTTGTTGAGACTGGATAGATATGAGATGGATGTGGAATATGGAAAAGATGAGGCAGTCTTAGAGAATGTATGAAACTAATTTGATACCCCCCAGCATACAAATCTGATTTACAGCAGTAAATTGTGACCTAAATCAAGTCCAACATGATGTGAATAAGGCCCCAGTCCTTCACTGTTCTGGTTTTACGGAACCTCACGTCCTTGTCGTGCGCCACGGATAATGTCTCAAATGAGCATTAACAGAGCTGACAGGGGATCTTGGAGTTGGCGGCTCCCAGAGGTGTAGTGTCCTTGTGGCTCTCATCAGCCCGCCCCCAAACGCATGGGTGAAAAAAAGTTACCAAGTTACCAAAACTCATTAGTAAAGTGCTTGCCGAATGTACAACTAAAATTACAACCCTTGGTTAACCCTTTGGGGAGTGAAGAGAACATTGTTCTGCTGAGACTCAATCCTCTGTTAACCCTCAGTGTCATCATCACCACGCTAAGGTACACCACAACAGCAACAGCCCATTGGCTGGCTAAGCCTAAATGTCCGACAAAATCCTATGGCACACGAGTAAGCTCAAAATCCGACCATCACAAATCGTATTGAATGGAAAAAGTCCAAATGTCCACACCCAAAGACCTCACTCGCCCGAGTGTTGGGACCAAACAGATAACGATATGCCCGACGCAGGATGTTAAATTCTGTCGTACTAACGGTTCGTCAAAGATATCTAACGTGCGAAGAAAAAAGAATACCTATTCGTGTGGTCACAAAAGACCATGTTAGACCCACCTTGTCTGAGAACTGATCCACACATGACATCCTAATCCGGTCTGGGGTGGCTGGCGAGTCCAGCTGGAAGTAGCCAGAATATCCAGCATCCGATCGAGCTGCAGCGATGGCAGACTTAATTGCCAGGAAAGCAGAAGTTGCTAGACATTGCGGAGGTTCTCCGATACCCTGGGTACAAGATATTGGAAAATCTATTTCTTTTTGTGTCTCTATCCCGTGTTTTATTGGTTTTATGTATGTTCACAGCCTGCACTCTTGACTGTACTCTAGACACCAGCCTTCTCCCTGGATATGTCTTGACTGGGATAAGCTTGTTGGGTGGTGGTCTCTAGTCAGGCAACCTCCCTTAGGCACACAATCCTCTAGTGAGACATCCATCCCTCTTATTAGACATCCGCAGCCTTCCGCTGACTTGAGAGCCAGCTATGTGCAATGCTGTAGTTGTAACTGTTGAGGCTGCGGACAGAGTGGCAAGCATCCCTTCAGAGGTCCCATGTAGTCAGCGTCCTTTGGATATTTTCTTCAGGTCAGGCCGCTGTATTGGTAAACAAACAGCAGATAGACTGGCCGTTTCTGCACCATTTGATGGTGAATTGATGCATGACTATTACATTGTAAGGGTCCTTTGGGAGCGAGTGAACTGTGCAGTGGCATGAATAGATATCAAAGTCTAAAGACGGGTGCTGTGAGAAGTGAAAGGGGCATCTGGCTGACACTCAACACTCAAGGAGGGGTGTGTCTGATATACAATCATACTGTTACTGGATATAAAATCATATTGTTACTGGTGCCTTCAGAACTGAAACTCTTTGCTACTAAAGATAGGGATCGAGTGCTTATGAGAAAATCCTGTGTGATGTGATTCAAGTCTAGACAGACACCATTTCCTTTAGTCACATATATAATCCTCAAGTTAGACACACCGTCCTCTAGTCAGACACCCAATCCTCTAGTCAGACACAGCCCTCTAGTCAGACAAAACAATCCTCTAGTCAGACAAAACAATCCTCTAGTCAGATACCCAATCCTCTAGTCAGATACCCTATCCTCTAGTCAGATACCCAATCCTCTAGTCAGATACCCAATCCTCTAGTCAGATACCCAATCCTCTAGTCAGATACCCAATCCTCTTGTTAGACACAGCCCTCTAGTCAGACACCCAATCCTCTAGTCAGACACGGCCCTCCAGTCAGACAAAACAATCCTCTAGTCAGACACCCAATCCCCTAGTCGGACACCCAATCCTCTAGTCAGGCACCCAAGCCTCTAGTCAGACACCCAGCCCTCTAGTTAGACACCCAATCCTCTAGTCGGACACACAGTCCCCTCCAATCCTCTAGTCAGACACACAGACCTCTCCAATCCTCTAGTCAGACACCCAATCCTTTAGTCAGACATACAGTCCTCTCCAATCCCCTAGTCACACAGTCCTCTCCAATCCTCTAGTCAGACACACAGCCCTCTAGTCAGATACCCAATCTTCTAGTCAGACACCGACACCCAATCCTCTAGTCAGACACACAGCCCTCTAGTCAGATCAGACACCCAGTCCTCTGGTCAGACACCCAATCCTCTGGTCAGGCACCCAATCCTCTGGTCAGGCACCCAATCCTCTAGTCAGACACCCAATCCTCTAGTCAGACACCCAATCCTCTAGTCAGACACCCAGCCCTCTGGTCAGACACCCAATCCTCTGGTCAGACACCCAATCCTCTGGTCAGACACCCAATCCTCTAGTCAGACACCCAGTCCTCTAGTCAGACACCCAGTCCTCTAGTCAGACACCCAGCCCTCTAGTCAGACACCCAATCCTCTAGTCAGACACCCAGCCCTCTAGTCAGACACCCAGCCATCTAGTCAGACACCCAATCCTCTGGTCAGACACCCAATCCTCTGGTCAGACACCCAATCCTCTGGTCAGACACCCAATCCTCTAGTCAGACACCCAATCCTCTAGTCAGACACCCAGCCCTCTAGTCAGACACCCAGCCATCTAGTCAGACACCCAGCCATCTAGTCAGACACCCAATCCTCTAGTCAGACATACAGTCCCCTCCAATCCTCTAGTCAGACACACAGTCCTCTCCAATCCTCTAGTCAGACGCCCAATCCTCTAGTCAGACACCCAATCCTCTAGTCAGACATACAGTCCCCTCCAATCCTCTAGTCAGACACACAGTCCTCTCCAATCCTCTAGTCAGACGCCCAATCCTCTAGTCAGACACCCAATCCTCTATTCAGACACCCAATCCTCTAGTCAGACACCCAATCCTCTAGTCAGACACCCAGCCTTCTAGTCAGACACCCAATCCTCTAGTCAGACACACAGTCCTCTCCAATCCTCTAGTCAGACACACAGTCCTCTCCAATCCTCTAGACAGACACACAGCACTCTAGTCAGACACCCAATCTTCTAGTCAGACACCCTATTCTCTAGTCAGACACCCAATCTTCTAGTCAGACACCCTATTCTCTAGTCAGACACCCAATTCTTTAGTCAGACACCCTATTCTCTAGTCAGACACCCAATTCTTTAGTCAGACACCCTATTCTCTAGTCAGACACCCAATTCTTTAGTCAGACACATATCCCTCTAGTCAGACACCCAATCCTCTAGTCAGACACACAGCCCCTAGTCACCCAATCCTCTTTTCAGATATTTAATCCTATAACTGTTCAACAGGAGGCAGTGCAATATACAGAAACTCCCTATTTTGCCAGATAGATAATCCACAATGGAACTCCTCAAACATGCTCTGGTTGCAGATAGACATTCTACCTCTATGCCACCTGATCTAGTACTGAACGTCATGTAGACAATGAGACAAGGTAATAGATCAATTATCTCACCATGAAGTGACTACAACTGGCATGGGCATATATACATTGCCACTCCTCACAATCTAACACAATCATCCATTCAGGTGATGATGTTTTCCTGTCTTAATGAAAGACTCCGACAATCTTATTTCCGCATCTTTCTTTGTCTGCTGACAGCTTGCATGAAATATCTAGCAAGCTAACTGACACCCTTAAGCTGAATTAAAACTCTTTCTTTCATCATCAAATAGCAGGTCCTTGGCAGAATGTTGCTGCCATCACTGACTGAATGAAAGAAACTTGGTTTCTCACCAGCTCTCCCATCTCTTGTATTTTTTTTACTTGAGGTGTCACTTATATCCTGTGCTCATCTGTGTGGTGGTCAGCTTCCCTTCCATTTCCTGGTACCACACCACACTTTCTTTAGGAAGACAAATGTATGTGCCTTACCTTGGAGGAGTAGACTGCCTTGGGGTTGCCCGGATTCTTCAGGAGGGTCACATTAAACACGTGGGGGATGTTGGCGAAGGCTGGGATCTTGTAGTTGCCAGGTCCAGAGGTGAGGAGTTTCCCTTGACCTGTCACCTTGTACTGCTCCAGCACCAACATCCCGTAGCCCTGATTAAAAAAACACAGCACACACAACACTGCAGTTTCTCATTCAGCATAACTCTTTAATGGTGAACGATACAAGTGACAAGTGCATTCCCTGTCAGACCAGAGATACTCAGATCAATTTGTGGTAAACATCTTTTACTCAGGACTGGCCCAGCCTCTCCATTGTTCTTATTCTGCCTTCTATCCCACCATGGAGCATAGACCCTCAATCAACTCATGTCAAGTCGTTCTATTCTTCGCTATTGCATGAAGCTCATCCCATGTCCTCCCCACCTGGTTACCTTCATTCTCTAGCTCCAATCATTGTATGTTTTTTGATGTATCTTTATTTCTAGAAAGCTTCCTCTTCTGTGTCCACCGGCTGTAAACTCTAGTGGAAAACCCTGGCTGTTCGTCCATTTGGACTTTGGCTTTGTGCCAGGACCTGAGTTTTTTGTGTACATCCGTTTTACTGGCTTAATTGTGTGCAGCTGGTTGTTCCTTGTGGCTCAGGCTGATGCACTCCCAACTTGGAAGAGTCCCCAATTAGTCAACTCCTATGACATACTTGTTGGGGAAGCAGTAGATCTGTTCTTGTTTTCCCAACAATGGGGCCTCGGAAATCACATGGGGAAGAAATCGTCAAGAGAATGGAAACCACACACAGATACACAAATCCTTTGTTTTTAATTATCTGTTCATCCGTCCTAACCCTCTTTCTGAGCTGCTACCTGAGAGTTTGACTAGGTGACAAGATTGATATTAAAATATAATTCTGGACAACAAGGCAACAGGGCAAATCCCAGATACCCCACTCAAGCTCCAATGAAGTTATAACTAAGGTGCCTGTGAAGGGTGCACATATTGAGAATGAGAACAAAATAACAAAAATGTCTTTGCATTGGAACCCACAGGGGCATAGAAATAAAGGAAGGCCAAAAACACATGGACAAGGGAGCTGGAGAATGAAGTTAGAAAGATAGGGAGAGCAGCATGCGATAGGAAAGAATAGAATGACTTGGCGTAAGTTGGTTGAGGGACTATGCTCCACTGGGGGCTAGAAAAGCATAAGAAGAGTAAAGAAAGGGTACACCAGCCTGATATTGACATCAAGGTGTGTTGTTGAGTGGCCAGCTAACAACTGACATCACAGCACTCGGGATATTTTCATAAGCGCTTCATCATCATCTTCAGCAGCTAGTGAAGCATTCCAGTTCTGATTGTGCCTGGCAAATAAATATGTTTTTTTACTAATCAAAGTCAGCATTATCGAATATTTTTACATACCTGAACAAAAGCTCCCTCTATCTGCCCGATGTCAATGGCTGGATTGAGACTGTGACCAACATCTATGACAATGTCTGTCCTCAACACCTGAAATATAAGTTGTTCATTTCTGATATTGTTCATTTGATTTCTGATACATGTGTACTCCCTGTGTGGGTTCCAGGACCCATTGTGGTGGGATTAAAAAACAAACCCAATACCCCTAACAAATATGTCGTAAAAGTCGACTAGGGATTTCCTATCAAATTCGAGTACATCTATATAAGAGAAAAAGAACCAATAGTCTGCATACAAATAAACTAGATCTGTAAAACGGACGTGAACACAACATTCAAGATCTGGAACAAGTCCAGAAGTGGATAAAAAACCTGAACTTTCTGGTTGAGTTTACAGCTGGTGAATGCACCAACAACAAAATCCCATGTGTATTGTAAACTACAACCTGGGCAAGCCGCGGCCTGACTCAACGACAGTTTGGACAGTCATCTCTTTTCTCGCATAAACTAATGACTAGCCTAAAGTTCTTGAGACTAGTTGCAGCATCTAGTGTACCTGGCTACTTACTGCTGAGTGTCTGTGCTGCAGCTGACAGTGTTCGTGCTAACTGAAAGTGTCTATGCTGAAGCTGAAAGTGTCCAAGCAAGCTGATAGTGTCCATGCTAGCTGAAAGTGTCTATGCTATAGCTGAAAGTGTCCACGCTAGATGAAAGTGTCCACGCTAGCTGAAAGTGTCCAAGCAAACTGATAGTGTCCATGCTAGCTGAAAGTGTCTATGCTATAGCTGAAAGTGTCTATGCTGTAGCTGAAAGTGTCCACGCTAGATGAAAGTATCCACGCTAGCTGAAAGTATCCACAAGAGCTGAAAGTATCCATGGGAGCTGAAAGTATCCATGCTAGCTGAAAGTATCCGTGCTAGCTGAAAGTGTCCACGCTAGCTGAAAGTGTTCATGCTAGCTGAAAGTATCCATGCTAGCTGAAAGTATCCACGCGAGCTCAAAGTATCCATGCGAGCTGAAAGTGTCCATGCTAGCTGAAAGTGTCAACGCTAGCTGAAAGTATCCATGCTAGCTAAAAGTGTCCATGCTAGCTGAAAGTATCCATGCTAGCTGAAAGTATCAATGTTGCATGCAATAGAGCAGAGAGGAGGAATCGAATGCGAGCCCTATCTAGCCTCTAATGTCCACGCTAGATGAAAGTATCCACGCTAGCTGAAAGTATCCACGCGAGCTGAAAGTATCCATGGGAGCTGAAAGTATCCATGCTAGCTGAAAGTATCCATGGGAGCTGAAAGTATCCATGCTAGCTGAAAGTATCCATGCTAGCTGAAAGTGTCCACGCTAGCTGAAAGTGTTCATGCTAGCTAAAAGTATCCATGCTAGCTGAAAGTATCCACACTAGCTGAAAGTATCCACATGAGCTCAAAGTATCCATGCGAGCTGAAAGTGTCCATGCTAGCTGAAAGTGTCAACGCTAGCTGAAAGTATCCATGCTAGCTAAAATTGTCCATGCTATCTGAAAGTATCCATGCTAGCTGAAAGTATCCATGTTGCATGCAATAGAGCAGAGTGGAGGAATCGAATGTGAGCCCTATCTAGCCTCTAATGGCACACAAAAGGTGATGATGATGATGATGGAAGATACTATTAGATAAAATAATTAAAAAGCAGGAGGAAAACACTTTACAGCCACTGATACGAACATACACACCTGATGGTCCCCAGTGAGACAATCTATCTCCACCTCACAGCCACTGATACGAACATACACACCTGATGGTCCCCAGTGAGACTATCTCCACCTCACAGCCACTGATACGAACATACACACCTGATGGTCCCCAGTGAGACAATCTATCTCCACCTCACAGCAGGCTGCCCCAAAGGAGAAGTAAGGGAATGGAGAGTTGACGCTTTTGCTCCAGTCCATGCCGGGTGTGTCCACCCTGAGAAAGAAAAGATGAAGACATATTTTTTGTGTGTCTCTCAACTCTTACGGTGTCATACAACACACTCTGTGCCTTGATCACACTTTTCAATGTTGCCGACTCGCTGCCGCCTCTTGAATCATTAACTCATCCTACCTCTTTGAGAGCACTGAGTATATCTATCAGGTCCATTGCTTGTCCTCTGTCTACTGTAGCCCTGCCAGCAAGCCAATCTGCTCATTCATTACTTCTTGGAATGAACAAAACTATACCAAGACTTTTTACTATAATAAATAATGTCAACACATAAATATCACAGAAACACACAAGTCTGCTTGCTGAAAAATTATGCATGGGCTGTTCTTGTGTATGGATGAAAATGCTGCACAATTAGCAATGAAGTTACGGAAAAAATGTTTAGAAGAATCTTGAGTACAGAAAAAGCTGAACTGGAAGCCACAACTCAAGTATTGTCAGCTGGAGGTGACACTGGATCGGTGATCATAATTATCTAGAGAAGACATGCAATTTGTAGGCACTGCTGAGTTCAGCATTTCATCAGAGCACCCAAGCCATTCCCATACCTGCTCCATCCTTACCTTCAGCAGCCAGCCAGATATGGGGCATATCAACAGATGAGTATGCTGTGGAACAGAGGCACTGGGAGATTGCTTGGCAAGAGAATAAGAGAGAGGAAAACATAAATTTGGCCAGCTTAAACAAACAGCTGGGTAAACAAGTCAATAAATGACCCTTTTGATGTTAGTGGTGCATGGGACATATGATGCTTGACTCATATTTATACAGTCTAATCAGCCCTTGGTTGGTGATGGGGTCGACATCATGCTGGCTGCCTTTATTTCCCAGGACATTACCTGGTACACATATTAGTCTGGGTTGACGTGCAAGCTTAGGTCAATTTTGAAGAACAAAATTCCATCTTGAAATGGATTTGAACACAAGACTTTCTGGCAAATAAGTAATTGTGTAGCTACTACACACACTTGGCTTCCAGACGAATATTATTTGCACTAAAGGTTAAGGTCTAGATGGTCAATTTAAATGTGTGTTTGATCCCACATGGCTCCATCTCTCTCTGCAGCACAGCTAGCCACCCTTTCAAGAACATCACACAAAGCACAAACTCCGTAGCTCCAGAAACATTGCACTAGAGAACTGAACAAGGCAGCCCACGACCTTCAGAACTTGACCACTTTGCCAGGGAGACTCCCATAATACGTAATAATGATAGGTCATAGTAATGGACCTACTTGTAGTGTCCTATAGCTGACAGACAGTCTCTTTCTAGGATAGCACTAGCAACCTGCAGATAAAACAAGTCAGTGTAAACAAGATAATATATATAACAAGGAAAGTAAAGGACCCCTTTCTCACACCCTCAGGTGAAAGGGGCATATAATGCTACACCGATATTTTATAGACCAATAAGCACTCGGTGGGTGATGTTGTCAATATCACACTGGCTGCCTTTACCTCCTAGGACTTTACCTGATACCCATTTAAGACTAGGCTGACCTGGGAGAAAAGGTCATTTTTGACAAAAGTCCAGTTTCGTTAGGACCTGAACTCATGACCTTTGAATCCGCAAGGAGGCATCTAGCCACCACACCATGGCAACCCCCAAGATGTGTAGTATTAGTAAAAAAAAAAAAGTCACAGCGTCAAATCATAGCAGACATTTACTATGACCACAATTCAGAATTCTACAATGAATGCAGCAACATTTGACGCCAGCTTCAAACCGGCTTCAGTAGTCAGTGTTCAAATTCCTGCAGTCTGTAAAGTTCCTGTTCCAACAGGACCTAGGCATAAACTGATCACTGAGGCAGATGTGCAGGTATGCCGCCTCAACCACACACGAACAATAGTTAGCAAGATAATGAACTCACGCTACCTGAGGCGTTGGGAAAGTCACAGAATCATCCTAGATCATAATGAAATCCGGTCTTCAACTGTAAGTATGTGTGTTGTTTTTATAGGCATTGTAAAAATAGAATATCTTGTTGGCACTGTGCGGTTGTCACCAAAATGTGATCACTGCAACTGTCTAGGACCAATCACTACACTGGATGGAAGATGCCTTGTAGCAACTACAGCAAACATAGCCAGTTGTTTCTTAGAGGCATGAGGCAAATACTGAAACCATTTCACTACAAAGACACCAGTGAACGTGGATACAGTTTCCCACTGGCTACAGCTGACCACTGTGGAGCTGTGACTAATTAGCACATACAGCCATATATGATTACAAAACAACATACGACTACAACCATGGGGGTCTCCATGGCGAAGTGGTCAAGCCTTTGCCTCGCTCTCTGAAGATCATAGGTTCAATTCAAGAAGGGGGGGGGGAAGGTGCTGTTCAGTTCATGAATGTAATATTTACAGAGATCCCTGGGGACTGTCACCAGAGCTACGGAGGTCATGCTCTTGGCAAGCAGCAAGCTGTTCTGTGGAAAGAGACTGAGCCATATGAGATAAAACCCAGTGCAATGAAGTCGATCCTCTCACCTTTACAGAAAGCCAAGAAATGTGATCTATGAAAGCACATGACAAATGACTTTCTAAAACCACACAGAGGACAAACATACCACATCTTTCCATTCCTTTTTGGGATTGTCTTCCCTGTATGGTGATAGTCGACTCTTTAGTTCCTCGCATGCTTTCTGTAATACAATGAAAATGTAGGTACAATTATAAATATGACACAGTCAAAGAGAACCCTAAAAGAACTGAACATAAAGGATGAATTGCTAGTAAACAGCAATTTGTCTTGGACACTGAAATATATATCAAGCACCAGGGTGGATTAGAAAGATAAGTAGCAGAAGTCAAGGTACCAGAAAGGAGAAGCAGAGGTCAATCAGAATGAAGATGGGCACAGGATATAAGAGACAGCTTGAGTAGGAAAGTGCATGGGGCAGAAGAGCTGGTGAGAGACCAAGTTTCTCTCAGGCTGGCTGTAAAAAGAGCAATGTTCAGCACAAGACCAGCCACATGATGATGATGAGTAAAAGACATGTCTACAACAACAAGAAAAACCCTCCTTAATCCTTGTCATCAAAGATAAAAGTAAATCCTTGTCATAAAAGATTAAAGTAAATCCTTGTCATCAAAGATAAAAGTCACTTTAGAACAAACTGATGCTTGTGGTATGTTATGGGCAAGTCAAACACTCTCCTGGCAAAACATAGGTTACTTGTAGATTTTTGTGTTTTCTAATTTGTCAGTCTAAACATCTGCCTGAAAAATGAGGAACCAACATTCTACACACACAAAAAAAAACAACAACCATATCTGTAAGCCAGAACTCAAGTTCTGGAAAATAGACCTTAAACGCACAATCCTATTTGTGACCCAGACGGGAATGTTTAGCATGACTAATGTTGAACGCAGAAGAAAAAGAAGAAGACCAAAGTCCAGAAGTGGATGCACAGCCATAACTTTTAGCCAAAGATTACAGCTGGTGAATGCTGGGAAAAAAAAAGAAGTTTCTGAGAAAATGTTGTGAGTCCCGTGGCCGTTAGTCTAATTATTGACTTCTTTAGGGAAAATTTAAAAAAAAACTTTGAATATTACATACAATCAAGAAATAAGACATTGTATTTTATCACCAAGATAAAAAAGCCACTGAAGAACATGATGACTTGAAATAACACTGGTAGGAGAAACAGACTGTATAGCATTCTTCTAATAATCATTTCTTTTTCTTTGTGTTCACCGGCTGTAAACTGACGGAAAGCTCTAGTCATTCATCCACCTCTGGACTTTAGTCTTGTTCCAGAACGTAAGTGTTGCATGCACATACGTTTAACTGATCTGGCTTGTTTGTATGCAAACTGATGGCTCCTGGCCTCTCAGACTTCGAAGGAAGTTTCTATTTAGCTGATTCTTACTTCATGCTTGCTGGGAAAGCAGTGGGTCTATTCTTGTTTCCCCTGAATGGGACCCCAGAATTCACACAGGGACTTGTGACAATGGCTTGAAGGAATATCATAACTGAATTGGTTCTGAGCATCATGGATGGCATCATGTGCCTTTAAGCACATCGGGCATATGGGAAGGGTACCCCCATATTTTTACAGACCAATCGGGACTATGCCCACCATCTTTACTTCTCCAGGACATCCATCCTGGTACCCATTTAAGGCTGGGTTGACCTGCGACGCCCCATACCAAAATAAAAATCCATGCAATGCTGAGTTACCCAGACAGAATTTTCTGGAAACTAAAGAACCATTCACCCCATCTCATTATACCATGACTTGGATTAAAGGAAGGTGTTTTACACATCTGGCTTATCTGTCAGGAGAATACTGGATCTTCAGCTCTTAAGCAGATGCATTCTCACTTCCCCATTCTGGCAGGGGAGCGCTAAGGTATTATTTGCTACCATTCTCTTACATTATGGATGGTACTACTTTTTTCTTACATAACCTGTGGTACTACCTTTCTCTTACATAGCCTGTCGTACTACCTTTCTCTTACATAGCCTGTGGTACTACTTTTCTCTTACATAGCCTGTGGTACTTCTTTTCTCTTACATAGCCTGTGGTACTACCTTTCTCTTACATAGCCTGTGGTACTACCTTTCTCTTACATAGCCTGTGGTACTACCTTTCTCTTACATAGACTGTGGTACTACCTTTCTCTTACATAGACTGTGGTACTACCTTTCTCTTACATAGCCTGTGGTACTACCTTTCTCTTACATAGCCTGTGGTACTACCTTTCTCTTACATAGACTGTGGTACTACCTTTCTCTTACATAGCCTGTGGTACTACCTTTCTCTTACATAGACTGTGGTACTACCTTTCTCTTACATAGCCTGTGGTACTACCTTTCTCTTGCATGGACTGTGGTACTACCTTTCTCTTACATAGCCTGTGGTACTACCTTTCTCTTACATTGACTGCGGTCGTTCTTTTAGCTCATATAACATGTAGTACTTCTGTACTCTAATACAGCCTGTGGTGCTATCTTCCTCTCATATAACCTGTAGTAATATTTTTTTTCCCTCATCTAACATGTGGGACTACCTTTCTCTCATCTAATATGTGGGACTACCTTTCTCTCATCCAATATGTGGGACTACCTTTCTCTCATCTAACATGTAGTACTTCCGTCCTCTCATACAGCCTGTGGTACTATCTTTCTCTCATATAACCTATGGTACTACCTTTCTCTCATATAACCTGTAGTACTATTTTTTCTCATCTAACATGTGGGACTACCTTTCTTTCATCTAACATGTGGGACTACCTTTCTTTCATCTTATATGTGAGACTACCTTTCTCTCATCTAATCTGTAGTACTACCTTTCTCTCAAATGCATATGTTACTACCTTTCTCTCATCTAACATATGTTACTACTTTTCTCTCATCTAACATGTGGGACTACCTTTTTCTCATATACCATGTAGTACTTCCTTTCTCTTATATAACCTATGGTACTACCTTTCTCTTATATAACCTATGGTACCACCTTTCTCTTATATAACCTATGGTACTACCTTTCTCTTATATAACCTATGGTACTACCTTTCTCTTATATAACCTATGGTACTACCATTCTCTTATATAACCTATGGTACTACCTTTCTCTTATATAACCTATGGTACTACCATTCTCTTATATAACCTATGGTACTACCTTTCTCTTATATAACCTATGGTACTACAATTCTCTTATATAACCTATGGTACTACCTTTCTCTTATATAACCTATGGTACTACCTTTCTCTTATATAACCTATGGTACTACCTTTCTCTTATATAACCTATGGTACTACCTTTCTCTTATAAAACCTATGTTACTACCTTTCTCTTATATAACCTATGGTACTACCATTCTCTTATATAACCTATGGTACTACCATTCTCTTATATAACCTATGGTACTAACATTCTCTTATATAACCTATGGTACTACCTTTCTCTTATATAACCTATGGTACTACCTTTCTCTTATATAACCTATGGTACTACCTTTCTCTTATATAACCTATGGTACTACCATTCTCTTATATAACCTATGGTACTAACTTTCTCTTATATAACATATGGTACTACTATTCTCTTATATAACCTATGGTACTACCATTCTCTTATATAACCTATGGTACTAACATTCTCCTATATAACCTATGAACAAATGGCCATGAAGAAAGGACCCACCATCACAGCCATAAAACAAAAGGACCCACCATCACAGACATAAAACAAAAGGACCCACCATCACAGACATAAAACAAAAGGACCCACCATCACAGCCATGCCGATTAAATCCGAGCCCATAGACCCAGCTGTTGGAGGGTGGTTGGGAATGTTGTATGTTGAAGTCTCCGCCACACGAATATAATTCTCAGGGGCATCCAACACTCGTGTAGCAATCTGTCAATGTACAGAATATAAATTAAGAGGCTACCAACAATTTATAAACTATAAATGAACTACCTACAGTGAATTTACATAAATGTTGACAATCAAAAACCTAAAAGACGTGTATGGAGCACGACCAACTTAGTCTTTATCCCTATCAGTCCTTATGTGTTGTCTTAATTTACCTCTGACCTCTGATAACAATATAAACAGAATATCTTTGCACAGGAACTCACAGGTTCGAAGGAATAAAGGCAGCCCTAAAAAGACAGAGAGAAGGGGGTCGGTGTTAAAAAGATGAAGTTGATATAGGATGAGCTGAATGCAATGGCAAAAGGTAAAACAATATCTAGCGAGTTGGTTGACCTGATTAGATCCTAATATGTTCTTCCCCAGACGGAAAGTTTCTGTACCAGTGTTCCAGCTGGCTTTGGAGCTGAGTTGAGTTTAGAACCAACATAACAGTACTTGGGACATCCCACACATGGTCTGTCCACATTCTTAGCAGCCTGTGAAGAGTTCCAGTTCTGACAATATCAGTAAGAATCTGATTATATGTCATATAGCCTTTCCTCTGAGTGTCAGCCAAATGGCCTGGCCACTCCTCGCTGCACCATTCTATCCAAACTGTAATGATCTGTTGACAAGTCTGCATTGTTCACTTGTTGCCAAATGTCCTATATCACATCTAGCTTGTCATGCACCAAAACACCTCCCAATCATGTAGCACCAGCCAATCTGTCTCTGTTCATTTCCCAACACATCCAGAAACATATTCAGAAAAAAATATCCCAAGGATGCCAACTACCAAGGATCTCCGAAGTACAGTCCCTATGGAGAGAATACTTCTCATGATGGGAGGAAAATCTGTATTCCAGCCTGACACTGACAGATGCAAGCTCTTGTCAGGACTCACATAACATCAACACTGAAGCATTGGCAGTCCTGCAAGGATCAGTATTCAGCACATCTGTTTTTAACTTATTAATGTTTCTCAGTGGTTTTCAGATACCTTTTTATTTGTTTCATTCCTTAGTACAGCCTTTTGTGTCCATATTTTCTCTCAGTGGTCTAAAGAGATGTGGTTTTCTAAGATGAATAATGAAAGTATCATGGACAGATGAAAAGAGTAATGAAGATGTTCTGAAAGAAATGAACTCACAAAGAGAACTGATTGCTCACCTCAGAAAGCGACAATCTACATTCTGTGGCCATGTCATGAGAAGGAGAAAACTGGAGTACATCGTGACAGTAGGAAAGCTGGAAGAGAAAAGTGACAGAGGGAGACCGAAAGAGAAGATGTTGGACAGTTTGACATCAGGGCATGGAAGATCATTTGTGTCAGAAATGACTGACACTACAGTGGAGAGAAGGTTGTGGATAGTCATGACTACCAACACCACACAGCATAGACTATAAAAAGAAGCTGTCTTGTAAATATTACACGGTGAGGTCCCAGTTTATTCCACAGTGTGGCTCTCATGTAACTGAAAGCCACAAGTATGGTTAAAAATGTCATCAACTATTTTTATTGAGAAGAGAAGATAACACTATCATCGACTGGCTAAGAACTACCGAGCAAGATGTTAGCGCAGTCGATAAGAGGCTCACTTTAAAATCCAGCTGCGACTCGCTGCAGCCACGGTCGGTGTTCAAAACCGGGCGGTTCCCGGGGTTCACACAGCCTCTAGGAAATGGATACTAGAGTAACACTCTGGGGTAAATTGAGGAACGTCGCTGTAGCTACAGAGTTAAGTGCGAACGGCGACACAGGCGGACAGTTTCTTATCAGCTGTCCGTACTAGTGGCAGAGCACTTATGGTTTATAAATGTGTGCAATGATGCTGGTCCACATCTCCCGACTTTATCTTTTTTTTTTGACCTTTTAGTGTGGGCCAAAATTACAAGCTGAGAATCACCAGTGTAAAAAAAAATAACACTATATAAACACAAAAATGATATGTCTTACTGACCTGTATGATTTTGATGTGAAGTCCTTGACCCATTTCCACTCCCCCTGTCACCAGCAGGACCGAACCATCCCTGTAGATGTTCACCATAGCAGTGCCCTGGAAACATCTCAGTTACCATTATCCCTCTCACCTGATTTACAATATCTTATTCCGTCTCATGAGAAAGGTCAAAGTGGAAGTCAGTCATATTATATACAATCTGCCTGGTGCAGAATCAAATCCTATACCTTCAGGCCAGCAAGCAAAAATATCCACTGTGGTATCAGGTATCAAAGCTTTCATACAGTGTAATTAGATTACATGAAAATCACTTGTATCAAAGCTCTCATAAGTGTATTTAGATTACATGAAAATCACTGGTATCAAAGATATTATACAGTGTATTTAGATTACATGAAAATCACTGGTATCAAAGCTTTCATACAGTGTATTTAGATTACATGAAAATCACTGGTATCAAAGTTCTCATAAGTGTATTTAGATTACATGAAAATCACTGGTATCAAAGTTCTCATAAGTGTATTTACATGAAAATCACTGGTATCAAAGTAATCATAAGTGTATTAAGATTTTATGAAAATCACTGGTATCAAAGTTCTAATAAGTGTAATTAGATTACATGAAAATCACTGGTATCAAAGCTCTCATAAGTGTAATTAGATTACATGAAAATCACTGGTATCAAAGCTCTCATAAGTGTATTTAGATTACATGGAAATTACTAGTATCAAAGTTCTCATAAGTGAATTTAGATTCTATGAAAGTCATACAAAAGGCTGATTTATTTTTATGTATTTGTCTCTTCTCTTGGGCAAATCTTCAGGGACTGAAAACTACAGTTCTGTGGGTCTTCAAAATTTTAAACTTTTTAAAATTTTTTAAATTTTTAGCTGCACACAAGGTTTGATAAAATGTAACCCAGGAAGACCAACCAGGACAATAAATGCCTGTAGAAGTTGGACAAAGATAATGAGTCCTGCTTGTTGTCATGATCTGGCTCCTCCAGGTGCACCCTTCCAGCAACCTGGACAAGGATAATGAGTCCTGCTTGTTGTCATGATCTGGCTCCTCCAGGTGCACCCTTCCAGCAACCTGGACAAGGATAATGAGTCCTGCTTGTTGTCATGATCTGGCTCCTCCAGGTGCACCCTTCCAGCAACCTGGACAAGGATAATGAGTCCTGCTTGTTGTCATGATCTGGCTCCTCCAGGTGCACCCTTCCAGCAACCTGGACAAGGATAATGAGTCCTGCTTGTTGTCATGATCTGGCTCCTCCAGGTGCACCCCTTCCAGCAAATCTGGACAAGGATAATGAGTCCTGCTTGTTGTCATGATCTGGCTCCTCCAGGTGCACCCATCCAGCAACCTGGACAAGGATAATGAGTCCTGCTTGTTGTCATGATCTGGCTTCTCCAGGTGCACCCTTCCAGCAACCTGGACAAGGATAATGAGTCCTGCTTGTTGTCATGATCTGGCTCCTCCAGGTGCACCCTTCCAGCAACCTGGACAAGGATAATGAGTCCTGCTTGTTGTCATGATCTGGCTCCTCCAGGTGCACCCATCCAGCAACCTGGACAAGGATAATGAGTCCTGCTTGTTGTCATGATCTGGCTTCTCCAGGTGCACCCTTCCAGCAACCTGGACAAGGATAATGAGTCCTGCTTGTTGTCATGATCTGGCTCCTCCAGCCCCCATGTCCAGCAACCTGGACAAGGATAATGAGTCCTGCTTGTTGTCATGATCTGGCTCCTCCAGGTGCACCCTTCCAGCAACCTGGACAAGGATAATGAGTCCTGCTTGTTGTCATGATCTGGCTCCTCCAGGTGCACCCTTCCAGCAACCTGGAAAAGGATAATGAGTCCTGCTTGTTGTCATGATCTTCTATACCCAGGGAGGATAAAAAGGCAGACAAATAAACACACCAGCCAACAGTAAACTTACCTGGTTCATGACACGCACTGGATAACCGACTCCATAAGTCAGTGGTGTGACACTCAATCCTCGTTTCTTCCATCGACTCGACCTATATTGATAAATTTTTTTGGGGTAAAGGAACTATTGTTTCTGATTTTCAGTTAGCACTGCAAAAGGTTCAAAACTGACATATGTGGCATGAGTGCATACGAAGTATCAGTTCATCAAGATTGCAGAGAATCACTGTCCAGGACATGGAGTGCAAGGGACACATTCTGGAAACCATTCATGAACAAAAACTGATAGAAGACACAAGGTTAGATAAAATAACCTGTGTAAGAATGTGGGAATGAGGAATCAGGAGTGACTCGGCAAGGATGGCCATATGAGAAGAAGAGGACACTCTTCCGCTCTATAAAGCAGTACTGATCTGACATTAGAACTGACAACTGTAAGTTTTGTATTAGTTTTAATTTCAAACTAGTCTGTAATATATGAGTCAAGTATCATACACCTGATGTCTCCTTGACTTTACTTGTTATCATCATCATGTGCCTCACCTAAAAGCATAGGTGGTCATGTTTTACATCTTCTATGATCACCGGAGTCACATAGTGCTCATGTTTTGACTTTATATGTTTCCATATCTTTATTTGAATTTTTCTTCTAGTCTCTTTGTAAAATCTATCTTCTGTTCTCTCTCCATAAATTAAGCCATATGTTTGCTGTTAAAAAATATCTCTTGCCTGTTAAAATCCTGCACACTCCTCTGCCGGGTGTAATAGTTGCTCTGTCGCAGGCACTCCTCCCAACACTGTACCAGGTTACTCTGCTGGATTACTTGCCCATAGGCAGTTATGTCTCCTTGATGGTAGAAATTGCTTTCTCTGATCTGGCAACACAGTCGAAATAACACCATTTATAACTAACAGAAACAATCTCTGACCTGGCAGTGCAGTCAAAATAACACCATTTATAACAGAAACAATCTCTGATCTGGCAACACAGTCGAAATAGCATCTATTACAACTAACAGAAACAATCTCTGATCTGGCAACACAGCTGAAATAGCACCAATTACAACTAACAGAAACAATCTCTGATCTGGCAACACAGTCAAAATAGCACCAATTACAACTAACAGAAAGAATCTCTGATCTGGCAATACATTCGAAATAGCACCAATTATAACTAACAGAAACAATCTCTGATCTGGCAACACAGTCGAAATAGCATCAATTATAACTAACAGAAACAATCTCTGATCTGGCAACACAGTCAAAATAGCATCAATTACAACTAACAAAAACAATCTCTGATCTGGCAACACAGCTGAAATAGCACCAATTACAACTAACAGAAACAATCTCTGATCTGGCAACACAGTCAAAATAGCACCAATTACAACTAACAGAAAGAATCTCTGATCTGGCAACACAGTCGAAACAGCACCAATTATAACTAACAGACACAATCTCTGATCTGGCAACACAGTCGAAATAGCACCAATTACAACTAACAGAAACAATCTCTGATCTGGCAACACAGTCAAAATAGCACCAATTACCACTAACAGAAACAATCTCTGATCTGGCAACACGGTCGAAACAGCACCAATTACAACTAACAGAAACAATCTCTGATCTGGCAACACAGTCGAAATAGCATCAATTATAACTAACAGAAACAATCTCTGATCTGGCAACACAGTCAAAATAGCATCAATTACAGCTAACAAAAACAATCTCTGATCTGGCAACACAGCTGAAATAGCACCAATTACAACTAACAGAAACAATCTCTGATCTGGCAACACAGTCGAAACAGCACCAATTACAACTAACAGAAACAATCTCTGATCTGGCAACAATACAAAATAACACCATTTATAACTAACAGAAAGAATCTCTGATCTGGCAACAATCAAGTATTATTTACTTCCATCCTCACAATGGACTGCATGTTGGGCAAGATTAAGATTTTATGAAGCCCTAAGCTATATATGGATAACAGAAATGCACTGTCCTTCAATTTTAGTTAAAGAAAATATTTTTAAAAATGTGTTTGCAATTAAAAAAAATTAAAAATATTTGGCCAGATTTCTTCTGCATACCTAGACCATTCATGAATTAAATAATAACACATGAGCACACATGGTACCTCGCTTGAGACAGAAAGAGTTAATAGTAACTGTATCTTTGCTGGATCTCAAGCTATCCTTTTTGGTATCATATGTATTACCTTTTCTGGAGGCTGGTTCAGGGATTCTGCAACATGCTGTATGATATACTCCACAGTGGCCACACCCTGGGGAGCCCCATAGCCCCTGAAGGCCGTACAAGAAGCGATGTTGGTTCGGCATAGTTTGGCTGTAATGAACATGTGTGGGATCTTGTACGAGTTGCCAATTGCCAGAAGACATCTCTCAGCGACCTGCACAAACAATAAACTGAATTTGTATGGGGTTCAGAATCTGACACTTCTCAGCCAACATTCTATTTCCTAATTCTAACATGCATAGGAAGTAGGATGCCAATTTGTGCAGGGAATCAGAGTCTTGGGTCTACAGACTGGTTCCTGGTGATCCCTGAAGGGTGCAGCATGTAAAGAGCGTTCAGTATATGGATATGAGGTTAAGCAGTCAGGTACCCTCCATCACTGTGGATGATGCAGTCAATGAAAGGGGGTCAGTCGCCTTTACTTCCCAAAATATTACCTGCTACCTATTTTAGACTAGGTCAACTTGGGAATCAGCTCAATTTAAAAAAAAACCAGTCCTCCTCAGTGTGAATTCAAACACATGCCTCCCAGTGTGGGTTTGGGGGCCTCATTTTGGGGTAAACAAGAAGAGACTCGTTGCCCCCTAAGCATGTTGTACAAGTTGACCCATTAGGGGTGTTTCCTTGAAAGCTGGACAGCATCTGCCTAAAAGCTGAGAAACCCCACACACAAAAGTGCATTTAAAAAAAGCCAGATCTGTAAATCAAATATGCGCACACAAAACTTCTGGAACAAGTTCTTCAGCAAGATCAAAGTTCAGAACAGATGAACAAAACAGAACTTTTCAGAAGAGTTTACAGCCTGTGAACATGAAAAAGAATACATGATGAACATGACCAGGCCACAAGTAAACTATATGTCCCCGTGTGGGTTCCGGGGCCCCATTGTGTGGAAAACAAGAATAGACCCACTGCCTGCCCAAAAGCATGTCATAAGAGTCGACTAAATGGGAGCTTCCTTCCAAGTCAGAGTTCATCTGCCTGAGAGGCAAGGAATTAACAGTCTGCATGCAGATGAATTAGACATGATAAAAAAATGTTCAAACAACACTCGGTTTCTGGAACAGGACTAGAGTCCAGAAGTGGATGAACAACCAGAACTTTCCACGTGAGATTAAAGCCGGTGAACTCAAAGAAGAAGAAGAAAAGTGAACTAGCAAAAACATATCAAAGTGGGATCATTATAAGAACTGTTTTTACTGACTGTATTTGGGAACAAATACCATAGGATTGATTACCTTAACAACTGAAACTAGAATGTGAGATACACAGTGGTGTAGTGGCTAGACACTTGCCTGACGGTCTTGGGTTTGAATCCACATAACCAGATGTTTTCAAAACTGACCTTGCTTTCCTAGTCAGTCCAGCCTACAAAAGCTGCAGGTAATGTCCTGGGAATTCAAGGCAGGCGGACTGATGCTGGCCGCATCACCCAGCAAGTATGAATCTAGCATCATATACTGCATGAGGCACTGGACTAAAAATGGTCCTTAAAGAAAATAAAACAATTTAAAAAACCAAAATCAAACCTACTCCAGGAGAAGTATCCATGGACATGCCACAGTTGAAGTACACCGTCAGTCTGAGAGCCAGCAGCTGGCCTTCTGCAGTAAACCCAACCTGCAATAAACAACAATACAATAATGACACTTGAGATCAGATTGTTTTATGTTATGTTATCATAATCCACGTCACTGTACACTGGGCAGTGCCATGCATGCTCAGTCCTCCGACACAGCAGCCACACCAAGTTATTTGAACTGAACTGAATTTCTACCCCACCAGGACATCACACAAGCGATAAACACCCGATGACACAAAGTGCCACCATGTGGATGAGGATCGCCGTGGAGAGGTCCCAGAAACCGCGTTCAGACATTTGGCCATATATGGCCTGCCTATATTGCGGCCCCCGGCAAAAGCCAGAGTAGGGCTTCAAATGACAAAAAATTTCGTCCTAAGAAGGACGAAGTTGCGATTATTAACACCAAGTTATTTCTACTGATTGTTCCCATAAAAAGCTGGTTTGAGTGTCTCCTGTCTTGGTCTCAAAGATGGCATAGACATGCTTCACCAAGCTTTCCAGATTACACAGTTACAAATATTTCAGATCTGTAAAGTGGATGTGCATGCAAGACTCAGGTTCTGCAATAAGACTTAAATCCGAAGATGGACAAACAAACAGAACATTCTGCTGGAGTTACAGCCAGTGAACGCGTAGAAGAGAGAAGAAAAAAGGGAAGCAACCATCGCAATCATGTTATTGAAGTAGTGATACTTTTATACAATCTTTCTTTGTCAATTGAGATGAGCTATATAAATGCTATCGTGATATATGGAAGTGAATCACGGACAGTTGAATGAATATATGAATAGCAAAAAATTATTTGAAAGCAGCTGAGCTGTGGTATTTTAGATGAATGATGACGATAAAGATAAAAAAGAGTAATCAAGATGTCTTGAAAGAAAGTGAACCAGAAGGAGATTATCTACACTCTTTGGTCATGTCATGCATGAGAAGGAGAAAACTGGAGTACATCGTGACAGTGGAAAAGTTGGAGAGAAAAAGAGGCAGAGGGAGAACAAAAGAGATGATTCTGGATAATTCGACATCAAAGCATGGAAGATCATCTGCGTTAGAATTGACCAAAAGTACTCGAGACAGCAGGATGTGGCACGCCTAACACAACCACATGACATTGACTATAAGAAGAAGAGGAGGATTCTTGTCTTTCACCTGACAGCCATTTTTCTGCTCCATGTGGGTGCCCAGTTAGTCATGTTCTTAGTACACTTGTTTCTATGGCAATGTGCACACAATATTTGGAGGTGACAGGTTCGATTCCAGGCATGTTACCTATAGCTTTTGAATTTTATGTTGTCTAGTGTGTCCTTCTATCTCTCTGCTTCTTTCTATGAGTGCCGATCAATACATTGTCTGTTTGTTTATTATATATCTTGAAACAACACATATAATGGTTCTTCTTCTGTAATCACCCGTAAATGGGTGGTGACACAAATTGTGGACAGCTAGCTTCCAAAATCGGTGCCTTTTAGCCCAGCACATTCTGTTTCAACAAATCCATAATCAGTCACGTTTTAGGACATGCTTGTTAAAGATGGTTATTGTGATGACCCTGCTTTGCATGGTCTCCACGAGTACATTGTGGCAAGCAAAAAGTCCGTGCTACAAGTGACGGCACGAGATACTTGTGGCCGGTGGAGTAAGCGAGGGGAAACCCGAGCTAGACTCGTGGTCAGTCGATCATCAGAAGTCAGTGAAGACGGTTGTAGTAATTGAAGATGTAGTTTTTATGTTGTGAATGGTTAGTGTTTGAATATGTCGCGAGTGAAATAAATGTGAAATAAATGGACCAGAATAAACTGACAGAATGTACAACGAAGCTGAGCGGCGTTTGTGTTGTCAACCCTAGATGTTAAAGCTGGTGCAAACCAAGGTACACTTCAAGTCTACGTTTTGACTCATTTCAGTTATCTATCCCAAAATGGCAGCTGGAATAACTGACTGGCTGACTGGGCAACTATCTGAAGGCTGGACTACCCCCACCAGCTTATATAATCTTGTAGCAAACGTCTGCCTCTTCAATCCTGTGATGTGACAATACCTTATACTTGGCTAAAATGGGATGTCTGGTGCCAGTTAGTTTCATATCCTCGTCTCTGTCCAGGACAGCACGTACAGGTCTCTGAGTTCTGCAAGACAAAACAATCAAATTCAATACCTTACCAGTAAGAAATTGTTAACACAATAGTTACTTTTATAGTGTATAATGAAACAAATAAGTATCCTTAACAGGACGTTGCAGAACCAACCCTAGCATTTCTGGGCTGCTGTGGTTTTTCTAGGCAAATAAATTTACATCCAGTAGTTTGTCATTGCTTTCAGGACAGTTGGCTTCTCGACACCACTGTCAAAACCAACATAAAGCGCAAGGCCGCAGCAGAGATGGAACCCGGCACCCAGACATTATGAAGCGTGTTCGCAATGCCTAGGCCACAGATGCCGCCAAAACAAATGAACAAGCTAAATGTGTTTTTGGCACCTTTTTATCTTACCAGGCGATAGTGTTCCATTGTGGCAGAGGCAGGGATGAGAACCACAACCCATGGTGACACCAATCAAGGCCAGGGGTGAAGCTCCTCCTTTCCACAGTCCAAAACCTGGGCAGTATTGCACTGACCAAGTGTAGGCCAGACAGTATGATCCCTTCCTCTGCCTGCTTTGTGTATAAAGATGATGCAAGCAGGACATGAATGATACAGGTATTGAGGTGGACTCATTGGAACAAAATGCATGGACTGTGTTGTGTGGAAAGGACATATCAGGAATGAAATGAGACTGAAGAAAGAAATGATTGCAGAAAGGATGAGAGCTGGGCATCTGAAAAGAAACAGATGAAACACAAATGTTGACAACAATGGTCCTGAAATCTCATGCCATCATTGTGGAAGACTTTTTTTGACACGGGTGGGTCTTGCTAGTCACACTTGCCATGGGCTGTGAGTCTCATGCCTCCTCAAAGCACAATATAACACTATCGTCTGAAAAGACGGAAAGGTGCCAATGAAAGTGTAGGCCAGACAGCGTGATCCCTCCCTCTGCCTGCTCTGTGTACTCCAAGGAAAGTAAACAACAATATGTTCAGAACACAGCATGCTGTAGAAACAGCTGGGGCAGAAATGCTCCACTGTGTCCACCTGCCTGAAAAATCTTCGCTCATAAACCAGCTGCTCACCAAAACAAAAGGCCTGAATTTGTATACTTATGTAACATATAAGAGATCAGATTACAGCAACCTTCTCCTGCTGTTAATATTCCTGAATGAATGATACTAGTGACACCCTTGATTGATTCAAGGGAGACAACAAAGTACAGCAGCGCTGTTAGAAAGTAAAGCAGTCTTTTTTTACATCAGTGGTATATACCAGCCACTTTTACTTCCCAGAACTTTATCTGGTACTCATTTTAGACTGGGTCAACCTGGGAGCCAAGGTGGTTTTTTTTTTTTAAAGAAAAATGTTCAAAGATCTGGAGTGAACCCGATTCAAACCTCAAGACCTATTAAGGGTGAACACAGAAAATGAACGAGTAATGAGGATGAGGTTTCGACTACTGCTCCCAGTCTATACAAATGATAATTTTCTGCTTCTTAGCATTCACTGGCTGTAGACTCCGGCAGAAAGTTATGGTGGTTTGCCCACTCCTGGAATTTGGTCTTGATGACTTTTTGTGTTTTTTTTGTTTTATGGGTCTGGCTTATTTGTATGCAGACAGTTAGTTTCTTGCTTCTCAGGCAGATGCACTCCAACTCTGAAGGAAACAACCCTAATTAGTCACCTCCGACAGCATGCTTACTGAGGGGGGGGGGGGGGGGCAGTGGTGGTATTTTTGCTCCCAAATGGAGCCTAGGAACCCAAACTAGGGAGACCAATGAAACAGATAGAGAATGATCACTGACTTGTATGCTCCAACTGCTGCTGGATGCACAATACTGCTATGTCTGGCCTGCTTCCCACCAAACGAACCACCTGAGGAGAGTGTTTAGACACAATCCATTAAACAAGCAAAGTGTTTAGAAACAGTAAACTGAACAAGCAGAGTGTTTAGAAACAGGAAGTTAAACATGCAAGTGTTTAGAAACAGTATACTAGACGATCAAAGTGTTAAGAAACAGTATACTAGACAAGCAAAGGGTTTAGAAACAGTTAACTAAACAAGCAGGAATGTTTAGAAACAATAAACTAAAAAAGCAAAAGGGTACTGATACAGTAAACAAAACAAGCAGAGTTCAGAAACAGTAAACTAAACAAGCCGACAGTTCCTGCAAACAGACACTCACTTGTAGACTGGTAGGTGGCTAGTGATTTACAGGTTAGTGGACCTGTTTCACAATCCTTGATGTACCAGGGTTTGACTAACTCAGTCCCAAAATACTGAGGTGTCATACTGAACACACAAGATATTGGACAGAATAGACTGGAGGAAGCAACTGCAAGCCCTATATGACATATATACACCACAAAAGATTGGTGTAGCTGAGCCCTGCAAAAAGATGAACTAAGCCACACAAGAAGTACAAGACAAAGACAGAAAACCATGCTACGGGCTACAATTTAGTATCAGGGAGATAACAAACAAAAAAACAAACAAAGACCCAAAAAAAAAAAAAAAAACAGGACAGGTGATGATGATAATACAATAATACAAATGACAAAGGTGACAAAAGGCATCCCTGGCACAATCCTACACTTATCTGAAATGGATATCATGATGTATAATTGTCGGTCTGTATAATCAAAGGACAAGGTGACTTGCTAATTGAAACTCAAAGAGTTAATGATAACTATGGCATTCTACAAACAGCAGCAATATTAGATCTAGAGACATTACCAATTCTCCTCACAGAAACATTTATATTGTGTTCCGGCACACCCAACACTTTGGACACTCCTACCTGCAAACAGATTACACATTATTATTTCATTTATGGAAGGACATGGTCATATTCTGGTTGTCATCTTCTACTGCCTTGTTGCTCTATATGGAGCAAGAGAGCAAGAGGTGGGCAAGGATACAAGTGGGAGGACAATATCAAAAGAAAGACAAACAGAAGTCTGAGAGAGTGTACAGGCAGGACAAGAGACAGAATGTGTTGGTGATTTGTTGCGGCCAACCTTCACTGTGGAGAAGGCACCTGATTGACTGAAACAAATATTTTCACATTTTACTGATCTATGTAAAAAAAAAAAGTTTTTTTATTCTCAAACATAAAGAGATATATAAAGGTGTAATCAATAAACATGAACAGGGTGAGGTACTAAATGGAATACATTCCCTGCAGCCTTAATAAATGTGCCTTGACCTGTGACATCAATCATGGAGGCTTATGGGGAAAATCTGACATCAACTTGGCTTTTAAAGCCCCCCCCCCCCCCCCCCCCCCCCCCCCCCCCCCCCCCCCCCCCCCCCCCCCCCCCCCCCCCCCCCCCATATCCTAGCCTATTAAACACAGCACCACTAGCATTTTCTATGCTTTTCAAAAATAGGTCACGGCAGACATGGTGATAAATCAGTATTTGAAATGAAAATGCTTGGGAAAATGGCTACTATGGTGGATGGATGAGAAGGGACAAGGCTGACTTCCTGAATAGTCTATGAACAGTATGATGTATGTATGAATTAAAGGGGTGATGAACCATGACCAGACTGTGAGAACAGTAAGTAAGAAGGGGTCAGAATAGATAAGAACACTAGACAGGAAGCCAAAAGATTAAACCATCAGAGAACTGGGGTTGTCAGCTGCTCCACACTGAGAAGGGGATTTGAACACTTCTGATGAAGTCAAAACTCTCATTAAGAGAAAATCAGAAACAGATTGGAAAACCAACACTGGTTATAACTACGAAAAAGATTTTCTGAAACGCTTGAACAGAACAGACCAAGTCACAGTTTTTCGCTTACGCACTGGACACTGCAGACTCAATAAACACTCACATAAATTAGGTATGAGCCAAACAGCTCTCTGCCGGTGCCTTCGTGCTGAACAGACTCCAGAACATGTCCTGCAAGACTGTCCTCTCCTGGCGGAGCTGCGGAGCGACATATGGCAACACCCAGTAGAACTGACAACTAAGCTTTGGGGAAACCTAAGAGACCTTGAAAAGACATCCCAGTTTATGACCCACAGTGGATTATGCGCATGACCAGAGATCGCTGAAGAAGAAGAACACTTCTGGACTGAATGGTTTAATATGCAGTAAGGATGATCTGTCTAGCTAATTATATAAAGTCATATTCTAGGCAGTGTGTCACTGTGGCATAGCAGTTAGACACTCACCTGTGGATCTGAAGGTCATGGGACTTTTCTGCAAAATGACCTTGGCTCCTATGATCAAACTAGCTTTATCTCTTTTTGTGTCAAGGAACACAGGATACAAATTTTTTTAAATAATTTAACTCTCCTCTGCTATTGAAAGAGTATAATGGGTACCAGGTAAAGTCCTGGGAAGTAAAGGTGGCCAGCTTGATATTTATCACATCACCCACAGACTGCCGATTGGTCTGCGAAATATAGGCTTATTTATAGTCTAGAGGACTGTCTTCACTGTGCCAGGCCTCATCCCATGAAGTGTCTCTCTCTCTGCACAATAGCAATTTACCTGCCCAGAGTGCTGCACAAAGCACAAATTCCACAGCTCCAGTGACAATACCCTGGGATCTTTTCATAAACTCCCCCGACTTTCAAACGCCGGACTCTTTGCTATGGAGAAACCCAACTCTTCTACTTTCAGCCTTCACCAGCTATAAACTCTGGTGACAAGTTCTAGTTGTTCCTCCACTTCTGGCCTTGAGTCTTGTTGCAGAAATTTTATTTTGTGTGCAATATGTTTTACAGATCTGCTTATTTGTATGCAGAGTGTTGGTTTCTCACCTCTCAGGCAGATGCACTACAACATTAAGGTGGTGGGGGGGGGGGGGGGGAAGGGTGGAATTCTGAATAAGTTATCTTTTGCAGCATGCCTGAGAGGGATGCAGTGGGTCCATTGCTGTTTTTCACCCCAAAGTGGGGCTCCAGAATCCACATGGGGGAGACCCTCAGCTAGCTCTGAAGAAGTTAGTAATGATGACGATCATGACTTCTACCAAGGATAAGCTTCTTACCTGAAGGATATCCAACATATGAGTCATACTGATCACATGATACTCATCAACATCCCGTGGGTACACAATGCAGGCGTGTGGCTCCAGGTAAAAGTGTTCCTGTGCCTCCAGGTGAAACTCTCCTTCCAGGACATGTTCAGCTACAGACAGGCCCTTGTCAATGTCTCCACACTGGATGACTCGTGGAGGGCTGTCAAAGTAGGAGTTGGATTGTATGGCTTCCTGCATGGGTAGACATAGACAAAGATTACTGTTGTAGACAACAGGGTGAGTAGAAATAGACTAGGATAACAGCTGTAGACAAAAGGCTGGGTAGAAATAGACAAGGAAAACAGCTGTAGATAACAGGCTGGGTAGAAATAGACAAGGATAACAGCTGTAGATAACAGGCTGGGTAGAAATGGACAAGGATAGCAGCTGTAGACAACAAGATGGGTAGAAATAGACAAGGAAAACAGCTGTAGACAACAAGATGGGTAGAAATAGACAAGGAAAACAGCTGTAGACAACAGGGTGGGTAGAAATGGACAAGGATAGCAGCTGTAGACAACAAGATGGGTAGAATTAGACAAGGAAAACAGCTGTAGACAATAGGTGGGTAGAAATGGACAAGGATAATGACTGTAGACAATAGAGTGGATAGAAATAGACAGGGATAACATGGTGGATAGAAATATACACAGATAACTGCTATAGACCACTGGGTGGGTAGAAATAGACCAGGATAACTGTTTTATACAAAAGAGTGAATAGAAATATATAAGGATATGCAGAAAACAGGGCGGGTAGAAATGAAGATAACCGCTGTAGACAACAGAGTGGGTAGAAATAGACAAGGATAACATGGACAACAGACGAGGACTCCTAGGAAGAAAGAATATAAATTAAATACCAAGAAAGTGTTGATAAAATAAAAGCAGGCGCTATGTTGACATCATGCCAGATAAGCTAAGGACTCTGTCATTTTAAACCTACATATAGTAAGTACTCTTGATGACTGTCTTAACTATAAGCAATGTATGTAGCAGGATCTTTCCTGTGCATCCTAGCCATTGCACAAGATGTTCTACAGAGGTATGGCTTTACTCAATGACCAGTTTCATTGTGTAATGCTCAAGGTAATATTTTCTTGACTTTTCTTAGTGGTTATTCCTTCTGCTCTGAAGCCCTCTGGGATTAAGGAGAGTTATATCTCAGTATCCCCCCCCCCCCCCCCCAGCTCCCATACAGACAGTCAAATATTTTAGGAGGTGGTAGATAGGCTGCATGCAGTCGTAGGACCTAGACAACACTCTCTTGTAGAACCTAGGTGGGTTACGGTTAGGCCTAGTTCTAGATGGTTTGGGGTAGTTAAAGCATCAGAAAGCTTGGAAACACGCTCTTACCACCATTGAAAATACAGGACTGTGATGTCATCCTGGAGGGAGATAATGGGAAAGCACCTCAAGGAGTTAAACATGCCGTGTATAACCGACCTTAACTGCAGATACCTGGATTGTAATGATGGGTTTCAGCTCCTCGTACTCCACTCTGACCTGACTGGCAGCTTGTCTGGCAGTTGCCAGATTATCAGCCAACACCATGCCTATAATTTGACCTTCATGTAGAGTCTGATTAAAAAAAATAAACAAATGAATGAACAAATGGTCTTTATCTCCGACAAGTCACAGACTGGTACACCGACCTGATTTTCAGTGCTTCAAGCCACACAGCATTCCTATAGTAATCATATGCTTCCATCTAACCTTTTCGCCCAATGAAGCCACAAACTTGGCACTCCTAGTAGGTTCCAGTTCCCAGAGAGTGCCCTTACGGGGCACTCCTACAGCGATGTGTTTGCGAAACACCTAGTTAATGCCACTGGCTGTTTTTGCACCTACACAAATGTTTTGGAGACCACAATGTGAATACGTAGGCTTAAAAAGAATTTAGAGGTGTTTTCCTGTGAACAACAGTTATTTTGAAAACCAAGTTGGCAAGGGTCTTCTTAAAGTCCATGCTATGTGGTGTTAGTAGTAATGTCCATCCACAACCTTCTGTCTCGTGTACTTTCAATCAACTCTGACACAGATGATCTGCCATGCCATGATGTCAAACTGTCCAGCATCTGTTCTCTCAGTCTTCTTCTGCCTCTCCTCCCCTCCAGCTTTCCTACTGTCAGGATGTACTCCAGTTTTCTCCTTCTCATCAAATGACCAAATAATATAGATTGTCTCTTTCTGATGTGGGCAATCAGTTCTCTTCGTGAGTCAGTTTCTTTCAAGACATCTTCATTACTCTTTTTGATCTGCCCAGGGTATTCTCATCACTGGTCAATAAAACCACATCTTCGCAGATTCCAAATAAGTTTTCCCTAATTTACTGACTGTTCAGAAGCAATCAGGGTCAATGTAGATAAATATGTATATTTAAAAAAAATTAATCAGTAAACTGTGTGAAATGCTTTTTCATTAAAGAAAGGAATTGGGTGGGGGGAGAAGGGGTAATTGGATTCCCAAAGTTTCACGAATCATATTTTTATTTCAGTGTAGACATGATCAGAAGAACTCACCAAGAAATGGTTCTTATCAGAAACTCCTCTTATCCAGATGAGAATTCAAGCACACACAAAATTTGTTAGGGATAAACAAATTGTTCTTCACAGCAGAAATATACAACATCCAAGATCACTTTCAGCGGTCTGCAGTGTATTATGAATGCTGGTTAAAAGAAGAGACCAATGCAGAAAGAGACTATATATAGACTAACACAAATGAATTGCTGGCAGATCTGACGACTGCCTTATGCATTCACTTTGCAAAATAATTTGCCGGGTGTATATGCAGACCCTGGGGTAGGAGCCTGTCCTACTACTAGGCGCGTCCACCAGGTGGCGGATGGTGGAAAGGCCTCTAGATATAGAGGTTAGCCACGAATATATTGAATAAGTGGCCGTGGACCAAAACAGGTGATGGTCATTGAGAGGAGGCGAGTTAGTTGGTGGGACAGCTAACTCTATAAAATACCTCAAAACTCTACGACATGGCCATCGGCGGGTAAGAGGCGCCATAACCTCTCCCCCCTGCTGCCTTGCAGGGTAAGTCTTTTTAGACAAAGGCTATTGGAGTCAAACCATATACAAACCGGCGGAAGGCAAGGGGAAACCACCGCTGTACCATCCCAAGAAAATCATGCCTCAAAATAATACGTATTCAGATAACAACGTGAATGGGGATTCCGGTGGAATCACCTCGTCCGGTAGGGAGCATCATGTTCTACGGGTGATACCCGACCGTCATCCAGCTACTGTAGAAAAAGTAAATGGTAGAAACATCATGAACATTGGTACATGGAATGTCAGAACACTCGTGCAAAACGGAAAACTGGATAACATCAAGATGGAAATGAAGAGAATGAACATCAACATACTAGGAATTTGTAAAATGCGATGGCCAGGAGCAGGGGAAAAGTATTCAGATCAGCACAGAATTATCTACTCGGGAGGGAAAGAATATAGCAAGGGAGTTGGTATTATTTTGGATCCAAAGAACTCAAAAACTGTTAAAGGATTTTGGACAATATCAGATAGAGTACTATTAGTAAAACTTCGCGACAGACCGTTTGACATCAACTTAGTACAGATTTATGCCCCAACAGCAGATAGTTCAGAGGAAGACATTGACGCATTTTATGATGAGTTAGACTGTTGATCAATGCAAAAATTGTGAAGTAACAATGGTACTTGGAGATTTCAACGCAAAAGTAGGAAGTGAAAAAGTGTACGGAATAACGGGTGGATATGGACTAGGAGAAAAGAATGTGAGAGGTGACAGATTAATAGCATGGGCTGAGTCGCGCAGCATGATAATAGGTAACACCTGGTTTAAACACCATCCTCGAAGATTGTGGACTTGGAAAAGTCCTGGTGATAATGTCCGCAATCAGATTGATTATATTTTGATTTCAAGAAGATTTCAGAGCAGCTTAGTTGGAGCTAAAACTAGACCAGGGGCAGACTGCTTTAGTGACCATGTTCCAGTTGTAGGAAAAATTAGAATAAAACTAAAGAGCATTAGAAAAACACCACAGAACATCAAGTTAAATTTAGGAATTCTTAGAACGAATAAAGAAATTAAGGAACAGTACAACGTCACTGTACAAAACCGGTATAATGCAATAGAAATTATACAAACAATTGATGAACAGTGGGATATGTTGCGTGAGTCAATTCAGCAGACACCAAAAGAGACAATCCCACCAACCCATACAGTTGCAAAAAAGAAATGGATGTCAACCGAAATTCTGCAGTTGATGGATGAAAGAAGGAAGAAAAAGAATGATAAAGAAGAATACTCTAGAATACAAAAAGAAATAGTGAACAAATGCAAAGTGGCTAAAGAAGCCTGACTGAATCAAATGTGTACAGAGATTGGGGAAAATCACGGGAAAGACTCACATTCCATGTACCAACAGATAAATATGTTAACAGGAAAGATGACACGTAACAGCACTGGATGTTTGATATCAAAGGATGGTGACTTATTAATGGGACATAGTAATATAATTAACAGATGGACAGAGTATATAGGGGAATTGTATGATGATAATAGACTAGACGTAGAACTGCAGAACAACAATGATGGTCCACCAATAATGACTGCAGAAGTTGAGGATGTAATACATCATATGAAGAAAGGATAAGCACCCGGGCAAGACAACATCTCACTGGAAGAAATCGAAGCACTGGGAAATTTTGGAATTGAAATAATAACTAAACTTTTAAATGATATTTATAATAGTGGGTATATTCCAAATGACCTTTTAAAATCCATATTTATAGCTCTGCCAAAGAAACCAGGCACTTTAAAATGTGAAGACCATCGCACAATAAGTCTTATGAGTCACATGACTAAGATTTTACTGAGAATAATTATGAGAAGAATAAGAAACAAAATTAAACCAGAAATCAGCGATGAACAATGTGGATTTGTAGAAGGAAAAGGTACAAACAATGCCATATACATCCTAAGGACATTGTCAGAAAGAGCTATAGAAGTAAAGACTGATTTGTACTTATGCTTCATAGACTATACAAAAGCATTTGACTGTGTGAAGCATGAAGAAGTAATCAAACTGTTAGAAAAATTAAACATTGATGGGAAAGATCTAAGAATAATAAAGAATATGTATTGGCAGCAAACAGCAGCTATAAGAATTAACAACTGTTTAGGAACATTTCAAAGCATAAAGAGGGGCATACGACAAGGATGTGTACTTTCACCTGATTTGTTTTCAATATACAGTGAATATATTATGAGATCTTTAATTGATATGCCCGGAATCGTGGTTGGTGGGCACAATATAAACAATTTACGTTATGCTGATGACACAGTCTTGATAGCAACAAGTCAGAAAGAATTACAGGAAATGATAGACATTGTGGTGTTAGAAAGTGGAAGAATGGGCCTCAGTTTGAATAATGGGAAGACAGAAGTAATGGTGGTATCAAAGAAACAAATTATTCCTAAATGTGTAATAAAAGTCAATGGTGTTATTTTAAGACAAGTACAGAAATTTAAGTATCTGGGCACATGGATAACATCAGATGGAAAATGCATAACTGAAATAAGAAACAGAATTGGACAGGCAACAAAAACTGCATTTTATAAAATGAAAAACATCTTGTGCAATATATCCTTGTCATTGAGAGTTAGAAAAAGAATTCTTGCTTGCTACATACATCCAGTTTTTAACATATGGATGTGAATCCTGGACAATCGGTAGGCAGGCCAAACAATTTTTGGAGGCCTCAGAGATGTGGTTTTACAGAAGAATGCTTAGAATACCTTGGACAGCCAAAAAGAGCAACCAAGAGGTTTTAAAAGAGGCGGGAGACCGAAGACAACTTATCACTGACATCAGAAGGAGACAGTCATCATTTTTCGGCCATGTTATGAGAAGAGGGAAAATAGAACATGTTGTGACCACTGGAAAGATCTGTGGAAGGAGGGATAGAGGAAGACAACGAGAGAAGATGCTTGACAGTCTTGTTGCATGGCATGGAGGTGTGTCGGCACACGAACTGATACATGCTGCAGGAGATCGCGGATTATGGAGAGGCATGATCGCCCACGCCAGTCGGCAAGGCACCTGATGATGATGATGATATGCAGACCACTAGTTTTAAAACAAACAGTGATGGCAGAGAAGCGAAGCAGTTGCTGTGAAGTAGAACCTTGACTAACTAATGACTAAAGGAAAGAACAGTACACAATAAAGACTAACATGATTGAAAAGAGAAAACAATGGCAATAACTGTAAAATGCATATTCACTGGGAGAAAATGTAATGGACCTGTTTTGTTGCCTAAGCTACTAAGTTTAGTGCTTGGTGCAGCCCTGTGAGCTGTGTTTTTTATGTGGAATGCCTTGCATTTTTGGGAGCCGCGTTAGCGCAGTCGATAAGAAGCCCGCTTTTAAATTCAGCTGCGACTCACTGCAGCCCATGGTCGGCGTTCGAAACCAGGCGGCTCCCGGGGTTCACCCAGCCTCTAGGAAATGGGTACCAGAGTGATACTCTGGGGTAAATGGAGGAACGTTGCTGTAGCTACAGAGTTACGTGCGAACAGCGACACAGGCGGACAATTCAAATCAGCTGTCCGTACTGGTGGCAAAGCACTTATGGTTTATAACCATGTGCAATGATGCTGGTTCACATCTCCCGACTTAACATTTTTTTTGTCTTGCATTTGTGCAGCGGCTATCTCGTAGTATTCAATATGGCTGGTAGCTGGTTTATGTGTGAGCTGATGAAATACCTTATGTAATAATTCTACCTGTGTATAGCCAACTTATGGTACCCGACTACTTCCATTAACGACAAACTGTATTTCTAGTAGTGGATGTTGGCTTTGGCGCCTCTAGCAACTGCCATATGCATTTACTGCATGCACATATTTCTGCATTGTGCAGAGACTGATTGTTTGTTCACCAGTTTTTCAAATGCAACAATGAAAGACATTTTATTGGATTTTCCCTGACACAGGAACAGAGCAAGTATGGTGAAGCCTGATTGCAATGAAGATGAAAACTTGACTAAAACTAAGACTATAGAGAACAAACAAAACAATAAGCAATTAATATTTTAGTCAAAGAACAGACAAAAAGGTAAACAGAAGTCTTATAGTCAAAGAACAAACAACAGAACCTGATCACCAACCTTGTCACAAGCAAAGACCAAATCTTGAAAATCATTCCAGTTATTACATCCTGGCACATCCTTGGCTGTAACAAAGTCCTCAACTCCGGGCATGGCAAGAGCCAAGGATGGATCAACCTGCAGGATGTTTGCGTGTGATTGAGTGCTCATCACAAATCCAGCAAATAGTTCTCCTGAAGAGGACAGAGTGGGAAACATCTTAGTCATCATTATCATGTAGCAGGTCTTTTCAGAACATCACTCTCATCACAGTCTGTCTGAAAGAACCAACCCCAGCATTGTTTTGGTGGTTGCAATTTTTCCAGGCAAATTTTACATTTGATAGTTGGCACTAACGCAAGACAGTCTGCTATCAAATCATCTTAGATCTAAAATGGTACCCCAGCATTATGAAGCACCTTGCTTCCATATATTTGATCTAAATACTTCAGTGTCTATTTCTTCTCTATTCTTAAAAGTTTCAACATTCTTATCCTAAATCTGGTCTCTTCTTCTTCTGCTATTTATCCCGCATGGAGCATAGGTCCTCAACCAACTCATGCCAAGTCCTTCTATCCTTCACCATTGCATGCAGCTCTCCGCATGTCCTCCCTATCTTTTTAACTTTGTTCTCTAGCTTTCTACTACATGTGTGTTTTAATCTGCCGTTATTTCTATGCCCTTGTGAGTTCCAATGTAGAAATTCTAGGTATAATGTTCTCAGGTTTTCTCAATATGTGTCCTAACCAACCTCAGTCTTTTCTTCACTTCTTGGGCCACTGGAACTTGTTTAGTTCCCTCCCATAGTGTTTCTATCATACTGTTTAAACTAGGCTTCACAGTCCATGGATTAGCTGTGTCTTTTACATATCTACCTACCATCAGAGACAGGGATATCATCCACATAAGCAGCCTCTCCTGTAGCTTGTTTGTATGCTGAGCTGTGCGGTACAGGTCTTCCTACCAGATCACTTGATGGCTGCAGATCTGTGGGCTGGTGGAACACCTGGCAACCACCTTTCAGGCTCTGAGTGATTTCATTTATTGCACTGTTGTCTGCCTCATCTGAATCCTGCAATCAACAGGAACATTATATACATAATAAACAAACAGACAATGTATTGATCGGCACTCTAGTAAGAAAATACGCACATAAGACAAGAGATCAATTTTATAAGAAAGCGTCACTGGAACTGCATCAGCCATGCACTCAGAATGGATGCGACCAGACTCTGCCACCAAGCCCTCGTATGGACACAAGAAGGGAAAAGAAAACGAGGAAGACAAAAGGAGACCCTGCATAGAACCATCATCAGGAAAGGCTCAACCATGGGCCAATGAACAGCCATGACACAAAACAGGTGGCTAGGAACAGCCAGACATGGGGAGCTATGACCTCTGACCTATGCGCCGCCCTAGGCTCATGAGGAAAGGCTAACAAACTAACTCAGAGGAAGAAGTGGAAAGATAGAAGGACACACTAGACACCATAAAAACCAAAGCTATAGTCACTGTGCTGGGAGTCAAACATGTCAACAGGAGTAACAAAAGACATAAAAATCAATAATTATTTCTTTATTTAACTCCTGCTCTAAGTTTTACTAATAATGCTTACCTTGCTTCCTGTAAAAGTTTGTTGGGTTTCTCAAATAGCTTATTAAGGGTGTTAGTTTCTGTGAGTTAATTTATTTCTTCTTCTCCTCCTCCTCTCTTCTTCACCTCCTCCAGATAAGGGAAGATTTAAGGATTTTCTGTGCTCTCTTTCTAATGCTTTGTATAACACTATTCTTGATGCAATAACACAATGCAGGAAGCCAAAGAAGAGTTGAGTTGATTCAAGAGCCGACATCACAGCACTCGGGGCATTCCCATAATCGCTCCATCAATAGCCTCAGCAGCCAGTGAAGAGTTCCGATATTAATGGTGCCAGTAGTATTCTGATTAAATGTCCGTCTTGACTTTTCTCTGAACCTCAGGCATCTACCAGAACCTCTGGTCACTCTCCGCTGCATCAGTCTCACTAGACTGTGGTGATCCACCTGCTCCTCTGAACTCTCCTACAAGGCACTTACCACGTCTGCCTTATCATGCCAAGAAGAAAAGCAAAGCCAAAGAAGAAGAAGAAACCAACACAGAACTGGTGTCGTGAGCTGTTACACACTGCAGGATTGACACAGGAGGGGATCCGAGCACTTAAGAAGTAAATGGTTGGATGTGAAATGAGGATAATCTGTTCACTAACTAACAATCAGAAACTATTAGTGGTTAGTAAGGACAGTCATCACAGCACTATCAACAAATCCATAGGTCCTCTGATCTCCTCCTTTAAAGCTCCACAAGCATACAATGACCGATGATGCCTGTTGTCCCCTTAGTGAAATGTTCATTTCTTGCAGCTCCAGGCTGCCCACACATTTCTATCAGCTTTGAAGCCAGGCTCGCTAACGTAGTTGGTTAAAGCTGACTGCGCGACAGCCGGGTGATGAATTCTTTGTGGTCCGGGTTCACTCCCTGGGGTAGGCAGAAAAGCCACATTTCTCCCAGATTTACGGTACCTATAATGGAAACAAGGCTTGAAGGGTTGCTATATCTATAGTACTGAGACAAAGGGTTTACAACTCATGGTTTCTGGATACTTAAAAAAAAAAAAAAAAATCCGCTTAGACAGGGATACAGTTATGCCCTCTGCCATATTCATCTTCACAGTAAGTGCTGAAGATGGCACTGATAACATCCCTTCTGTCCAGTATTGGAATAGTCACAGCAAGATAATCTGCATGATCACTGCCTCAAATGCCTGTATGACCTGGCACAAAGAAGAAGGTTGGGACAACCATTCACAAAGTGGTTAGTGATGTAATCCATTCTTTTCTGATAAACCCAGTTTGGATTTTGTTCAGCAATCTAAAAGATTATAAAAATAACAACCTGCTGCAGCTGTCTAGTCACGGCAGTATAAAACCGGTAGAAGAAGCTGAGGGTCAAAGTTCTCCTGTAGGCAACCATGCCACCAGGTGATCCAGGAGCTAGAGGCAGGTCTGCAGGCAGCATGTCCTGGGAGCAGGCATCCTGTAGCAGGCAGTCATTCCATGGCCTGATGGGAGACAGAGTGTGATGATTACAGTGTCAAGACATATCTGTGGGTTGTGTGGAATATTGGTTGAAGTGTGTGGTGTGTAGTCTGATGTCGGGGTGTGTTGTCTTATGTATAGGGTGTGTGGTCTGATGGTTGGTCTGATGTGTGGTGGGATGTGTGGACTGATGGGTGGCATATGTGGTCTGATGGGTAGGATGTATAGTCTGATGTGTGTTGTGTGTGGTCTGATGTGTGCGTTTTGATGTCTGTGGTGTGTGGTCCGATGTGTGCGGTTTGATGTTTGGGGTGTGTGGTCCTGATGTGTGTTGTGTGTGGTCCTCATGTGTGTTGTGTGTGGTCCTGATGTGTGTTGTGTGTGGTCCATCTGGGGTGTGTGGTCTGAGGTATGTTGTGTGTGGTCTGATGTGTGTTGTGTGTGGTCCTGATGTGTGTTGTGTGTGGTCCTGATGTGTGTTGTGTGTGGTCCATCTGGGGTATGTGGTCTGATGTGTGTTTTGTGTGGTCTGATGTGTATGGTCTTGACGTGTGTTGTGTATGGGGCTAATGTGTGTTGTGTGTTGGGCTAATGTGTGTAGTGTGTGGGGCTAATGTGTGTTGTGTGTTGGGCTTATGTGTGTGGTCTGATGTCTAGGGTGTGTAGTCTGCTGTGTTGTGTGTGGTCTGATGTGTATGGTCCTGATGTGTGTTGTGTGTAGGGCTAATGTGTGTTGGGCTTATGTGTGTTGTGTGTGGTCTGATGTCTAGGGTGTGTAGTCTGCTGTGTTGTGTGTGGTCTGATGTGTATGGTCCTGATGTGTGTTGTGTGTGGGGCTAATGTGTGTTGGGCTTATGTGTGTTGTGTGTGGTCTGATGTCTAGGGTGTGTAGTCTGCTGTGTGTTGTGTATGGTCTGATGTCTGAGGTGTGTGGTCTAATTCGTGTTGTGTGCAGTCTGATTTCTGGCGTGTGTGGTCTGATGTGTGTTGTGTGTGGTCTGATGTGTGTTGTCTGATATCTAGGGTATGTATATGATCCTGATATGTGTGTGTCTGATATGGTCTGATGTGTTTGGTATGTGTGTGTCTTATTCACTGCAGTAGGCGAACTCTTATGTATGACTGTGAATTTTAGGTTTCACAGATAATTACTATTGTGGTTTTGTTAGTTGGTAAAATCTTGGTAGCAATATTTGCTTGTATTTGCACATCTCCCCCCCCCCTTTTTTTAAATACTTTTTTTGTTGTTGAAATGTTTTGTTGGGTAAACTTCTCAAAGATTAGAATCAAACAGGAACAAATTCATGCCTTGCTCTCTGAAGGATGTGGGTTAATTTCACTGTGGCACCGTTTAGTTCATGAGTGCAATTTTTATGGAGATCCCTGGGGATTGTCGCCGAAGTTACGGAGGTCGGGCTCTGTGCGACACTCTTGGCAGACAGTTAGCTGTTCTGCTGACAGAGTGTGAGCCATATGGGATAAAAGCACATGCAATTAAGTCAATCATCTTACCTAAAAAATTTCACCTTTAATGTCCTTTCACAGAAGAATGCTTAAAATACCTGGGACAGCCAAAAAGAGCAACCAAGAAGTTTTGAAAGAGGCAGGAGCCATGTTATGAGCTGTGGGGAAAATGGAACATGTTGTGACCACTGGAAAAATCTGTGGAAGGAGGTATAGAGGAAGACAATGAAAGAAGATTCTTGACAGTCTTGATGCATGGCATGGAGGTGTGTCAGCACACGAACCGATACATGCTGCAGGAGATCGCGGATTGTGGAGAGGCATGATCGCCCACACCAGTCAGCATGACACCTGATGATGATGATGATCCTTATAAAGCAGTCAGCCCCCAGTGGGTGGATAGGCCAGCTTTATTCCCAGAATTGTACCTGGTATCCTTCACAAGCAGCCCACCAAATGATCTGTGAAAGGGTTTAGGCCCCCAAGCTCCCACCATATATTCTTTATGTTACCCCTGCTTGTAACACAAGCAATCTTGCTACAGGAGATCAAACCTTGACTTGCTAAAAATGGAACAAAGGAGAAACAACACACCGATCTATTGTCCTTGCCAGAAATCAGAACACTTATCATGGGAAAATGGAAGGAATTGTGGAGGGAACAAACTAACAATAAACATCCACAAGACCCCATCAGCAGACTCAACAGAAAGCAACATACAACAATTTTCCGTCTATGAACAGGACACTGCAGGCTCGACTACCACATGCATAAAATAAAGATTGTACAGTCCCCACAGTGTGCCTGTCAAACAGGACCCCAAACTCCTCAGCACATTCTGCAGACCTTCCCACTCTATTGACAGCTTCGAAAAGACACCTGGCCTCAAGAGCAAAGTGTGCAGAACAAGCTATGGGGAACCATAAAGGACCTGCTACTGACATGCAAGTTCATAGAGGAACCTACCTGATGGTCTGATCTGAGCATACAAAACCGAACGCAAAGAAAAAGAAGAAGAGATCAAACCTAAGGGTGCTGTTTTGATAAGCAAATGTTTGCTCCCCTATGGCAGCAGAGTTTGTATTTTTTTCCAGCTAAAATGACTACATGACATTATACATACCTTCCAGTGAGAGCCTTCATGGTCTTGGTTGCCAGCACAGTTGTATCGGACATGCCCCCAAATGCCAAACTAATGTCTTCAACATGGCTCCCTCTGTCCCCCAGATCCACTCGCATGCCAGCATTCACTATAGCAATATCATCCTCTTTACGGTTGGCTTGTTTGTAGCCAAAGAAGAACTCATGCTGGACAAGATGGAAGAAATGTACATAAGGAAACTCCCATTGTGAGTTTTGTGGCCCCATCTAGGGAGGGACTAACTATTCTTCAACAAGCATGTCATAAAAGGCTACTAATGACAGGTTTAATAAAACAGGATGTGGTAGGATGAAAGGCCCAGACATAGCAGCCTTGCTGTATAAACCATAACAAATTGTACCAACTGACTCTTTAAGGAGCCGCAGCTGACCAAATGGTAAAGAACACAGGGCTCTCATGCAACAGACCCTGGTTTGAATCCTTGGTAATTCGGGGGATATTTTCTGTCAAAAACTAAAATAAAATCCTAACCTACACAGTCCATGGTGACGGCACTAGCCATGCATTTTGACTAAATGGTCAGGCTCGAAGACCCCTCCCTAGTTCTGTTCTAAAAGACAACAAGAAGACAGCCTGACGACGATCTGATCTGAAGTGGCATCCAACCAGTTCCAATTGCTCAAAAAGTCGAACCACACCACCATGCTTAGAACTGCCAGAGCAACCATGGCGTGTATTCTGATGTGAAGACTGAGAGCTCTGGAGTGCGAAAATACTTAATTATATGTTTAACAATTTCATAGTCTACTGTTGGACTTGTTAGTTCATAGTGAACACTGACCGGACAAATGGTATGTGAAATTGTAATAAGTATATATTAATGAGATATTGTCTTCTCGTACCACCTGTGCCTACTTAGAGTGTCAATCATGTCTTCAATAATAACAAACCTCTAGAAACCAGCTGAGACATGGAGGAGACAACATCACACTGTTCTGTATTCACTTTTAATGTTTAGAACTACCATTGAAATATTCAGGGAAGTTTAACATTTTTTTATTTTGTTTACAAGTCTTTGTTTGTACATTAAGGTGCCAATTTATACGATTCATTGCTAGTGCTATTTTCAGACAGTGAATTTCGACTTCCAATGGAAACTAATGTTCCAAACACAAGCTCAGGCCATAAAATGTGCCTTTCTGTCGCTGAAGCTCTGAAATTGTTTCAATCGGATGTTTTTAATCCTAAAAAGGAAAGTGAAAATTGACATTTTTTGGAAAATGATTCAGACGGTGCATTTACAAAGGATCAGTTCAGCCATGAGCTGTTAGAGAATCTAGTAGTTCTGATGAAGTAAACCCACGAGAATAAATTTTATCTGCGAAGGATGGGACAGTCACCTAAAGAATGTTGAATGCTGAATTAAGAATCAACATTATAGCACTCAGGGCACTACCATAAGGGCTTTGTCCCTATCTTCAGCAGCGAAAGAAGAGTTCCAATTCTGATGGTACCAGTAAATGTTTGATTATATATCTGTCTCGCCTTTTCCTTGAGTGTTGAACTTCGGAAAGATCTTCTGATAATTTCCAAATAAACACTGCTCTAATAGGAGACTGAAGGTAGAAGAAGAATCTGCTGATCAGACCAGATACGTTCATTGGCTGTAAACTCGGGCGGAAAGTTGTGGTTGCTTGTCCACCTCTGAAGTGGGTCTTATTCTAGAACTTGCTTGTTATATGCATCTCCATTTTACAGATGTCACCTTTGTGTATGCAGACTGCTGGTTCCTTGCCTCTCAAGCAGATGCGCTCCAACTTCAAAGGAATTTTACTCTTAGTTAGTTGACTCCTACTTCATGCTAGTTGGAGAGGCAGTGGATCTATCTATTCCTGTTTTTCTCACAATGGGGCCCCCAACTCACACAAGGCAAACATGTATTGTAGCCAACCTTGAGTGTGGAGAAGGCACTTGATGAACTGGGAATAGGAATAAACTCACAGGGAGCAAGTACAGCAGGGATCTACCAGTCGTCAGTAGAAATTATCCTCGTCGACAAATGTTTCGGCCCATGATTCCTAGACACTTTCGGTGGGCCCACCTGAGTTCATGAAGCTCAGGGCTGGTACCCTGCTGCACGAGATTACCGGATGGTGTTTTCTTTCGGATAGGAACAAGACAACTTGGTGGTTTCACAGAAGGTACTGTGAGATAAGAAGTCGCTGCGGCAGCCTAATTAGAACAGTCTACATGCCTGGACGACCGAGCGACAAGCTTACGTTTGGTTTACCGGACACATGTTGGACTTTTGTTAGCAGGTGGCAGAGGAACACTGGCAGACAATTCGGACACGATGGATACCAATATACAAAACATGTAGTCACTTACAGGCTTGGTATAAGGTATCAACACTTTGAGCAATGTATCTGTCTTGTTCAAACATGTCTGCCTGTATCCGGTGAAGAAATTTTCATCCATCACGACTTGCCGGACGCTGCCCTCTGGAAATATTTCAATGATGATTAATAGGACACCAGGTCTTTAATAGGACAGGTCTTTGTGTGCTTCTGATAATTATATTATAATTGACATCGTTTTGAAGAAGCTCATATTTCCTTGTGGCGGCTCCAGGGCTCTATTTTGGAGAACAAAGACCCATTGGCTCCCTAACAAACAAGTCATAGGAGGCAACTAACTAGGGATGTTTCTTCTAACATACGAGTGCATCTGCCTGAGAGATGAGGAACCAACAGTCTGAATACAGATAAGTCAAGTCTGTAAAATGGATGTACACATACAACTCAACTTCTGGAACAAGACCAGAAGTGGATGAAGAAAAACCAGAACTTTCTGCCAGTTTTCAGCCGGTGAACGTGGAGATGAAGAAGAAAACTACCAGTCCTCAAGAGGGTTCATCAACCAATAATTTACCATCATTATCATCATCATTGTGCATTTATATGTCACCACAGGGCTTGCCATGCAATTATTTCAACACAATCAATGGAATTCAGCCCAGTATCTTTGTTCTCTCTCGACAATGTCTGTTTTATGTTTCTTTTGGACGTCCTTGTTCCCTCAGCCTATTTATTTACAATTTCATAAACTGTTTGGTGACTATTTTGTTTCTTCTTAGGACATGCCCAACATTGTTCCATCTTCTTTTTCTTATAATTGTTGATATCAGCAGTCGACCAGACATTCTCTCATTTCTTCATCTTTCTTAAATGCATCATAATTAATATTCATCTGTGTCATTAAGCATTTATTTTTGAATACACTCACTGTTTGTTCTTATTAATGGTCATCTTTTGCTTAAATACATAAAAATGAAATAATTTTAGAACTGTAAATACATGGCATGATCTTGAGGCCTCAGAGAAATGGTTTTACAGAAGAATCCTTAGAATTCCTTGGACAGCTAAGAAGAGCAACCCAGATGTTTTGAAACAGGCGTGTGCTAGGAGACGACTTATCACAAACATCAAAAAGAAACAGTCATCATTTTGGTCATGTTATGAAAAGAGGGAAATAGAACATGTTGTGACCAATGCAAAGATCTGTGAAAAGAGAGACAGAGGAAAACAGCCAGAGAAAATTCTTGACAGCCTTTAGTCACGGCATGCAAGGCACATGATGATGACGACGTGATGTTAAAACTATATAGAGTTGTATATTTGTTCAGACTGTTACAAGCTGCTGTTGCCTTGCCAATGTGCAATCTATTACTGCAGAGGCAATTGATTTTATCGCATAGTCTATCTTCTAATTTCTAGTTTGATTCCATTAATGCCAATCAATATCTCCTCCACTTCTCATGCTCATGACCTTAAAGCATAGGTACCAGAATCTAAAGGTTCAGATCCCTTGTGCCCCCCTCCTTTCCCCCCGACCCTAAAATTTTTATTTGTTGAAGGTGTATGGGGAGGGATTCTATCCCTATAATTTTGTAAGGGTTGCTAAGTGCTTCCCCTTCTAATCATGTATAAAAAATCTCTTTTAAAAGCATTTGTCTATGCATATATTATTTCAAGTATATTATTTTATTTATTTACTATTCAGCACAGTATTATTATTGTGCTTTCAAACTAGGATTAATCCCTTTGAAGGCCCTCCCCCTTTGCCTAGAATGAATGTATAAGATAAAGTGGGCCACCCTTTCAACCCCACACCTATGTCTTCTATGTCTTGGCCATCCTGCTTGAAAAGGTTCACGAACAACTGGTACTCTGTATTAAATAGAATAATGCCGAGGACAAATTGCATACGCAAACAAGGAGAGTTCTGTTATCTCAAATGTCCACAAGTCAACCATATTTGTTCTGCTCTCAGTACCACTCATTTGTCTGCTGTTGTTTCTCTCCTGATGACAGTCAAGGTTCACAAACGGTTGTATTCTCAAAATCAGTCTGCTGGAGGTGTCATTTTCATCAATATTTTAAACTCTTCTTATCATTCCTTCACCATCATCTCTCTTCCTTCTATCGTTCTGTCTCTTCTTCATCTTCTATGATTACATCCTTTCCCTCTGGATCAATGAATTCACCATCAAAAATTGTCAATGTTCTCTGCTGTCCTTAGTATTCAATTATTCATTCACTGTCCAGACGCCACATAGGGCTGACAGCCTTTACTTTCCTTCCTTCATTCATTGACAGAACATGATGGCTACACAAGGAGTTACCAGGGGATCTGGCCGACACTCAACACACAAGGGAAAGGCAAGACGGATGTACAATCAGACAGTTACCGGTACCATCGGAATTGGAAGTCTTCACTTGCTAGTGAAAATGGGGATGGAGCACTTATGGAAGTGCCCTGAGTACTATTGTGTCGATTCTTAATTCAACATTAAACATTCAACCTTTATTCCATTCTATCCTGTGCAGCTGCTATAGTCCAGTCCAGCATCTTTGGCTTCTCTTATCAGCTTTTGTTTTAGGGTTTCTTTTTTGTGGGGGGGGGGGGGGGGGGGGGGGGGGGGGGGAAAGGGGGGTCCTTGCTTCCTCAGTTCCTTTATTTCCTATTTTAGTGCCTGTTTGGTGATTCTCTGTTCGTTTCTTTTTTAGGATGTATCCAATGCAGAGCCATCTTCTTTGTCTTATGTTGTGGTTGCCCAGACATTTTGATTAATTCTTCACCCCTCTTAAATGCATTCAATCCTTAGTATAGTGAAAGAATAAATGAATTTATGAATGAATGAATGAATGAAGAACTGACATCACTGTATGGGACAAATTTCCACACCCGCTCCGCCCCCTACCTCAGAAGCCAATGAAGAATTGACCTGTCAATAGTACCAGCTGCAACCTGATTGAAAGTCCATGTTTTCCCCCCTCAGGGTTGAATACCTTCCAGAACCTCTACTCACCTACTGTTGAATTAATCTTTCAATGTATGGATTCTATGTATGTTCTGTTGGACTGTCTAATTTATCCCAGAGAGCATTCTCCACCTCGACTATCATAAAGTAGCTCACTACCCAGAGGTGCGGCAACAGCTAATCTACCAGCTTGCTCATTACCTTACACATCTAAATACCCTGGACAGAAAATCTATGACGTGCCCTGATCTGAGCCTTAACTGATGCAAGCCATTTTGCATGCAGGATGCCACTTTAAATTTTCCAAAGCATGTTCTGTAAGTATAGTGACATCTAAACCTTTCAACAGTTTGAGATGCCTTGGCCAGTGAGTTCATGGCCTTGTATTGTCCAGGAATAACAAGTGATGTGTTTCTATCTAAGCCTCAGAACAGCATGTTCTATAAATGAAATCATACAACAATCACTGACACTGTCCTTACTCGCACAGAACTGGCTGGAGCAGCCCACACAGAACTACAGGATACACCTGGCTGGAGTAGCCCACACAGAACTACAGGATACACCTGGCTGGAGTAGCCCAAACAGAACTACAGGATACACCTGGCTGGAGTAGCCCAAACAGAACTACAGGATACACCTGGCTGGAGTAGCCAACACAGAACTACAGGATACAATTGGCTGGAGTAGCCCACACAGAACTACAGGATACACCTGGCTGGAGTAGCCCACACAGAACTACAGGATACACCTGGCTGGAGTAGCCCACACAGAACTACAGGATACACCTGGCTGGAGTAGCCCACACATAACTACAGGATACACCTGGCTGGAGTAGCCCTCACAGAACTACAGGATACACCTGGCTGGAGTAGCCCACACAGAACTGCAGGATACACTTGGCTGGAGTAGTCTACACAGAACTGCAGAATACACCTGGCTGGAGTAGCCGTTAAAGGTGCCCTAATTATAACTTTTTTGGCGGTTGAACAGGATTTCTGAGATCTGCCCTGTTGGTCTGCTGTCCTGATTGAGATCTTCAAATCTCAGGGTGGTATGGTAAACATTTATGTAGCAACCAGGAGGGCAAAAACGGATCAATCAATTGAAACACTGACAAGCTGAAAAAAACAACTAAGAGAACCAACACTGAATCAGCACCAAATATGGCTGTGTCATTCTCTACATCTGTCAAATTACCAGATTCACAAAAACCTTCTGGAAAAGAGGAGTTCATCAGCAAACTTCTCCAAATTATCAAGTTCCCATTATGGTTTTTTAACATGACCGGCATAGCTGTCATAGACAACAGTCCCAGTTTGTCCAGTCAACCAGTATCAAGAATCCGCAGAATGATTGTAGTGCTAAGACTGTCTCTGTTCAGCCTCATGCATCTCTACAACCTAGCCAAGATGGTAATGACTGTGGCTGTACGTCTGCCTGGAAACAGCCATGCCACTGACTTTCTGCTCCTGGATTTATGCATGCTGTGTGCAGCAACCAACTTTATGTGTGAAAACTTAACCATGAGACTGTGGCTGGAGCCAATGATAAAAGTGTTGCTAGAATATAACCAAAAGTTCGGATTCCTCCACGATATTGTAGGAAAGAAAGTGCAGTTTTCAAGGGTGTACACCGTATTTTTTGTATGTGTCAACATTGTGTCTGTTGGGGCAATATTGTATCTAGGGTGGCATTGGCATAATTTCAGTGACGTTATGATACCATTCATAGCCAATAGGACAGACACAATCAGCATGTATGCCATCTCAGCCTCCTTCTGTGTGGTCACTACTTTACTCCTAATGACCATACAGGGGTCAATCCTCATGCACTCACTATTTCTGTGGGTGATAGATGGAGAGTTCAGGGCAACTGCCAGGTTAATGGCTGAAAGTCTGAAAGTGTGTGATGATCTCACAGAGGCCAGATTCGACTTGTGTAGGTTAGTGCTCACTGTTTTAGCAAACACTGTCAGTGCAATGAGTATATATAGTTAGTACTGTTATAATGAATCAACAATGTCAGTAAGTAAAGGTGACTTTTCCACACCTTTAGCGTATAGGGCATGTAGGGCTAGACCTATATTTTTATAGACCAATCGGCACAAGATAGGTGATGGTCATCATCACACCAGCCATCTTTACTTCCCGGAATTGCATCTGGTACCCACTCTGGGTCGACCTGGGATTCAAGGTTGTTTTTGAAAAAAAGTCCGGCTCTGCCAGGAAGCAAACCACTTGACCTTCCGATCCGCATGCAAGGGTCTAGCCGCTACACCACCGCGACTCCCTCAACAATGTCAGTGCAATGAGAATATATAGTTAGAACTGTTATAATGAATGAACAATGTCAGTGCAATAAATATATATAGTTGGTTGTGTTATAATGAATAAACAATGTCCATGCAAAGAATATATATAGTTAGTACTGTTATAATGAATGAACAATGTCAGTGCAATAAATATATATAGTTAGTACTGTTATGAGGAATAAAAAATGTCAGTGCAAAGAATATATATAGTTAGTACTGTTATTAAGAATAAACAATGTTAGTAGGAACTGTTATAATAAATAAACAATTTAATACCAACTGTTATAATTAATAAACAATGTTGGAGTAACGGTTATAATGAACAAACAATGTTAGTAATAGCTGTTATAATGAATAAAAATATTACTATTAAAACTGTTAAAATGATTAAACTATGTTAGTAATAACTGTTACAATTATTAAATAATCTTACTAATAACAATTAATAAAATGTTAATACTAACTGTAATAATGAATAAACAATGTTACTAATGAACATACAATTTATTGTTGTTATAATGAACAAATCCAGTTAGCAAAGACTGTTATGAGTAAACAGTGTGGGTACAGACTCTTATGATGAACGGTAACTTTTAACTTTCAAACAGAGAGAGGCATCAGTTCCTGTGCAGAGTGGCAAGATCCTTCAACAAGTTCACCAGACTGTTTGTGTCCACCACAATCTTGTTCAACATGACAACAGTCTTGATATATATCTACAACAATAGCAATGTAATCAACATACCAGGCTACTGGGCTGCTAATTGTTTGGGAGGCATTAGTGCCTGTGTAATCACAATCCTTTTTGTTTCCTGTCAATGGGGGAAACTACCAAATTCAGTAAGTATCAATCTTCTGACCTGATTTCTGTTTTTTGTGTGTGTGTGGACATAATTAATAACTACTGGAACTACATCGGCCATGCACTCAGAATGGATAAGACAAGCCCTCATATGAACACCAGAAGGGAAAACAGGGAAGACCAGGAGAGACCCTGAGTAGAACCATCATCAGGCAAGGTTTAACCATGGGCCCAATGAACACTCAAGACCTAAAACAGGTGTCAAGGAACCGCCAGACATGGAGAGCTATGACCTCTGCCCTTTGTGCTGCCCTAGGTTGAAGAGGAGACTAACTAACTGACTGACTAACTAACAAATAACCATCCTATTATGTGCAGCAATGTATAGACACTCTCCAACATTATTGGAATAAATTGCTTACTGAAGAATTCATGACCCCCTCTAAGGTAATAGGATGTAATGAAAATCATTGATCTATCTAAATGATGTGATTTGTAAAGAATCAATGGTACCATCCCCAAAAATGTGATCTGTACAAAAACTAGTGCCACCCAAAAAGTGTTATTAACAGAGACTCACTGGTGCCATTAAAAAATGTAATCTGTAGTAAGAAGAAGTGAGGAGATCAAAGAGATTGTGGCCAAGACAGTGGTTGTCAAGACTGTCATATCAAAGACAGTAAGAAAAAAGACACTGAGGTCAAAGACATTGTGGCCAAGACAGTGAAGGCCAAAACAGTGAGGACCAGGACAGTGAAAGCCAAAACAGTGAGGACCAAGACAGTGATAGACAAGATGGTGATGGCCATGACAGTAAAGGCAAAGATATTGTGGTGGCCCAGACAGTGATAGGCAAGACAGTGATGGCCAAGACAGTTAGAAAAAGACAGTGATAGCCAAGACAGTTAGAAAAAAAAGACAGTGAGGGCCAAGACATTGAGGGCCAAGTCAGTGAGGGCTATGACAGTGAGGGCCATGAAAATGAGGGCCAAGACAGTGAGGGCCAAAACAGCAAGGGCCAAGACCATGAGGTTCAAGATAACAAGATCACAGACAGTGATAGCCACAGCAATACAGAAGATCTTAACATTTTGTTTAAATATTCTAAGGTTCACTCAATTGCGGATGCAGTAGCTGATGCTGACTGGACAGCAATGTCTAAGGACTTGATACAGAAGGTCAGCAAAAACAATTATGATTCTTTTATAGCATATCTGAAGGGAAAAGGCTTAAATGTTCTGTTAATTCCAAAGTTAAAATCAAGAGAATCAACTCCACTGCATTAGTTGTATCCCATACAGGCTTGCTCTCTCTTAGAAATGGCTAGCCATCTGCCAGATATATCAAACAAAGCATGAACTCCAGAGCTTTAGTGACAGTCCCCCAGGATTTTCATAAAAACAACACACATGAACTGAACAACATGTCTGGAATGGAACCAATAATCTTCAGAGCAAGAGACAAATGGTTTGATCACTTTTAAAAGGAAACATCTGATTGAATTCTCAATTATTCTTTTGAATCCATATTATCAAACTGATGAAAGGACATTAAAGATACAGATCATAGCATGCCACAGTAACAATAGGAGTCATCAAACAACAAAATAGACCCAATGCTGACCCAACAAGCATGTGTATAAGGCCACTAATTAGGGGGTTTACTGACACTGGATGTGTTGAGCTAACAGACACAGATTTCACAGCATAGCTGTAAACCACAATGTGCCAACCCACTTTTTTAGGGGACAGGAGTAATGGGTCTATTCTACCCCCACCCACCCACAGGACCTGGATCCCACATGGGAAACAGACCTTTGACAATAAGAGTTGTTTACACATCTTAGCTAATTATGAGCTACTGCTGTAGAGGCTTCCCTTCTGCACTAAAGAACCACAAGCATGTTGCGTGTTTTGCAGAGTTCCCCTTCCCCTCTCCAGACTCAGTAATAATCAGGGGTTGTAAGACCAGTACAGATTACATTGAGGTATATATACTGCTGGCTGCCGTGGTAGCATTGTGGCTAGGCACTTGCCTGCTGACCTGAATGTCTTGGATTTGCATCGTCATTGATACAAATGTTTTCCCAAAACTGACCTTGGCTAGCAGGACAATTCAGCCTTAATTGGGTACCAGAAAATGTCCTGGGAAGTAAAGACAGCTGGCATGATGCCTATCTTATCATCCATCAAGTGCCAACTTGACTATAAACATATTTAGTCACACATTATATGCTTGGTGCCAGAACCGGTGTAAAAATGGTACCATAGTTTATACGTAATGCCTCCTCCATTATTTTGAACAAATGCATCATTAAATGCTCGTTCTAATAATTCTAGATGGGGCTTCTCCTGGACAGTTGTGGCGCCCAGAAAGTTGGTGTGAGCGTCTTTGGGCTATTCACAGTAGACAGTAGTACCCCAATGATGGTGAGCTGTGTGGTGTGTTTAGTACACATTCTGATGTGTTTATTTAGCTAATTATTTATTTATTATAATTATACAGCAGGAGGCATTGGAGAGAACAGCAAACTGATCACCACAGTCTGGTGAGAGTGATGAAGTGAGGAGTGACGTGGGGACTTGGGGGATACTCAACACTCAGAGGAAAGGCTAGACTGGTGTATAAACAGACTGCTACTGGCACCATTTGTATTGGAACTGTGCTGGCTGCTGAAGATGAGGATGGAGTGCTTATAGGAATTCTCCGAGTGCTGTGATGTCAGTTCTCAAATCAAATCAACTCAACTCGTTATAATTATAGAAACCAAATAAACTGGGAAGTTTTCAGTACAAAAGAAAAGGTGTCCTTCAAAGCCACATTTAAAGACATTAAGAAATATCAAAAAGCACACAGAAGGCTAAAATACTGGGCAAGAGAAGGCAAGTATATGACAATAGAAAAAGTGAGGGAAAAGGTGGAGGATGAAGAAAAGAAGGTGGAATAAGAAAAGTGAGAAGAAGGATGAAGAAGAAATAGAAAAAGAGACAAGAGCAGTAAGAAAAGAGAATAAACCAGGATGAAGAGGGGAAGAAGAAAAAAAAAAAGAGAACAGGACAAGAAAAAGACACCGAACAAGAGATACCACAAAGAATGACAAAGAATGACAGCAACAGTAACAAGAAAGAGAATTAAAAAAAAAAAAAACAGAAAAAAAAATGAGAAAAAGAAAAGCAATAAAACTGACACATATGAGGATTTGTTAAGGCCCTCATATTGTCTGCATTTTGAGAACCTGTAAACTAGATTACACCAATGCTAACTCCCCATAATGTGACTGTCTCCAGATACTGGGTACCATGCTGACCTATGGAATTGTGGTTCTGCAGTTCCAAGTGGACAACACCATCTGTTCGTGTCCTGGCAACAAAACAGATCTCTAACGGCAACCATATTGACCTAATCATTCTTTTGTGTCACTGTATGTCACAGAGGGCTGGCAATCTACTCCACTCCCTTCTATCCGGTGCAATCCTTTCCATATCATGGATGGAATTCAGTCCAGCACCTTTGGTCTCTCTCATCAGTTTCTGTTTTAGGGTTTCTCTTGGATGTCCTCTTTCCTCATTTCATTTGTTTCCCACGGGATCTGAACTCAAAGCATTCTGATCCACGGGCGAGCATCTGGCTGCTACACCATGTTGGCTCCTTTATACATATACATGTGTGTGTATGTAAACACGTTTTCATGCATTCCCATGTGGGCGTGTGCAGATATATATATATATCTACATGTGTGTGTGTGTATGCAAACACGTATATGTGAATTCCAATGTGTGCTTGCATGCTATGTGTACACATGTAATTGTACATGTATGTTTAAATGTGTTGTGTAGGTGTGTATATTGCATACCAGCCACCTTCCCAACAACCCTTACCAGGTACCGGTCCAAGCCACTAGTTTTGGTGCAATTAACATTTCTTAGCCAACATAATTGGCACAATGAAACCAGACCACAGTTATAGCCAATACAGCTCACAGTAGGCTGAACGTGGTTGATTTTTGTTTTTCATAAATGGACGGATGGCTAGTGTCCTAGGATTCTCTACCTGCTTCTTCTCAGAAACTGTACAGTACAACTTCTGTGGAAGTAACTTCCAGAAGTAGAGTATACTGGCTAACTCAATTCCACGAAGTGCTTTTCATTAATAACAATCATACATGTGTTTGTATGTTTTACAGCAATGACCACCCATCCTTTGTCTTGAGACATGCTTGAAAGGAAAGTGTAACAGTCTTAGAGGGTAATAGAAAGTAAATGTCCAAAATAACTTGCATATGCTTTTGTAGTTTACTTAGACCTTTATCATATATAGTTGAATTCCAGTGAATCAAGAGGTGAAGAGAAGAACAGGTGTTGAATAGGACCTAAGGAGAGAAAACTTTTGAACGATATTAGAAGAGCCTTAAATTAGAACTCACAGGGGTACAGATTTAAAAGCAGACCAAAAAACACACGGAGAAGGAACTAGAGAGAAATAAAAAAGATGGGGAGGACATGTGGGTGAGCTGTATGCAATAGCAAAGAACAGGACGACATGGCATGAGTTGGTTAAGGGCATTTGCTTTTTTGTGTGTGGATAAAGGGTAGAAGAAGCAAAAAACAGACTGTTCAGACATAATTTGTACTAGATTATGGTAGCTAGCCTCATGATATATCTCTCTGTGTGTACAGTTCGGAGGAGCAGATGGATCACCACAGTCTGGTGAGATTGATGCAGTGGGGGGAGTGATGAGAGGTTCTGGCAGATGCTCAAGGCTCAGAGGAAAGGCAAGATGGATGTTAAATCAGAATGCTACTAGCCCCATTAGTATCGGAACTCTTCGCTGGCTGCTGAAGATGGGGAGGGAGCGCTTATGGTAATGCCCGGAGTACTGTGATGTCGGTTCTTGAATCAAATCAAATCATGATATATCTCTCCTTGATTACCATTTACAACATGCATGGCAGGTTTTATCAAGTTAACTATTTTTTACTACAACCCCACAGACCCAGTCAACCTCCTCACATGAAAGGAACAGACAATTTTAGACTCTGAATTGGACACAACCAACAGTTTTTGTTGCATCCCTTTTGCCTGCCATGGGCAAAACAACAGATCTGTTTAGTATCAGATCACACTACCTTTCGCTTCCTATATAGGTTCTGGAGCTACACTATAGGGGGAAAAGAACAGACTCATTGCCCCTTAAGAAACATTGTTTTTAATGGCGACAAAAATAAGGGTTCTATGACACTGGATATGTAGGGCCAAAAAGTGCAGATATCACAGCCCTTATATACACCACAACATAATGTACAACTGCCCTTTTAAGCACAAATGAAGAAGGACACAAAAATAACTACCCGTAGAGACAAATACTATACACCAACACAGGTACTACACTTAAGAAAATCTGAAACAAAGAAGCACAAAACGATGAGGAACTGAGAGTGATAAAAACCAACATACATTGAAGCACAAAACTAAATCCGTTTCACTGAAATACACAAATCGCATTGTCAAGTTGGGCTGTACATCTCTCCACCAGACACTCAACATCAGTTGTGTAATTACTATGGTGACTTCAAATTTATCACATGCTTTAAAAAAAAAAAGACAGGAGAGTTCCACAGCAGAGCTCAGTTTTATTTATATGGCTTTGGCCAGTTTCAACAAATTTCTGTTCAGTGTGTGGTAAATCATTTTGAAGTCACAACCCTTAACCAAATGCCTTCAAGATTCATTTTGTTCATTTACACGCTTCATTATATGTTGATGTAACTCTGTAGTAATGCATCTCATGAGATACAGCAAAATGTGCCAAGCAATAAATTGTGCAATGTATTGTTTGAAATCCCATTATTTAAATTTACGGTATGAAAACTTTATTTCAGATATAAGTAAAAACATTGTTTTTAAAAACAATTATTAAAAACACAAAACTTTACGGGTCACTGAAAGATTTACAAAAGACAATATAGCTCATACTAGATACAACACTGCAGGTATAGATAATCTATTTCAAGAGAATTAAAGAAGAAGATGAAGAAACAGTGCATATTCACGCTGAATGACAATAGCCGGTACCATCCATATAGTGCCAGAACACCTCACTATTCCTCCCCATGATGCTTGATGGCTAAATGACAGATGATAGTATGTACTGAACCAAGCACTTTCTGAACAAGCAGTGAATATTTTACCTCCATGCCTTGCCAACTCCCTCACACAAATACTATCTTACCTGTGTCTATGACATCCAGAACAGCCTTACAAGCCAGAAGTAAAGGGTTCAAATCTGAAATTGGACTGGCTGTCATTATGTTCCCTGCAAGACACTGAAACAATCAACAGAACAATCAACTTGGCTTGCAATATGAACATATTCACAGGTTAATGTCTAATGATTTGTGCAAATGCTAAAGGTATGACAAAACCAAACCAACAAAAACCTGAATAGATTTTATTTGTGTGGCTGAGAAACCCAGCTAACACAGGACTGTACGTTACATGGTGTAGCTGTATCGTGCTGCAATATAACTGTCTTATATGGCTGAACAGGATTTGTTCCTATTGAATTTGCATTAAACAAAAAGGGAGCTCTCTGAGTGACTTGGTGTCAAATCTTCAGACTACAGTCCCATAAGAAGAATAAGCACAACCAGAATAGAATTATATCAGTGACAGAGATCTTCAATCAGGAGGTCCTCTATAGACACCACTCTGGTTACAACACACCTGAAAGTCTCTCCTTCTCTAGCCAGTTCTCCAGTCATATGTTCTTTCAAACCCAATATATATTCAATGTCTTGTATCCACATTCACAGTGGTCTGCCTCTATATCAGTTTCCAGAAACGGTACCCTCCATCACTGTTCTCTCATACAAAGTGGCAAGCATCGCTTCAGAGGGTAAGAGAAGTTAGCATCCTTTGGATATTTTCTCCAGGCCATGATGGTTTGTTGGGAAATGAGCAGGCAGACAGACTAGCTGGTTCTGCACCACTTTGTGGTGAACTGATGCAAGACAAGCTAGGTTTTAAGAGGCCCTTTGAGAGTGAGTGAACAGTGCAGAGGCACTGACATTTAACCTCAGCTTTTGAGACAGGATGTACTTTATTAACCATTTAGCAATACAAACTAAAACAGTCAAGAGGGAAATTAAACTAGGTTTGGAGTGGTGGGGGGGGGGGGGGGAGGCTAGTGTCTAACAGTAACTTTGTTTAATGTTATAGATAAAGAGCCATTTTCCTGCACAGTTCATGGTGAAAGCACGAACAATGCAGGATAAAACTATCAGGCTCAAGACCCCTTGTCTTACATCTCATAAACAAATTGCAAATATAGGCATAAAGACAGTAATCGTGAGTTGTGGGTTCAAATTTGAACAGTACCAGACTTTTTTTTTCTTCAGAAATGACCTTGAATTCCATGTTGACCCAGCCATAAATGAGTACCAGGTAAAGTCCTTGGAAGCAGAGGCAGCCAGCGTGATGTTGACAAAATCTTCAACCAAGTGCGGGTTGGGCTATAAAATATAGAACTAGCACTATATGTCCCATAGGTCTGCAGGCGTGGAAAAGGGTCCTTTTGAAGACAGTTATAATAGGGTAACAGGGAGAAGCACAAATGTGCCAACTTACAGCAACACTCCGAATCTGATGTCCAGCAAACCACTTCAGCATCTCAGCAATAGCAGCAAATGATCTTGTCTTATGCTCTACAAATGAGATGAGGGAAAGATAACAATATAAAGCAATATTCATTCATTTATTCGTTTACTGACCTATTAGGAAGTATAAGCTAGACAGCCCCTCCCCCCCCCCCCCCCCCCCCCTACCAACCCCGTGATTCTAACTGCAGGGTAACAAAATGAATAGATAATTATTAAGCAAAAGGAAATTAATTCTGAGTTTGCTGAAATCTGATGTGTTGAGCTGAAAGGTGCAGATATCACAGACCAGCTATAAATTATAACACAACATGCAAACCATCCTTTTAGGGTCAAACACAAAAGGAGCAAGTGAAAGAGACCCTGCAAATGGGTGCCAAAAAGTGGGGACAGACACCTTCAGTGACTCCCATGCCCCCCAGAAAAATTAGTGGGGGTTGGAGTGGGGGGCGGGCATTGACCACCGCCCTAAGTTCTAGACAATGTGCAAGAGGACTATGGGCCCTCCTGCATCCAAACCAATTTAAGAAATTATGTTCTGAAATATCTCTCTACATTATCTCATCACATTATTTCAAATATTTTAGTATATTTATATGCTTTAGTACATTTTTTTAACTCATGCATGCATGCACACACACACACACGGAGAAAGAGAGAGAGAGAGAGAAAACACAGGGAGAAAAAGAGAGAGAGAGAGCTGGGAAAGGATAAAAACTCTGGTCACATACAAGTCAATAATATGAAAATTAAACGAACGGAAACATATAAGTACTTGAGTGCAACCTTGAACTGTTCCAGCATGCAAAGAGAAGAAATACAGTCTAGAATACAATCTGGAAATAAAGTATACTATGACCTTCAGCATACCCCCCTCCTCCAACCCAAACAGTGTTACCACTGACCAACATACTCACCAGGAACAGTCTGAGCAACAGCAGCTTTCAGTACAGCAGAAATTCTGCTCAGTGGTAGGGAGGCTCCAAGCTTGATACCTCCTTGTTCATACTCTACCTGCATCAAAGTGTTGTCATACAGTAAGGATGAATATCGCCAATGGTTGTAAAGTTCAGTACAGTTTCATTTTCAGAGACAAGATGCTGTTTACTAGACAATCTTCCTTGATGTACAGAACTTCTAGGATGTCAGTAATTCTTTCTTTATTTCTTTGCCCATGGTAATCTGAGAATCTTTCTATAGCATTTCAGCTCAAAAGCCCACATTTTCTCCATTAAGGACTTCCATGATAAGTTTCTTGGGATAATAATGTGGTAGTTTCCCCTTGCTTTCCATGTGACTTTAGACTATATCCTCATTTAGGGAAAGTGAGTTCCCTGCTCTGTGATACTCCTAGAACTTAGATAAAATTTACTAAAAGACACAGAGGCCTGCAAAGTCTAATAGAGAGAGAGTGTTTCAGGGGTGCCCACTCTGGGTCGTGAGCTACTTTACAATAAAGCGAATGTAGTGAAGGCTTTCTGTGATCAAGTAATCAGTAAGCAGAGCAGACACAGCTTCATATCTGGACAGAAGGATTCAGCTCCACTGTACAGAATATTCAGTGTCGGCCAGATCCCCTAGTAACTCCCCGCAGTGCCATTCTCCTCAGACCTTAATGATCTATTTGTGTCTCTGCACTGTTCACTCACTCCCAAAGGGCCCTCACAACATCTGGCTCGTCATGCATCAATAAAACAGCCGCCTTTTCTGAGTTGATGACAGCACCCATCTCTGCACACCAGACAGTGCTTACCAAGTGAACAGATTGTCTGGACATTTTTCTCCCACACGAAGAAGAGAAAACAAACAAACAAGCAAACTTTTAATCAACTGTCACCAACAGTGTAGGAACTATTTGTTGGATGCCAAGGAAGGGGAGGAACACGTGTGGAAATATCATGAGTGCAGTGATGTCACTTCTTGATTCATTCAATCAACAGTTTGGACAGCATAAATGACTGAACAGTAATTCAATGATGGTATACTCCCTAGACCCTGTGGTAGTGGACCAGACACCTAGCCTTTTCGGATATGTTGAAGGCTGTTGAATGTTGAAAAAAGAATCAACATCACAGCACTCAAGACACCCCCATAAGCACTCCGTCCCCATTTTCAGCAGCAAGCAAGGAGTTAAAATTCCGATGGTACCAGTAACTGTCTGATTGTTTATCCGTCTCGCCTTTCCCCTGAGTGTCAAGTGTCGACCAGATCCGGTTGTAACTCCTCGCAGTTCCATTCTTCTCAGACGGTAATGATCTGGTTGTTTCTATTTGTAGTCTTTTCAGATCAGAATAAAGAACTAGAAAGACATGTGCATGGGTTAACATTGAAATTCACTGCCACTTGAAATCAGGTCCAGTTTTTAAACATATCTATAATATAAAACAGGAAATCCATGTCTGTCACAAGAACTCCCAAAAGGTAAACTGTAGCAATGTGAAATTCATGTTTGTCATTATAGCTGCTACTTCTAGATCAATTATACTATTCTCAACAAGGCTTGTACATCCTGCTAATTATTAAAGCCACAATCACTAAATTTAAGTATTCACTGGGGTTATTTCTCTTAAGTATCTACATATTTTTAAGCCCACTGAATGAGTCTGAAACAAAAAATACTATATTTCATTGTTATCTCCTTTCAAACTTGAAGGCTGGACAATAACTGCCATTTTATTTTAGCAGTGGGTGCCTTAATATCATAGTAAATAGACTGGTGTTTCCAAAACTGAAAACTACCACCCCCTTGGGGGCACTGGAGCAGTCGAAGTGTGTGTAGCTTTGTCAGTCAAATTTAGGGAACAGCAGCTGTAGCTAGTGGCAGTGAATAAACATAAGACAGCCGTGGAGACTAAGAAGATGTAGAAGACAGGAAAAAATATTGTCATTAATTATCTGAGGTGAAGCCAGGTATTTAAATCTAGTTCTTATATAAAAATCTGCTAGGGAGAAATTATAGAGCACATGCTAGCCCAGTGGTCATAATCCCTTAGAGGGGAGATTTTTTCCCCCACTGACCTGGTCACCCAAGTTCAGTGCTTTCTAAAACAGGTTTTAGGCAATTTCCAGGGAAATAAAGGTGGTCTAAATAATACTGAATACATTACATATAGAGGTTTGATTATTGGTCATAACATATTTGACTAGGACCATAAATTCCATGTTTCACCCTGTAAAAAAGGGTCCTTTATGTACGTCTCTTTAATAGAATAAGCCATAGGTGAAGTGACAAAATCATGTTTACCTGAGATAGTTCAGGAATCCTGGCAACAGATACCAGTACAGGATAGATGATTTTCTTGAATTTGGTTTCAATTCCTGCCAGGATGGAATGTACACATGAATTAATAATTATATGCTATAGGTAATACATATTTCTGTCAGTCTGTTAGTGTACATGTGTATATGGTTTAATAGCGATATGTTAAAGCTGATAAACACAAACTTCTCTCAGTGTGTTGTGTGTACGCATGGCTTATTGTTGAGGTACACACTCATATTTCTGTCAGTTGTGCATGCTATTATATCTAAGCACTACTTACACAACAATGCTGCTTAATGCACCTGAGAGGTAGTGAAACCTTCCAGTAGCTGCCTTGAGGGGAAAAACAGACCCAGACACACATTAAAGCTGGTACACTCATATTTATATTAGTTTGTGAGTGCATTTATTATACATAACAGATGTATCCACAAGAATAGGAATAGAGTGAAGCTGAGACTGGACTTATTGGAAATATATATATATATATATATATATATATATATATATATATATATATATATGTATATATATATATATATATATATATATATATATATATATATATATATATATATATATATATATATATATATATATATATATATAGATATATATATATATATATATATATATATATATATATATATATATATATAATATATATATATATATATATATATATATATATATATATATATACATATATATATATATATATATACTATATACATATATATATATATATATATATATATATATATATATATATATATATATATATATATATATATATATATATATATATATATATATATATATATATATATATATATATATATATATCATATATATATATATATATATATATCTATATATATATATATATATATATATATATATATATATATATATATATATATATATATATATATATATATTATATATATATATATATATATATATATATATATATATATATATATATATATATATATATACATACATACATACATACATACATATATATATATATATATATATATATATATATATATATATATATATATATATATATATATATATATATATATATATATATATATATATATATATATATATATATATATATATATACAATTAAAAAAGAGACAAGGTACTGATCGGCACTCATAGAAAGAAATAGAAAGATGGACAGACTAGACAACATAAAAATCAAAAGCTATAGTTACCATACCAGGCATCAAGCCTGTCACCTCTAAATGGCATGTGCGCCTCGCTATGGAAACAAGCATACTAAGAACACAACCAGCTAGGTAACCCCCCCAAAAAGGTGCCTTCGCTGGCATGTCTTATCGTACAGCTTGAAATCCACAATTATTGAATATGGACAGAATTTATCTCAAACCATTGAAATGGCACCATATGTTACAGAAATTTATATTAACGAAGCATAGGTGGAATAACTGTTATTTATGTGGACTTAACTCTTTGAGTCCCAAGGAACGCAATTTGTTACTACTTGGCGGCCCAAACAGCGCGTGACGTGTGACGGTTTTTAATTTACCACTTATCGGTAATTACACATGAACCGCTCAATTTAAACTTCCTTTCCGGTTCTCAAGTGTGTAGTGAACACACGTGGAGTGCATTTGTTTGGGTCTGGTGAGTTTTTAACGCTTTAAATCGATATTTGTGTGGTCTACTACGTTACCAAACAATTGTCTGGAAACAATATGTCCGATCAGTCATCTTCACGCCCATCAAAGCGATTTACTGCTTTAGAATCATCAAATTTGATAAAACAGTGGATCGATTAAAGTTATATGGAGTTGGATAATGATAGTAGCGACGTGAAATTTCCCCAAACCGCTGAGGAGTCAAGTTTTGATGAGGATGTGTGCGTAATTTACCTCCTGCTAAGAGGACAAAACTAACTTATTCTGCCATGGCAACACAAGAGAAGCACCTCGTAAGGCGACACCAGCTAGTCCAAATGTCAGCGCTTCTAGTACTACTATCCATATCATCTAAAACCATAGATATATATCTATTAACAGGTTGACATGTTTACAGTGCCTTTACAGTTTTTTTTTTCTATGTGAGGAATTAATTGTTTTTAGAAAAGTCACTGTTTGTGCCACTGGAGAATACATTTTGACATGTTATGGTAGTGTATTAAAATTGCTATGGAACAACAACTATTGCACATTTTGCTTTAATATTGGCTGTGCATACTTATAAGTGGTGAACCTTCCCTTGTGATGCATTTTGGATATACTATATCAAGAATTTTGGGATCAGCTTCTGGGTAAGTGGGAAAAACCTGTTCATAATTTACTAACCTCTCAAACTAAGTCACTGTTTTCTCTACTAAATACTAACTAAAGGTATAATTGTTTGTTGTAGCAGTATGCTAATATTCATCCTTATTCATTTATGTTTAATTTTATGTATGATATTTGTATGTTGGACATCAGCTGCAGTTGTGTGGTTTGTTTTAAAGTGCTGCATTTGTTAAAAGTCAAAATCATATTACCTCCCCTTGGGCCTCTGATGCAAAACCCCCTGGGACTCAAAGAGTTAATGGAAAGCAGAACTAGTCAAATGGCAGCCCGCTGGCCTGCAAAGGTCTAGGAAGTGGCCCACCAGTGACTGCAAGTTGCATTGTATTAATGATCTTTCCACGCTGCGACTCAGGCAAGTGACCTGTGACGATCCTGGTTTTCAATATATTGGCCCCTCAGTAAACATAGCTGAACAGCCCTGTTATGGAGGATCAAACACATATGTTCCCTGTGGGGGTTCCAATGCACCATTTGGGGGAGGGGGGGGGAACAGACCCACTTACCCCTAACAAGCATGTCATAAAGGTGACTAATTAGGGGTGTTTCTGTTGAAGTCAGAGCGCATCTGCCTGTGGGGCAAGGAACCAACAGTCTGCATATAAGTAAGCCAGATCTGAAAAATGGATGTGCATGCAAAACTCAGTTCTGGAACAAGACTAAAGTCCAGAAGTGGACAAACAACTAGTACTTTCTACCAGGGTTTACAGCAGTGGAGGCTAAGAAAAAGAACCAATATATGTACAGCACAGTAGTCAAGAATGTATTTGTTCTATTATTAGATTTTCAGAATTACAGCTAAATACAATACCTACCTATTTCTGTGTTTCCATTGACAAGTTTACATTCAGGGTAGGCTCGTCTAGCAGCCAGTAACTTTGCCAGTGATGACGGAGACAACCATGTGACTCTGGGTGATTCAAATCTCAAGCTCTCTTTGTGCAATTTCTCTGAGAGAAGCTTCCAATGGAAAATAATAACAATGAAGCAAATCAGATTCTTACAAGGAAATTAAAAGAAAGAGAAATATTTGGGCAACTGCTGGGATCAACAGCTATAAGAGAAAGAAGATGGTGATATAATGGGCACACTTTGGGATAAAAAAGTTAAGTAAAGACCACTTTTTATGCCTTAGACGCATCGGGCATATGGAAAGAGCACTTATATTTTTACAGACCAATCGGCTTTAGGTGGGTAATGTGGTCAGCATTATGCCGGCCGTCTTTACTTTCCCAGGACATACATCCTGGTACCCATTTAAGGCTAGGTCGACCTGCAACACCCCATACCATGATAAAAATCCACACAGCCACACAGCCAGCAGTGGGTTTTGTTGTGGTACGCTGGAATAACGAGTCGGACTCGCATACCTAAGAGACGGCGCCACACTCTGGGATAAAGTGGACCCAACACACACACACAAAAATCACAAAATGCTCTACTTTTAATTTGCTTAGATGTACTTTCATACTTGAGGTTTTAAGATTTTGAACAATGGATCATCATCATGGCACACGGGTAGTAACCCATAAAAGCTCCATTCTACTAAAACTCAAGTCTGAGTCCCAAGTAGCTCAGTCCAGTGCACTGGCTCTGTAGCACTGGCAAGGATCCTGAAATATTTTGGGTAAATTTTTAACTTTCATACTATAAGCAGTCAAGACAATATGTAGTTTCATCTGTATCTCTGGCTTTGGGGGCGCTTTTCGAGCCTCAGGGGAAAGGCAACAAATGGATTAACACTTTCATTACCAGAAAACTCAATGTGTTAGAAAGACATTTCTTGATCATGTCTGTTCCCTACTTTTTTTTTTTTACATCAACTGATTCTAACTCAACTGTCACCATAGCAGCTTCTATACGAAACCTTAGAAATGTTTAAATTTCGCTCAAACTACAAACAGTTGCTCTAGGATACAGAAACTAGGACATACAGTACGAATTAACAACTGAGACTGATAGAGTCAAGGAGGCAAGATATATTGGTATTTTGACAGCTACCTTATGCATTGAATGCATGTTTATGCTACTGGCTTGTTGAAACTGCAGCTAGTGTGCATTTTTTCTTTACAAGGCACAGTGATGGGGACAGTGGTCTCAAGGCATAGCATCCGCCGTGAATGCTGGAGGTCCCATGTTTAGATGGACTTCTAGTAATTTTCCCTGATCTCTGGTAGTAAGATTGGATGCCCGTGTGTACTGCTAAGGACATAAAAAAAATAAAACCTGACAGTTGGAAATCAAAAAGAGTAGCCTAACAGAGCTGCCCAGGCAAAGTCTTTCAGGATCCTCGCTGGTGTCACAGAGTTCATGCACTGTGCTGAGATTCTTCGGACTCAGACTTGAGTTAGAAGAAGAATGCAACACTTATGGATTACCATCCATGTGCCATGATGTTGATCCATTGTTTGAACAGATGGACACCACTGTTAATATCAACACTAAGCTGGTCTGCTGCCAAATCGCCTACAGCTGGTATCAAACCCAGCACCCTAGAATTATGAAGTGTTTTCACAACGCCTAAGCCACAGACGCTCTCTTACAGCTGTGTACAATTCTCTACTTTTATTAGGTTTTCCAAGTAATCATTGTTAAGCTGGCTGTAAAGGTACTTGCACATTTGTCTGAGAATCACATCTCATCCACATTCAAGCCCACCCCGGTCTGTTCATCCCCATTCCAAGAGTCACGGTCACACAGGAGAACAAGTCTAATAAAATTAATCTGTAGTCTTTGGCATGGGAGCCACGTAATGGCTATACACTAGCCCATCTGCCCATAAGGTCTTGGGTTCAAATGAGCGGCAGGAAGATTTTTTTTAAAACTGACCTTGACCCGGGGCTGATTAAACCTAAAATGGGTACCATGTAATGTCCTGGGAATAAAAGGTGGTCAGCGGGATCATCAACTGAATGAATGCTGACTAGATTATACAAATATTATATGTCTGATGTGCCACTAAAAGGTAGAGAAGTCCTTTACCTCTCGACATTCAACAACAGTAACTTATTACACAAGACACTCAATGAAAATCAAATCAAGAAAAGAGGATTCACAATATGTTTAAAAAAAAATTTTTTTTTTATACTTGAAAAATATACACATACCTTTAGTTCAGGAGGAAACAATAGCTCTTGGGATGGATCATACGATGGAGACAGAAATTCCTCGTCTTTCTTTTCCTGGTTTGATAGGATTTCACAAAATTCACCACAACTATTTTATGCATAACTTATGCTGAAATATTACTATTACAATTTTTAGTTATAATTATAAAGAGTTATAATTATGAAGAGTTATAATTATAAAGAGTTATAATTATGAAGAGTTATAATTATAAAGAGTTATAATTATAAAGAATTATAATTATGAAAGTCACCCAAAGTCACTCTGAAAGTCACCCAACTGTGTGGAGGCTGGGTTGCACTGTATTTATACCAGTAGTATCTTATTAAACTTTGCAGGGTGACATCTGAGATGTATATTGTCGACCAGTCAGTTTCTGTTATAAAAATTATACAAAATGGTTTATTTCTAAACTTCTTGATGGTGTTGGTCCCAGATCTACTACTTGTCTACTTGTGCATACAACATGCAAATTTACAGTGGGTCTTTGACCATCCAATGTATACAACAACATAAACGGAAAGGTACTGCTGGCCTTTGACCAACCAATGTGTACAACATCAAAGGTATTGGTGGTCTTTGACCAACAATTGACCAACAATTGATGTATACAGCATCAAAGGTACTGTTGGCCTTTGACAATCAACTAATGTAAACAAGAGGTGAAGCTACTGTCTGTCCACTGATAACTAAAAACCAATACACACAATATAGAAATGTATTGTCTGTCCACTTATAACCAAAAACTAATACATACAATATAGAAAGCTATTTTCTGTCCACTTATAACCAAAAAATTAATACATACAATAAAGAAAGAAATTGTCTGTCCACTAATAACTAAAAAAACTGATAAGTACAACACAGAAAGCTATTGTCTGTCTATTTATAACCAAGAAAAACTAATACGTTCAATACAGAAAGCTATTGTCTGTCCGCTTATAACCAAAAAATAATACATACAATACAAAAAGTTATTGTCTGGCCACTTATAACCAAAAACTAATATGTACAACATAGAAAGCTATTGTCTGTCTACTTATAACAAAAAACTAATATTTACAACATAGAAAGTTCACCTTGTTCTGATCAATAATGTTTGTATACACACACAAAGCTGTGGCACATGCACACACACACACGCACACACACACCAAAGTGCACACACACACACACACACAGATGACAACATACTCAGCTAGTGTTGCATATTGCTATAAAATAAAACACACAACAAACAAGGCTAATTAAGGTCTAAATCTGTAAAGTTAAGTAAACACTCTTTTTCCACAACTTCAGGTGTAGTGGGCATACTGGGCTAGACCTATATTTTTTAGACCAATCAGCACTTGGAGGGTGATGTGGTCAACATTATACTAGCTGCCTTTACTTCCCACGGCTTTACCTGGTACCCGTTTAAAGCAGAGCCAACCTGGGAGCCAAGGTCTTTGGGGTTTTTTTTTCTTCAAGTCAGCACCTTTGAGACTTCTAACCATCCCCTTCAGATCTACAGGTGAGCATTTAGCTGTTACACCGTGGTAGCTCACAGGTATCCATGTGACAGACAGCTAAAACATTCACAAACAACGCTTTACAACACAAGTATATAACATACACAGTTATTGTCTTGATCAGAAGTCACTCGATTCTGACAGCAATTTTCACCCTTGGGACAGGAATTCTGTAGAATACAAAAACCAGTTTTAATTGCAAAACAAAAGAGTTTCACGGACCCAATACAAATGTCAAATGGAAACATTATATTGAATGACAATACAATTTGGTAACAAGCACAATATAAATAGAGTTTAAGCACAGACACAACACAACCTCAGCCAAACAATGAGTTGAGTTAAGTCAAAAACAGATATCACAGCACTCGGGGCATTCCCATGTGTGCTCCATCCTCATCTTCAGCAGCCAGCGCAGAGTTCCAATACTGATGTTACTGGTCACAATCTGGTTATATGTCCGTCTTGTCTTTCCTCTGAGTGAAGTGAGCCAGCCAAACCCTCTGGTTACACCCAGGTGCCTCATTCTCTCCAGGCCATAATCATCTTTTTTTCTCTACTGATTCCATTGCTTGTTCCCAAAGGGTCTTGATCAAATCTGCCTTGTAATGCATCAATTCACCACCCAGAGGTGCAGATCCAGCCAATCTGTCTGCCTGTTCATTAGACAAACACTGAGTCACTAGCGATACAAAAGATGCATGCAGATAATGTGTGAGTGATCATGGTTTGTTCAGAAGCCATGGTGGCCTAGCGAAGCCATGGTGGCCTAGCAGCTAGATGCAAATACAGATAAAACCACATTCAACTGGCAAGACAGACAATGTGATTTCTCTTGAAGATACATCAGCTAAGTGATTTTGTGTTTCCTTGTTTGCATTTGTGGTATTTTTGTGCATTCTGTTGGTTGTTCGTCCATCACAAGTGATGAGGTCCACTCTTTCCATTCTTTCTTTAATCTGTCATGAATTAATAGTTGACTTCTGTGAGTCCGAAGGTGACTTTTAAGCCCAATACGGACCCAGGAGGATCTAAGACAATAAGGGTGGGAAAGTGTCTGTAGGTATAACTAAATAATGCTGATAAAGGCTTTCAAGCTGCAACATTCACTTGTTTTTTGAAACTGTGAAGCTGACTGGCTCTTCACAACATTCACTTGTCATTTGTGATATTGTGAAGCTGACTGGCTCCTCACTATGTTCACTTGTCATTTGTGATATTGTGAAGCTGACAGGCTCCTCACAATGATCACTTGTCATTTGTGATATTGTGAAGCTGACTGGCTGCTCACTATGTTCACTTGTCATTTGTGATATTGTGAAGCTAAACGGCTCCTCACAATGTTCACTTGTCATTTATGATATTATGAAGCTGACTGGCTCCTCACAATGATCACTTGTCATTTGTGATATTGTGAAGCTGACAGGCTCCTCACAATGATCACTTGTCATTTGTGATATTGTGAAGCCGACAGGTTCCTTACAATGATCACTTGTCATTTGTGATATTGTGAAGTTGACTGGCTCCTCACAATGATCACTTATTTGTGATTTTGTAAATGACTGCTTCCTCACAATGTTCACTTGTCATTTGTGATATTGTGAAGCTGACTGGCTCCTCACAACATTCACTTGTCATTTGTGATTTTGGGAAGCTGAACAGCTTCTCATAATGTTTACTTGTCATTTGTGATATTGTGAAGCTGACTGGCTCCTCACAATGATCACTTGTCACTTGTGATATTGTGAAGCTGACTGGCTCCTCACAATGATCACTTGTCATTTGTGATATTGTGAAGCTGACTGGCTCCTCACAATGTTCACTTGTCACTTGTGATATTGTGAAGCTGACTGGCTCCTCACTATGTTCACTTGTCATTTGTGATATTGTGAAGCTGACTGGCTCCTCAGAATGTTCACTTGTCATTTATGATATTATGAAGCTGACTGGCTCCTCACAATGTTCACTTGTCACTTGTGATATTGTGAAGCTGACTGGCTCCTCACTATGTTCACTTGTCATTTGTGATATTGTGAAGCTGAACGGCTCCTCACAATGTTCACTTGTCATTTATGATATTATGAAGCTGACTGGCTCCTCACAATGATCACTTGTCATTTGTGATATTGTGAAGCCGACAGGCTCCTTACAATGATCACTTGTCATTTGTGATATTGTGAAGCTGACTGGCTCCTCACAATGTTCACTTGTCATTTGTGATATTGTGAAGCTGACTGGCTCCTCACAACATTCACTTGTCATTTGTGATTTTGGGAAGCTGAACAGCTTCTCACAATGTTTACTTGTCATTTGTGATATTGTGAAGCTGACTGGCTCCTCACAATGTTCACTTGTCATTTGTGATATTGTGAAGCTGAACGGCTCCTCACAATGTTCACTTGTCATTTATGATATTATGAAGCTGACTGGCTCCTCACAATGTTCACTTGTCATTTGTGATATTGTGAAGCCGACAGGCTCCTTACAATGATCACTTGTCATTTGTGATATTGTGAAGCTGACTGGCTCCTCACAATGTTCACTTGTCATTTGTGATATTGTGAAGCTGACTGGCTCCTCACAACATTCACTTGTCATTTGTGATTTTGGGAAGCTGAACAGCTTCTCACAATGTTTACTTGTCATTTGTGATATTGTGAAGCTGACTGGCTCCTCACAATGTTCACTTGTCATTTATGATATTGTGAAGCTGACTGGCTCCTCACTATGTTCACTTGTCATTTGTGATATTGTGAAGCTGACTGGCTCCTCACAATGATCACTTGTCATTTGTAATATTGTGAAGCTGACAGGCTCCTCACAATGATCACTTGTCATTTGTGATATTGTGAAGCCGACAGGCTCCTCACAACATTCACTTGTTATTAGTGATATTGTGAAGCAGACAAGCTCTTCACAATGATCACTTGTCATTTAGGATATTGTAAATGACCGGCTCCTCACAATGTTCACTTGTCATCTGTGATATTGTAAATGACTGGCTCCTCACAATGATCACTTGTCATTTGTGATATTGTAAATGACTGGCTCCTCACAATGATCACTTGTCATTTGTGATATTGTAAATGACTGGCTCCTCACAATGTTCACTTGTCATTTGTGATATTGTGAAGCTGACTGGCTCTTCACAAAATTCACTTGTCATTTGTGATATTGTGAAGCTGACTGGCTGTACTTTTCATCTGGTTTGATATCCTTTTTATACTATAAGCAGTAAAGACAAAATGCAGTTTCATCTGTGTCTTGAAAAAGTAGCTTTTCTTCTTTTGTCCTTCCATGAATGATGCAGTGGAAAGTATCTGCGAGCTCTGGGCGCTACCTGAGCCTCAGGGGAAAGGCAGGACAAGTAGTTGATCAGATGACGAGAGGTATATAGATTCTTCACTGTCTGCTGAGGAGACAGATTATGCTATTGCTGGCTTGTCCTGAATGCTGTGATGTCGAATCTTTACCCAGATGTCCTTCTATGGTAATCTAATTGTTTCTCAGTAGTTTCACAGCAGCTGAGACGTGACATGTTAGAACTTCACATTCTAGGATATGATATATGAGGTCGTTAGCCAGTTCCCTTCCTCTGACCTTTCCTTCCATGCCAATTACCACAGAATTCTCAGATTTTGACGAGACCTGGAAGCCCAGAGCGAGAGAGAGAGAGGGGGGGGGGAGAGAGAGAGACAGAGAGAGAGAGAGAGAAAGAGAGAGAGAGTGACAGAGAGAGAGAGAGAGAGACAGACAGAGAGAGAGACAGAGAGAAAAACCAAACATAGTGAAACTGACACTGCATAAAATAGATAAGCTGACGTACCACAGAAAAGGTTTTGAATCCCTCCAGAATTGGTCGGTAGCCAGTGCATCGGCACAAGTTTCCTGGGAAGGGAATCAACATTCACACATTGTCAAAATAAAAATACATGTGTTGATAGTTTTTTTCATAAAGTAGTTTTTCATACATACACACACACATGCACATGCACACAGTCACACACACTAAATGCTGATTACTTACTTCTCTTATATAACCAAATATCTTAAAGTTTAACTTATTCTATACCTAATAAAGAATGCATTAATCATATATTCAGGCAACGTGAAGAATGTAAATTAAAAAAACATTAACAAAAATAAGATGCTATCAGTGCCAAACGTGGACACTTAGATCCTCCAATGAATGTTAAATTGTGACAACAGAGATGAAATGCCTCAAAAGAGCTGCAGGAGTTTTAAGGAAAGACAGAATACGAAATCACAAAATCAGACGGATGCTAGGAATAAAGCCAGTCTTACAGGTCATCAATGAGCAACAAATGAAGTGGTTTGGACACCTAACAAGAATGCCCTAGTACTATCTCCCACAGCAAGCCATACTAAAACATTACAACGGAAATAGAGCCAGTGGAAGACCTAGGAAAATATGGAGTGATGGCATTAAGAACAGCCTTACAGAAATGAACATCAGACTTAATAGTGCTCTTGACAGAGCTCCTCAATGAATGTTACATCTCCAATGTTACATCTCCCTCCGACACTTCGATGAGGTACAAGGTGGAAGAGAAAAAGAAGAACCAAAAGAAATATTTTAATGCTTTTTTCCCCCACTAGTTTATGGATTTCCTTAATCTCAAAATAATAGTTCAAGTGCTTGGTTGGTTGATGAATCTTCTGAAAGACAAGAGCTTCCACTCAAACAAGGTTATCAGTCCCAATTCCAACTTCATAGCAAAGGGTTCAGTCCACAATTTCTCTGTTCCTGTGTCAGAACCACCCAAAATGCAAATTGATGTTTCAAGTGAAAATTCAAACAGACAACAGTACCAGCACAATTTTACCGTAAAGTTTCGCTTGCACCAGTGTTTCTCTTGGCCACAAGTTTTGCTTTGATAAGTTGCATTTGGGACAGTCTTAGAGGACTTGATCTGTTGTCTCATATGCCTATCCCCATGTACTGATTGGCTGATTCGCCAATCTTAAATTTTGTGTACATGTAGCTCCGAAGTCGACTGTGTCCTGTTCTAAGGCATATAATAATGATTTGCTCTGGTCTGTCCATTATATGATGATCGTCTTGTGCCAGTTTTAGTGGCTTTCTGATTGATCTGTTTATTCTCTTCTTCGGTTGACCGTCTTGTGCCAGTTTTGGTGGCTTTCAGATTGATCTGATTATTCTCTTCTTCTGTTGACAAGAGACCACTATGTCAGCTTGTTCTTAATTTGCACCTTCCTTACCTGCTGACTGATGATAATGATGCAAGTCTGGTACTGTAACATCTGCGGCGAAGTGTATCTAATCATGGCAAGATTGAAAATAAAAACATTCTGATGGTGTATTATTGTGAAGCTGACTAATTTTACTTACTGGGACTAATGAAAAATGTTTACAGTTTCATTTCATTAGCCAAGCAGTTAAGAATTCTGACATCTCATTAGAGAGACCCAGGTTTGAATCTACTTGTGAGGTGATAAATTATTTTCTGTCAGGGGTAAAAATTATAATCCTAACCTGCATAGCCGTGGTGACAATACTAGCTGTGTGGCCCTAAATCCTCTGGCTCGAAGACTGCAGAAGTGGTTAATACAAGCAGTAAATGCTCTTTTATTGTTTAAAAAAAAAAATAGCTAACAGACTCCCAGAATCCAGGTCATGCTTGAGTGTTGGAAAAGGAGCAAGCAGGTTGACTGGCCGGTTCTGCACCACTTGGTGGTGAACTGATATATGACAAGCTAGTTATTGTGTGGGCCCTTTGGGAGCGAGTGAGCAGGTAGGCGTCACAAATAGATCATTACGGTCTGAGGAAAGTGGTGCTGCAGGAGTTACCAGGAGACCTGGCTGACGCTCACCACTCAAGAGAAAGATAAGTTAGGCGTACAATCAGACAGTTACTTGGTACCATCGAAACTAAAACTCTTCATTTGCTGCTGAACACGGGAACAGAGCACTAATGGGAGTGTCCCGAGTGCTGGGATGTCAATTCCTAATTAAACATTCATCAGACTTGGAGAAGTACTAGCTTATGTGTGTGATGCCATCATCAGTTGACCTTATGCAATCAACAAATCTGTGCAGAGAATGGAAACAGTTCTTTACATGCATGGCGATTAAATATTACCATCAAACGTCTCCTGTATCTCCATCTGTGTTGGTCGTGGCTTGTTGCGTAGAAGTGTGTACATGGACATTACAATTCCCGGTGTACAAAACCCACACTGCGATCCATGATTCTCAGCAATCAGACGCTGAAATGACCAAATCAAATAAACTCCTAACAATCTTTCTTAGTAATTTTACAAAGCACAGTAAAGTTGGCAGGTAGGTAGTTGTACCCCACCAGGACATCACACAAGCGATAAACATCAGGTGACACAAAGTGCCACCATGTGGATGAGGATGACCCACGGAGAGGTCCAAGAACCCCCTTTTAGCCGTTAGGTAATATTTATGGCTTGGCTATATTCAGGGCCCCCAGCAAAAGCCAGGGTGGGGCTTCCAATAACAATTAATTGCATTTCACATGGGGATGACACTGATGATTAAACAGTAAAGTAGTCCCATGGAATACATTACATCTGGTCAGTAGCCTCAGATCGGCTGTATTTCTGTCTTGCATATGTCATTTGGTCTATCCATCTAGGTATTTGTGTCGTCGTCTTCCTCTTGTTCTTTTATCAGTAACATTTACTAGTTGTTACTACACTGTCCAGATGATTTCTTCCTATTGCACGCTCTAAGAAATCTTGACTTTATATAGTCCATACCATAAGGTGTTGGTAGCCATGTCTATCCACAACCTTCTTCTCATGTACTTTCACTCAATATTGCCACAGATGACCTTCCATGGAATGATGTCAGACTGTCCAACATCTTCTCTTTTGGTCTCCCTCTGCCTCTCTTCCCCCCGAACTTTCAGACCATTTTGATGTATGCCAGTTTTATTCTTCTCATGACATGTCTATTTCTGATGTGGACAATTAGTTCTTCATAAATCAGTTTTTTTATTTCGAGACAACTTTATTACTCTTTTTGATCTGTCCAGGTATTCTTACAATTAATCTATAAAACCACAATCTCTGCTGCTTCCAAATGAGACATCAGCTAATTTTATATTATTCTTAATTACAACATTAGCTTGGACAAACTATAAAATAAACTACCTGTGGAGGGTGTAGTTTACTCAAAACAGGAAATTTGCTTGGACAAACTAGTAAATAAACTACCTGTATAGGGTGTAGTTTACTCAAACAGGACATTTGCTTGGAAAAACCAGTAAATAAACTACCTGTACAGGGTATAGCTTTTGCAAACAGGATATTAGCTTGGTCAAGTCAATAAATCTATCTGTATAGTTTACTCAAACATTACATTTGCTTGTTCAAACCAGTCAATAAACTACCTGTGCAGGATGTAGTTCTTGCAAACAGGACAGCTACTTTAAATAAACTCATATTAAATAATCTACCTGTACAGGATGAAGTTTGCCTCGCACATTGCCGATGCCTTCAACCGTGGTCACTGCAAGTCCATGCAAGCTGCACAAAGGGGTCAGACAGGAGTTGACTGGAAAGTGTATAGATATTGTTAAGGTCATTTTGTTTCAGTTCTTCTTTCCTGGTCTAATGACAAGGCAACTAATTAGGGGTGTTTCCTTCAAGGTCAGAGTGCATCTGACAGAGGCAAGGAACCAACAATCTGGCTACAAATAAGACAGGTCTGTAAAATGGATATGCACACAAAACTCCAGTACTGATACAACAAGACTAAAGTGCAGAGATGGACTAACAACCAGACTTTACAGCCAGTGAATGCAAAGAAGAAGGAGAAGACAATCAATATCACTGCACATCGGGCATTCCTATGCAGGCTCAATCCTCAGATGCAGCAGCCACTCCAAGGTACCTCTATTGATTATTCCTATGAGGAGACGGTTACAATGTCTTCTATCTCTGCCTTGAAGGCAGCATAGACATGCTTTACCACGCTTTAATCCCAGGTCATGCAATCGTGTAAGTGTCCGAGATGTATCATTATCCACTGTGTATTTTGTGTGTATAGTTCTTATTGTGTTTTGTTAAGGCTTGAAATTGAGTGTTAAATCAGTTGGTCAGTATACCTTTCTTAGTTTGCTGTAAGAGTAAGGTTCAGTTTTTGTTGTTGTTGTCATACACATCATGGCATGTTTATCAAACACAGAGATGAGTTCTTCTTCTTCTTCACTTCATTCTCCCTGCCAGTAGTTTTCAGATGAGGAGGCCACAAGCTTCTATGACATCTGTGGTATGACACAGATCTTCCACTGTTCCAGACAGCTTGGTTTCCAGTGTAATGCCAACCAGCCAAACCTGGTACCTCTCCAGAGCATGTAGAGAGCATGTCTGTAGCAGCTGTTCAGTATTCTGCTGTACCTGTCCACATGGGTAAATATTATGAAATTGAGTTTTGCCTACACATATGTTTTACAGATCTGGCTTTGTATGCAGACTGCTGGTTCCTGACCTCTCAGGAGAAGCCACAAGTTAATCAACTTTTAGCACTCATGCTTAGGGTGTGGTGCGGGGTGGAGTCTATAACTCCCCCCCCAAAAAAATACAGCGCCACAGAACCTACAATGGCATCTCAGCGGGTGACCACCTCCTCTTTGGAGATAGACTGGTTCATACTGGAAACACCTTTTGGTGGTTAGATTAACGTTAGTCTCCCCAGACAAAGTAAGTCACGTTTCATTGACAAGTTTGTTGGGCTGGTTTACTTTCCTGCAGGTTACGGGTGTGCCGCTATGTTGTTTGCTTTCTGGGTTGTCTTGCATTTATGTTTTTCTTCTGAGAAAGAGAATGCATGTGACACAGATTGCAGCTCCCTCTAGAGGAGATGTGTTAGACCCAGTCTGTCCATGTTTTTGGAGTGTTAAAAGCGCTGGCTGAGATATACAACACACAAAATCTACCACATTGCGGGAAAATCCCCGTAACCTTGTGCCAAGGACATGTGACTCAAGGTCTACCAATGAGAAGTGAGCTAGTGTGTAACGCTGTGTAAATGGGGAGACTAGCATTAGTTTTACCCCTCTTGGCTGTCGTTTATTTTACAAACGAGAACAGTAACACATTTAAAAGGATACTCTGTAATGTCTTCACTGGGTGTGTATCTGGACACCATGACAGTACAGGCTCCACAACCTCCTTCCCCACATCCTTGCTTGCTGCCCGTCAGATGCACTTGTTTGGTCAAGGAATTTTTGGTCTGCTTGTAGTATCATACCAGATACCTCCTCAAATAATCTAGCCTACTCCGTATATGACATAAGGTGAATTTCAGCATCATGTAAGAATTCTGTAGCTATGGTCCATATGTATGTATATGGGAGTATGATACGATACACATATTCTATTTTGTGGATGTAGATGTCGAAATAGGTCACGGGTTCGGGGTCCTGGAGGAGCCCAACTTTTTTTTTCCACAAATGAACTTGACTCCCAGGTCGACCCAACATTGAAAGGGTACCAGGGGCAGTCCTGTGAAGTAAAGACAGCCAGTGTGAAGCTGATCACATCATCCACCAAGTGCCGTTTGGTCTATAAAATATAGGTCCATCCCTATATACCCAATATGCTAAAGGCAAGCAAAAGGGCCCTTTACTTTTTACTTTCAGATGTCGAAATGCAGAAAATAATCATTACCCCAAAAAATTTACAAGGACGTTTCATTCTTAGGGGTTAAATACAGAGTGGCCACTAGAGAATCTAGATTTCTCTAAAATGCTCTAACTGAATGTTAAAAAAAAAACTTATACAATGAGTGGGATTTACTTGGAAGAGCTCATTACACATAATGTGTTAATTGTGAATGAGAGAGTTAAAAGTTAATGTACTAATTTACTGGAGCTGTAGTGGCCAAGTTCTTAGTGCAAATACCTGCCAAAACAAAGGATCAGGTTCAAATCCCAGCAGAAGCAGAATCCTCTTTTTGACCCAACAGCTCCGAGGGCAACCAGGCCTCATCAAATGTGCACCAGACAAGTGTTACAATTTTTGATAACTATTTGGGAAGGAAAGAGAGTCCAACCTCTGTTGGACAGGCAAGTCGTGACAGGTAGCCCACGGTAATCTGTTACTTAGGGGGCGGGAGGTGTACTTTTTTCAGTTCTGGTTATAGTCTTTCTGCCCGGCTTGCTAGCGTAGTTGGCTAAACCGGACTGCACGGTGACAGGGTGACGAACTCCTTGCGGTCCGGGTTCACGCCCGGGGGTAGGCAGAAAAGCCACATTTCTCCCAGATGTACGGTATTTATCATGGAATCAAGGCCGAAGGGTTGCGATATCCATTATACCGAGCCTAAGGGATTTTTATCGTGGTATGTATGGGACGTCGCAGGTCGACCCAGCCTCAAATGGGTACCAGGATGGGCTGTCCTGAGAAAGTAAAGACGGCCGGCGTAATGCTGACCACATTACCCATCGAGTGCCGATTGGTCTGTAAAAATATGGATGCTCTTCCCATATGCCCGATGCGCCTAAGGGTCGTGTAAAAGGATCTTTACTTTACTTTAAGGGTTAACAACTCATGGTTTCTGGATACTTAAGTTTAAAAACAAATCAGTCTTTCTCTACAGTTTTTAAACGATTTCTGAAATGAAAAGTAGCCCATCAAACCTACAGGCTGACTACCATTGCCTAGTGTAGTATCTGGTGTGGTCCTTGTGATGACCCTGCTTACATGGTCTCCACGCACATTGCAAATCGAACATAAAATCCGTGCGACAAACGACCGCACGAGATACTTCGGGTTGGGAAAGTACACAAAGGAAAGCCCGAGGTTGACTCGTGGTCAGCTGTGCACCGAGTTAGAAGAAGGCAGTCGTGATGTCGCCGATGTAGTTTGAATGTATTCAATGTTGAATAAATGATTATTGTGGTATACTTGTGGAAGTGAACAGCGATGATTGTGGTTGAGTAATTGTGATGAATCAGAAAAAAATAAACTGGCAATATACTGGAATTCAAGCGGCGTTTCAGTGTTTTCAATTGTTGAAAGTTGTATGTGTTCCCTAATGAGCCAATATTACTGCAGACAGAATTATCACAGTCCTACCTTTACAATGTGTACAGATTTGCACATCATTTTAGGAATATTGACAACCCTAAAATCACTGTTTCAAATCTATCGCTTTCTGCTCACCCTCAACAATCTTGTATTAAAAATAATATTTCCCTGCGAGCTTAGAGTTGTACAGCGTATATGGGGATGTACAAAACCTATTCTAAGGACGGAATGGCATAGGGGTTTCACAATTCGCCCCTGGCTGGTGCAAATCTGGTTCAGCACTCAATGAGTGACTGTATCAATATCCCCTAACCGCCTTTGCTCACCTTAACGTTGTCTGGTATCATTTTAGGCTGGTTTGACTTAGAAGTCATGGTTATATTTTGAAAATCTGTTTTCACTTAGCTTCAAACCTGTGACCTCTGAACCGGTAAACAAGGTACTAACCCCCACTCTACTGATTGTATACTGAATGTTAAGCAAAAGGATACGTTTTCTTCGAAGAAAGTCCACCAGGGTCGTTTCCGGGTCAGGGTTCTGTATCTCGATCTGTGATGTTTCAAATAAACAACACCAAATAGCGCATTTCATTCAGGTCAAGGAGACTGGGAGGGGAAGAGGGAGGATCCGGCTGGATCAAAATATGTCATCCGTCGAGGTATGCCCTCGCTAAACTGTGTGCGTTCCAGGGCCAATTGGCTGTTGGGATGGGGGGGGGGGGGGGGGTGGTAGATTAGACCACTGGACCCTAACATGCTTGTCATAAAATGCGACTAATTAATGGTTTGCGGTAGGACAGGTATTGCGCAGCCTAGCTGTAAATCACAAATCAGTGAAACCAGCCAAGAAGCACTGGAAAATATCGTGTCGACTGGAAAGACCACCGGTAGAAGAGGCAGAGGCAGACCAAGAGAAATTATGAGGGATGGCTTAGGACAGTGGCATGGAATTGATCCAGAACACCAAAGACCGAGATGATGATGAGCCACGGTTTTAAGGTTGAACGCAGAAGAAGGAGAAGGAAGAGGATAAGAAGAAACAGAATAGTGTAACAAGGTCTGTGCGGCGAAGACGCCTCGTCACTGACCTGGGATAATATTTGTTGTCAGCGTCTGTGGCTTAGGCGTTGCAAACGCGCTTTGTAATGCCGGGCTGCCGGGTTCGATCCCAGGTGCGGACCACCTGTCTTGCCCTAGTTTCGACAGTGGCACCAAGAGCTGACCGTTCAGGGTAATGGCAAACTACTGAATGTAACATTTACCTAGAAAAACCACAACAGCCAAAAATGCTGGGGTTGGTTCTGCAACGTCCTGTAAAGGATAAGCAACTAAAAGGAAAACAAAAACACAAGAATAATTCCTACGACATCTTCCTCACTCCTCCCATAGATGTAATCCTAACTCAGGTGTTTTGCTATCATAGCCTCAATACGTAGGCTATGCAGTTAAAACTCAAATCATCCAGAGGATTTGAGGTTTTGAACAACGGATCAACATCATGGCACACGGGTATAACCCATAAGTGCTCCGTTCTTCTTCTAACTCAAGTCTCAGTCTGTAGAAGCTCCGCACAGTTCACCGGCTCTGTAGCACCGGCGAGGATCCTGAAATACTTAGGGTAGATCTTTAACTCTAAATTTTACCCGAGCAGCGCCGTTAGGTTACTCTTTTTTTATTTCCAACTTCCAACAATGCACACGGGCGTCCAATCTCACTACCAATAGATCAGGGGGAATTATTAGAAGTCCGAGTCCACGTGAAAAAATCTCAGCCCTTACCGGGGATTGAACCCGGAACCTCGAGCACTTGAGGCGGACATCATGCCTCGAGACCAGGCATTCCTCTCATCATCCAGAGGAATAACCAGCCAGTCAACCAAGAAATCAATCAGTCAGGTTAACCAGCTAGTTAACCAATCAGCTGAACGTTGAATTAGGAATCGTAGCACTATGGACACTTCCATAAGGCTACGTCTCCATCTTCAGCAGCAAACGAAGAGTTCAAATTCCGATGGCATCTGTAACTGACTGATTGTATATCCCCCTCGTCTTTCCAGTCAGCAAAAACAGTCTATCAACTATGTAGTGAGCTCACAAACCGACCACCTAAGCCTTTCAGCCAGCCAGAAAGTCAGTCTACCAAGCAAACTGTTAACTAGCTAGCCGGTCAAGAAACCACTCAGCCAGTTAACCATCTAGCAAGCCAATCAGCTAACCAGTCAGACAGCCTGCGAACTAACAACTAAAGAGTCAACAAACTAACCAGCCAGACAACCTACGAACTAACAACCAAGCGGCTAAATAGTCAACCAACTAGCCAGCCAAATCTATTAAGACAGTCAAAAATGCTAACTCAACAAACAGCCAATCATCGTACTAACCCGTTAGCCAATCATTAACCCAACAGTCAATCATCCTAATAACCCGTTAGCCAATCATTAACCAAACAGTTAATCAGCTTAATAACCCGTTAAACAATAATTACCCCACAGTTATTCAGCCTAATAACCCGTTAGCCAATCATTAACCAAACAGTTAATCAGCTTAATAACCCGTTAAACAATAATGACCCCACAGTTATTCAGCCTAATAACCCGTTAGCTAATCAACCAATACGTCAACCAAATAGGGCTAGTAAGTAACATTCTGATTGCTATTTACCTTTCTCCCGTTGACAAACAGTACTAGAGTACTGAGATCAGCTGATGTGCGACTGGAAGGCATCTCGAGGTTTCCTGCTCGTGTGCACGTTATCACTGTCTAATTCTCTATCCAGCGGATAAATCTGTCTTATTGGATGAGTTCAAATCCTTATTCTAATCAATCTGGTAATACAAATGTAGATCTCAGCACACCACACGCCACTTGCTACACTAGATATATTAAACTAAAAACTTCCAAAAGTCACTCATGAATGTTAAAGTCTAAAGGATCGATTTCACTGCATTCAATTTTATCCCATGTATGTAGCTCGATGTCTCTCCACAGAAAAGCTAGCCACTTGTCACAAAAGATGCACAAAGCATGACCCCCGTAGCTCCAGTGACGTTTTCCATGGATCTTTGTTTAAAAAACAAAATGCACTCGTGAAATGAATAAGGCGTCGGTGAAATGAACCCACGGCCTTCAGAGGCAAAAGGTTTGACCACTCCGCCATGGAGACCCCCATTCCTGGCGGTACAGTTAAAAAAAAAAAGAGTGTTTAAAGACTGAAAGGTCGATTTCATTGCACCAGACCTCATTTCAGAGGGTTCTCTCTCTCTCTCTCTCTCTCTCTCTCTCTCTCTCTCTCTCTCTCTCTCTCTCTCTCTCTCCTCTCTCTCTCTCTCTCTCTCTCTCTCTCTCTCTCTCTCTCTCTCTCTCTCTCTCTCTCTCTCTCTCTTCTCTCTCTCTCTCTCTCTCTCTCTCTCTCTCTCTCTCTCTCTCTCTCTCTCTCTCTCTCTCTCTCTCTCTCTCTCTCTCTCTCAATCACACACAATGAACAAAACTCCTGCGACTATAAACGGTGATCTGCAAAACCTAAAACAAAGCACCGAATGTATGAGTCTGAAAACGAATTCACAATCTTCACAGAGTGAGACAAGCAGCTATTTGACCAAAACACACCCAGTCCTTGCTGCAGCCAGGTAATTTAGAAACATACGCTGCTAAGACGTTCAGTTGGAGAATAGTCGTGTCCTTCGTAGAACTGAAGGTCGTCTTTAAAGCTGCTGCTGCTGCTGCTTCTTCTTCTTCTTCTTCTTCTTCTTTTTCTTTTTCTTCTTCTTCTTGTTTATCGACTTTAAACTGCGGTGGAAAGTTTTGGTTGCTCTCCCAGTCTTGTTCCAGAACCTCAGTTGTACGTGCACATCCGTTGTAAAGATCTGAAGTGAGTATCAAATAAAAAAAAATCACGTTTGACGTGATGATGCTTGGCATCCACTCACGACACAGTTGCCCATTGAAAAGCTTCCACAGTGCGGACGGAGAATCAGACAGTAAGATTCCTCTAGTAACACTTGAAGCTAGCAACTTCACAACTGCAGCGTAAATCTCCGTAATGGAGAAGAAAACATATAAGTGACACTGTTTACCTTAAGAATGTAGCGATAATATCTAAGATGCAACACGGAGAAATTAACTGCTTTAGTCAGGCCAGCTTATACGAACAAGACTAAGCGCTATGTATGATTTCTCTGGAAACTTTAACCCATTTTCTCATATCTTGTCCACAGCAAACAAACCACACAAGTGGTTTCAAGCGACAACTAAATGTGTTCTACAGTTGAGACCTCGTCCAGTATCACATGTTAGAGATAACCTTTATTAGGCCCCAGAATGCAAAGGTGACGGTGACAAGCTTTATATTCCATATTGCCATTTCCTGAAGCATATCAGACATATCGAATTGACATACCTCCTACAGTTGTCCCCGTTTGTGTTCTGTGTTCTAGGGCTACATAATAGGCTGAAGAGAATATGCCCACTCCTCCCAAGGAGCATGCTGTAACAGCCTGCTAATGCGTAAATCTGACAAAGGCAAGAAACCAACAGTCGGCATACGAATAAGCCAGATCTGTAAAACGGACATGAATGAAAACTCAGGTTCTGGAACAAGAACAAACTTACTGTTTTCATCTGTTTAAACAACGGATCAGCATCATAGCACAATGGTGGAAAATTATAAGTTATCTGTTCTACTTCTAACTAAAGCCTAAGTCCAAAGAGTCTCAGCGCAGTGCATGAACTCGGTAGCACCGGCGAGGATCCTGAAATATTTTGGACAGATTTTTAACTCCAAATTTTTTCAAGGGCGTTAGGCTACTCTTGTCGATTTCCAACACCAACATTGTTACTGAGGCAATGACTTAATGTGACAAGTTAGTGAATGGCTTTAGAGGCAATGATTTAATGTGACAAGTCAGTGAATGGCTTCAGAGGCAATGATTTAATGTGACAAGTTAGTGAATGGCTTTGGAGGCAATGATTTAATGTGACAAGTCAGTGAATGGCTTTAGAGGCAATGATTTAATGTGACAAGTCAGTGAATGGCTTCAGAGGCAATGATTTAATGTGACAAGTTAGTGAATGGCTTTAGAGGCAATGATTTAATGTGACAAGTTAGTGAATGGCTTTAGAGGCAATGATTTAATGTGACAAGTCAGTGAATGGCTTTAGAGGCAATGATTTAATGTGACAAGTTAGTGAATGGTTTTAGAGGCAATGATTTAATGTGACAAGTTAGTGAATGGCTTTAGAGGCAATGATTTAATGTGACAAGTCAGTGAATGGCTTTAGAGGCAATGATTTAATGTGACAAGTTAGTGAATGGCTTTAGAGGCAATGATTTAATGTGACAAGTCAGTGAATGGCTTTAGAGGCAATGATTTAATGTGACAAGTTAGTGAAAGGCTTTAGAGGCAATGATTTAATGTGACAAGTTAGTGAATGGCTTTAGAGGCAATGATTTAATGTGACAAGTCAGTGAATGGCTTTAGAGGCAATGATTTAATATGACAAGTTAGTGAATGGCTTTAGAGGCAATGATTTAATGTGACAAGTCAGTGAATGGCTTTAGAGGCAATGATTTAATGTGACAAGTCAGTGAATGGCTTCAGAGGCAAGAACTCAATTTTACACGTCAGTAAATAGCTTCAGAGGCAATGACAAGTCACTGAATGGCTTCACATGCAATGACTCAATGTGATAGACCATTCAATGGCTTCAGGGGCATGTGATCACCCTTTGCATTGTATCTGACTGTTATAACAGAGAACCAGGTTTTCATTTGAAAAAAATTGTGTCCAATTAAGGAGCTCTTGCGCTTCTGAAGTTGGTCACTCTCATGAAATTATGAGAAGGTCTAAATTAAGCCGACAGTCGGCTGACCGCTGAAGCTCTGGAAAGTTATTTGTTTCCAGCCAGGTTTTGCTGGTGCATATTCCCCATTGCTTGAACAGGAGTTCAAAAGTTACGTCGCCCAGATACGGAGCTGGATGTGATACTTTGAGCTATGGATTTGGTGAATGTTTTGTTATTCTTTGTATTGTACTCGTGGCGTGTTGCTGACTACACACACATGGCAGGTGGCCGATTATGTTCAGAATGGCGTGTACTTTTGCGGGTGGTGAAAATATGGTGGTGACTGCAGTCAAGCTTATACAAGGAATTCCAGATAAATTTGACTAAAAAGCTCATTAAAATGGGGAAGAAGAAAAACGTGAACAAAACAACACAACGGCCGGGCGGTCTTTTTCAAAGATAAGTGAACTACACAAACGTAACAACGAGGAGAGGTTTCTGCGGGTGCAATGCCAGCTTTCGTGATTGACCGTTTGCGTCAACAGTGAGCTGCAATTCTAGTGCCTCAGCTGTAGTACTGGCGCATTTGACAGCTGCCTTAATTTTGTTGCAGTTTGCTTGTGCGAGCTTCAAGATTTTTTCTGGGACTGACAAACTTTTCCATTAAGTTATCATTAAAGGGCATTTTGTGTGATCGGGACAGTATGGGACCACCCGCCTGAAGTGATGTTTCACCATCTTCGTCATTCCCTTGTGGGATGCCATTTTTCGTTATTTTGAAGCCCCACCCTAGCTGTTGCCAGGGGCTTCAATATAACCTAACGGTTAACTGGGGTTTTTTGGGACCTCTCCACAGGTGATGCTCATCCGCATGATGACACTTTGTGTCACCGGGTATTTATCGCTCTGTGTGATGTCCTGGTGGGGTAAAATTTACATACAGTGATGTTGGAACCTCGACTAACTAACTAACTAACTAACTAACTAACTAACTAACTAACTAACTAACTAACTAACTAACTAACTAACTAACTAACTAACTAACTAACTAACTAACTAACTAACTATGTTGTGTTGTTCGTCCATCACGAGTGATGAAGACCACTTTATGTGATGATGATGATGATAGCGAAAGTGACTTGCGCAAGGACTTGGATTTAAGTGACGAAGAGTTGCGCAATTTGTGGACCTCAATCTCACGCCTGTGTCCATCTTGATCCAATGGCAGGACAATGTCGAGACGATTCGAAATGGACCTAGGTGCAGTGGATAACCAAGGCGTCTTAAGTGCCCTGCCTTGCTGGAAGCTCTCCACAGAGCCTGCTGGTAGTCGCCTTTTTGTCCGATGAACTAATAAGAGGTTTCATCCACACAATCCACTTAGTCCAGTTAGTCTTCACTAACTAACTAACTAACTAACTGACTGGCTGGCTGACTGGCTGGCTGGCTGACTGACTGACTAACTAACAAGAAATTAACGAAGACGTACACGGGTTCAGAGTTCACTAACTGGAGTCTACAGCCTACAATGTGAAGATCGCATAAATTATTTATTGTGTTTGCAAAACAATCAAAAAAAAGGAGGGCTGTGCAATCGTCAGCGTCATCATTTATGGTAAACTAAAAAAATCCGAATTCCTTAATGCGAAGTATAAACACGTTTTGATGAGTTTCTTCTGACATATTTTTGAAAATACTTAACCAGGACCGTCGGTAGTTACCCACGGTCCCGCATAAACCAAGGAGACTACCAAGAAAAACAAAAGCAGTGGTAAATATCAGGAAGAGTTACTTCAATCTAGTCGCCCCTTGTGGGATGCAATTTTTCGTTTTTTGAAGCCCCACCCTGGCCTTTGCCAGGGGCCCTGAATATAGATGGGACACAGTTGTGGCTATAACGGCTGAAGAGAGTTTCTGGGACCTCTCCGCGGGTGATCCTCATC